GTGTGTCCGGGGTGTGTCTGGGGTATGTTCGGACTTTTTGCCTGGGGTATGTTCGGGGGTCTGTCTGGGGTATGTCTGGGGTGTGTCTGGGGTGTGTCTGGGGTATGTTTATACCCCACCTGTTGGTTTTTCGGCAAAAAATTGCAGTCCGCTCGTGAAGATTGAGGAGCATTTGCATACCCCTGACACACCCCCGAACATACCCCCGAACATACCCCTCGCCTGCATTTTTGACCAGCTGCTGCAGTTTAGATAGTAATTATTTCCACTTTGGGAATTTCCATTCTGAGGCTTTCATAGCGCATCGCCGAGTCGAACTCCCGCGGCGCGAACCCTGGCGTGTGCGGGGCATGAAGATACACCTGCAGTTTGCTGTCCTGGTTGATCATGGCCCCAAAATCGATCAGGACCACATGCCCGGGCGCGGGCCTCTTCGACGCCCCTTTTCCGAGATTGCCCTCCCCAGAGGTTGCACCGCCGTCGTACGCAGGAGAGCTGCTCCGTCGGTTGTCATTCAAAACGAAGAGCTGCTTCTTTGAGCTCTGTCGCCGCTGCACAGGAGCGCCGTCGGGTGCCACGTTGTCGTCCGTTTTGCTAGTAGAAGTGCTTCCACCACCAGATTTATTGCCCTGTTGGAGCTCCCCGCCGGCACCAGGAGCTCCACCACCGTCTAGCAGCTCGGTGCTTCCAGACCGAGATTTCAGTTTTCGCAACATGGCCTGCTGTTGCTTCTGGTGGTCAAACCCAGGGAGCTGGATGTTTTCGGAGTACATGATGTTGGCCGACTTCAGGTCGTGGTGCACAATGCCCGCGAGCTTCATGTAGTACAGCGACATGGTCAACTCGCCCAACACACTGGCCAGCGCCTTCTTGGTCGCGAACTCCACTTGGTCCAAGCGCCTGCCGTATCAAATGCAAAGTGTCTGGGTCTGGAAGAGTGTAGACTTCCTTGTCATGCAGATTTGCATGACGCATGAGGTCTGGAGTGCGGGACTTAGCATGACAGACTCTGCGAGGTCTCTGCCATGCCTATTCTGCATGAGGAACTCCGTTCCAACTTGGTCAAAATTGGACAGCTTTTGGCACTCATGCAACACAGATTTTTGCATGCTTCAGATTTACCATGACAAGTTGCATTCGTCCAGACCCAGCAGACATTCTTGCAATTCATATGCCGCCAAAGTTCACGATGACGTACAACTCGTGCTCCGGGAGCGGGCTCCCGAGCGCCTTGTGGTCGGAAAAGTAGTTGTAGCCGCGGCGCTTCGGGGGGATGTTGGTTTCGTAGCACTGCATAAACAAAAATCGGCTCGCGTAGTTGTACACCTGTCCAAATTTCTGCAGCGACAGCGCCCACTCACACTCGTCCCGGAGCCCGTCAATCGCGTCCTCGATGTCCCTATGACAAGATAAAGTGTTTGCGTTAGGAGCGGAATTTGTGATGCAGCAGTACTACATGCAGATGAACCAGAAGCGCACTGAAATTTGTTTAGCTGCATAGCATACATCATTTATGGCACCAGGGAAAAATTGTCATGCATGACGCGCATCCGCATCCACGAAAAGCTTTTATCGTCCAACACTTTTTTCATTGATAATCTCGCCGCCCGTTGTCGCGCCACTTCAAGTATGCATTGGAAAAGTTGTATCGCGCTTGCGTGTTGAATAGCAGTGTTGCATGCGCTCTCTCCTGAGGAGAGGTTCTTAGTAGATCTATCAGCTTCAGCATTACAAATCCCATTTTTCAAACTGGCAAAATTTAAAAATTTCTGATGCAATTCACACTAAGCGCGATTGTTGTACTTTTGCAGAGGATATCAGGTAGATTTTGTGGTCGTCCTGGCGGTTCTTCTGGTCCCCGTAGCGCGGGTCCGGGATCCGCTTCATCACTGCCAAATTGTTGTCCAGAAGGTTTTGCACCAGGTAAGCCTCCCCAAACGCGCCGGAGCCCAGTCGCTTGATCAACCGCCAGCGGGTGTTCCAGCCGGTCTGGTACAAGGCCTCCAGCAGTTTCACATTTTCCTCGACCGTGTGCGCCGGCCCGCTCGCAACCTCGTTGGCCCGCTCCACCTTCGGCTTGCGAACTTGCATTTCCACCATCTGCAGCAGGGTCTCCTCGGTCAAATGCACCGGCGGCCCCTCGTATTCCGGCGTTTTGATTTTCTGATACGGCTGCAGCATGTACCCGGTGACTTGGTTTAAGCCGGAGAGTAAGTTGTTTCCCACCTGGTCCCAGTTCACTTCCGGGACTTCGTGCTCTGTTGACGCGGAGGAAGTCCTGGTGCCCCTGTGGTTCGTACCTGCCGCCAGCTGCTTTTCTTGCAGCAGGTCTTGCACATCCACGCGCGACGCCGTGGTGCGCATGGGCTTGTAGACAACGTTTTCTCCTTGATCAGCATCGTCCTGGAGGTAGTTCTTCGCAAGGCCGCTTCCGCCTCCCCCGCCAGCAGCTCCGGTGGGGGACGTGGTTGCCGCGGGTAAGACTCCCGTCCGAAGGTCTTCGTCCTCCGGAATGGACAGATTGTCGACTTCCTGGGCTATCCTATGTAAAAACGTCCCCACCCCATAGTCAAGATGGGGACTCAGCTAGACAAATCCAAAAGTTTTGGCTGTTCAGCATGACAAATTTGGACTCGTATTGTCTTGCTGTCTGAGCTAGCTCAGCAGCATCACAGATCTAGTATATCACTATCATGCTGATTGGAGCATGAGAAATTCCAAAACACGACTAGAAAACGCTTCTCGTGGTGCTCCGCATAAGAGACATTTTCAGCATGCAGATTTGCATGACAACTCTGGGGTGGGGACGTTTTTACACAGGATATGGGCGAGCCGTTCCTCATCCCGCAAAGATGAACCTTTTGAACCCGCTCGACCACGCCCCAGTGAAGGTTTCCCGCTAGAGTAAGAGCCCCGACCTCCGTAGTACGTTTCCTCTTCTAGTAGCTGCGGGAGTCTGCCACCCTTTGGCAAAACTTGCAGATCTTCCAGCTCTTCGTGCCCTGGTGGTTTATTTCGAATCGTGTTCGCCAACATTTTGGCGATTTTGGACGCGCGGGTGGCGGAGTTGACTGGGAGGTTGGAATTTTTTTCCGTGTCGTAGGAGGTAGTATGGAGCAGGTCCAGCTCGTGTTGGGACATCTTCAGGGTCGGGCCGTCAAACGGACGGTCGGCAAAAGTGGTTGTTGTACAACCCGAGTTGAAAAGGAAGAGGAACAGCATGCCCATGCAGCTAATGCCGTTTTTATTCCCAGCTGCAGCCGAAGATGCCGCTGCTCCGCTGGCGGAACGAAATGGTAATGAACGGAAGAGCATCTTGAATAAGATTGGTTGTCTTGTTCCTGGCTCTTTGAAGAATGTCCGGAAAACAAATTCGACGTCTTTGGTGCAACAGCTCTCTCAACACCGCGGCTCCGCTTCTGATCTACGTATATCTGAAATTTTCAGTGCGTTATTTGGGGAGTTGCAGCTGGTTGGCGACGAGTGGTCGTGCATGGAAGAGATCAACAAATATTTCACGTCGGTTACGCAATTGTAGTTGAGAACCAGAAGAACAAGAAGAGTTGGACGCAAAAAGCGCTGCCGTTGATCGTATACTTCCGACACTTCTTGCTGTTAGGTATGGGTCCGCGGGATCGTCACAATCGCATTGCTGGTGGAGGTACAACGATCACGTTGCTGAGGAAGAGCGTGACGCGATCGAGTCAATAAAGAAAGGAGAAGAAGAAGAACAAGGCTGCTAGCTAGGTGGTGTGCCAGCTTGCGTTCAGACATCACAAACGTCATGTTCAAAATCCTCCGCGCGTCGTGGCACAATCACCAGCGGAGGAAGATCCAATCACGCTAACATTTTGTATTTGTTTTTACAGGGGGGAATCAATTTATTGGTCTGCCATTGTACAGGTTTCAAAGTTCTTGTGAAACAAAATGCGGTGGCACAAGAGAATGATGTACAAGGGTTGAGTGACTAAAAGTTTACAAGTAGCAGGAGGAGGCTGCAACTGGTGCAGCTTCACGTGGATACGCGATGTTGATGATGTAAATACAGAGCGAGAGCCTTCACCTACCAAAAAATCATACAGCGAGGTCGTGGTGAATACCTATAGCTTCATCGTCATTTATGTTCGTAATTGCGCAGATAGTTCGCGATTGCTTTTGCTTTAAAAGTACGGTACAGATTAAATGAATAATTTTTCGAGGTAGTTTAGTCTGGACTTTTGACCTTGGTGAAGAACTCACAGCTCGCCTTGTGTGGTCGTGTGGTTTCTTCGTTCCACCACGTTGATCGCCACTTCAACTGCACGAGCACGACCCAGTAAGTAGTACGCCCGCACGACTGCTACAGCCTGCCCGGCGGCTCTCGCTTCACCGCTGGGTTTTCCACGGCGTGCTTCTTCTTGTCCGTCTTATACCGGCTGAATTCCCATGGTTTCTCGTGCTGATTTGGATTTTTCACCGTCCCCTTCGTGGGTTTCTTTCCTCGCCAGTGGCGTGGACTATTGGGGCCCGCTTCGTGGCTTGGCGCGAACCACCGTCGCTCCCCATCGCGCCGGTCTTTCTTTGATGCCCTGCGGAATGGAGAGTTCTTTATCATGTCAGAACGTATTCTACCTCATCTGGTAAAGCTACGTATAGATAGACCTAGAAGGTGCCTATCCTATAGCATGCAGCCCAACTGTAGGCGAAGTACGCACTTAGTTCAAATCTAAACAAAGAGGATTCAAATGGCAAAAAGTCCTCGAACAAAGAGAGTTGTAAAAATCCGTTACCTTGTCCCGACAAAATTATTTTGTTGCTGTTCCATCTCCGCGGCTTCTTCCTCCACAGCCTCGAGATCGAACATGGAATTCATATCCAGTTCTCGCTGCTTCGTTGCTTCATCTTCTCGGCTGAGGTACTCATACACCTCGATCGGTTGCTGATGAACGGTCAACGACGGGTGGAAACCCTTCAAGGACTCGGGTTGCTGGGAGGGAGGTTGGGGCGGTTGCATCGTGGAGGAGGATGACGCAGCCGCTATCCTGTGCAAAAACGTCCCCACCCCATAGTCAAGTTGGGACTTTGGCAAGACAAATCGAGCATCTTTGGGACTCACGCATGACAAGTTTGGCGACGCAGTGTAGTCGTGCCTATCTGTAGCTAGTTCGAACGCATCACAGATCCAGTCTGTCATCCTGATTAGCGCATGACAGATTCCCAAACGCCACTAGGTAATGCCTCTCATGGAGAGCCACATGACACACATTCTGAGCATGTAGATCTGCATAACAACTATGAGGTTGAGGTGGGAACGTTTTTACTCAGGATAGCCGCACCGCTGGCAGTCGGGTCCGTGGGAGATGGGGTGAAGTATCAGAGTGCGCAGGGGCAACGACATCAACTATAACGAACCCTGGCCCTCATCTGCTTCAGCTCTCAGCAACAAAATTATCAGTGCAACAAATCGTGTAGCCTTAGCATGACAGCAACAGACCCTTACCCGCACACATGATATCTACTTGCATGACAAAGTACAGTGAAATAGAGCTATAGTAATAGTAGTTCTTGCGCACTCTCATACGAAGTATGTGTTTTTCAGCGCATTGGTCAGGTAGGTCTCCCCAGGAGGAACGACCCTCACTCCGGCATTTTTCAGCTTAACAGACAAATGCTTCACGTCTTTTGTCGTGTCGTAGCCACGGTAGGCGGTTGCGCGAGATTCTGTTTTTGATGGCGTGCTGAACTGGAGCAGTCTTCTTGTTGAACTGCCGAACCTGTTGCACGGCTCTCATTCATACACAAAATTCATATAAGACAAAAAGCTTCTGCTTCATCTGTCCAAAGAACAAGAAAATCAGTACCGCTGTAACGCCCCCGCTCGGCCTTCATCTTCAGATGTTCCTTCAGCTTTATGCATTTCAACCGCTGACAATTTGGACTTGCCGCACACTTGCAACTTCATGCATGACATTGACAACTTATCTTGGCTGCAATAATTTGTGAAGATGCTACACCGGCATACTAAGGAGGGCAAACTGTCGGCTACGAAAATTCATCGTGCGCGTGGGTGTGCTGCAGAAGCAGTCAATCATTCAATTTACATTCGATAAGTTCTAGGGGTTCCAGATAGGCTAAACTCGGCTCGGAGTACAGCCGCTCACTGGTCCTGATGTGCCTCCGACTCGTGTGAGAGTGCAACATGCGAAGGTCGGCCGCTTCGCTTTGTCCGAGATCATTGACGTACCGCTCGTATCCACTGCAAATATGTCCGAGCTGCCTCCTGAACGAGATCTGTAACGACACGCACCATTCTCGGCTGGCACGAATCCAAAGTGTCACATGCAAGTTGCTATCATGATCGACAAGCTTTCTTTGATGTTTATTTCCGTGTATCGTGATCAATTATCTTGTTAGCAAATTATCAATACAGCAGCTTCTTCAACCCAGACCAAAAAATATCTTTTGCAGTGGATAGCGCACCGTGACGGGCGAGGGTCTTCAGATTGTACAGGTGGCTGCGCATCATACCCTGTTGAGATTGTTGAGGCAGGTGTTTTCATACTTTCATAAACGCGTACGCAAAGATGAACGAGGGGCCGTTCATATGTTCAACGAATTTCTCTGAAAAGAGGACAACACACACGACATGCAAATAAACAAGTACCACGTCCGTTTTCAATATTTTCACGGTTTCCCTCCTTGCCCGCTCCTCCTTACTCAGCAAAGCGGTGGACTCGTCCAGGGCCCCACTGTCCTGGTCGTTTTTTTTGCTGTCCAGCCTGGCCTTTTTCTGCTCCTCCCGCCGTTTCCTGTCGTAGTGCCGGGCCAAGTGTCTCAACGTCGTCGGCTGTTCTCGGTTGTGGGCCGCTTGCTCTTGCGGGGACAGCAACGGGTCGAGGTTTTGGTGGTACTTTTGGAGAATGTGCGGGTAGAAGTCCTGGCTGGTTTTGTGGCCTCGGGGCTGGCTCGAAGACTTCGACAGCATCGGCGAATTGAAATTGTTCGAGCTATGATTCATCGTCCCGCGTTGAGGCTGATCGTTGGAGTGTGTCTCCTCGTAATGGGCAGTTCGGCCATCTTCACTTCTTAGCATCATCATCATCATCGTCGAGATCAACAAGCCTTCATCCTAGGCTACCATACGTACCACAGTTCTGGACCACCAGCGAAGGTCAAAAGGAAAAGGATGTCGAAATGTTTCACTTTTTGACCCCGAAACAAAAAATCAGATATAAACAGTATTATACCGACATGGACGAGGCAACACTCATGTTCGGATTGAAGCCCCCATTTGATGATCCTCCGTTGCCCCTCCTCGCCGGCACGCCATTTCCGAATTTCTCCACGTATTCAAGCTGGTTGGTGCTCGTGATGTGTTCCCCCAAAGCCCGTCGGACCTCGGTGGACTGGGGAGGAACGGAAAATTTCATGGCATCTACGGCGGCTGACGAGTGCATCTTGAGAATGGTTGGTTGCCGTTTTTGCTCAACAGGAGCCGGAACGCAACAACAGAAGATTTTTGATGGTATGCTCTAGATATTCGGAAGCTTTGACTATCTAGACTTCTGAAGACATCGCTGCGGTGTGGCAGAAGCGCAGCTTGGTCGTTGAAGAACTACTGCCTTGACAAATGGAGGACCCTCTCTTCCAAGGCAGTTGTATCAACTCAAGAATAAAAATTCAAATTGTGAAAACAAAAACCATATAATGTGACAGGAAGAACAAGAGGAGTGGTCGAACACGGTAAATAATATGTGGTAGTATATGGTACGACCAGGAGGCTGCAACCTGGTGCAGCAGTCGTGCGCCCAGTCCAACTGGTGGCACGACGTCGATAGATTTCCACTACCACCTGGTGTAGACGTGAAGGTGCTTTCTTGTGCCGTGCTTCCCTGCCCTCGCAGTTGCTGTGCTTGTGACGAGCAATCATCTACCTGCTGCTCAGCATGTTAATGTCTTGCTCACAAACGGATTATAGTCACTGCTTATGGAATGGCACGCCGCTTGTAGCTGCTGTCGTATATGGCGGTAAGGAAGATGATGTTGAGCCAGCAGCACCCATTGAGGGGACAGCCTGTGCCTGCTGTTGATTGAACACCGGCACTCCGACCGTCGTGCTCCCGAGAGTTTCCGCTCGTTGGTTATCAACGAGGGATAAAGTTTGCCACGGAACCGACGCAGTCGCACTTACAGCAGCGCCAGTAGAAGTACCTCCCCCGAACAAAGAAACAGCACCAGCACTACCTCCAGCACAACTATTGGAAGCAAGCATCTGTGCCTGGTTCGGCGGCAACATCAGGGTGTCTACGCGTTCCACCCGTACTGGCAGCGCGGTCAGCAACTGGATCCATCGGACCTGGAAACTGTGTCTGCGGATCATGCCACAAGTCAGCACCGACCCGAAGCAGCTGTCCTGAAAATTCGGACGCCCGTTCTCGATTTCGTCCAACTTGCACACTTGCAAAATCACATTGTACTTGGTCTGGAATTCAAACGCCTTCTGCTGGAAAAACCGCGCTTCTTGCCGTTCCAGCGACGTCTTCTTCTGCTCATGCGCGATGATGAAGCAGAAGGGGGACAAAATCCCGGCCGAGAGGCAGCAAAGAAAATCGGAACAATTGCAGAAAAACTCGAGCCTCTCCTGGTCCTCGTCGGCGTCAGGGTCTGCGCCCCACGAACGCAGGCAATTTTCGAACAGCACCTTTGGCAGCGGCAGGCAAACTGGCCTGTCCTGGTAAAACTTCGCAACTTCAAACACGAACGCCCGCCAATCGGCTTCGGGAATGATATTCTCAAGTTGCTGCGGCAATCTCGGTAAGGGCCGATTCGCGTAGCCGGGTGGTTGTACTCCTTGGGTTGACAGTGGGGGAGCCGCCCCAATTCCGTTTTTCATATCCGCCAAGGTTGGCATGCCGAGCTGCTGCTGGTGGTGCTGCTGCTGGTAGGACGCTCCGTTGGAGGAAGAAGACGATCCCCCTGCTTGCTCCTGAGGAAAATCATAGTACCCCTGATTTTTTGACGTTACTGTGTCAACCCCGGCTCTCCCGAAAGCACCTGGCTTTTGCGGAATATTAAACGATCCGAGATCTTCACCGACTTCCGACTGCTGCTTTCCCACTACACCAGCACCCGCGTAGCTACCCTGCTCTGCACGACCTTGCGGGGCCATCGGCTGCAATTTTTGACTCACCATCAGTGGCGGAACCGCGCCACTGAAAGCGAATTTCCAGTAGGCACAGTAACCCATTTTCTTCCGGTTTACGTCGACCTGGCCGGAAACACCACAAGTTCTTCTCGGGTACGGTGGGCGGTATTCCGGGGGAATGACCTCATAGAAGGTTCTTTGGTGATGTGCAGATCTACTGCCTGGCGGTGCAGCAATCGCGGAGGTAGAAGAACTTCCAAGAACCTCGTCTGCCGGAAAGACGTGCATCCAGTCCGTCATCGCGTTTTCCTTGGACGATCCTCGGCCAAATGCAGCCGAAGCTGCACTGTGCCAGCCGCTGTTTGCCAACCCATCCTCGAAGCAAAACCCATCCGCCCCGGGGTCCACGTTTTGGCGCAGAATGACTTTGTGCGCGGTCTCATTTAGCATCGCGGGGAGCCGGTGCTCTGGGACGCCCGAGATTTTCTGCTGTGAAGGGGGGTCGAGCATGTTTCGGATTGCGTCGAAAACAAAGGCGGCGTGATCCAAAGCCTCGTGAGACGGAGCTTGTTACCATCAACACGAGATGAAAATAAAAATCAGCGAACACGAAAAAGAAAAAACACCGAGTTGAACAAAAACACACCCACAATCATTAGATGATACAGTCGGGTCCGGCCTAGACAATGTTCAAAAACGGTAACGGAATAAACTGAGAAAGCTTACTTAATTGCACATTACTGGAAAAGCAAGCTTCGTTGCTCTGTCGTATGCTGCCCGAAAGATATGCGCTACGGCCGAAATTCCCTGCTCGGCAGCTTTTCTCGCTCTGCTTTTCGGGCGTTTGTGCTCTTTTTCGACCTCTGTGTGGACCCTTCTCAAACTAGTTCGTGAACTGGGGCAGTTCTCGTCTCGAGCCGATTCACATACTAATCTTCACAGAAACAATATCGCGGCCGGCCGCAAAACCAGAAGGGAATCTCGAATCTGAAGGACTTGCGCTACAGGAGCAGATTGCACAAGCTCAATAGAGCCAACATCGCACTCGGAACATAAGAAAACTAGCGAGCAATCTTCTCGACGGCCGATATTCCTTACCTGCGGGAAGCCAAAGAGAAGAGCCTGCGCTTTGTGCTCTGGTGGGGCGTTTTTGTATTTTATTTTTCTCTGAAGGGTAATGCGCGGCTTTTTTGTTGCATATTCATACGGCCAAGTCACAGTCGCAGAAGAACGTGCGAGGTAGAAGAAAATTTTGCGCAAGCAAAAAAAATCGCAACACTTTCGTTCCCGCCACACGATCACACGAAAAAAATGAAAACAGTGCGCCTCGATGCGTGTGAGGGCGGCGTGGTCGCTTGACGTGCAGCGAAGATCGGAACAGAAATCTAGCCAAATTTTGGAAATTCGCGATACTTCTGCGTTGCAAAATGACATAGAAAAAACCGAAAAAACTGCGCCTCGCGTTTGAGGGCGGCTTGCCAGCTCGGCGACGGCAGAGACCGGAAAAGAAATTTTGCAAAATTTCGAAAATTGGCGATACTTGCCCGCCGTAAAATAAACCGAAAAAAATGAAAAAGCTGCGCTTCGCGTTGGAGTACAGCTTGGCAGCTCGAAGCGCGGTAGAGGCCTCATATATAAAAAATTCGGGCAAGTTTTTTGAGTTTCGCCATACTTTGAAGAAGAAGACGACACGAAAAATAAAATAAAGAGCCCTCACCTCGCCATTGGCGGCAGATTGGTAGCTTGACATGCGGCGAAGACCGGATAATACAAACTGAAGCAGGCGGCACCATCTGCTTGTTTGTGTTGCGGTGGAAATTCCGACGCCCTATGGATGAACACTGGGATCCTCCAAACAACCTGCACAGACACCGAGAGATATAAAGGCACAACAAAGAGCCTAAAAGTGCTGAATCGCGAACATGCCCTACTTCTCTCTCTTACAACTCATGAACGTACTGGCAACTACGCAGACTCACTCTTCTCTCAATTTGAGCCTGAGGCCGCTTGGAAGCAGATTTTTTGACAGAACTCATGTCGACACTCACATTGTCTCTCAATCTAGTGTTGTCGACGGGATTCTGGTGCATAGAAAGCACAATATATCTCGAACACGAATGTGTGAAGAACTTCGCTCCGACACCGGACAACCCATGATCTGTAGGAAATAGGAAATACTGAGAATGTTTTGTACTCATCATCAATTGCAATAATATGTGGTCGCTTGTTGGTTAATAGTACAGGTTTTTTTTACCAGTGGCGCGCCTTGTTCACTTCGCCTTGGTGCATTGACAAAATTCATAATTTTTCTCCATGTCGTTTTGTGAATAGGCACCAGCATGCGTGTTGCTATCACGGAGTCGTGGATCATCAAGCTCACACATGATTCGATCCATGGTACGACGGATTGACGTACAAATGAGGTGAAGTTTTATCATGCGTTGATGCTGATACATGTTCATGATCATGATGAAATAGACTTAGGTGCAATAAATTATAAACGGTGCGTCAGCAGATCATATACTATCACAAAGAACTTCTCTACGTAGCAAAAAATCCGGCACGACCAGAAAAGAACTCGATAGCACAACTACTTCTAACCGCTATCAGTATAGCGTCCTCGAGTTCCAGGCCAAAAACGATATCGCCAGAAAGTACATCAGAAAGCAGTAAAAGAACAGCATCAGTGTCGAAAAGTACCAACTGAACCATATGACCTGCTCAAACGTTACAATCTCAAACGTTACAATAGAATCTGGGATTTGTCTTGCATGATCAACATGACAGACTCGGACAGCGTTCCACTTTCTGCAATACAAATTTCGCCAGATTGTAGTGGGGTTTGGGGCTCCGGAACTTGTCATGCGCAATCCTACAAGAGTTTGCTAGATCATGCAACTTTGCATCACAGATTTCCATATTCTATTGTAACAGTTGACATTGTAACAGCTGAGCGCGTTATAAACCACCACGCCTCGGCATCGGCGGCGGCAATGTCCATGCGGGCCCACCACGTATCCCTTGCTGTGACAAAAGTGGCGTAGTTCGTGACCGCCCGATCTTCGGAAACCGACCCGGCGTTTGGCGGTGGGTTGATACTCGCGAACCCAACCGACGGGTTGTTCAAAGTTCGGTCGTTGAGGATTTCCGTTGCCACCGAATCGTTGGTCGTGATGTACGCCATCACCTTCAAGCCGAACGTGCTGGGCGTGATGTAGGCAAACCAGGAGATCCAGGACGGCATCTCCCGGACGGGCCGGAAAGACCCGGAAAAGCAGGTGGGCAGGGTGGAAAGGAGCAGCGGCGCCATCATCAACGCCCGATCCGGCGCTTTCGCGTTGGCCGTGGAGAGCAAGACGCCGATCCCCGACCCGCTGATCCCGAGCAACAGGGCGATGGCCACCCACGCGAACCAGTTGCAGGGGAGCCCCCAGGCGACGTAGGGGATGGTCATGACAATGATGGTTTGGAGGGTGATCAACACCAATTCCACCACGAGTTTCGCGACCATGTAGGCGGACACCTTGTACAGGTTACTGTGGTACTCGCGGAGAAACACCGGCCGCTCCTGCGGCACGGCTAGGGAGAGAGCGCTCGACCCGGACATCAACACCACCCAGGCCGTGAAACCGGCGGCGCCGTAGATGTCGATGATTTTCGCGGTGTATTTCATAACGAGAAACTTCGCGGTCCACGACTGCTCCGGCGTCATTTGGCCGGACTGGATCATCTATCCTGTGCAAAAGTATCGCACTCGTAGTAATCGCAATCATGCATTACAAATCTCCCTCTTAACCGAAATCCGCATCACAAATTCCATTTTTCATGCTGAGGGAATTTGTCATGTGATTTATGCTAGTAGTACGATGCTTTTGCATTGCATATCATCTCCAGGGTGATGGGCGTCATCGTGCTGCTGTCGTAGAACGCGGTCCCGTCGTTCTCGCTGCCGTCAACCAGCTGTCGACCTAGGTTGAGAAAGGACAAGGAGTAGAATAGAATCTGCAGGGTCGGAATCACGAAACGGAACAACAGGCCGAAGGGGTCCCGGTGGCGGTGTACCGTTTCGCGGTGAAGTAGCAAGCACAACTGCGAGCAAAAGCCCTGAAATTGTGCGGTCTCCAGCTCCATTTCGTTTGTGACCGGAATTTCTTGCAAGTACTTCGTGTGTTATGAGAGTGCACAACTCCCCCACCCACTCATTTGTGTTGCATGAAGAGCAACACAAGCGCTGGCAAAGATGTAGCTTTTGCGTGGCAAATTCCTAGAGGATTGTAGTGCTGTTTTGGATTCCGGAGTCTGTGATGCAAACAGTGCTAACAGGCAAAGCGTGGACTTGCAATTTTGCATGACAAATGAGGGGGAGGGGGAGTTGTGCACTCTCATATGTGTTTCGTTTGGTCCAGAAACTTCCTTTTCAAAGCGTTCGGCGCGACCCCGAGGGAGTATCAAATGTAAAAATGTCTGGGTCTGGAAGAACGCAACTTGTAATGCATATTTCAGAACACAGAAAAGTCTCTCATGCATACGTAGCAAAAGCTGCCCATTTTCTCTCAGCAAAATAGGGGATTTGTGATGCGGATTCGGCATTGCGGAAGCTTTTCGAAACCTGTGATGCTAGAGCTTTCATGCCAGGCCTTCCGTGTCATGCAAAAACAGCATGACTCTTCCAGACCCAGACATTTTTACATTTGATAGGGAGGGCCACAGGACAATGTCTCTCGCCGCGACCCGACTGTCGTTCACGGGTTTTTTCGGATTGAAATTGTCGTTCCGCAGACTAGTGTTGGATATGCATTGCAAAAGTATTGTACTAGTAGAAATAGCAAGACAAATAATGCCAAGAAGAGAAGTAGAATTTGTAATGCTGATTTGCCTAAGATCGGAGATTTGTCATGCGTCACTGCAATTACTACGAGTACGATACTTTTGCAGTGGATATTGGACTCCTGTTTGTTTTTTGAATCGATCTCCTCGACTTCCTCCTCATCCTCTTCCCGAAAGGTGATATCAAATGTAAAAGTGTCTGGGTCTGGAAACTTGTGATGCTGGGTGGCGTCTCATGATGAGGCTACAGATGCTGGCTCAGCATCACAAGTTTCTGAGCTCCTAGGTGTTGCCTATTCTGCATGACAAACTGCGCTTCTGCATCACAGAAAGACGGAGCTCTTGGGTAACGTGCATGACAGATTTAAGAGTCATGCCAGACAAGCATGACAAACATGAATTCTCTCAGGAGACCCTGACATTTTTACAGTTGATAGGTGAAGAGACCGTCCAAGGTCGGCTTCGCCGTGTTTGCTCCAAAGCCGCCCGTGGTTGTGTTGTTCGCTGAGGATGAATTTTGCGCTGTTCTCCTGGATGCAGTGTTATTATTCCCGAAGGAGCTGCCCCCAACTCCGGCGCGCATAGAGCCCATCGTGTTTTGGTGCTTTTTCCAGGAAAAGCTCGACCTCCGGTCCATCGAGACCACGTTTACCACGAGGTACTCGTTCTGCGTTTTATCGATGCTGTAATCCAAGAGTGGCACCCGGGGGGTCACATACCCGGGGTTCAGAATTTCGTACGCGCGGGCCGTTTGCTCTATGGAAGCGTCAGGTTTGAAATCGTCAAAGTTGAAATAATTTGTAATGCTAAACCGACCGAAACCACTACACAACCTGTAATGCATAAAATGCATGACCCGAGGTACGTGTGTTGCAGAGCAGGCAAGTGAGGCCGATTGTCAGCCTGTTTGGGGTTACAGATCGAGCTGCTAAAGTAGCATGAGAAAATCGCTCTTCTTTGCCTAAACAGCATGACAAACTGGATTTAAGGACCACCGAAATTTGTCATGCGCCACTTGGAAACTGGGTTCCAACTGGCATCCATTTTATGCATGGCAAATTATTTCAACTCTGTCGATTTCAACTCTGACACATCCATATGCTCGATGATCTCCCTAATCTCCGCCTCGTCGAGCGACTTATCAAATGCAAAAATGTCTGGGTCTGGAAACTTGTGATGCAAGTCAGGGAGCAATGCAAACACTGTAATGCACTGCCAGGCATGACAAGTTTTTCCGTGTTTCTGAGTTGCGTACTCCGCATGAGAAATTTCGTTTTTGCATGACAGAGAAGGGAAGGGCTTTGGGGCCACGCAATACAGAGCTCAGAGTCATGCGAGACTCGCATGACAAATCTCGCAACCTCCAGACCCAGACACTTTTGCATTTGATACGACTGCGCCAGGTGCAACAGCCAATCGGCGAGATTGAACTGCACCGGCTTTGGGCGGGCGCAGATCAACGCGAGGAACCCCGGGATTGTGAAGATCGGGATCATTTTCTCATTTTTGTACTCCTGCTGCTGCACCATGGCAAAGGGGACCCCGGTTTGCTGGTCGTCCTGCTGCGCCGTCTGGGCCATCACCTCTTCCAGCTTCTGGTCGAATTGCTGTAGCAAATCTTGTTTTGGCGAAATTGACGGGGACGAGCCATTCGTCTTGGGATTTTGAATTTGATTCGCTTGTTGCAGCCCTGGTCTGTACCCGAAGGCAGTTGTTTGCCCGTCTGTCGCTGCAGTCGCAGAGTTTGTCAACAGCAGCTCCTGATCTCTATTTGGGTTATTTGTCATCGTATTCGCAGCACTTCCCGCCCCAACTGTGGGATACAAATACGCCTCGCCGCCGAATTGCGTCAAGATTGCTTCTGCGGTTTTCCCGTTGTAGCCCGAGAAAAGGATTTCCCCGTCCCGCATGCAAATGACGCGGTCGAATTGGTCGAAGAGTTCGCTGGACGGCTGGTGAATGGTGCAACAGATGATTGCCCGTTCCGATTCCGCGATCTTTTTCAGCTCTTGCATCAGCTCGAGGGACGAAAAGGAATCCAGTCCAGACGTGGGTTCGTCCAGAAACAGCACGGACGGCTTGTTCAACAGTTCAATCGCGGCGGACACCCGCTTTTTCTGCCCGCCGGAGATCCCTTTCGTCAACGCATCCCCGATCGGGACGTTTTTCACGTGGTTTAGGGATAACGTGTCCATCACGTGCGCCACCGACTTTTTCATTTGGTCCTCGGTGGTGGTGGTTGGGAGCTTGAGTTTCGCAGAAAATTCCAGGGTTTCCTCCACCGTTTGCGACCCCAACAGCGCGTCTTGCTGCATCACATACGCGATCGAAGACTTCAGATCCTCGAAGCTGACCTCCTTCCCGCCGTACCGAATTTCCCCCGTCAGCTCCACCCCGTTCCCCTTCCACGCCTGCCGCCCGGCGAGCAGATTCATCAACGTGGACTTCCCGGCCCCGCTCGGCCCGATCAGCGCACAGACCTCGCCCGGATAGAGCTTGCCGTAGCAGTTGGTCAAAATGTTTTTCCTCTTCGGCTTCGCACCAACCGTGAAGGTCAAATTCCGCCACTCCAGGCACAGCTGCTGCTGCTCGAGCAATTCGTCACTGTCATGCAGATCCTTGTCTTGTTGCGCCAACAGTTGCATATTCGCCATCGGACTGTTGTTGTTTTGGAGGTTTTGGCCGAAGTTATTATTTCCTCCCCCGCCTGCATTTGTCAACATGTCCCCGACGCAGAAGGAATGTCTGGGGCTCAGTTTCACCCTATCCTGCACCATCGCCCGCAGTTGCGCCCGCTCGACGGCAGTCAAAGTCTGCGCTCTCCTTTCTCCAGCCTCCCTCTGCACCTCCTGCAGCGCGTCTATGTCGTGCATATTGGTCGTGATAGCAGTTGTAGTTCCCGCGTTCGGCGAGTTGTAGCCGTTGGAAGTAGAATTGGTGCGGGTGAGAAGGTGAAACCCCGTGGTGGCGGGGCTGGGATCGGACTTCGGGTGCTGGTAGGGAGAGGGGGACTGGGGAGAGGTCGTCGTGTTTTTGATTTCTCCTCCTGCAAGAAGTGCTCCGGTACTTGTACCACCGTCGTTTAGCTGCACATGCTTACTCTGCTTCCTGTTTCTTGCGTTTAAGGACCGGGATTTTACCAGGAGGCCACGCTCGAGGAGGTCCGACTCCTCCGTATACGAGTTCATTTCGGGGTAGTTGTCGTGCGACATTTTGTGTCGTAATACTGTTTGGACTTCAATATGCGAATTCTAAACTGAAACTGATGTGCTAATTCCAATCCGGGTAGTACTACTCCACCTTTAGTCTCTTACTTTTTGTCGTCGGAAGAAAAATATCAGTTGATATGAGTTGTGCAAATACAAAGGTAAAAGGTAACTTTCTGCGCAAGCGCAGTCGGTATCTTCGCGTCTAGTAGAGGCATGAGATGCAATTATTTGTTGCTGTTGCTGTATGTTGGGATGTCGATTCAAGTGTCTTGCTCTTGCATTTGCACCACTGCAGTGCATGAGCTGCGATGTGGTACACTGATGAATACAGGAGTTCTTCAGATCTTCAGAAGATAATGCTTACAACACCGTGGTGATGCAGCTATCGAACGAGTTTGAGATCGTTCTCGTTTTGTTTACTTCGACAGTAAAAATGTTGTTGGAACGAGATGGAAATCCATCCACCTTACTTCAGCAGCCGCAAACTCAGCATCCTCGGTAGAAACTGGGTGGTCAGATACTGATCGAGGAGAACTACAGAGGTGGCAGATCTTTTTCCGTACATAACCGACTTCTACCATTCACGTTCTCGTTCTGGTGGAGAAAACCGAGGGAAGATGCAAAAAGAACCGAGATCGAGCAGCCACTTGGGTCATGAAACTCACAGGAGGCCACCAGCTCTTCACACTCATATTACATTCTCTGCGAGATCTATCAACATTAGAGCAATCTGGCTTCATCACCTACAACATCGCGGTCTTTTATTCTCATGAACATGTTACGGTCATTTGCCTGTCATGAACAACATACCACTTCCACTCATTAATACTGCTCATGATGCTACATCTATTGGGTCAACACGACCACACTATCCTTCTTTACTGTGGCGCTAAGCAGATGTCCGCTGCGTGTCTGAAGAATCATGCGTTAATTGTGCGAGTGCGTTAAAGAGGTGAATCAGAAATCAAGCATCAATTTGCTTTGCTCGAGAAACAGATTTGCATGGATGCCAAAAAAGACATCTGCAAATCCTGCCCTGGGCGGCGAGTTTTTCTTCTCGATGATTTTTGCTTCTTTGTGGCAACTTCTTCTTTGCCTGAATGTTCCTGACCTTTTGCTTTGTTCCTGCTTCTTATTCTTTGATGAAAAAAATTGTCGCGTCGACTATGTCCTCGTGTGTAGAAGGTCCAAAGATAAAGCTCTAGCAGGCGGCTTGAGACAACATACAGCTACTTTCAGTTTGACTGTGCAAAACCGAAAGTAGAGGAAGTCGATGTCCAAAGAGCTGCATGTAGAAGTGATGACTTCCGTGCTAGCATTGTCTTTGCCGCAACAAGCAAAAAAAGCGTAAAAAGAGATGATGATGAAATCAACATGCTATGTTGTTTTTTTTTTTTCTGCATGCTCGTGGTGTAAGAAGACTTCTGGTTCTTGTGATGTACAGTTTTCATTTTAGTCTTCTCCATTCTAGCCGTATGTTGTAATCATCTGTTGAACAAGACTTTTGAGTCGATTGCAGGCCGCCTTCGAGAGCTGCATCATGTCCTGAGTTTTGCAAAAAAAGAAGAAATGTAAAGTCCGAAAGAAACTTCTGAAACAGCTCTTGATCATGGTTGGTCTTCTTGACGCAACATCCTCCTCTTCTTCATCCTCACACTGCATACTTCAAGTTCAACCAAGATTCTTTATTTTAGAAGTACGCCACATCCTTTTTCAAATCAAAGCCCAGCGCTTCCAGGTTTTTCTTGCAGGCAAATTCCACCATGGGCGGGGGGCCGCAGAGCAGAAACACCGGACTTTCCTCCTTCTTCGGCAGCAGTTTTGAAATCATCTCTTTCGTGATGAACCCCTTTTCGCCCGCCCACTTCTCCGGCGGAAAGTCGAGGGTGAAGTTGACGGAGATTTTTCCCTTCGACTGCTTTTCCAGATCTAGCAAAAGATCCTTGACGAGGATGTCGGACTCCGTCTTATTGGCGTAGAGCAGGGAAAATTTCGTGTCATCCTTGGGATCCCGGCAGGCCGCCTGGAGGATCTGCAACATGGGCGTGATCCCGGATCCACCGGCCATCATGCCGACAGACTTGTGCTTTCGGGTACCTGGGTAGTAGAAGATTTTTACACAGATTTCGTTTGTACCAGCAGCGATCACTTTTTTTGGACTTTCGTCTAAGATTTTTTTCGCAAAATTAAATACGACATTTTTATTTTAGTACCATCAGCGAATGCAAATCAACATCATGTCCAGAAGAACTACGGCTTGCGACGGTGAAAGAAGTAAAGAAAATGTGGCATCAGGCCATGGTAAAGTACTAGAAGATCAAGGTGAAAAATCGAATCATCCAAAGAAGCAACTACGGCTCTCGAAATAGAAAATCTCCGAGAATCTCTATTTGAAATAGAGATTCTCGGAGGAAAATAGAAATTCTCCATGAGAAATAGAATCGCTGTCCTCTTTTTTCTTTCTTTTTCTTTCTTTTTTTTCTTTTACTGTTTCACTGTTTTCCCACGTGTTTTTCTTATATTTCAGCAGCTTCTCCACCAGTGGCGAAGCCGAAATAGAGATTCTCCATCTGAGATAGAGATTCTCTATCTCAGATGGAGATTCTCTATCTGAGATGGCTGCCAGGCTTTGCTAGGTTGCGCCTCGCTAGGCCAGCAGCCCTAGCAAGCCAGGCCGTGCTAGGCTAGGCTGGCAGCCCTAGCAACTAGCCTAGGCTGGCAGCCCAGCAGGCCAGGCTCTGCTAGGTAAGGCTGGCAGCCCACCAGCAGGCCAGGCTTTCGCTTTCTTTGTTGGGCAGCCCAGCAAGATCGGCGCTTGTTGCTCGGCAGCCACGCCGGCCAGGCTTTCTTTGCTAATGCTAGGCAGCCCAGCAAGCCAGGCTTCGCTAGGCAGCCCCGGCAGGCTAGAGGTAGCCCAATCATGCTAGGGGCAGCCTGCCCAGGAAGGCTACCGGCAGGCCAGGCCGTCTAGCGGCAGCCCCCCCCCCGCAGACGGGCAAGGTAGAGGCAGCCCGAGCAGGCTAGAGGCAGCCCCGCTTGCCAGGCGAGCAAGCAAGCGCGCTAGGCAGAGTAGGCTGGCAGCTCGTCCCCGCAGGCCCGGCCACTGCGCGCGCCAAAAAGTTTTGCTATCGGGCGGGCTCCCAGCCACCAAAACACGGGCGGGGCGCATGTCTTCCGGCCAATGGACATTCCATCACCCCCACGCGCACCCCCACACACAAAAAACTTCGCGGTGCCGCGCACCATCGAAAAGGTGCGATCCCGTTCCCATTCCCACCCACGCACCGCCCACGGCCCTGGGATGGTGCGCGAGAAAGGGAGGGGGCGGCCGCCCTGCCCAAAAGGAGCAAGAAGCGCCCGCGCCCAGTGCGCGAGTTTTTCTTTCCATTCCCATCACGGCGCCAGACGCAACACGCGGGCGAGAAGGGGCGCGCGGCCACCGCCGCAAGACAATCTTTGTGACGCACGCCCACACCGACTAGATCTGGCGCGCGATACCGTAGGGGCGCGCGGCGCTCCTCGAAAATCTTTGCTAGACCCACTTAGCGCGCGGCCCCCAACCCACGGCGCCAGACTCGGCACGCGAGAACGCCCGCGCGCCTGCCCGAAAGAAGGCCCACGCGCGCAGCGCGCGAAATTTTTTTTGGCCCCCAAAACGCCCGCCGCCACCTAGGTGTGGCGCGCGGAAAAAGGGGGCACTACCTAGAGAAAAAGCTCAGGCGGGCGGAGCGCGAGAACTTTTTTTTTCATTCCCGCGACCAACGCCGAGAAGCGCGGCGAATGAAAAAGAGCGCGCGCCGCCTGCTCCAACAAACAGACCCCAGACGCGCAGCGAGAGAGAATTTACGCCATTCCATCCATTCTTTCCAATCACGACACTCACACGGCCACAACCCGCGCGAGGGAATTTAACCCATTCCCCCCGCAGCACGCGCGCACGACCGCAACGCGCGAGAGCTTTTTTTGTTCCCCAACAAATGCGCCGCCATGAATTCGATCGCAGATCGGCGCCAAGGGAGCGCGGAGAACGGGCGGCGGGGGTGCGCGGCCGCTCAGAGAAAAAGGCCCGCGCGCGCGCAGCGTGCGAAAATTTTTGGAATTCGCTTCCACATCGGCACCAAGCGCGCCGCGCGGGCGACGGGGGCGCGCGGCCGCTCGGAGAAAAAAACTCGCGCGCGCGCAGCGCGCGAAAATTTTTTGAACTCGGCGCCACGTCGCCACCGTGCGTGGCGCGCGAGCGACGGGGATGCGCGGCCACCCAGAGAAAGAAAATTCGCGCGCGCGCAGCGCGCAAATTTTTTTTTGCTTCGATCCCACATCGCCACCAGGCGCGGAGCGCGGGCGGCGCGTTGAAAAACTCGCGCGCGCGCAGCGCGCGAAAGTTTTTGACTCTCGACACCACATCGCCACCATGCGCGGCGCGCGGGCGACGGGGGTGCGCGGCCGCTCAGAGAAAAAAACACGCTGGGAAAATTTTGTGAATTCGATTCCGCTTCGCCGCCAAGCGTGGCGCGAGGACGACGGGGGTGCGCGGCCACTCAGGCGAAAAAACTCGCGCGCGCGCAGCGCGCGAAAATTTTTGGAATTCGACTCCACACCGCCACCAAGCGCGGCACGCTGACGACGGGAGCGAGTGCCCGGCCGCTCAGGGAAAAAAAACTTGCGCGCGCGCAGCGCGCGAAATTTTTTTGAATTCGATCCCACATCGCCAGCAAGAGCGGCGCGCGGGGGGGCGGGCGACGGGAGTGCCCGGCCGCTCAGAGAAGAAAACTCGCGCGCGCGCTGCCCGTGAATATTTTTTGAATTTTTTGAATTCGATCCCAAATCGCCACCCAGCGCGGCTCGCCGCCCAAAAAAAACGCAAACGCGAACGGAGCGAGCGAAGTCTGTTGGCTTCTTTTCTTTCCCAGCCTAGGCGTGGCTCCCGCGAAAAGGACTGCGTGGCCGCCCAAAAGAAAATCGATCCTCGTGCGCAGGCAGCGCGCGAAATTTCCATGCCCACGCGCCTGGCACGGCACTTGGGCGCCGCGCTGCCGTGAAGGAGCGCGCGCCTCCCCACGCGCTCAAAAGACAAAGCCCGCACGCGCAGCGGAGGTCAGGTTCATTCATTTCGATCAATACGCCTGGCAAGGTGCGCGTGAAGCAATGCGTGCCCGCACGCAAAAAAATAAAAAGCTCGCGCGTGCGCAACGCGCGAAAAATTAACCATTCAAACCACCCCACGCACTGCGTGTGCCGCGCGGGCAAGGGGGAGTGTGCGGCCGCTAATGAAAAACAAAAGCGCGCGCGCAAATTTATATTTTTCGATACCAGCACGCCGCAAGATGACGCGCGCGGGCCGGCGAAAAGGGGCGCCCGGCTGCTTACAAGAAAAAGCCAGCGCGCACGCAGCGCGCAGAAATTTTTTTCATTTCCGTCACGCCAGATGCCGCGCATAGGCGGGCAAAAGCACCCGGCCGCTCAAAAAGAAGCCCACGCGCGCACAATCTGCGGGAATATTCTTTATTTCCCCTACGCCGGCCGCCAGGTCGGTGCGGCATTATTCTTTCTTTCCCCACAACTGACTGCGGGCAAAAAAAGAATGAAAAAGCTGAACCCCCAGAGGCCGGAACATGCACAGAAACTTGTTTCCCCGTCCATGGGCACGGAATAAGAAGAGCACTTTGCAAAAGTCAAGCGAGAGGCGAACATCTCGCAGCCGCAACGTAGAGGCCCCGCGTTTACTTCCCCAAGGGTCGGACCGTCACACTTGGGCTTTTGCGCCAGAGGAAGGCCAACAGCTTTTGCGCCAGGCAAAGGCGAAGATCAAACGCAATCGAAGACAAATCGGGGGCCGATAGATTCGACGCGGGAGATTCTCTATAGGGAGAATCTCTATTGGGCGTCGGGAGAATTTCTATAATATTTTTTTTTTCTAGACATAACTACATCCGTGCAAAAATAAAATACCAGAGATTCCCGGCAGCTTGAATTCCCCCTTGCCCAGGTAGTTCAGCAGCCCGAAGGGTCCGTCGATGGTGACGTAGTCGCCGACCTTCTTCTTGTCCAAAAAACACCCACTCATTTTTCCGCCGTCGGCCCAGTCCATTACCCGGCCGTCCGGCATGGTTACCTTGCCCGGTCGGTACATTTTTATCACAAGGTCCACGTATATCCTGAGTAGAAACGTACCCACACCAGAGTTGTAATGCAGATTTGCAAAGACAGGAAGACTTGTAATGCGCATCACCATGAGAGCCATTTCTTCCCGTCCTTTTGGAATTTGTGATGCTGTAAACAGCATGAGCAGCTGGATTTGTGATGCGGCTGCACTTGCTAACCTGCACTACACTGCAGAGTGCAACTTGTCATGCGTGACTCACAAAACTCCTAGGTTTGTGTTGCAGAATCCCCATCCTGACTCTGGTGTGGGTACGTTTTTACTCAGGATAACGTAGCCCTTGACTTCATCCCCGGTCACCGGTGTGTAGGCGCGCTCGATCTGCTTCTTCGTCGCCTCGGGGTCCTCTCTATCCTGTGCAAAAGTATCGTACTCGTAGTAATCGCAATCATGCATTGCAAATCTTTATCCCAAGGCAAAATAGCATGACAAATTCCATTTGATGTTATGCGGAGCTAATTTGTATTGCAATTACTACTAGTACGATACTTTTGCAGTTCATACTCCCGCCCGTTCCAGGTCTTTTCGGATTTTGACAAAGCCGGATTCGGCGCGTACACCTGGAGATTCGTGGTTTTTGCACATTGCAAAGTAAGAACTTCTCAGCGCTGCTGCTGAAACGAATGTCTGCTCGTGGTTTGACACAAGGAATGACTGTACCTGCTTTTTTACAGAGATCGACTAATAATCTCTGGTACTAGAACAAATCCTCTGCTGCAAGAAGTCTTTATATAGTACCTTGAAGTGCTTCCCCACTGGCAGGCCGAGTCTCATGCCGCTCCTCGGAAAAGCTAGTCGAATCTGCTTGGTATCTTCGCTAACATTGACGATCTGGCTGATTTGCAGCTCCGTTTTTTTCCTCTGTAAAACCACACCGCCTCGCTGGGTCTTGAACCAGAACACAAAGGTCGCAAGGATGGCAACCGCGGCGGAAATCAGTGGTGCCAAGGAGGCCAGGTCGATGTTGGCGAGTGTAGCGGGCGGAGCCATTTTTGCGGTTTTGTGGCTTAATATATGTGATGTAGCTGAAGTGATGAAGCTCCGCTTGTGCTTGTCCTATAGATACTTTCAAATCCTTTCGCGTTGCTGTCCGACTTTTGTACAATTTAGACGTGCTGCTTCGACCACTGTTAAAGACTGTTCGTAAAAATTTGGCTGTGCGGTTTTTATGTATCTTGTTCTGCTGTAGGTGTACTTTTTATCAAACGAGCGTACAAAATTGCTTATCTGAGGTCTTTATTCTGTGTTATAGTTCGCTCTACTCTTTTATGTCACTTACTGATGTATGATGATGCTTTATAACGGTTTTGCTATGAAAAAAAACTTTGACAAAAAAAATCGTCTCTCACAATGCTGTTGTGCCGTTCCTGTTGTGCCTGAGTGAAAATATTGGAAAATTATATGCTTTTTTCGTGTGCAGAACATAACATTTTTTTCATCTAGTCCAGCTGCAATTATTTTGGAGGAAGATCGTTTATTTTTTCGGACCATTTTGTCATCAGGCTATCTTCATTTTTTGCGGTTATTTATTCTCCTTGTGTTTCATCTCTTATTTATCTAGTCTGAGTGAAGATGCCATTAAGCACAGGGCGCTTCCTGCCGTCTTTGCTACTCTCAGCAATTCAGCAAAAACGTTACATTTGGGAATAAATTGTCACCACCATATGTGGTTTGTCCAGAGGTGGGAAACGGTCCTAGGACAGAGAGACCAGTTCTTCCTGCGCACCCTCGATGGCCCAAAATTTGTATTAAAGCACGACGGACCTGCTTCTGATCCTTGAAATTTAGGGGCTTCGACGTTTCCGCTTCTCGCTCTCCCTCTCTTAATGACTTTGCCTTGGAGGTGTCGTAGAACGTTTCGTGCGTGATTATTTGTTCGTTAGATTTTGGTATTAGAGAAGGACGGCGAGGAGCTGTATCAGGAATAGAAGATCGCGATGGAAACGAGCCACCATCCTCGGAGAGAAATCCGCCCGAGATTCTCGACAAAAAAGATCGGATTGACGACGCAGAAAAAATTTCTTCGGCTTCCAATCTTTGCATCGATGTTGGCACAGCGACGTCTGATGTGCGTGCATTGGGATGGCGAAGGTGCTGTGGGCCACGTACGCCAGCGTCAACAAAGATTTCGTGCAACTTCGCGGTGAGATACATTTGCTTCCAGGCACTGCTTCTTGTCGTTTGGCCCCAGTGGTTTCGCCAAGTCGATACGAACTGCGACGCAAATAAATGCAGCGACCATAATGCACGTGAATAATCGGCGAGCGACAGCACGATGACAAGACGGTCGAGGGAAATTCGGATTCCATCCTTAGCTGGTTCCCCTGAACTACTTACAGCTGCTGTAGAACTACGACTGCTCGTGCTCCTGGAAAGTAGCGCACTTTCTTCTCGATAATACTGGTACAGAGCGGCTAGCTTCTGCTCCGCAGGCCGCTGCCTCCGTCGGAGCGCTTGCTCGCATTCGTGCAGAACAACGAGAATTTCTTCGACCTTTTTTCCATTTGGGACCTGGGGCTTTTGTAAACTGGAACACACTTCTTGAGAAGCAGGTATCATTCCAGAACAACTCGACACCAAAGCAGCACGGCTCAGAAGTCCCGGTTTCTTCAGAAGTTGTCCAGCCGCCACTGCAGTTTTCTTTCCTGTGCCTCTGCGCAGCTTCGCAACTGCGTCTGGTAACGACCGCCACACTGCTTGTGCATTTCCCGTGCCAATCTCAAGGCTACCAGACCCCGATCGTGAAGGTCCCCTGACCTGCAGCAGCCTCCGATCCCATTCTTTCCCGAGCCAGGCTCTCGGCACCACCGCGAGCACTCGACTCTCGGCGTGCTTGGACAGTCCAGATCGGAAGGTTTGTTTGAGCAACAGGCTTGTGATTTTCTTGGCCAGCCGCTCGTTAACGTCTAACGGAAGCAGCGAGAGCTTGTGGAGAAAAAGCAGGGGGTCGATGGAGGATGAGCTGCAGGAGAGGGGAGATCTGCTATTTGATGTTGACATCGTCAGCTGCAGCAGAAACCGTGATAGGAGGTTATTCAACACCTCGGTTCTCAGGGGAAAATTGGTTCTGTTATGAACGACGGCGCTGTTCTTGGATCCCCTGTTGGTCGCAACTTTTGTGTCCTCCAGTAATTTCGTATGTACCACCAAATCGTACACGTCGGTAGCGCTCAGCTGCTCCGTTTTGTTCGGAAACTGGCTCAGTCCACCAAATTCTTCATCGTGATGGCCAGGCGATGATCCCGTCGTTGTGCTGCCAAACAACTCCAGCACTCCCCTCTCCATTTTTAAATCGCGGATCCGCACAGTGTCCTGGTGCAAGTGCTTCAGAATTTTCACGATGGACCCAGCGGGAAACGCCGGGAGGCACTCTCGAAGGCGATAGGTCAGACAACGCCAGGCGAGCACGGTTTCGCGATTTCTGTTCTGGAGTGAAGAAACGCGAGACGAATAAAAACTCGCATGGCTGTGCCGTCCATCCTCCGCTTCTGTGCCTCCTGCTGGTGCTGCGAGGTGACAAGTAGAGAAGTAGCTTCCCTGTGTCACCAGAACCAGCCCGTAACTTGACCACAGCATGTCCCAGTTTTGTCTTAGAAGGGTGGACAAACATTCCTGCAGTTCTGGCGTGTGGAGCATGTTTAGCGAACGGCAAGCGTCGATCAGGTAGCCAATGTCTTGTCCGGAGAAAAGCTTGGATGAAGGGGAGTGTGAATCAGACTCAGAGCTGCAGCCAGCGGAAAGATCAGCAGCAGAGGTCGATTGTTTAGTTCCACCTCTACCCCCGCCTGACTGCTCCAGCACAGTCTGCGTCGTGATCTGCACAATATTCCGCATGCTGGCCAGTAGTCCCGGATCACAAAGCTTCTCGGCCAGTTTTGAAAAAGTGCCGCAGATTCCGCAGAGGTGCTTCGGTTGCAGTTCCAGTAGATGCGGTCCTGCCGTCCTGGCGGCGGAGGACGGTCGGGCTGTGAATATCATGGAGGTGGGAGCTACGTCACCTAGAGCTTGTTCTACGGAGGACGAAGAGGGGGCTCTTAAGGCTCCTGCGGCTTTTATTCCATCATGGTCAAAAATAAAGCTACCATCATTCATCTCTTCTTGTCGAGCGCCACCATTTCCATTTCTCGCACCCGCTCGTGCCACAACATAATTTTCGACACTGTTCACAAGCGCGGAAACTGTCTGCGCAAACCCGGGAAGCTCGAAGCTGTAACTTCGCATCTTGACAATGGACACGAACGAGACATAGACCGCAGCACTGTCTAGCTTTGTCCTCGTCGCATGTCTCTTGCTAGAAGTGGATGTCACCTGATTTGGTGTTGCAATCTGAACCTCCGCCGCACACAAAACATGCTTCTGCAACTGTTTCCAGGCGTACAGCACGGAGTTTGGAAGTTTCACACAAGAATCATTTGTCGTGCTGACACTACTTGACGAAGCGGCGCGTTGCGGAAGGATCTCGGTCGACGACAAAAGCTGTGCCAGTTTCGAAAATTCCTTGTTGCCGTAACTATGGCGGTCATCGGGGTGATGTTCATAGTCACCTCTTTTTGTCGTGCTCTCGATCGAAGGCAACTGCGCGTCGGCTGACTGCACGGCGAGATGATCGAAGCAGCTCTCGGTCTCCTGGAGTCGTTTTCGTTGGCTCATCTCCTGGTCGGCTTCACCATTATTCGCAATATTAACCTTGTTCATCTGCGAACTGCATGCTAGCGCGTCCTCTGCTGATTTCCCTGACAAGACCGGTCCCCCTAGCAGCTGCGGCTCCGTTTCGACGGATTGTTCGACTTGATTTGCTGCATCTGCGATGTTGCAGTTTGGGAGGCGGGGAGGCTTTTCGAAGTATGAATCGGCACCAAGAATCGACGTAGATGCTGGTGGTAGCTGCAGGAGCATCGGTCCATGCCGTTTTTCCCGCTTCTCCAATTCCGTGCCGACGTGCAGCAATTTGCGAAACTTTTTGTACTTTGGGTCCAGTCGGGAGAGTTTCTGCGGCCCATCCACCGAAGCAAACGGAGACTCCGGCTCGAAGAACTTAGAGTTCTTCTTGTTTGTGAAACTATTCCTCGGCTTTTTGCTCCCATTTGGTCCATCTCGTGGTCTGCCGGTGTTTGTTGATATCCGTAATTCCGTCGAAGAACTACATTGAGAAAAAATATCATCAAACGGTATCTCCTCGTGCCGCACTACAACTGGTCCCGATCGAAATAGCTGAACCCCACGAGCGGGATCGGAGGTGGAGGAGGACGCTGAAGACGACACAACGCCTGATAGACCACGGGCGGCTGTGCGTCTCGAAATGCCCGCAGGACGAGCACTGCACGAAGATGACGTCGGCGGGCACGCGTGGGACCCGCTTCTCTTGAGCAGCATCTTTTGTTTTTCTAGATTCAAAATGAGGCAGGATTTTTTTTCTGAGTTCGTCCTTCGGTTGCGCTGTTTATCTACCCACAGTATCTTCAAGTTGCGCACGAGGGCTAGATCATGTACTTAAGGAGTTTTCTTCAAGCTCCAAACCAACAATCGGCGAACACAAGAAAAAAATAAAGCGCCTCGTCCTCTTTCTCCAGCTAAGCAATCGGGGTAGCCAGCATGTTGACGGCACCGGCACGGGTTTCACGAATGTGGTTGGTAATCGTACAAAATGCGTCTCATCCTCGCCGCTTAAGTGGATATGTAGTTATTGCTGCTGTTTGCTATCGATATCGTGCTACTTCTTCCCAAAGAGCCACATCTTGAGTCGGACTTTAATATTTTGCCGAAGAAATTAGATATTCTTGTTGGGTGTAGATGCAGTAGGTTCATCAACTCATGTCGTGTACAAAGTGTATCCATTTTCCTTTTTTTTACCGCGCCGAAAGGACATTGCCCTACTGTGTTGTGTAGCCTCTACATGATCAAATTAGCCTCTACATCATCAAATCACAACTTTTCAAGAGCAGGAGAAGGTAAGGGCTACGCATTTTCTCCGGATCAGTTGTTACACACTCTCATGCCGCAGCGTTCTTCTATGATCTGCTGTACTAGCGTATAAATGTATCTATTCATCTAGATTTAGAAGTGCTCTTCTACAGTTCAGAAACTCAGGTGCAATATTTTGGAATATACTTCTCTGCTTATAGGACGATAATTTCGGTATTTCTAATTCTAACCTAAGACTTGTCATTTCTTGATTTTATTCATTGAAAATTTCCTGCTCCTCTTGGCGCGCTGGTGCGCAACGAAGACACCAGCAGCACGCTCCATCTATCAGACCTCTGCGGGCCCCCGCATCTGTATCATTTCTGGGGGTTGTTGCAGCCGTTGTCGACGACCTGCTGTGGCCGGCTCTTGCCGACTGCGATTGCTCCCACCCGACGAGGATGCTGAAGAGCCACGGCTACTAGAAGTGGCAACTTCGTGATACACCGCACCGCGGCCCAGCTCTCGGCTCCTACTCCCAACTCCCCCTGTTCTCGCATGAGAAGCAGGGCGGGCCTGTCGACGCGAAGCAGAACTCGTGGTCCGTCCTGCGTGGTCAGCTTGGGATTGGTCAGCTCTGTCACGACTCCGCAACACAGTAGGAAAATCTTGCTCAGAATCGTGATCTGAAGATTCCGAAAGTTCCAGCTCTGGGACGTGGTAGGCACTTAAATCCAACTCTGTGAGCAACTCGTTAAATTTTGCGCGCATGGAGTCAGAGAGACGACGATCTGCTCGCCCTCTGCTGGAACAACCTTTCTTCCAGCAACACGAGTGGTTCACCATGCTCGCCGCAGTCTTCGCCTTTCGCGCCAGAAACCTGCACCCGTCGGACCAATTGTCAAAGTGCCTGGTGATGTGGCAGCCACAGTAGCAAATCATCGTGCTGTGGTGCCAGCAGGCGTTGATTGATGGTGGGATCGCCCAACAGGAATATTGGCTTCGCGGAAACAAATTCGTAACACATCCTGGACAGCACGCGCCGTACCCATGATGACAGGTCTGCTCCGCGCCGCTACAGGAAAACATACTGGTCAGCAGCCCCTGTCGATACGCATCGCACACATACGACGTTGTGAGGTCCGAGGGCAACGGCGCACCCGCTGCTAACACCGGGTAATGTGCGTGCACAAAGTGCGTACATTGGGTGTGCATAAAATTCAACTGCACTCCACCGAGGACACACAGTAACGCAGGGAAAATCCAGCCAAGAGCGACACAACTGCCGGGGGAGGGGTCCTCCCGTGTGAATAACCAGTCGCAGCCGCAGGTCTGCAAGTGCCGGTGTACTTCCTGTGTCAAACAATCCCTGCAGGAAATGTGGTCCTCGTGGTGATTCGCGAAATCTTCTTGCTCCTGCGTTGCGTTTTTTCGCTCTTCGAGATTCAAATCCTTGATATTCAGGTCGAAAAGATCCTCCTCGAGTTCGCCCCCGGTTGGTTTCCTTCTTTCCTCCCCACCTCCCGTACGTCGACCGGGTCGTCGTGTTCTCGACTCTGCAAACAAAGAACTAGGGCCCGCACCAGAACGATCTCGATCCGCTGCCACTGGTCTTTTCATGAATTCTTCATTCTTCTCCAACACGATCTTCAGAAACGCCTGCAAATCCAACTCAATCTCGTAGTTCCACACCCCAAACCCGGGTTCGTTGCACGTGGGGCAGTTCGCGCCCGTGGTTTTTGGAGGGGAGTTTCGACCAGGTGCTGGACGTGGAACCTTGTACACCTTGTTCCAAGCAACAGAAAAAGGCAAGCCGAAAACCGCCGTATCGATCGCTTTCAGGAGCTTTGCTTCCTCTACTGCGGCCTTTTCTTTCTTTATGCGCTGATTTTCTTCATCGCCTTCGACGGCTGGATGCAGTTGCTGGTCCCCGGAAGACGATGATGAGAAAGACGACTGTGCTGCACCTTCTTGTTGGCTTCTAGCGGCGGTGCCTCCAGCCGTTCGGCGGGAAGAAACTACGTTTAGGTTTATTTGCAACGACGACCTCAGCCCTGTGAATATAGAGAAAGAAGAACTGCTACTGCCGGCTCGCGCCTTCGGAGATGATGAATTTCTCGGGTTGAGGCAGGCTGTTCTCCTTACATCGTCACTGCTTTCCTCGAGAGATGAAAACCCGGTTGATACCGACCGACTTTGATGCTCTCGTCCTCGCGGACGACGTTTTTCCTTCCTGACCGCATTCCTCAACAGCCCTTGGGACACGGAGTATCTACTTTTGGACGTGCTTCCTTTCCTCCTCAACGCACTAGAAATCATACCTTGGCTCTTTTTTTCCCCTCTGAGTACCATATCCTGCAAGCAGCCCTCGTGAATCACGTGTGTGCAGTTGGGAAACCTGACAACTGACGGCTTTGTTATGTCGATGTCTCTCACTCCTTGTTCCACATCTGTATCGCAAATCGCTCCGTCCAAAGAAATCCAGGGAAAAACGTGAATGTTCACACTCGTTTGGGTTCGTTTCTGGCTGTCCTTGATCTCCAAGCGAACCATATTTACTTTCTTGGCGGTCGGCAAGGTGGTTGTTCCCATCATTCTCTGCTGCGCCGGAGCTGCCACTACACGATCTCCTGTGCGAAACATGCTCCAATCCGGCTTGGCTTCTTGCTGGCAGATCGGACACATTTCGTAGGAACCAAGCTGTTCGGGCTGTAGAGCGTGGTCTTGATCAAACCGATCGGCTGTGTCCAAGTCCCACGCTGTGAGTTCATCCGGGATCAGGGAGCCAGCACCGCCGTGGATCAGTGCCTGACCGATTGCGCCTGCGGGGTGTTGGTCAGCACTGTCGTCACGATGTTGTAGTAAAAAAGGACTTGCAGTGCTGTCCCGGCGACTGGGGACCGCGGATGCTGCTGGCGTGCTCTTGGCGAAAAAATGGAGCCAGAAGGCGCTCCGAAAGAGCAGGCAGGGGAAAAATATTTGCGGCATGGTTTTTGATATCATTGTTTTTCTTTTCTTCGAGGTGGAGTTTGTGTGCGTTGATCAGGTGCGGAAAACCAAGGCCGAACAAAGTCTAGGGAGATATTGCTGATTCGGTCACAATGAAAAATAGAAGATAAACATCTCACTAGATATTACTGCCGAGAAATCTAACCAGAGTCACTGCGGAAAACAGAAAATAACAACCATAGATCATGAACTAGAAGCCCATCAAGGAAACATCAATCAATTTTATTCTGTCGCGTTGCGTGCCCTCAATGCATCGGCTTTATGAACTATGCTTTATCAACTATCTCGACGATCATCTTTCGTCTTCCGGGCCAACGAAGTCTGTGAGAAGGACAGAAGATCTGTACTTGTTCAGATTCAGGATCTCGTTTGAGATCTGTAATTTTTTGTTTTTCATCTTCTTATGCTGACCATGGAGATCCAATGGTATTGCTTGCGTGATTCCCTCTCCAGATCCAGAGGTGCTAGCGGATTTTCGATCAGGTTTTCGGCATTCAACTTCAACACAGATCCGCATTGAATCAAGAAGGATTTGCTCTCGAGATCGAGAATGAGAACAAGTACTAGAAATAGAGCCACTGTCACGACAAGAGTGTTTTGCAGGAAACGAACACCGTCGACAACAGGGCGCGCTTTCTTTTTCAGGTCTTGACTGCCTCCGATAGAGTGGTGAAAAGTTAGTTGTTCTGCATTGAGAAAATATCGTGGGAACTGCCAAATAAATGCACCGTGGTGGGCGACCGCGACGTGGTTTTTGATAGCATCACTCACTCGAGGTGAAATGCACCTAGGTTTCATTTGTAAAAGGTAGGAAATCGATCTCTTGCGAATGGGGACGTGGGGGCATCGCGTTTTTCCCGAAAAGGAAGCATTTAGCGATAAACATATCATACAGAAGACCTCCAAGCAAAAGCAATAAAATGACTGCTATCCCCGGAAAAAGCTTTATTGATTCGGTGGGGTAAATCAAAATCTGAGTGATGAAGTAGAATCATCTCTTGTCGAACTTCTCGCTTTCCGCTACTCTCTGCGTTACTTTTGTTTCCGCTCTAGCGTTAGTGACGTCAATTTTCGCGAAGGCAAACCTGAGACGGAGAGCGAGCTTTTCGAGGTTTATACATAGTCACTCATAAGAAGAAGTCCCACTCTATCCATATCCTGCGGTCGATAAACGATTGATAAAGCCTTACGGCCCGGGCACGACGGGACTGCCAGTGGTGGCGCCGACGCCACAGGCGTTGTTTGGCTGTCCCGTGAATGGGTTTACGCCCGTGGTCGAGTTATAGTATTCTTCGGAATTCATATTTGCGTCCAGCATTTTCATCTTCTTCTTTGGCATAGGCATCCGGGCAACTACACCTCCGTACTGCGTCTGGAAAAACTGCTCATCGCGCATCACCGCTTGCAGATATTTGTGATCCCAAGCCGCTTCTAGCGAAAGCCGCTCTTTGGGATCTTTCTTCAGCATAGCAAGGATGAGATCGCGCGCGTCAGACCTGACGTCCTCCAGATAAAATGTAGGTGCTTTGTGCTTGATCTTCCGGAATGTTTCCTGAGGATTTTGGTAGCTCTCGAACGGCGCTTCTCCGTGAAGGAACTCATAGAGCAATATTCCCAAGGCCCACGTGTCCACTTCCTTGCCGTAAGATCTAGGCTCGTCCAGCATCTCTGGTGCCATGTAAGCGTCTGTCCCACAGTAAGTGGTTCTTTTTTGCAGCGGTCCGTCCAGGTGCACCGACCAACCAAAGTCGCTCAGTTTCAAAGTGTCTCGCAGGCCTAGAAGAATGTTTTCCGGTTTTATGTCACGATGGATGATGTTTTTGCAGTGGACATACTGCAAGGCAGTCACCATCTGGGAAAGATACCAGGCGGCACGGGCTTCGGAAAACCGACAACGCTTCTGCAACAACTCAAAAAGCTCACCTCCTGGGGCAGGCTCGAGTACGAGGTATATTTGATTGGTGTCGTGAAACCAGTTTATACAAGCGCAATATATGCGGGTGTCGGAGGTGAGACTGGATTTCAATTTCGTTCCGCAGACACTTCTCGAAGCCATACTTGATCAGCTGTTTCTTTTTAAGAACCTTCAATGCGCATATGTACTTGGATTGCCTCTCTCGCGCGACAAAGACCGACCCGAATTTCCCCCGTCCGAGTTTCTTCCCGATTTCAAAGTCATTTTTTTCAAACATTTGACCCTTGACAAAGGTGGCGGCCAGATCTGCGAGCGTGTGTTCATCGTCCGGCTCAGTGTCGCTTCTTCCATCGAGACCGCTACCAGGCGCCTCTGCTGTCTTTCGTCGTTTTTTGTTCAATGACTTCCTATTAGGATGCATGTCATCCCTGTTCCCGTTCGCGTGTACCTCTGCTGACTGCCACATCGATTGCATATGAAAATTTAAGTTGGAAAGGGTGGCGGTTTGAAAATATCTTCTGGCGTTCTCTTCGCGGTTGCCCTCCCACGGCGTCTGAAACGCACACAGAACGTTGTCAATCTTCAATCTTCCAGGAAATATCAAATGCAGTTGTTCCTGGGCCTGGGTGCAGCGGCTTCACGTTTGTACGCCCGGTTCCTCTCGAACTTGCTGTCGCGAGAATCAACTACAGCTGGTCCTCCTCCGTCGTCACAAAGGAAGAGCTCTCAATTTTTGATAGCGTCTGTTTAGGAGCTAAGTTTCCAGCATTCTGCGGACGGAGGGACCTGAAATGCGTCTGGCGGGAGCGTATTCGCTTTGTCGATTTATGTCGACACTTGCCGAATGAATACTGCGCCGTGAAATCCTGATCAAGGAAGGGGCCTGGACAAACAACACCAGATAGAATCCGGATGAGTGCCAACGCAAATCCACACTTGAGACCTTGTCCTTGACCGTCTTGATATCCAGAGAGTAGAAGAATTTGTGCATCGAGCGGATTTTCAGGCTGTGTCGCTTGGGGGTTGAGGTTGGAATCACTAGCCGGCTTTCTCGATCTTTTTTGGAAATTCATACTTCGAGAGAGAATGAAACATCAGAATATTAACCCGGGCATAATCGAGGCAAAATCATCATCATCATCATCATCATCATCATCTATCCTGCAGTGAAAAAACGAAAGAAGAATTATACAAATACTGGTGCGCCGCGTACAAATCCGATATCGACAACAACTCAGACGCTGGCATTGCAATGAATCAAAGTCAGAGATAACATCGCGAAAAACAAAATAGAATACCAATCATGATGAATGTGTGCACACTCGTCGGCTTATCATCTTCTATCTTGACGGGGGTCGTCTTTCGTTGCGCAGGCAGCTGCGAACCATGTTATTAGAGATCCTACGATAACTTGCATGATCCAGTAGAAGAGTTTGCGTTTGATCCAACATAGCATGCTGCAGCTCGATCCAGAGGTGCAGGCGGATATTCATCCATCTGGCAGGATCATGAGCCTCTCTCTCTCAAGCTGATCTTCGCAAAAAACGAACTCGAGGTAGATGGAAAAGTCTCTTCCACATCTCAGAGCTTCACCGCCCAGGGCAGCAGGAGAAACTGGGTTTTTTGATGTTTTTCGAGTTTTGTTATAAAGAACTTAGCGCAAAGAATTGGCGAAAAGTTATTCTTCATTGAGTAATCCTCGTGAAGGAGCTGCACGGCAAACAAGTGTGGCAATCCTCGTGCAGGTCACAGATGCTTTTTGTTTTTTGGACCGGTCTCGAAACAAAACCTCGGCAGTACCAGTACTAGCATCCAAAGACCCGGAATTCTGTAGGGCCAGATGCTGTCCGTGCAAGATGAAAATGGTACTATACGGAATAAATGTCGTACAATGGGTATGGGACGAAAGATGAGCAAAAGCGAAACAGATGTTTTCATGTTCCCTATCTTATGAATCTCGTACTAGAACACATAATAGCATCATACAGAAAGACTGTCAGAAACAACTTCGTTAACAAGCCATCGCAGCGGCTGCGCCCTGGAAAGCCCCAGCTCATGCCTCGATCGAAGTGCTGTCTGCCGCTGGATGTTCACCTCCACAACCGCTCGAACCAGTCGTGCTCGTGGAAGCCTCATCATCATCTTCACGAGGAGCAACAGAATGAATCTTCTCACATCGACCAAGCGCGCTTTTGCTTTTCACCCGCCTCCTCGCCATTACACACTCCCCCGTCGTTTTCATCATCCGCTTGGTCACCCTGTACGGATCGCAGTTCGCGGAGGGCCTTCGGTCTTCCAGGTAGCCTTTCCCCTCCAAAGCCGCCTCCCGGGGGATGCGGATCGACGCGCCTCTGTCGGCGACACCGTACTTGAACTCGGTAATGGAACAGGTTTCGTGCGCCCCGGTTAACCGCTTTTTGTTTTCATCTACGTCCCCGTAGTCGCTGATGTGTTCCTTGATTTTCTCTTCTGTTTTTCCAAAAGCCTCGCAGACTTCGACAATCACATCGTATCCGCCAGCTGTTCGCATTTCCTCAATCGAAAAGTTCGTGTGACACCCAGCGCCATTCCAATCCCCGCTTTCCACCGGTTTCGGGGAATAGGACACTTGCACGTTGAACTCCTCGGCGACGCGGTTCAATATGTACCTCGCAACAACCAAATGGTCCGCCATTTCAATCCCCTCACAAACCCCGACCTGGAATTCCCACTGCCCAGGCATCACCTCGGCGTTAAGTCCCGCGACCTTCACCCCGGCGGCCAAGCAGTAGGCGAAATGCACCTCCGCGATGTGTCTGCCAATCGCGATGCCGGCCCCCTGGCCGCAGTAATAGGGGCCTTGGGGCGCGGGCTCGGAACCATCCAGATTGAAGCCGAGGGGGATGGTGGAGGGCGCTCCGTTGTATTGTTCTGCAGGAACTCGCATCAGCGTGTACTCCTGTTCCATGCCGAACCAGGGCTTGAGATCCTTGTATCGCTCCATGATCTCCTTACATTCTTTTCTGTCGTTCCCGATTGCAGGCTGCTCTTCGTTTTCCGGGTCGACACACTCACAGAGCACCATAATCGTGCTCATCTCAACCGCCGCTTGATTGTGTGCACGACCGCTGCGAAACGGGTCCTTGAACAAAGCGCAAGGTATCAAAAAAATCTCCGAGTTTTCCCCCGGCGCTTGGCCGGTGGAGCTGCCATCAAAGTTCCATTTCGGGACGTCGCCGGGTTTCGCCGGCTTGCTTGCGAGCGTCCGGGTTTTAGACCTAGTTTGTCCGAAAGCGTCGAGCCAAATGTACTCGGCAATTACGACGCAAGAAGTACTGTAGTTCTTTTTGTTGGCGAGTGTTTCTGTACTATCACCGGCGGAGGTAGTTAGGCTTTGCGTATCTGGGGATGTACTTCCCGCACTAGTAGCTGGAGTGCAGCTGAAGGCCTTGGCCCAGGCAGAAGACACGACGACAGAGGAACTAGTAGTAGACATGGTATCTTCTTGTTTTGTGCGTCTTGTAGAAGTAGATCAATGTGCTGCTTGAGCAGGCGTTTAGGTTGTGGAAGTAGATGACAGTCTTCGGTAAGGTATGACTTAGCTTTCGAATATGAGCAGCATTCGAAGCAAAAAAGTTTTCCTCTCGACGAGCGGTCAATAAACATACCTGAGCTCCTCTTCTTGGAGTTTTGAGGTTTCATCAATGCCGCTCAACTTCTTATTTTTGGTTACGGAATCGACTAACGAATGACGTTGAGGATCATGAATCACGGACAGGCACACACAACCTGCTGGAGTTTGATCTTTTCATTTCATCCTGTATCCGAAGATCTTGCCGTAGATGTTGATGAACCAATTTCATCTGTGATCCGGTGCCGACATCGTGCTGTTGACCGAAAGAAGGAGATCTTTATGTCCTTGTTTCAACATCTACATCCACGATCACTTCCCTTATTGTTTCTGCCGCGAGAGGGAGAGAGACAGAGGGATGCAGACAGAAGAGCGTTGTATTTTACGAATTTGATTTAGACTTCGACAGTACGCTCTGCTGAATAAACACGTTTACGAGGACGCCACCAAAAATGCATGCATTGAGTCGACCGAAAGGCAAAGGCTGAAGGTGAAGGTGAAAGAGAAAGTAACACAATGAAAACTTCTATGAATAAGCCTACATAACGGCTGCACACTCACACTGTGTCTGATCACAATGGAGTCTGCAGCTGTGCCGGTTCTGGTTTATTCAAGAAGATGAAGACAAAACCTCTGCGGGTTTTCATTATATGGTAAGACAAAGACTACATTGCTCACAGAGCAGGTTGCAAATTGATTGTGTCGTTTGTGAGAGCGTCAATGTTGACTATTCCCTCGTGTCGTTGTAGTATTTTCAGCGTGTGGCGTCGCGTGCCACGTCGGCGAAAGATCATCTACTTTGAAAAATTTTTACGTTCTACGCATCGTTCTTCCTCAGGATATCAGGTCGAAGTCTTGCTTCACTCCTCGATAAAGCCTTCCCCAAATCGCCTCACCCTGAGCAAACGTCAAGCTTCTGTCACCCCCGCCGAGCCCTCCTGCTTCTAGGAGTTTTTCCCTTCCCTCTTTCAACAGAAACTGCCACAGACACGAATCTGGATCCACGTCCAGATAGTTGCCCCGCGTGTTCTCTTCCGGTCTTTTTGTGACAATCCGGACTTTGTTCGTGTTCATCTTGAAATCCTGCGGAAACGCTTTGGGCAAAAAGCGCTCGAGGAACCAATTGCGAAAGGAAAGCCTGCCTCCGTCCTCTTCCAGTGTCTTCTTCGGGTCGTACCTGGTCGTGGGGTCGTTCCGGAGTGCGAACGCGAAGTGGTCCCTGTTCGTTTCCTTTTCGTTCTGCGACAGCTTGTATTTCTGGTCTACCACTTTGTACACGAGAGACGCGGTTTGGTCAACGATTTTTTTCTCGATTTTCTGCTTCTCCGCTCTTGCGTCTTCAATCGCTTGCAAATCCAGTTCTTCCTGCTCCCGCTTTTTCCTTTTATTCAGCGCATGTCGTTGCTTCTTCGTCAGCATTGCTATGTCCCCGGTGTAATTGATTGGAGATGAGGCGCCGGGCGAGGAGGGCGCGAAGGAAGTTTGATCTTCTTGGTTCGTCGCGTAGTTCGAAGTGTAGCTAGAACTGGGGGCACTTTCGTGGTTGCTAGCGTTGTAACTCGACCTGGAGATAGCCGCAGCACCAGCAGGAGCACCGGCGGTTTTATTTACGTCCAGATCTTCAATGTCTCTAACTATGCTGCCACCAATCGCAAGCGGATGGGCATTCATTAACGGCACAACTTGTTTGCTTTCTTGTTGGTTTCCTGTAGAAGTAGACGAGGAAGAAGAGGAAGTCGCAATAACGGTGGGCGCTTTTGGTTGTGACCGAGGAACTGGTCGAGTTGTAGTTGAATCGGTGGCATTTTGATTTTTCATGTTCACAGTATTATTTGCGTCTTCACCACTCCCGCCTGCAGCCGCACTTTTCTGTACCACCTTCTGTGCGTCCAGTGACTGCGCAAACATTTTCCGCAGATCGCTCCCAAAGACAAAGTCTTCGTCTTCGTCGAGCTCATCTTCTGATGCCGCACCGTCATGACCGTTGCGCGACGACGCCCCGCCTGGACTATTGTCACCTTCACGCGCCGCGGCCGAAGAGGCAGATGTCAGGCTTTTGGCGTTGAATTTTTTACCAGAGGCACTACTTTTCTTATTCAATGAATATAAGGAACTCGAAGTATTAGCCTTCGACGCGGCACCTCCTGCTCCAGATGTACTAGCACCAGCCTTCTTCTCCTTTTCGTTTTCCGGCTGCCGGGTAAGCGCGTACTTGATTAAAGGGAATATCTTCTCTTCTTCCACGACTGCTCCATTTCTCGTAAACTTATTGTACGGATTCGGAATTCTAACGTGACCGAAAATGGACTCGAAAACATGCAATAGGTCGTCGACCCAGTTCGTGTCCAGTTGCGCGACTCGGTTGTTGAAGACCAGGTTGGCCTTTTTGTAGGCATCTCGGTCCCGCACGGTGAAGCATTTTCCAATCTCCTCTTCCTTCTGTTCGCATTTCAACTTGTCCCCGGAGCCTAGATTGTCCATGCAGAACAGCGTCCGGCGGACTTCATCCGTCTCCCGCGGAGGCGTTTTGTGCTTCTCGGCACACAGAGCCAGCCCTGTGTCAAGAACGGCGTCGCCAAGGTAGGCCTGATGAAGATTTTGATACAATGTTCAACAAGCATAATTTCCTGCTGGACCGAGCTACTATTTGACGGGTGATGTAGTTGTGAAGATGATCTTATTTCTATGTCTTTCTATCTCTTATATGGAAAAATACGTCGGATATTGTATTGTATTTGATCCGCTCTTGTTTCAAACAGACGCGGCGCCCGCTCTTTAGCCCTGCTATACTTGCAACAACCCGCCGGACAGCGAGGCTGTGGAGGCCCGGCGAAACGTAACCCTCCTACGCAGTCACCACATCAAGTGGCGAGAGCTGGAGGAGAACAGCGCGCTGGAGGTTTGTGGCCTTGGCAGACCGGCTCTTGCACTCGTTCCGTATAGTAGCACCAATCAGAGGGCGCACACCAGGTGGGCAACACAGATTGATTATACTACGGCGAAAGGATCCCAATTCGCGCTACCTGGGCGCGTCCTTTAATTGTCGTCTGACTTTAGGCCGGACACTATCTGTGCGGGAAGGGCGCGGCCCTTCTCCGCCATGGGCGGCGCGCGGGTGCAGTTTGCCCGCCAACGGCGCAACCGCAAGGGGCGCAGAGCCCTGCTGTGCGCCCTTCGTCAAGAAGAGCGGCGCCGGCCCCGCCAGGGGGCTGGGGGTGCCCGCCAATGCTTTCCCGAATAGCGCAGGCCCCACCGCTTCCTTCCATCCCCGGGAAGTGCCGCAAGCTGCTGCGCGCGGCGTAGGGCGCTAGGGCTTACGGCGGTGCGAGCGTGCCCACTAATTCGGCCGAAGGCCGAGAGGGGCACACCATGCCGGGCCTCTTTGCACACGACGCGGCAACACACCCGAGGGCCTTCCTCGGAGTGGTCGGGCAGGGTGTGGCGCTAGGCTGTTCAGGTTAAGCCGGCCGAAGCCCCACCACCATCTCACCCAAAAGAGACGGCGAGGCGCCTCGCCTGCTCACCAGGAGCCTGCAAGGCTCGCCCGCTTCCAGAGCGGGGCTCTTCTTCAAGAAGAGAACACCCGCCAGGGGTAGGGGGATCGCGCGCAGGATTGCGGGCGCCGCCCTTCTTCACTCGCCAGGAGCAGCGGCGTATTGCCGCTTAGTTTGCGCGATTCGATGCGTCTACTTCTAGTAGCGCATCTGGGCACAAGGCCCCTGTCACGACTTCCCTTCCCACCAGGGGCGGGCAAATACGTCGGATATCATCAACATACAAACTTTGTATTACAAAGCAGAAGTAGTTCACAAGACAATTATACCAAACCCCTGTCGACATGACCGTACACGAGCGCGTTCACCTCCAGCCGGACTTGCCGCTCCGCCGCAAACAGCGTCGCGCTTTCGATTCGTTTAATTGACCTCTTCGAGAGTTGCGAGGCGAGACTCTTCCCAATGTCGCCGGGGCTTGCACCACTCTTGCGGCTGCTACCCGTCGGGGTGATCGCTCCCGCCTGTGCCAACTTGGTACAAAAAAATGTGGTTGTGAAGTCAATACTTTGTTTGAAATTGGCCCGGGCGGCTCTGTTGCTCGTTTCAAGCTCCTCTGGAAAAGGCGCAGATGTCGCTTGTTGCTGAGAATCTTCTGTAGCTTCTCGTTGTGAAGCCGCGGTGAAAGATGATCCCATACTTGTCTGGTTCTGGTTCTATCCGGCTGAAAAAAACTATCACTATCACAAAAAGCCATTTTTCGGCAAAAATTGATTTTTTTTTGATTTTTTTGCGGCGCATTGGGGCTCGATCCTTGTACCTGGTATATTGTTGTTGTGGTTAATGAATGATATAGTTAGCTAGCTAGTGGTCGCTTGTGATGATTGTTATAGCTAACAGGAGAGACGTCCGCCAGAGATAACGGCCTCCAGGGTATCCGCAGTGCAGTCCGTCGTGATTCACGCCCTCGGCCCCAGGTGGGGCCGAGGAGCAGCTTGCCGGCGGTGGAGTGGTGTCCAGAACGTGCTCAACCTGCAGCAAACATCTTGCCAGATCTCTCCTGTTAGCTAGCTAAATCATCACAAGCGACCACTAGTTACCTTTTCACATTCCTCATTCCAAATCTATCAAAATACTGCTCAGGTCTTACCATCCCGGCGAGAAAAAAAATGAAAAAATAATGATGTTTTTTTGCAAAAAAAGTGACATTTTTGGGTCGAAAATCGGTGCGTTTGTGATAGTGATAGTTTTTTTCAGCGCGATAGGTTCGGAGCCCGTATTACTGATCCGGTGGACGAGCTCACAGCCGAAGCAGAGGAGTTGTTTCGGGTTGAGCTTGAAGAGTTTGGCGCGGCTGCGGGCGCAGTTGCAGCTGCATCGGCGGAGGATTTTAATTTGTGGGCAGTGGAAGAAGAAGATGGTGCTCCAGTTTGTTTCCCAGTAGCGCCGCTACTGGCTGGGGCGCCGTTACTATTCTGCCACTGACTTGTACTAGACGAAGTGCTGTGACCACTTTGACCCGACGCAGGCCCTTTGTAAGCCTGCTCTGCGTTGTAATTTTTGTGTTTTGTGCCTGTATGGTTCGCCGTAGAGTCGTACTGCTCGTCTTCCTCCTCTTCCTCGTCATCGTCTTCCCAATAGTCGTTTGCGCTGCGCAGTTGCGAGAATCTGCTCCCTGTGGCGGAGTTCGTTTTGCTGTTGCGCTTGCTCGCCGCCCCGTGAAGACCACGGCTGTACCCGGCCGAGGACGACGCAGACCATCCGTGACTGGTTCCACCTCCGGTTCCCGCCGCACCAAGTGGCTTCTTGCCCCATTGATTACGATTTACTTCAGAAGAACTAGCGTTGTCCCACTGAGAAGCAGTGGAAGACTGCTCACCGTACCAGCCACTGCTTCTGAACGACTTCTTTGATTTAACACCCTCCCACAGGGTGTCGTCGAGTTCTTCATCTCCCTGGTCTTCTAGTCTCTGTGCCTCCTCTGCTTCCCTGCGTGCAAGGTCCGTTGCGATAGCCTCGTCATCCGTGGTACCGGTGACAACGCTCGACGGCCGATGCAGATGCCTCTGCTTCGTTTGATCGGCAGAAGTAGCTGTAGCTCCAGCTCCTGTCTGCGCAATGTTCTTATCTGCCAAATGTTCTACCTCCGTCTCCGAATCGTTTTCACGGTCTGATTCCAGCATTTTCCACGCATTCTTCTGAGCCATGATCTTCGGCGCGGTCGCGTATGTCGCCGCAATGTGGTCACTTTCTTGCTGCGTGTTCTCTGCCACAGGAGATGGCCGCCCGGATGTTTCTTTGGGGGCACCGTCTGGACTACTGGTGGCCGCAGCCCCGGTGGTCGTCGCGCGGTTGTTTACTTGCCCGAGCACGTCATCGATATTCTCGTCCCCTTCCTCGTCCAGCAGCGGGCTTGTCCCATCGGAATTGTTGGGTGATACCAACCCGGTGGAGCCCTCGTCTCCCGTCGTGGTGGTCGTGTTGCTGGGCCCCCCCTGCAAAGAAGCATGGGTTTGAGGCGCTCCGGGCGCATTAATATTTCTTGTGCCAGAGGTTTCCGGCAAAATTCCCTTGGCGCCGATTTTGAAGTGACTCATCACCGCCTGCAAAAGCTGCTGCGTCAAAAAGGTCTCCGCTTCTTCGTCGACAGACCACCGATGTCGCTTCAAGTCGGTGCAGACGGTCTTCGCAAGTTGCTGGGTAAACATGCTATACTGGAAAAATTTGTCCTCTACCGCGTTTGCTCCGATATAGTTTTTGTGTCCGTTTTTGTAGTCGGCGCGCAAACTGAAGTGGCCCGAATTCACGATGACGTGCGACGCCTGCGTGACATGGGCCCGCAGTTCCGGCGGTCGCTGCGGCTTGATGATGACTTGCCTCACGTCCTTCGTGCGGAAACTCTGCTCCTCCCACCTGCTTTCTTGCCACTGCCACCAGGGAATCGTTCCCCCGTCTGCAAGAGAAACGCCACCACCGCTGTAATAGCCCATGTAGTAGGATCGGCTCAGTTTGGCCTTCCAGTTCGTGTTCCGGTAGTTGTGGATCTTCTTGTACAGCTCCTTGGTGTTGATGTACACGTCTTTGTCGTCTTGGTAGATGAAGTGGGTCTTCCGTTCGTGCCAAAACGTGGGGCGGCCGCCGACCTGCTGCTCCGTGTCAAGGTGGTACCGCCCGTTCATGTGCTTGTTTTCCTGAAACATGAAGCCCTGCAGGTTGAACACGGTCACCTCTTGCGCCATGACGCAACACGCCTCCCTTTCGAACCGGTGTCCCCCGTGGACGACACGCACCACGCAGGGCGCCAAGGTCTGCGTCTGGTTGAACAACTTCACTTCTTTCTCGCACTTCTTCCGGAAAAACGTTTGGACGGCAGCCGACAAAAGATCCGTCAGGAATATTCCGTGGTCGGAGTAGTCGGCGTTGCACTTGCTCAGCTGCTCCGCCTTCGTTTTTTCCCACTCGTGATTCAAATCTTTCAGTCGTTGGGCCAGCAGTTCCATCATCACCGCCGGTACGTACTCAACCTTGAAGCCGATTCGCTGTATCAAATGGGCCCGCTCGCAGTCGTGCCAGGCGCAGGGCTGCGACTGCGGATACTCCGCGCGGAAAAATTTATCCAATTCCGTCCGAAGAATTTCTCCCTCCTTCTGGACGTTGCGCTTCATTGCCTCGGCCTCCATGCAGTCCGGATTCAGTTTGATGCACATCCACAAGCCCTTGCGCTGTGCCGTCACGTCTCTCTCCACGTCGACCGTGCTTCGCCCGAACTTCTCGATTTTGTTCAGGATTTCGTGCCAGGCAAAAATCACCTCCTGGAGGTACTGATCATACTTCAAGCTGTCCCACCGATCGCGGCAGACCATGTTGAAGTTCAGCAAGTTGTAGCCGAAGAACGCCTCACCCTTTCCCATGTCCCGCCGGAAAGTGTTTCGCCCGTCTCCACCACCCTGCTGGCGCTCCGCCCGGGCGGCGGTGGACCAGGCATATCGCTTGTTGCTGTCGGGTGTCACGAGCATTCCTTTCACGTAGAACCGCCCTTGGTACTCCGGATCCGTTAAGATTTCGTAGCTGTTCTCTTCGCCGCGGATCAGCTGCGGACGCAGTCGCCTGTACCTGTTTTCGAGCAAGAAGAGGTAGCGGTCCGGCTTGAAATCCACGTGGTAGGCGGTGATCACGGTGTCCTTGGCCAGGTCTACCTGCAGGTCGTCCTCCAGGTACTTGCGCAGAAACGGCGCAGTTGTCTGGCGCATCTGGGTTTTGTTTCGCTCTTGCTGGTCCTTGGTGATTCCCGGATGCGAATGCGCAAACGTGCTATGGAACACATTCGGTTCAAAGTGTTGCTTCACATTCAGTAACACTTCCTCGATGGTGTACTGCAGCGTGAAAAACGTTTTGCAGACCTTTGGCGGCTTGTTCGCAAAGACAAAGCGGTAACCGCTGGACAGCATGGACAACTCCGTACCGGACCTCTGCTCCTTGAGCCTCTGGAACACGTGCGCGGCGGCTTTCAGGCCGTCGCCAAACTTTCCCTTGATTTGCCGGGACTGTCCGGTCTTCTTCTCTTGGCCGGACAAGCCACCAATCATGCTCCGCGGGGCCAAAATCGACCGGTAGTTGACGCAAACGAGGATCCCGAACGCAGGGTCCATCGTTTGCGAGTTACTGTTCACATACCTCATTTTCTCGGTTCCTCCATGATGCGTTTGGTGTTCGGCTGGCAGATCGCGGTTCGCCAAATGCTCTAGCACGCCGACCTTGTAACGGCGCGTACCGTTCTTATTCAAGGCAAAAGCCACAAAGCGATTTGGTTGACCACAATAGTCCTGTCGCTCTACGACACATGTGAACCCGTGGTGGTCACATTGGGCGATGCACTCGTCGTGCCAATTCTGCACGAGCTCATCCTTCGCCATGTTCACGTCCCAATACTCAACGTATCCGGTCGACAAATTGGTGTTTTCCCAGTGGTCTCTCCCCATCGCAATCACTGCGTCGAATTCCGCTTTCTTGCTGGCATACGCACCCGACGTCCTCATCGGTTCAGGGATGTGCGGTAGGGCCTTGAAGTGCGTCAGTTCATCGCCTCGTCGCGACGTCTGGTGCGAGGACGCGGACGCTGCAGTGCGGTGCGGCTGCTGCACCTGGTACTGATCAACATTTTGCGCCGGCGCCATTGCTGAAGTTGTAGTAGTTGGCGCACCTCCACCAGCACCTAAAATTCCGTACCGTTGTTGTGATGGTTGCGAAGTGGATGCCGTTACCGAGCTCCTGCCAAAACCCGTGGAGGTGCCTGCGGTGCCGAAGCCCCCCGCTAATATCTGTGCTGTGCCACGGGAGTGGTCCTTGTCTTGCTGGTGACTGCTAGTATAGCCATGAAGGTCCTTCTGATTATTTTGCAGTTCTCCTAATGCTCCTGTACTGGTTCCGCCAGAATATATACCGGCCAGTCGGCTGTCACCGTAGAGCTCATGACCACCTCCGTGCCGGTCTCCCCACGTAGTAGTTGCTGCTCTGGTGCTGTGCGGTGTTTGTTTATTGTAGTTTTGCCCATGGGACGTTGTCGAGCTAGAGTTCATGTGTGGATAATTGCCAGTCTGCCAACTGCTGTTCTGGACCGCCGTGGAAGAAGTTCCCCCGTAACTACTCGCTGTGCTCTGCTTCGACGTATTTTGTCCGCGCTGCCCTCGCTGCTTGTCGATTATATCCTGAATATACCGATGAGACCCGGTCATTTTCGGGGTGGTACTTTGCTGCTCTAGAGGTTGTGGGACCATGGAAGACCCAAGTGGAGCTGGTAAAGCGGGTGGAACAATGGGGGTAGTAGTACTGTTCTGCCGATTCTGGGCATCATAGGGCTGGTACTGCAGGTTTTGGTGACCAAGAGCACTGCTGATCTGCTGGTTGTAAGCGGTGTCTTGGACTTGGTAGTCGTGCTGCATTGCGCCATAATTGATTCCCCCAAGCTGATGCTGTGGCGGATGTAGATCTTCCTGCTGAAACGGCGAAGTTGATTTCTTCGAATTCGAGTCATGGTAACTCAGCCCCGACGAGCCCATCATTTGATCAATTCCCGGCGTCCCGGTGCCGCTTAGCGGTTGCTGATGGCTGAGTCCCGTTGCTCCAACAAAGCCCCCACTGTAAGGTGGTGGCGTCGTAGCAGCACTGTTTTTACTACCACCCATTGCTGCATTTCCCAAAAACGGATTGTAGTCCTCCGTTTGGGCAGTTGCAGCGCCAGAAATCGGCTGCGGGTGGTGCATCGCAGCATAGGTGGACGCTGATGCTGGGTTACCTGCGTTAATATTCGTTGTCCCCCACGAAGAGCTTTCATCTGCCCAAATCGGTGGGGAAGTGGCAGAATTTGGCTGAAACAACAACGCCCCGAGTCCTCCGGGCAGCGCTTGTGGTTCTTTATTTTTTCCCTGGTTTATTGTCGCTGGCGTTTTAGCACTAGTTGACACGGCACTATTTGATGCTCCGCCAAACAAAGTTGACGGGGGCAGAATTGGGGGCGGTGGAGGAACACCACCCGAAACCTGATCACCCCACGGAGGTAAATGATTATACCCTGGCGCTGCGGCAGAAGTAGAAGACGATGAAGACCCTTTGCTGATTCCTTTATTTATTCCGGGCGGAGCTGTAAGCGGGACGCTCGCGGAGGTCGAGCCCTTACCGTAAGACTTGTAGTGCGGTTTTTGGGTCTGCATTTTCGTCGTGGTGATTCTTTCTTCTAAGTATGTTCGCTTTCTGTACGCGTACCTTCAACAATAAAGTGACCACGCTCAGTAGTTTAATTCGAGTAGAAAAAACCCAGAAAACATTTGACTTTTTAGGTTTAGATTGAATAGACGGTGCTGCTCTGCAGCAACCACGGCCGGCTTTTAACTAGCAATCGTGCTTTGAATACGGCATCGGCTCACAAGCTATTTTCCTACAATTCAAGATTCATCGAGGGATAAACAGAACCACGTCGTGGATATTCGAGCGCTTTTCCTAAACTTTCTAATCTACCCGATAATGAGCCGCGAGTGTTAACATTTTACGAATGCCTGGGGGTCGTGCTGGGACAACTAAAGATATTGAAGTGAGTTTGTCCTTCCTGGCGAAGAGCCTGCTCGTGTTTCGGGAAAAAAAAAAAATAGAAGCGGAGGACGACCTTAGTTTAGATTCTAGCTATCCGCGCAAGTATCCTCTCTACATAGAGTTGCAAGTAGAACTACCAACTTCTGAAGATGAAGGTAGCCGCTTCATGGAATATGTCTCTGCTTGCCACCTGCTGCAAGAAAATTGCAGCTAGTAGTACACTAGAATCATGTACGGGAAAAATAATAGACTCTTTATTCTGCAAATAGGGCAGTGCACCGACAGCTTTTACAGTGTGTTCAGTTCTGTTGATCCGTGCATGTTGATCCGAAATCATGGCTTCCTTGCAAGAAGGTTCGTTTTCAGCCGCGGCCTTTCGCGCTGTCGGCTGTCGCAACTGGTGATTACTATAGCTATGAGTACCACAGTGGTCGACTCCTGAACACAAGCAAGACCGAAGGAATTGATACGGTGCAGTCCTTGCCGCTAGCAGTGCAAGCGAGGACGAGCGCTGGGCGACAAATGTTCTTTCTCCATCTGAAGCAGAATGTATGTTCCTTTGCGAGGGTTGTTGTTTAAAGTGTTTCCGAGCAAGATACAATGCAAGGAAAATGCTCGTTTTTCCGTTGATATTTTCTTCACAGCACTATATCCATCAGGACCTTATCGTAACTCGAAAAGCTCTTGTGACTTCGAAGCGTTACATAAATCTGATGTACTGCTGACGGTGCTGTCTGCTTTTTTTGTGAGAATAAAACTCATCTTCAACAAGAATAGCTACAGGTTTAATCGAGAAAAGCGAGCGTGAAACGGGTCATCAGCTGTATATGTGTATCGCACAACATGTAGCTCTTGCGGGTTGTAAAAAGTTACGAATCGCTAGCAGTTGAAGGCAAGAAGTTTCTGCAAGCTCTATACAGAGAAATAACGGCCTGAATATCTTTCGTCGAAAGTAAGAGGCCAATTCTCCTTTTTGCCAATTGCAAAAACCACGATACATTTGCTGCGAATGGTCGTTGGAAGAAGATTTTCCCCGACAGCACAAACAACAATTGAAAAGTGGCAAGCAAGAATACGCATCGGAACTAGTACAATCTGCGATTCTCTACTGGGCGACTGGTGTTTTATGTTGTTGAGTACGCTGGTTGATGTTCCAATTAGAGTCAGAGCTTAGGAGGTAAATGCTGCATCTTGACCTGCAAAGAGAAAGAGCTCAACAGAAGCAAAAATTTGCAATGCTAAACTACGTAGTTGCTGCGCTAGTACCAGCAGGAGCTGATAAGGAGCACTAGATCTGAGTAAAGAAGAGATCCAATGCAATGGAAAATTGGATCCCTTTTCATCTGCAGGTGAAGACAACACGATCCCCGCCACTTCTGATCTTTTCTTGAAATTTGATGGCCAACAACATCTGGCTGATAGTACACTTCGTGTACCAACAGGCTGCAAAAAATCGAAATGATTTGCGCAGTTATAATTGCTCGTAGTTCTGCATAAAAACCTGTTCTATTGCATTATATCTTAATTTCGTAAATCAGATTGTTGAATTTTGTGAAAGTTAAAGTTTGATGGTGAGACGGTGTTTAGTTATAGTTATAGTTTCTTTCCTTCGGTGGTGATGCTAATGCTTCTTTGTTTGCGAGTACTGTGTAATTCATGATCAAGGTGACACGACACCATGTACAACTAGGTTCTTGCAGCTCCAGCCGGTAGTACAAGAATTCTGTGACACGCTAGTAGATGTTGAAATGATCTTCGATCACAAGGACAACTTTTTGTTGAAAAGTGATACCTGCGGATCAGAAACATGTCATGCTGAAATCAGATGAGAGGCAGAGCTTGTCATGCGCGCAACAAGAAGATGTTGGCAATCCCTACTTCTTTAGTACGCAACCACCTCCGGCTCCATGTTGTCATTGCCCAAAGCGCTCTTCTTCCACATTTGGTCGACAAACGCGTCGGCCGCTTCCTCATCCTTGAACTTGATGATGGCTTTCCTGTTGTTTGTGATGCACAGAGCGATGAATGACGAGCAACATTGAAAATGTATGAATTGTCATTTTGCCGTAAACTTCTAATTGTTGTCATGCGTCAACGAGGTATGCAAAAGTGGTTTCTCATGCTGGAATAATCATAAAGCAATCATAAGCAAGACAAAAATCTCTACCCGGCCTTGATCTCGGTGTGGGAAGGTTCGTATTTTGAGAACTCATCCTTCAAATCTTTCCACGTGACGGTCTCCTTGAAGCCGGCGATGTGGACCTGATAGAGTTGTGTAGTTTACCATGCAGAAAACCAAAACGTAGCCACAGTGTAGGAACCATCGTCGCAACTGCTGCATTTCAGGTCGTCATGCGTGCTGGCGCGCAAGAGCAAGTGAGTCTGTCTTGCAAGAATGTGATGAAATGTAGCGTAAATAAACAATACCGCAACTTCGCCTTCCCGGTCCTCGGACTTGCGTCCTGCCTTCTTTCCCTTTCCCTTGCTGCCCTTCTTTCCCTTGCCCTTGGAGCTGGACTTGCCCTCGATGTAGCGGCCCTCGCGGTCCTCACGCACGAAAACGGCGCGACCGTCGAGCTCCGTGTCGTTCAGTTCCTCGATCGCCTTCTTTGCGTCGTCCGGGTTCTTGTACCGAACCAAGCCCGCACCGGCAGAGCGTCCGTCCTTGGACTTCAGGATATCGCAGTACTCGACCTGTTATATGTTTGGTTATTTTCCTCACGTTGGACTTCTTCTACTTGCACTGATGATATATTGATATGTCGTGCGCAGTAGATTCAACAAAACTACGTTTGACATTTAGATTTACATGGCCTGCTTGACGCTGCAAATGCAACATCCACATACTTTTCCATTTCCATTTGTGCTGATCCTGATGCTGCTTTAGCATTAGAATGACAAATTGAAAGTTTACCTCGCCGGCGCTGACCATGTGGTCCTTGAGGTTTTGCCAGGAAGTGTAGTAGCTCAGGTTTCCATATGAACTGCAAAAGTATCGTACTCGTATAAATGCATTACAAATTTCCTCAGCATGAGAAATAAAATTTGTGATGCGGATTTACCGTAAGAAAAAGATTTGTAATGCATGACTGCAATACGAGTACGATACTTTTGCACAGGATATTCCAACGTACACTTGCGCGGCTGCGGAATCCTCGCTCAGCTGCTTGCCCTTACCTGTTTGTAGGTGTTTGTGGTAGTGTTTTATCCGCATGACGAAAGTATCATGATCTATTACCGCGCCGAAGCCGACGGGCCAGGCGGGTACGCTACAATTACATAACGCACGAGCTGCGCTGCAAATGTGTCGTGTGTGCCTGCATTAGCGATGCGATAGTCGAAGGACATTTATCAAAATAACGCGATGCATGAGCGCGACTGTAAAATTTAAATTACCCTTGCTTCCCGGTCCCTTGCCGCCCTTCTGGTCGAGGCGCAGGAAGATTTCCCGGCCCTTCAGCACCTTATCTGCCATGGTGTCGATGGCCTTTTGTGCGGCATCCGCGTCCGCGAATCGCACGATACCGTGCCATATGGATTGTTAACATGTCTGGGTCTGGAAGAGTGAAAAAATTGTCATGCATATTTCTCATGACCCATGATAGTCTGTGATGTATGCCCTAGCATTACAGATTTTTAGAAATCTTCCTGATGCACCTTCCGCATGAGAAATGCCCTCTCGCCATGGCAAAAACTGGACCCCTCTTGGTGGTCATGCATTACAGGTTTTTTTCGAATCCGAAAACAGCATCACAAGTTACAACCTTCCAGACCCAGACATTTTTACATTTGATATGCCCGGTTTTTCGCCCGTCCTTGTACTGCAGCACCTCCGCGTATGGATGTGTCAGAGTTGAAATCGACAAAGTTGAAATAATTTGTCATGCATAAAATGCATGACCCGAGGCACGTTTGTTGCAGAGCAGGCAAGTGAGGCCGACTGTCAGCCTGTTTGGGGTTACAGATCGAGCTGCTAAAGTAGCATGAGAAAATCGCTCTTCTTTGCCTAAACAGCATGACAAACTGGATCTAGGGACCACCGCAATTTGTCATGCGCCACTTGGAAACTGCGTTCCAACTGGCATCCATTTTATGCATTGCAAATTATTTCAACTTTGACGATTTCAAACCTGACGCTTCCATACCGCGTGCTCGAAGGATTCCCCCACTTCTGAGTTCTTGAAGAACTCCTTCAACTCTTGCCAACCAACCTGGAAGGACAAGTTTCCACAGAACACGCTGCGGCTGCCGGCGTCAGTTCCCTCGGTCATTTTGTATTTGTTGCTTTAGGAAATAAAGCTAAGGTCGTAAAGATTGCTCAGTTGTATACGTTTTGAGAATAAGAAAAAGCTCTTGCGTATTCTTGCAGGTAGATTTTACAACTGCAATAATTTATGCAGATAGAATACTTATACGTAAAGTTTTCAAGTGTATACCCAGTACACTAAAATCCGTCGAAGGACTCCTCCCCTGGAATTGATTTTGTCAAATGAAATCAAGCTGACCAGGAATTGGAACTCCACTTGTCTTTATCGTTTGCCATCAAAAGTAGGCTTTGAGAACGTGGTTATGTGCAGGTTTTCGTCGGACCCGGAAGAGATCCATTCTTTCAAAATAAATTCGAAACAAAAAAATACGTATTTCCGGTGCCACGCGGGCGGTTTGATCTGCAATATTTTGATCCTTTCTGGGTTTGTGTGATGATGTAATTATGGTGGTCATCAAGCTACTTCCGAGATCCGTTCTCCGCAGCTACTGGCACAATCGATGATCATGATCGAAGTAGTTACACTTCACCATACAAAGAAGCGTGTGAAAAACTACGGACAGCACAAGCGATCGATTGAACCACGGACCAAGGGCGCACGTGCGTCGGGCTCAGCGTGAATTCTGCGAGGCCAATGACGTCACTGATTGAACACGCGAGCGGTCTGTCACTTTCAATCCACTTCTTGCCTTGCGGCCGCTGTTATTCATTGATGGCCCCAGCCAGCTTGCAACTACCGGTAGGCATAATAGGCACATACGGGCATGATCGGCGGACAAACGGGCCAGCACACAGGTAGGCGCCCCAATCGGTCCCAATGCTTGGCCGGCAGGCAACACTCGGGGAAAAATCAGCTGCCTTCAAATTAACAGCCCAAAGCCGAGGCCAGGCGGCGCAACGGGGCGGCGCTGAGGACAGATCGGATCGCGTGCCCCAAGCCTGCTAGGCTGCCGAATGTAAGCAAGAATCGCGCTGGCCCGGGGAAGCAAATTTCTTTGCAGGCACACACGCTCGGCCCGCCCGGCCGCGCGCTCGGAAAAGGCCCGCAACCAAAGAAAGGCCCGCCGAAATAAACCAGCCGGCGCTGAGTGTGCGACAGCTGCTAGCAGGGCCCCACAGGGCGCCCACATACAGGGGCGCAGCCCCGGGAAGGGCGCCCGCCGCCAAGCGGTCCGGCCGCCCCGACCCACCGCAGCGGAGCGGGGGGGGGCGGCAGGCCAATCGGGGCCCGGCCTATGATCGGGGCCCGGCCTATCGGGGCCCGCCCCTCCCCCCGGCCAGGCGAAGGGCCCGCGCATCGCGAAAAACGCGGGCGGCGCCGGCTTCGCTGCAGCGGGATCGGTCCCGACCACTTCCCGCCTCGGACATGGAAGAGCGCCAGGCCGCCGGCCAACGCGCAGCGATGTATTCGGCATCTCGGCGAAGTCCAGGGCCTTGCCCCCGCCTAACAAAATAGGGGCGGGCGCCGCGCGTTGCAGCACAGGCACAACCCTGCGCGCGGGCGGGCGCGCGCCTCATGCGGAAAACGTCAACCAGATCGGCCGCCAGTGGGCTCGAATTATAAAAATTCATGCCGGGACTTTCGAAAAACTTTCGGAGAAGAAAAAAATCCCGCCCGAAGGACGTGGTGGCCCGAGATCTGCGACGAATCCACGGGCCCAGGGAAGGCAAAGATAAAAGGAGGGCGCAGGCGAAGGTGAAAAAGGGAAACCCCAGAAAGAAAAAGGGCCGGCCGAGGGAAGCACAACAGCGGGGGCGCCGGCCCCTAAGAAAGGCCAAGGGGCTGTCAAGCAGCGGGCCACGACCCACATACTCCAAATTGAACTTCATACCCAGGCGGGACATTTGCAGTTTTTTTCTGCATTTCTTACGACCAATCATCTGTCAATCATCTGTCAACCATCTGTCAAAAAAACGGAAAAAAATTGAAAAAAGACGACAAACCCCAAACCATAGGGATTTCTAAGCCGTTTTGCTCACGACAATTTTTTTTGAATTTTTTTGAATTTTTTTAAATTTTTTGTCGTAATAAAAATTTTTTTTGTCGTAATAAATTACCGGCTCCGCGTTCCAAATCCCGGAAAAAAACCCGGCCGGCCGTCGGCAACAAACAACTGCCCCTCCCGCGGGCGCGGAAGAATCCTGGGGAAAAACAAAAGAAACCGGGGGGCTCGGCACTCTTCCGGCAAAACGCGAACCACCCCAAAGGCCCAGCACACCCAAAGGCACACACGGAAGCCGCGAAGGACGAGGGGCAATACGGAAAATGTAGAAACCCCCATCATCCGCGCCCGATTTTTTTTCGAAAGAGAAGTCGCGGGCGAATTTTTTCAAAGTCGCGCCATGAATTTTTATAATTTGCCGGGACTGGGGCCCGATCTGGTTGAAAAACGCCCGGGCGGTCCCGGCATCTAAAAATCTTCTAATTTTTCCGGTCTTGCAAAAAAAGCAAGGACCCAAAACCTTGGGTGGCAGGCCCATGGGAATGAAGAGGTCGGCGCCGAAGCCAAAAAAAGAAAGAGGTGACGCGGCACAAAGACAAGAGCTCGACAATGACGGCAGGGCAACCCCGGACAGGGAGGCAATATCGAAGAAGAGAAGACAAAGCAAGAGATCACCCCGAACACCTGCACATCGGATCATGTCCACGACCAGTTGGTGACGACGATCCGATGTGAAGGACGGGATGATCTTCGAAACCCACCCGACAAGCGCCAACTCCTACAGCGAGCCTCTAATCTCGGCCTCTAAAACAGGCCTCTAATTTCGGCCTCTAAAATCGGTCTCTAAAACCGGCCTCTAAAGCCGGTCTCTAAAATGGGCCTCTAAAATCGCCCTCTAAAACCGGTCTCTAAAACCGGTCTCTAAAATGGGCTTCTAAAACCGCCTCTAAAATCGCCTTTAATTTTCCCTCTAAAATGTCCTATAATTTCTCCTCTAAAACCCACCTCTAATTCGTTCTCTAAAAATCTTCTAATTCTGTTGTGTGTGCGGCAATTTGAGAACTACTAAAAGTTCTCTAAAATTGCCGCACACACAAAATCCCGCACAAAATCACTATTTTGTGGTTTTAGAAGATGAGATGGAGGAAATCCGGACGCCGAAAGCGGAAGCGAAACCGGAAGATTTCCGGTTCACTTCCCGGGCAGCTCATGTTCGTGCTCGAAATCATCGAGCAACATCTCGATATTTTCGAACACGAACATCAGCGTCGTCCGACTGATCGATAATGAACAACACCACACACCATGTCTCACCCAATGACATGCGGAAGCAACCACCTTGAAATCTGAAGCCACAATGCGTGCGGGGGCAAGCGCCACTTCAGATCTGCTCTTTGACTACCAAACACCCTCCCCACCAAGCGAACGACCTCACTGCCGCCCCGACCCACAACTTTTGCCACTCTCAATACAGTCTCACACACACAACCAAAATCTTGCGGCGCCGATTATGGAAACAAAACGGCCCGAATTTATAAATTTTAATTGAAGTGGAGCGCCACATTCCAGGCAGGGTCCCGGGGGACGGGCTACGCCTCAACAACCAGACGAACAAAACCCCAACCCACTACAACACACCTAAACACCCAAAACGGGGAATGGGGCCGGGCACAGGGACGGGGCAAAGAAATGGGCGCCGGGTTTTTTGAAAATCCCGGAAATTTTAGCCATCTTTTAGCCGCAAAATCCGCCCGGGGCGTCTCCGCATGACGCGCCCCAAAACGGGCGGCCGACCACTTAGGAGGGCCAAGCGGACGCGCGCAGTACATACATACACGAGAAAAGGCGGCGCACGCGCCAAAACGACAAACAAACCCCCGGGCGGGCTGATTGTCACGCGGGCGCCCTCATGTGACAGGTGTCGTCGTGGAAGACCAGCTCGATGCTGGGGCATTCTCCACAGCGCACGCCCCAGGAGCTTGCCCCAATCCGCAACCGTTTCGCCTTCCGGGAAGACGTCCCGCGCGCGCCCGAGTCCTTTGCGCCTCTAGTCGCATGGCGCCCCGGCATGCGGACGATTCCCCGGGAAGGTTAGCCGCCAAAACGCCCGCAGAGAGCTCTGGGCGGGTCGCGAAGGCGCAAAAGAAAAAGGACGCGCCGCCGGGCTGTCCTCTGCTGCTAGAACAACGCCAAATCCCTCGAGAACCAGAACACAGCCACCGCACCCCTCCAGAGAAGTACGATAGGAACTTGTGAGGGACGAGCTGCTGCAACGAGAACACCTCCTGCTGCATGCTCAAGGATGCTAAGAAGAGCCGTCGATAGCCATGGCATTCCATCACAAGTCCGTATGGGCATAAATCATAATCAGTGCTGTCGCAAATACTAGTAGGCAATCTCAATTCATCAAATTCGGGACATGTTCCGCCTCCGGGTGGGAGAAAGCGTTCACGTCAAATTATTTTCATCAGCTAAAGGCAAGCATGCTGGAATGTCGAGACCAGTAGGCAACATCAGCTGCGGTACTTTCCTCTGTTCAGTACGTGTAGTTACACAGACAATGACACTACATCACCACTTCAAAAAGCTGCTAGCATCTCGTCACACAAGAACATCACGATTCCTCCTCCAAAAACTTCGACTTTAACTCCCACACCGGCATTTTTTTCCCCGCAACTTCCCCGATGCTCATGTCCGCGATGTCTTGCAAGTGGCTGCGGATCTCGAGGAACAGTGGGGAGGTCTGGTACCCCTTCACCGGCAGCTGAAACCACTTCCGCAGATGCAGTGGCGAGCACTTCTCCTCGTCGTTGCTGTCTAAACGCAGTTGCCGCATCTGCTTCACCAGCGTCGGTCGGATCTGCTCAATTTTTTGCTCCAACTCCTTACTGATTCCCGTTTTCTCCCGCTTTTTCTGTTTCGCTCGTTCTGCTTGTTCCTTTTTCTTCTTCTCCAAAGCCGATAACTCCTGCTTGGTCATGGTGGACACCTCGGTCTTGTTCAGCAGGGATTTGGAGCTCAAGATCGCCTTCGCGGAATTCACATCGGTGTCATCAACTAGTACACCAGCCTGATGCGGATCATCCGGAGATGATGATGATGATGATGAAAAATTTGTGCTGCTCTTTAACCTTCTCAATGCCTCCTTGATATCGGCGGAAAGCATGTCGTCGTTGATCTTCATGAGTTCCTCTTGCTGTTCACCACTTTTGTCTGTTTTGCCGTCGTTGCCACCACCTCCGGCGCTCTTTTTCGTTTTCTTGGAAACAAGTTTATTTGGCCTCTTTATCATCTTCCCGTCTGCATCGATGAGAACTTCATCCTCTAGATCTTCCTCGTCGAAGTTGGTTCGTCTCCTCTTTCTGCCTGTAGTCCCGTCTTTTTCGACGTAGTTCCCGCCGTCCTCAGTCCCGGACTCATCGTCTGTATGACTAGTATTCCCCTCGCGATCATCTTCCCCATCTCTCCCTCTCGGATTCACTTCTCTGTCCAGCGTTTCCTCCCCCTCTAACACCCCATTCGCGTCCGGCTTGTTCAACAAAATCTCCTCCTGCACAGCAGCGTCATCCCAGCCGACCAAGTGATCCGCCTCGTCGTTCGCGTGCTCCAGGGTTTCGTCTCCCAAATCCACATCCCCAGCACCACTCCCCGCCAGCCCCGTGCCGTCCAAGTCTTCGGTTGACAGGCCGGAATAGTGCGTCGAGCTGTAGAAGTGCTCCGCGTGTCCGTTGTTGCTGCCATTGTTTCCCCCGTTCATGGAGAGAAAAGTCGATCCCGCGTTGTGACACAAGTCGGCGCGCTGGGTGAGAACGATGTTCAACCGATTCAAAGCGTAGCGCTCCAGCTGACGCCACTCCTTCTGTCGCCGTTCCTTGCGCTTCTTCATCACCAGTTCCGCGTCTTCCAGCGTGTACAGCTTCTCTACTTTTGATGATGACGGAAGGTTGTAGGGGGTGCCACTGCTGCTGGTGGAAGAAGCTGTTGTTCCTGCGATAGTACAAGAAGAGCCGGTGGACGAGTTGTGGGTGTGCTTTGTCGTGGAAGTTCGGGTCGTTGAGGTCGTGACAGACGAGCGCTCATCGTCGGAAAGTGGTTTTTTACTTTCACCACCTAGTGGTGAGGTTTGTCCTTTCTCTACTGCGCTTTGGGAAGCACCACGAACCTGCTGTTGTTTCTGTGCCTGCGACAGCGCAAGCGCTCTTCTGCTGTCGTTTCTGATCTTGTAACTCGGCGCTAGATCCTTCACCAAAGCCCGGGGGCAGTCCGGCTCCACTTCCGTGTAAAAATTGTGCAGCACGGCTTGTTGCTCGATTTGCGCCGCTGACGAATGTGAAGCTGATGATCCAAAAGATTTTTTGCGTTCTTGCCGGGCAGCAAGATGTTCTTGTTGACCAGCCTCTTCTTCCCGTACGGGCTCCTGCACAGCACAACTATCAAAGTCGTGATAATTCCTGCAATACTGCTGGAGATGCACGGTTTTGAACACCGGCACCAAATCTGCCACGTCCGGCTCCATTTTCGAGCGTACAACCTGCCAGGCAATGGGGAGATCGGGGACGGATCCGCTCGCCTCGGTCGCGACAAAACGCTTTGGAGATGATGATGAGGAAGCAGAACTGATAGTAGAACCGTGCGGCTTCTGTTGATCTCTTGTTCCTCGGGATTCTTGTTGCTGCCCTATCCTCCTGTCGTTTACGTTTTTCAGTTCAAACAACCGAGTCGTCTTCCGCCCTTCGAGCATCTCTTTCAATCCCGGGACGTTGTGACCTTGTTCGCCGCCCATTTTCTCCAATCGCGCCGCCGTGGAAACGCAGACGGCGTCCAGTAAGCGTTCGCTCTGGGCTGGGGTCGAGTTTGGGAAATTTACCTTCCCCACGAACTTCTTCAGGCAGTTCGTCATTTTGTCCTTGGATTTCTGGACCCGTTTGCGTCTCCTCAACCACTCCGCCATCTTTCGCATCTTCTCGGCTCTCGTTAGGTTTCTCGGCCGCTTTTCCAGCATGGAGGACGCTGCGACCCACTGGTGCTCCTGCTCCTGCTGCTCTTTATTTATTCCGGCTGGTGTGCTGCTGGCACTGTCGTTGTTCATTTTCATCCCTTGTTGCTTCCTCCAGGTAAATTTCTGTTTCGCTACCTGGGCAATGGTGGCTGGAGCCTCCTCCTGTACTAGATGATCATCACTATCATGATGCGCAGGACCAGGAGCTCCTGAGGATGGTGCGACCGTACTTCCTGTGTTCATCAAACTAGCCGACGAGGACTCTCCTCCTGCTGAAGACCCGACTGAATTCGGCCAGAGGCGGTCGGCGGGAGACGTTGAGCTAGTAGGGACTGTGGATGATGATGAGGTCGTGTTGCAGCAGCTTCCTTGCTCGAACACGTCGTTGCTCGTCATGCTACAACCCAGAGCACTGTGCATCCCGGTTGACAAACTGGCGACTTCGCGGAAACAACTTTCTTGCTCATGCTCAACATTCACATCGCCATCGGTACTATGATCTTCCCCAGCAGCTGATCCTCCTCCTCTTATTCTTCTTCCCGCCGCCAGAATCGCCTCAAACTCTTTCCCCGAGAAATTCACATCTTCGGCCAACTTCACCAGACAGGGGTTATTATTTTCTCCGGTAGAAGTTGTTCTTGAAGACGGAGGACAAGCTTTCGATGGGATTTGCGATGCTAGGAGAGGAACTAGAGGCACAGCAGGTCCACGACTTTTGTGCGCTCTCCGATTTGCGACCGCGACGGCGTTCGCTAAAACTTGTTGCCGCAGCTGCAACATCCACTGTGGCAAGCGAATTCGGAGTTTTAGACCTGGGGGAAGGTTGTTGTTCTCGGGCCGCAGTGGTTCTTGTTGGTCATGCGAGTGAAGGCCTTCGGCTTCGTCGAGGAGGACCTCTCCTTCTTCCTCTGCTGCTGGGTCGACATCACCAGGAACAAAATCGTGCTCTGTTTGCTCAACATCATCCCGAGGTCCTCGCGTGGTAGTCCGTCTCCGTGATGCTGATGAAGAAAAACTAGATGGTGCAGACTCTGGTCCACTCGTAGTTCTTTCGTCCGCTGCGGAAGTTGGCCTAGAAGATGTTGCTCTTCCTCTTGCGTCTTGTTCTATGTGTTCTTGATCTTTGTAGGTTACAACTTTCTTCTATCAAACAAAAAAAGTTCGTCACGATCACTCATGCGCATTTTTGCAATACAAAACTGTTTGTCATGCGTCAAAATGCATCACAGCCAAACTTCATTAGAGATTTCCCTAGTGTTTCTGCAATACAAGGAAACTTTGTGATGCTGAGACAATTTGTAATGCAAAACCTGCAAGTTAGTGACTGTGACAAACTTTTTTCTCTCCATATCTTCACCTCGCGCAGAATCTCTCCGTCGCCAAACAAGTCGTCCGGATCATCGTCAACATCTACTTCGTATCAACTGTAAAAATGTCTGGGTCTGGAAGATTCCAACTTGTCATGCTGATTTTGGATTCTAAAAAAATCTGCATTGCATGAGCAGCAAAGAGAGCCCAAGTTTTGCTACACGGAAAGAGCATTTGTCATGCGGTATAGGCATCCGGAAGCCCTCACAAAATCTGTGATGCTAGGGCATGCATCACAGACATCAGGAGTCATCCAAAATGTGCATGACAAGCCTGGCAATCTTCCAGACCCAGACATTTTTACATTTGATACTTCGACCTTATCTTGCTTTGATGTCGTCCGTTGTTCCGCTTGGATCATGTCCAAGTTTTCGCTTGCTTCCTCATCGTCGCGGTCACTGTCGTCGTTGTCGCTGATTACAGGATCGTCGTCCTCGTAGAGACGGGCGCTACTAACCGCCATTTTGTCGTCAATCTTTGTCTATCTTCTACTGGCCCTGATTAAATCTTGACCACTTGCTGTCTGGATGACACCAATACAGTGCTGCCGCTAGTAGGTTGGCGATCTTCAACATGAACATCTCTACTACAATTATACTCCTGCTGACGGATCGGCATCATACTTTAACTTTGTTACAGTTTTTTCACAATGTCGCTTGATATCTGTATCAAAAAGAATGCTCGTTTCGGCGGTATGACTTTGAAATTCACTACTACTTTTGGGTAAGTACTTTTGCGTCGCTGTGTTGATCGTGTCGAAGTCAAACAAATAAAGGAAATAAAGCAAATAAACACCATACCTGACTTGCAACAGGAACACCGATACAAATCCTCAACTAGATCGTTGTCAAAATCAAACAAAAACATTTCAAGCGATCCAATTTGTGAAGATCCGGAGCGATTTTTCGCATCATCATTCACATTCACATAGCATCCGGAATTCAAGAGACAAGATCTTTGTATTTCATTGTTGAAAACAGGATAGATTCTTTTTTTGACAAGTTCAGAAATACAGGAGCGCTGGGTCGTTTCTTTGGATCGAAAACGGATCATGCAGAAAAGAGCTACAATTTGTTGCAGATCTATAATTTTGATTCGGGATTCCAAGCGATGAATGAGTGATTTTTTGCGCTTGCGGTGGTCGTGGTCGTGGACTAAATTTGCCACGACTCACAACACTTTGTTTTCACGGAACACAAACAGAGAACTTACTTGCGCTTGGTCTTTTATGTGATTTTGGTCGTCATTCATCTTGGTTCGGCTAGCGGAAGCGGAATTAATACAACTACGAAGACCATACAGGCTCTACAATCAATGTTGATCATTTTTGACTGACGAGTCCTGTGCGGCAAAAAACCACGACCACGACCACCTCTCCGCCGGCTCAGACGCAAGCATTGTTTTTTTTCTCTGTAGTGGCTGTTAGGTAAAAAAAACGCTTTTTGTAATTGTAGTCGCGCTGCTTTTCATTTTTCCAGCGCGACGCAAAAACTCGCCCGAGCAGCGCATAGGTATTTCGTGTGCTTATTCCCGCACCGTGCGATCAGGCTCGCAGTGCACATTCCAAACCCGTCGCGATCCTCGTCCTCCGCGTTGATGATGATGTTGGCAGTGTGCCCTTTAGCGGACTGCTGCGTGCTACTCCCTCCTCCAGCCCGAGAGCAGCTGAACGCCGATCCTCTATGACGAACAGTTGATCTATACCATAAGGGCGCGGCTGTTATGAGGCTAGGTTTTTTTCGGACTTGGGTGTGGGCCTCACACTCACACACGTCGTTCAGGGGGGACCAAAAACGCACACACTGTAGCACTCTGCATTAGTGTAGGGCGAATCTGATCAGCGACCGAGCCGAGGCTATCAGCCTTGTTTTTTAGGTCCGGCGCAGGGAGTACTTAAACTCCACAACGGCTCGGTCACTGTAGCTCGAGCACCGGACCCACTGCGTATTCCATGACGCAGCGCATACATTTCCCAGTATTAAAAATAAAAACTTTTTGAAAAAATCTTCACAAACTCGCCCTTCAGCAGAACTTTCCTCCGACGAGGATTGATTCTCTGCTTGCGAATAGGTCTACTTTTTCACAGGAGGAATAATCCCGAACCGGAAGCGCCAATTTGTCCCTTTGCCAATTGTTTGTACATCCGGGTGATATCTGCTTGCTCCAGGTTAATGTCAACAAAACTCTGAGTACTAGTATCGTCTTCATCTTCATCGTCCTCCATATCCGTTTCCCCCTCGTCGGTAATCTCCTGCAGCTTCTCCTCCAAAACCTTTTCACAACCGCTTAAATCGATCAGCTCCTGTTGGAAAAATTCCAAACTCACCGGGTTGTGGGCCCTGAAAATGTTGACCTCCGGCTTCTTGAACGGAATATGGAAGCGTCAGGATTGAAATCCTCAAAGTTCAAATAATTTCTCATGCAGAAATTGCAAGGCATGAAGTGCCTCTCTTGCAGGGATTGCAAATGAGGCCGATTGTGAGCCTGTTTCGGGTTTGGAATAGAGCTGCCAAAGTAGCATGACAAAGGGCGCCTTCTGTCCCTAAACAGCATGACAGACTGGCTTTAGACGGTGCCGAAATTTGTCATGCGCCGCTGGGAAATTGGGCTTCCAGCTGGTATCCGTATCGCTTTTATGCATTACAAATAATTTCAACTTTGACGATTTCAATCCTGACGCTTCCATACGGAATGCCCCACTCGTAGTAGACGTCGTCGAAAGAGAGTTTGTCATCTTCGTCGTCTTGTAAAGCTACCTTCCACGGCTCCGGCATGAGTGCGAGGATAAGCTCTGAAGTGTTGGCAGAAGTTGAGGTCGTTTTCTTGTCGATGTAGTCCGCGGTGAGAATCTCAGCGAGCGTGTAGGAGTTTTGCTTCTGCGGCTTGGTCGTCGTCGGTGCTGCAGTATCGATAAAGTTCTTCTACTTTTTGAAGTGAAAGCAAATGCACAGCACTACAGGAACAGGATTGAGTTTGGACACGACAAAAATTCTCTGACTATATTACAGCTGCTTGTCGTTGTCGAGAGACGAAGCCATAGTATTAACTTACACAAGAAGACATATACGGCACCGGTTCTTGCACACATAGATTATTATCTTACCTTTCGCTTCGTCGTCGTCTCCCTCGATCTCCATGATGACATCCCCATCTTCATCATTTTCCGCTGGTTTTTTAGGCCCCGCAGCGCTAGTAATATCAGAAGTTCCTGGCAGCTTATCTTTCCCGTTCTTCCCCAAGCGACGACCTCCTGTCTCCCAATCGTATTCATCTTCGCTATTCTGCCCCAGGTTGATCGCCGTTAAAACTTGGCACATTTCCTCTCCAATTTCCCAGAAATCCAGATCCGCCCGCTCCGCTTGCGTCAGTCCTTCGTACTTCGCCTCCCTCTCCTTCTTTTTCGCCTCGATCTTCATCTTTTTCGCTTGCTTCTTCAGCGCCGCCTTCGACGGACGAAGATCGCGGCCTGCCCTGCTGTGGTCCCGTCGGCTTCGATATTTCAATATCTTGCGGTCGTGGTCACGGTCGCTGTAATTGTACCGATCCCGACTATGATATCTCCCATCTCCACGACCTCTCCTGTCGTTGCTCCTCCACCCGCGCTCTTCTCTGCCACGGTCACGATCTCCGCCTCTATGTAAAAATTCGCGATCTCGGTCGCGGTCGCGGTCCCGATCGCGGTCACGATCGCGGTCACGATCGCGCTCCCTGTCCCGATCCCTGTCTCTGTCCCGATCTCTGCCGCGAAGATCCCGGTCTGCTCTATCACGATCCCTATCCCGGTCCCGGAGATCTCTATCCCGATCTCTGTCCCGAATATCTCTGTCCCGGTCTCTATCCCGCCGGTCTCGGTCGTAATCCCGGTCTCTATCTCGGTCGTAATCGCGGTCTCTATCTCGGTCGTTGTAATCCCGCTCTCTATCTCGGTCGTTGTAGTCCCGGTCTCGGTCCCACCGATCGCGATCACGGTAGTTGTCCCGGTTGCCTCGGTCTCTTCTGTCCCTTTCCCGTTCCCTGTCGCGATCTCTCATGGGATGATCCCAGTCCCTGGGCCGGAAAATCAGTGGAGAGGCGTTCGGGGAACGAGCGCCGAGCTTGATACTGTTGGCTCCTAGCACGAAGCTTGGAGGAGCTTCCTGCTTTCTCAATGTCGGCAGTTGCACCGGAGGGGGCGCGACCGCACCTTTTTTCAAAGTCGGTAACTGGAACTTCGGTGCAGCTTTGGGCCTGATGTCCTTGATGTGAAGGGCTCCTGCGGCAGTTGTAGATGCAGACAAGAACTCCGGCACGACCACCCGGGGGGGAGAGGCTGCTCTCATTTTGTTCGCCCCAGCCGACACCACCATCGGCGCTCGATCATTGTTCCGACCGTTGTCCCTGCTTCCTTTCGGTGATGAAGGCCGTTTCAAACCACCAGCGGGAGGAACAGCTGGTCTTAATATTCTCGGGGATGAAGCTTCTTTTTCGACGCGAGAAGGTGACACTTGTTTCTCTTTCTTCAACCAAGGGCGCGGTATCGGTTCAGGGGAAGGCTCTTTCTTTCCACCCAGAAGTTCTTGTTTCGATTTGTCGTGCACCTGCGGTGCGATTTCAACCGTCGGACGGTCATTGACGCTCTTCTGCAAGAAATCCGGTAGTGCTAATTTTCCGACAGCTTTACTCGACGCCCCATCGGTGCCAGGTTTGTACTTGTCCTCTCGCAGGACATTGTTCGGCAGCACCATCTCTGAAGAGCGAATCCCTGCAGCACGACCAGATGACTTGTTTTCCCGCCTGCGAAGGTAAGTTTCCTTAGCAACACCTCCTCCATCCCGATCATCTTCTCGGACCCTCCCGGCCCGTCTTCCTCGGGATTCACTTCTCCGTTTGTATCTGTAAGAGCGATCACCATCACGATCACGATCTTCTGCATCAGAAGCAAAGGTCCGCTTCAGTGGAGCAAAATCACGCAGACAAAGACGGTCTTGTTTCTTATCGCCGTCCGGGCCCGGGCCCCTGTCGTCCACGCGACGAGCATGAATGCTTTTCCGTGGTTCAGCTTTAATATCCTCATGACCCTTGGCCGTCGTGTAGTTGTGGTTGCTTCTTCTACCAAACACCACGCGCTGTTCGCCGGAAGAAGGCGCAGCATCTTTTTCTTGTTCTAGTTTTTTATCATCTGTTCGCGGCGGAGCAGGCGGTCGAGGAGGTCGTGATGGATGAACATCAACATTTTCCGCTTTCTCGTCCTCTTCACTGCAGTCTTCAAAAGTCAACTTGCTCGACGTCGTCTTCCCGGGAAGGCGGAGACAGCCCCACTTCGTTTCACGACCTTGCTGTCCTTCCACCGCTTTCGCCGCCCTTTGACTTTCTATCTTCGCAATGCGATCGCGTACGGAAACGGTTGCGCCCGGAATCATATCATTGTTCTTCCTGTCTCGGTCACCTGGTGCACCAGAGTAAATGTTGTCCTTCTTCGCATCAAGGAGCGACTTGTGATTATCTTCGACTGGCTTCATATTCATCTCTTGGTCCCTCGTCTTCTTCCCGTCGGAAATTCTAGGTTGATCGAAACTTTTACCGCTAATACCTTTTCTTCCACTTCTACTGCTTTCGTCCTTCAAATCATCATCTTCCCTCGGACTTCTATCGCCGAAACCCGTCTCCTTGCCGAACTTATAGTCGCCCAGCGCGGGCAGCTCCGAATACTCGGAGTACTTATCAGACTCTGCTTCTTCTACTTCTCTTTGCCGATTATTCTGGTTGTTTTTCATCTTTTTACTTTCGACGTTGTCAACGACTAACTTTTGTTGCTTTTCTACCGCAGAACCTGAAGATGCCCGCCTCTTCCGGTCACGATCTTTAATATTATCCGGCGGATCCTCATGCTTGATTACCGCCTTACTAGTGATTTTTGATACTGCTCCTACTTCTCCTTTCTCCCGCAGAACTTTATTCTCTTTGAAACCCTGCGTCTGATCTTTTTGATCCGTTTTGTCGACCATACTATCGCTGTGTTCTTCTTCAACATTGTCGCTGTGTTCTTCTTCTTCTTCAACAGATTCCTCTACAGCCGAAGACGAAACCGCCCCGCTGCTGCTGCTCACCTGGGATTCGTCTTCGTCATCATCCGACGATACTGCTTCATCTTCGTCGTCGTTTTGGGCCGTCGTGTCCCAAAACTTTATCTCCGCAAGCCGTCGAGGATCGGGATGTATTGGTCGTGGTAGTTGTTGATGGAAGCGGCCCCGATCAGATTTCTTCTCCGATGAACGACGTCTACCGCGCATCGTCGTTTTTCCTGGTCGTTTTTTTTCTTCTCGTTTTTTTCTCGATGAACGCTGCTGCTCCAATTCATTTTCGTCGTCATCCTTATCGTCCTTATCAGGACTGGTAACGATCGGCTCCCCATAGGCAAAGTCGGAGTCGCTCTCACTTTCACTCTCTTCCGCTTCGTCGTTCGCAGCGTCTTTATTTCTTTGGGAGTTTAGTACTTTTTCTCTTTCTGGACGACGACCTTTTTTATTATTTTTTCCATCTTCATCCTCCACATCTTCCATTTCAACGTCCCGGCTGTAGTTGCTTGTTCTTTTCGGTCTTTTCGAGCAAGGTCCTTTCGCTTTCTCTACTACAGACGTACGCCTAGTTTTCATCGCCCTCGCGGCCGTATCAACATTTTTATCTTGTTCCCCGGCCTCCTGCTCCTCGGACTTCTCGTCCTCCGAGTGAGCAGACGAGGACTCCTGTTCAAGAGCAGGCGAATCCTCGGGCAGCAACAAAGCTCCATTTCGACTGCGCGGCTGTGGTTGATGCGGGGGTCGGATCGGTAAGATTTTGACGCTTGGACTATTTCTGCCTTCTGGAGTTTTTTTCTGCTGCTGTTGCTCTTTTTTCGCGTTCTTCTTGTTCTTTGCGGTAGCTTCTCCTTCTTTTATTTTTTCCTCGTCCGAATCATGCTGAGGATTATAACTTTCGTTCGACCTACCAGACAGCGATGACTCAGAGTTGTCGTTTTCGGAGATGATCCGCCCGTTACGGAGGGTATGAAAGTTAAAACAGAGGCCGCTTATTCCCTTGGTATTCCACTGTATTGCGTCGTGTGTGTAGGAGTAGGTCTAGGTCGTGTGCGTGTTTTGTGTCTAGTACGAATGACAAAGCCATCAAATTCGAACTGCACTGGAGCAACTTTCTTTCGAAGATGACAAGGTGCAACAGAGATTCCTCAACAAGCGAAGCACTGCAAACTACCCAGGGACGAGCGGCCTTCAACATTCTACCGATCTCATACCGCGAGTTTGCCCCTTGGTAGTTCCGTGGCGGGCGCTGGGAAGCGGCGATGCGCTTTTCTACTGGCTCCTCTCCTGGCTCCTGGTCGTCCACTTCTTCATCGTGCGCTGCCTCTAATTCCGCCTCCTCAGAAGCGGCTTCGTCCTCGGAACCGGAAGGGCAAATGCAAGGAAAAGTAAAGCGCTTAAACTTCTTTTCAATGTCAACGCTAGAGCATATTCCGAATGCTGGGGCCGAGAAGATGAAAAATATCACACAAATACATGATTTTCTGATGTGGTTTTGAAACAAGATGTTGTGATGCACATTAAAACCCTTCACTCGTGCTTCGATTGGCCCTGCGGGAAGAAAAGCTAGCTGTTTTACTTGTCCTTCATCATCCTAAATTGCTGCATGCTTTCCTCTTCCTCTTCGTCCTCAGAGACGCTGCTTCGATATTCCGGACTGTAATCCCTCAAGGCTCCCGGGATGATCAGCATGGGCGCCGGGGGAGGAGCGGGAGGATCTCCTGCGCTGGAACTAGCCGCCTGAGCAGAAGAACCTCCACCAGGACATGCGTTCCGAAAATCGCGGTCTGCCTGATTGACATGGTGAGACGACTGCTGCTCTGGGCTGTTGATTCGGTAGTTGTCCCTGTTGTGCTCCTGCCGTTGTTGGGCTGCAAACACTTCGCTGCTGCTTTCCGGGGAGGACTGGAAGTACTTTTTATCATGACGGCCCTGCTGCTGCTCTAGCAAGCGTCTCCTGTTTTGCGTTGGCACAGGACGCGAACGACGATGCTCACGAAAATCGTTATCTTCCGACCGCTCCGGCGAGAGTTCGTAATCATCCTCGCCGGAGGAGTGCTCGGAAGAAGGCAACGCGGCCCGGTCATCTTGATGTTGCAGCACTCCCGCCCTTGCAGGAAGAACTCCCGCACGACCGCCACCACCCGGATCGTTCTGACCGCCGGGGCTGTTGCTCCGGCTGCTACTGCCGCCCAAAGCGCCACTTCGATGCGCAGCAGGGCCGGGGGCTGACCTGTTCAGACCGGCAAACAGGCTATTGATGGCTTGGTGCCCGCCTTCCTGGTTGCGCACAAATTGCTTTTTGATTTGTTCTATCCTGTGCAAAAGTATCTGTATCGTGCGGCTCGTGCTACATTGAATATAGGAATTGCAATAGCTACTTATTTGCGGTCGTGCATGGCCACAAATCTTGTACGTACTTCACGCGCAAATCAGCATGACGACTACCGCTGGTCCTTCTGAGCAAAACTTGTTCCATCTCCAATGCAATAGCTACTACAAGAACTACGATATTTTTGCAATGCATATCTTGCTGGTTCTGCGCAGACGAGAAGGTGGAAGAGGATGGCATGGGTAGTTTAAACGCATTCGCCGCGAACTTCGTGTCAAGCTTCTTCTTTTTCGGCTCAGGATGTGCATCTTCCGCATTGGACGGGGTGCCGTTCCGTCGACGGCTGCACGCCGACGATTCAGACGAGGAGCCGTCACCCATTCGGTATGCAAGGAAAGAGAGGCAAGCTATTTTTTCGAACAACTGCATTGTTGCTGTCCATGTGTGTAAAGATGGCCATGAATCATCTGTCCAATTTCAGATAGACCGGGGTGAGCAAGTTCCCTCGCTCTTAGACTTCTTTTCGCTTTTGCATAACCTCTAATCGTACTAGCTACAGCACCTCATCACAGTCGTCGTAGCAGCTTCCTTGTCGACTTGGCTGAAAATTATCCAGGATTACCTTCACGAACAACAAAGACATGTCATCATTGGCGCATGCTCCTATCGGCTCCTTGCTTCGTGATGATGATCTATCGCCCCAACATTTCGAACATTTTTGATGTGCTTCTAGTTGTTGGAAAAGATTGGAGCTGCAAACTCCGCCTCTGTATGGGATTCTCTGGATAAGTGAAAAAACCCATCATCTTTTGGTGGTCGTGGGTCGCGTTTCGACGTTATGGACGCTGCGCTTCCAACATCTCGTGTTGTCTTTCCCCTCAGGGCCGCATTTCCGACAGAAAGGCAGTTGATAAGTCCTCTCGCAGGTCGCGACCCTCCTCCTCTTGTCGTTGTCTTTCCTTGCTGTACCTCCTCGACAGCCGAGGACTCCGTGGGGGAGCGGTTATTGAAAAGACAAGACTAGCTAAAGCGGCAACATTTCTGCAACCCTACAGTGTCAGAGAGGTAGATACTGATATCGCCTGAGAAAGAGGAACAACAGCGCTTCAGGAGATGAAAAACTGCTTTCATTGGAAAACTATTTTTACCCCGAATGCTGCAACAAAACACAGCTTCCGCTGCACCTGATTTTCAAAAGAAAACATATGCCATCAACATTTTGATTTTGAGCCTGTATGAAATACAACGCGACCTGTTCTGCATGCTGAAGCTTATTTTCACGGCTTGAGATTGAGTTCTGCTTTCAGACGACTTGAAATGCCAAGTCACGTTCTTGCACACCATCAAAAGCATGCATCTTATCATGTTTTTATTGCAGCGGGCCGCCAGTCTTTTCCTTTTCGAAACGCTCATCACTGTCACTGAACTCGCCCTTTTTCGATCGGAGAAGGCCGGCGCGTTTAGGTGGCATCCTGCAACTCTACTGCGACTTGTTGAGTTGGAAAAGAAGCGAATCAGCTGCAGGCCAGCGCGACCAATTCGATCTTTAACGGCACCTCGTCGTACCAAACGCTCTACGCTAAGTATTTCCAGACGCGACCGTGCTGTAAAGAATGCCCGAGCAGCTCTCGACAGCTCGCCTGACAAAACCCCACTTTGATGGCGTGACGTGGTGGGCGGGGCACAAGAGTTCTACTTCTAATTCTTCGCTGCTTTCGACAAATTCATCTGTAGCTTTGTTGCCATCAATTTTTCCTCCATGATGCGGGAGAGCAGCAAAGTCCCGATCAAACTCAGTTGTCCTGGTGGTATGGGTAAACGCGGCTTCTTGTGGTCTTCGTGGTGGTTCGCTCCGCCAGAAAAATGTCATCAATGTGCTGCGCCGAAAGAAACGTGTAAAGACGGTCTCAGAAGCTATGGTCGTTGAGGTTGATGCGTGTCCTTGCGAGCTCCTCGTCACACGAAGAATTCAGGGTAACCGCACTACGTTTGTGCGCGCGTCCGAGGATAAATTTTGGTTATCAACAATCGGAAATTGCATGTGTGAGCAGCGGGGAATCTTTTTCGTGTTCTACTTTACCCATTAGACGGACAAGCAACTTTGATCAAGCAGCAGATGAAGCGTAGAGAGAGATAGAGACACAGACAACACCCACTCTCGCTTCTTTACATACCACATCACTGAGGCTGTTGATATGATGGAGTAATAGATGTGGCGGCAACAAATTATCATATCTATGGCATCATCAATAAAATAAATGACTGAGACTGATCACGACACACAAGAGAATCTGTCATCGCTGCTGCAACATCGGGGCTCGAACCAAGGGAACGGTTAAGGATCGACGAGTATATCGATACATACAAGCTACCCGGCGGGCGGCAGGCGACGGCAGGCGAGCACCCACGGAAAATGCGGCGACGAAGAGATAACCGCGCTGAGCAGCGCTCACTCCACGCGCGCCATAAGCACAAGCGCGAAAATATATATGTATCAATTGAACAAGAGACGGCCGCGGCGCCGCGCCATTGCTTGGCTGGGCAGACGGGGCTCGGGCGTCTGGCTACGTACTGTCTGACACACAGGCACCATACGCGCGGCGGCCCGGGCCATTCGCCCATACGTAGGCCCGAGCGCCGCGCCCACGCCTCCCTACGTGGGCGCCTTTCCACGCCCGGCAAGATCAAAACACCAAACCGGACGCAGCCGCCGCGGCCGCCGCCGGCCCAATTGGCCGGCGGCACTGAAATCGGCGCGCCTGACTGCCCTGATGCAAACAACCGGGGGGGGGGGGCGCGGAAGGATACCACCCGCCCGGCGGACGCGCGCCCGCGCAGGCAGCAGGGCCATGGGTGCCGGCCCAGCCTACCAGCCAAGGAATGGCGCCCCTCGCCCCCCCCGGCGCCCAAACAGGCCTCAAAGCAGGGGCCCACCCAAACAGCAAGGGCGCGCCACTTACAAAGAACGAAGCCCAAGGCAAGGAAGCACCCGGGCCACCGGCAAAAGAGAAACACCAAAACCGCGCGCCACGCGCGCGCGCCGTCTTCGCTTATCTGCGCGCGGGTTCTCGGACCCCCATCCCCCTTCGTTTTTAACATCCGCAGAGCGCCCCGGCGCGCGCGCGCCTCCCGACCTTCGGCAAGCTCTTGGGGGTAGAGAATCATAGCCGCGCCGGGGGGCCGCGCGCAAACTTTGCGGACTCATCCCCGCGAAATGTTAACCAGTCACCTGGGCAGATCGCGCGCGTGGCGTTTGTTTCTGACCAATCAAGACGGCGCGTCAGGCGGACCACGTACCACCTACCGGGGCCAAATTCTCCGAGAGGTCCCGCGTTTCGCTTTCCGCGCCGACGCCTCCAAGGCGGGGCGGCTTCAGGCCGGTTCGGAGGCGCGCGGAGTGCGGCCCTGCATACGACTCCGCGCGCGCTGATATGGGCCCAGGTCGACTCCTCTACGGAGCCGCTTGGGAGCTTGGAGCAGGTCTGTCGAGATTGAAGCCGCCCCCTGAAGCAGTTTTATCGAGATCGAAGTGGGAAAGTCAGCCGCTATTGCCAAAAGCGCCCGCGCCTCCCTCCCCAGGCGCTTGCAGGCCGCGACGGTGGGCCCACCGACAAGAGGCGGCGCCGCTCTGCGGAGATTCAGACTGTTTGTAGAAAAATAGTCACGACAGGCGAAACATGTATGCGCGGCGTGCTTCATCTTCTTTCGAAATTCATGGAGCGAACACGTCGAATGTTGATGGTTTGCGCGTCTTGCGCTGCGCTAGAGATCAGAAATCTACGTGCTCATCCTGCAGCGCGCTTTGTGTTCATCAGTCGCAGTGCGACAACTTATCAAGTTCGCGTCGTCCTCACCTCACTTCGTTGCCAGTGCCTGTTCGACATTTTTCTCGCTCACGAAACAACAAGCGCCATCAGAATTTATACACTTGCCACAACACCAGCAACAATATCACCAAACTGGGTGCCCAGTGGATCAGCACCGCGGAAACGCTGGTGTAGCGGCCGCAGAAGAAGACCCAGAGCGCCAGTATCACGGAGTTCCAATGTTTGAACCCGCCGTACTGCATGTTATTCAGCACGTCCGCAACGTACGTGTGGCAGTTGTCGACGCAGCCCTTGTGCGATCGACCGGGAGTATGAAAATGGAAAAACTTCTTCATTAGTACATTGGTGAAAGTACTGCTCGAACACGAGAGGCCGTTAACGACTTCGAGAAACAATCACACACGGCGACATCTTCGACATACACAAACGATGAGCCATGCGGTCATACAAAGACGAACCAAGGCTTTGTGCACAGGAAAAATAAAAGCATAGCACTTTTATTCATCGAGCATGCTTTTCTGATAGAAAACGAAAAGAAGAAATCTTTCACAGTTCATAACGGCACTGGCGATTCCCAAGCGACAACCCGTCATTCCAGTTGAGCTTGTGCGCGGAAGCGGGCTTGAGTGGGATATACCTGGTAAGATTGATTTTTGACTCCACAAATGCAATCAAGTAGAACGTGAAAAGCAGTGTGACGCAAATCTTGGAGAACAATACAAAAGGAAAGTATGATGCTCATCGAACAATTCCACCCTGCATTCACTTTCATCAGCGACTTTAGGAAATGACTTGACAAACTCTCTCCCAGCACTATACCTCAGAACCGGTCCGAACGCCAGTCCACCCCCGCAGCTCGCTCCGAGGCCCATGAACTCGTAGATGTCTCCCTTTTCGTCCGCAATCCCCATGTGCCCCACGACCGGGAACAACCACGTGAGCCCGCAAATGCTGCACCACACGATAGAGCTCGGAAAGATTTCCTTGTCGAAATCGAACCGGGGTGGAGGACCATCAACTCCGGCAGACTGTGGTTGATGATGAAAGTTATGATCTCTGTCTAACTGGTCTAAACCTCCGCCGTGCATCTCCCTGCTCCTCGACCTTGTCCGCCCCAGAGCATTCAGCGCTGCAGTGCTGCTGGTGATGCTTGCGGTGGTGCTGGATTCGCCGATCAATCCTCCACCACTTGTTCCTGACGATGATACTAATCTCATCTCCTGTATTAAGACCTGATCAGGCGAGTTGGAGCCGGAATGGGGCGAGTTGCTGCTGGAACTACCCGCAGACCCGGCGCCACCGCCTCGGTGGTGCTGTCCGAAAAGCTGCGTTGTAGTTCCGGTTCCGCCTGCGCGGTCGCCCAGCAACGCCGCGCCGGAGTTCCTTCTCGACGAGCTCGCGCTCTCGTTCGCTGACAACCCCGTGCTGAGGTTGCTCCCAGATGATATTAAGGCCGGTGGCAGCATCGCTTCCCTACTTAACGCCCGTTGGGTGGTGACCGCGGAGCGAAGCTCATCGTGGTCGTAGTGGTCTAGTGTGCTGTCCGGAGCGGAAGTAGAGGTGCGGAGGTGGCGCTCGTTCGGAGGATGTTGTGCTCTACTACTCGAGGAGGAGGAATGGCCACCATGCTGCTGGTTAATATTTCTGTTCTCCCTTATCGCCGGATCGTACAATACCGGTGAAATCTCCTCCGCGTCTACTACTCCGACTACCTCTTGGAGTCGAGCTGGGTAGGGTGAGCGATGAGAGGAAGTTGCCATGTTGATGTTTCGGCTGTTGCTAATGGTGGAACTTATTTTCTGGGTTGAGGATGATGAACTTAAATCATTTTTCGGGTTTTTAACAATGCTAGCGTCTGTTGTTGTTTTACTGTTTGTTTTCTCGTCCTCTATGAAAATTGTAACTACCTCCTCTGGGGCTACGATTTGCGCGTCGTTTTGATCGCTGCGTTTCTTGTCATCTAAATGACTCATCGCGAATTTGCTTTATTATGTTTACAATACACAAAGAAAATATTGAATAGCTCTGCAGGAACTTTACGTTCGCAGACGAAATGGAGCCTGACCTTGTGAAGAGACATGAATATTAACATTCACGGAGACGTCGACCGCCAATAAAGTGAATGCGGACACCAGATCAAAACCAAAACGAGAACAACAGAAGGAGAAAAAATAATGTGAACTCAAAAAGGGTACGGGTAGGTACTAGTATGGCTCTGTCAGCGCGAACATTTGCCTAAAGAACGACAGAAGGAAGGACAGTGAGTGTGTGTGATTAAGACGGCTATGCGGCTACATGTGAATTATACAGGATAGATGCACTCGAGTATCGTGCTCGATATCCAACATACTTTGCTATGCCTAACTACGGAACGGGGTACACATGACATATACAATATGGGGGCAAGAACGGGTCAATCATGAACTGGGAAAAAGTCGCGCTCGCGTTCGCGAGTCTTCAATGCATGAATATAATTTTTACCTAGCGCGTTGTTGACTAGATTGCGCGCCATCGTCGACGAGTTCCGGGTGCACAAGCCTGTAAATGGCCTGTAGCGATGAAGTTTACAACTGGTTCTTTCTGCGAGACTTCTTACTTCCTATCTTTGACCGAATCAGTGGAGTCTTGATCTTCTACAGCTGCCTAGCCAGCCATCGAAAGGAACACTTTTAAAAGTAGCAGGTCGGATGTTGCAGCAGTGACTGCGTCACGTCTGACGTCGCAGGATACACTACGACGTCGACGCCGGCAACTACTTACAAAAACCTGCAAGGCGAGACCAGTAATCGCTGGCTTTGCGCCAGGTCGCTGGATTTGCACCGCTAGACGTTTTGCTTTCTCTTTGAATGTGAATCGGTGTGACAACAACTTCTTCACCATTCTACCGCTCACGAAGTCTATTTCTACTAAAACTGCGCCGGGTTTGCTTCAAACGCAGTGTTCGTACTGGCTCGCGGGGAGAGAAGTCAGTGAATCTCTTGAAGTGGCGAGACAAACAACACAAGTGAAGGTCTTACTGGTTTGAACAGAACAAGATGAGTCCTGCTCTGCCATAGATAAGCATAAGTTTACTTTGAGTATCGGCTGTTCCTGTTACGCCGAACTCCGTTGTCGCCGTGGCACTGAGAGTGCGCAAGTGCAGGAACTAGGTCGACGGGGGTCACGCAAAAAAAGATGAATAGTGATTCTGATCGACTGGCGTAGTCCTCCTGCTAAAACATACTAGTAGAAATCAGTCTAAGAGAAATAAGAACCGGGTCCTATTTTTCAAGACTTCAAAAGAAGAAAAACATAAATGAAGATTTTCAGCAGGGGCAGCGGCGGGTCGATATCAGTACTACTTTCCACATCTGCAGTCCATCCGGGCGGGCAGCAGTTGTTGTGGCGTCTCTACTCAGCGGTGCGCCGCTCCACGAGAAGCGGAAGCAGCTACTGGAGCATCTACAATTTTCTGTCGATGATCAACAAATCAAGCTTCATACGGAATAAATACAGGCGATGATTATCGCTTTCAAAAAGTGATTGATCAAACAAAAAGTGAGGTGAACCTATTGTCAGCAGCGAAAGTCGCCTTTCGCATAAAGAAAGCAAAATATTCGAAAGCATACAAAAATTTTCTGTACACTATAACGAACGAGCGATCGAAGCTACTAGCGCTACGACCACCCGCGACCCTTCCACGGTTTGAATCCAAACCGATTGAAAGGGTTTGCTTAGCCTCAGCAGTTTGCGGGGCCGTCCAGAGCGACGCCCTCTTTCTTGATTTCCGTGAGATCACAGACTTTTTCCACCACGGTTGGGTGGATGCCAACAGTCTCGTTGATGATATCCCGGGTAACGCCACACTTGATCGCCACGGCGAAACCTGCGAGGTCATGCGTGTCAATACATGGTGAACCCATAAATCTGTCATGCGAGTTCTGAAACAACGAACTGAGAATCACCTTCTTCAACACCACAAGTCTGACATTTACTATGTGACAGCTTGTAATATGAACAAGCCGAAATTCTATCTATGTACTTATACCTTGAATCATTTCCCCTGCATTGGGTCCAAGGACGTGCAAGCCCAAGACCTTGTCATTGCTCACGTCGCACACCATTTTCATGTAGCAGGCAGTCTTGCTGCGGTCGTGGTTGCAGCGCCATTCCAGCGGGTGTTGATACCCATGGTATACTTCGATTCCGCTTTTGCCGTATTTTTCTGTCGTTGTAAAAGTTTTCGATGCAGCAGTTTTTCATAAAGTGAATTAATCTAGAACCAAATGGAACAAAGATGTAACTTTAGTGTGTCCTGCATAGAGATAGATGAATGACGAGTGAATACGCAGTAATATTACCAAGTGCGTCGTCCTCGCTCAAGCCTACGGTTCCGAACTCCAGCGGTGTAAACACCGTCGTCGCAACGTTTGTGTAGTCCATGAGCTTCGAGCTGCCGCCAAACAACCGGTTGACTAAAAACTTCCCGGATTGAATCGCGACGGGTGTGAGCTCCAAGCGGCCGTGCGCAATGTCTCCGATAGCGGTGATATTCGGGACGTTTGTCGTGTCGGCGTCGTCGACGAATATTTTGCCGTTCTTCGGATCGTACTTGACCCCAGCGGCTTCCAAGTTCAACTTCGCAGCTAATCCCTGCCGGCCAATCGCCATCAAAACCGTGTCGTAGTCGCCAAACTCCTTGTCGTTGACAAAGACCCTTGTTCGCCCGTCCTCCGTTTTCTCAAATTTGCTCGGAATCATGCCGCGGGCGAACTTCACACCGTGGTCTTCCATGTAGGAACCAATGCGGTCGGCCATGTCGCGATCGAAACCGCGGAGTAGGATGGAGCGGACCTTTGTTTGGATGAGTTGTCAAACGAAAAATCATTAATTTGTATATGCCGAAGCACTAGCACGCATAGATTTATTGACTCAGCTAGCTTTCAAACCTTGGCGACGTTGTATTTCCACTGTGCATAACATTACGCACGAGGGAGTCATCCTCTTTAATCTACTGCAACCGTTATTCGCTCCTGCGTAGCGTTATGCCCGAGGGCTGCACGACTCGGGCTTGGCGCGACAAGCGTTTTCATTCATCTAGGACAAGCACCACTACATCTTTCCGATGATCAAATAAATTAAGTACCATGACAGTCGTGTCAAAGCCCAAGGACGCCAAGAACCCCGCGCACTCCAGCGCGATGTAGCTGGCCCCTACCACCAAGGTCTTGCCTGGCGGCTTGGACCTCCAGAATATCAGAAGGAAAAGTGTCCCCTCCCCATATCGAAAACGAAATGTGTGTTGCTGTATTTGAGTACACAAATCAAATTTGTCTTGCAGTAAAAGACTGCACGCAGATCGCAAGCCTAAGGGGGGGCCTCTTGGTGTAGGGGCCTAGCATGCCAGACGTCTGCCCTATAGGCCTTGCAGCATTACAAATCGCCTGCATATCGTGGCGGAGTCTCTGAGTTTGCCCTCTTGCAAGAGAGACAGGATTTGTGGTCACAAATCAGCATCGCAAACTTTTAGAAACATACCTTTTCAGTATGGGCAGGGGGGATTTTTCCTTTTGATACAGAAAATGTCGTCGCTGGAGATGTATGAAATGCAAAAGTGTCTGGGTCTGGAAGATTCTGAGACTTGTCACGCACGTTTTGCATGGGCCATGATGTCTGTGAGGCATGCCCTAGCATCACAGACTTTTTGAGGGCTTCGCGATGCCTATTCCGCATGACAAATGCCCTCTCTGCGTAGCCAGAATTGCATTCCCTTTGCTGCTTTATGCAATACAGGTTTTTTCGGAATCCAAATGCAGCATCACAAGTTCGGATTCTTCCAGACCCAGACATTTTTGCAGTCGGTAAGATGCAGCACTCCTCGACGCCGGGGTAGCCGCCCATGTTCGGTCTGCCGCCCACGGCGACCATGATTTTGTCCGCGGTGACCTGCTCGAGATTCCCCTTCTTGTCGCGCAGCTGCAGTGTGTGTGCGTCGACGAAAGTCGCGTGTTTGTTGTAGTATTTCACGTCCTTTGTTCTCAAGTCTGTTTTGTTGCCCCAGTTGCTGTATCAAATGCAAAAGCATCGCACTCGTACTAATCGCAGATACGCATGACAAATCTGATTCCAAAGGTAAATCAGCATGACAAGTTCCATTTTACATTCTGAGGAAATTTGTCATGCGAGGATTTATACTAGTACGATACTTTTGCAATACATATGCTGCCCTTGATGTAGTTGTCAATGTTGGTGATCATCGCGTCCCAACTGTGCATTGCGTGAAATTCCCAACTATCAAATGTAAAAATGTCTGGGTCTGGAAGATTCTGAGACTTGGTTGGTTGGTTGGATAGCGCCTGTCGCCGGTGCAGGTCCCGCCCTCCATCGATTGCGATCCGGAGTAGCCGGAACACAGGGCCCTAGTGGCACGGGTCATGCATGTTTTGCATGACCCAGGATGTCTGTAATGCACGGCCGCGCATCACAGGTCTTGAGAGGGCTTCCTGATGCCTCCTCCGCATGACAAACGCCCTCCCCGCGTAGCACAAACTAGACTCCTATTGCTGGTCATGCAATACAGATTTTTCTAGAGTCCAAAGCTAGCAGCACAAGTTCCAATCTTCCAGACCCAGACATTTTTACATTTGATACCAACCCAACGCCGCAAAATCCTGCTGAAACTCGGGCGCCTGAGCCGCGAAGTGGCACAACTTCTTCGGGATGCAGCTGTTGTTTGATCATTCTAGTAGTCCTCAAGGTTTTTGCGTTGTTTTTTGCAAGGGTGATCATCAGTTGGTTGTCCAAAAACAAGATTTCATTTATTTCATAAACGCACGGAAGTTAGTAAACATGAAACAAAGAAGTTCAAATTTTGATGAAAATAACATCACACTCCTCAATTATCAGAAGTATAACTCACCCGACGTTTAAACACGTGCCACCGAGCCCCCAGCTTGTCCCTGCTGGACTGGGTTCCACAAAGTCCGCTACTGCAGTCTTCTTCCCCATTTCCCCTGCCTTCTTGGCGGCGGCGAGACCGCCGGACCCGCCACCCACCACGAACAGGTCATAATCGTACCCGTGCTCCGTCATTTTTGCGACTAAGGATGAAGCCCTTTCGTTCTCGAGAGAAAACACGTCCTTGTTATTCACCTCCGCGGTCTTATTTTCTTTCTCCTCCTTCTTGGAAAACAAACCGCTGAAAAAGTGTCGCTTCTGTTGAGAGGAATTCGTTCTTGCCGCGTCTTGCTTTTGCTCGCAATAAACGAGATGAGGTTCTTGTTCCTGTGCCTGTTCGTTTATTTTCCTCACGGTCAGGATCCCAAGCCCGGAGCTGAAATGCTGTAAGCCTGCTGGTCCAGCGCGCGTGGAGCCGGCAAGCCTACTGGCGAAGTTGAAAGAACCTCCAAACGGACTCACCGCGCAGAAGGTCCGGTATGACACCCTCAGGTTGGAAATCCTCAAAGTGGAAATAATTTGTGATGCATGAAATGCCAGGCAAAAAACACTGTATTGCAGAGGACACAATGGAGGAGGCCGACTATTGTCCTGCTAGGGGTGAAGAATTGGGCTGCTAATTAGCACGACAGGAGGGCACCCCTTTGCCTAACTAGCATGACAGAGACGTTTTGAGTGCCCGGGAAATTTGTCATGCGCCGACTACAAATGACGCTTCAACTGGAGTCGTTTTTTTGCATTACAAATTATTTTCACTTTGAGGATTTCCAACCTGAGGCTTTCATATCCGGGGACGAGTGGTGGCTCCAGTAACAGCAGTTCGTACTTTAGACGGACGGAGCGTGTGATATTCGCTTTGTTGTTGGAGCTGACAGAAAAGTCTACTAGTTGCCTTCGAAGACGAAAGTTGTGAAGTAGGATTTACGATTTTATTGGGTAAACTTGTCAATGAAAAAGGTGTTGCTTTTGTATTATTAAAAACGTTTGTCTTCACAAAACGACATGAAGTCGCGAGGTTCATACTACATGAGGTACACTAGAGCTACTTCGGTGTACACGGGACTATAGCAAGCTCGTCCAAATCACTGTTTGTGAAGATTCAATCAATCAGAAGGGATTTCTTTTTTTTCGGTCACAATCGAAGTGCTCGGCGGTCGTGTGTGGCCGCCAAATAAATCAGTTCCTCATAAAAAAAACTTCTTTGGCGTCAGTTCCTCTCATGGCGTTGATTTACCAGAACCTTCTTTGCGAAGATCACGCAAACTCGAACATCTGTCACCTCCATGCCTGCCGCTCGAGCGGAGAGCAACTTTTATCGTCCCGTCGAAAGGGTGAGTAAAGCAGTGGAGGTCGTTTTTACTTTGCTCTGATACAACGAACTTTACTTTTGCTCTGACTTGTTCTTCTTGGATATTTATTACTGCAGCCCTATAAAAATTCAGATGAATATAAGCGCACTGATGCGTCGTGGCACTGATGCTGGGAAACAAAGGGCACGGGGCGAATAAATCATCGAGAGCTACAATAAAGTTCAGGTAGTTGTGGGTAGTTTGCTGTTTTTAAACTCAACTTTTTGCTTCTGAACTCGTTGATTTTGGTTGATTCGCTAGTAGATGAGGGAAACGGAAAACTCATCATCAAAAACCATAAAATACATGAGATTTTTTTCTGGTGGAAAAAATGTCGTCTTATGCTTTTACTTTAATATTGCGCCGTCTCATCAATTCAATATCGTTGCTCGAAATTACACCTACTAAACTAGCTTTGGCGAAGTAGATTTTGTTTCTGTGCATCATATTCAGTCGACTCACGGTTCCATGGCACTCTTGATAACTTATTTTCTGGTCGCCGTGTCCGTCGGTGATAGATGAGTACTATGCAGCAGCTAGATTCTACTGCAGCTGTGCATTGTTTTTGTCGTATCGGACCGGAGAAGACGTTTTAGACAGCACAGACCTGCAGCTAGGTAATAGCAGAAAAGGAAAAGGATGAAGACCACACAAATATAAGCATCAAGACGAAGACGTAGACGTTACAGGGAGCATTAACATACTTATATTGAATTCATCGGGTGGAGCGCACGTTGTTACATTTTGCAGAAGGGAAGATCATAAAAAGTTCATAAAGCGCATCACGTTGTTACAAGGAAGTCTGAAATTGTATAGGTACAAAACATTTGAAGTTCAAAATAATCACCACGCACGACGGCATTACCGTGATTTACAGCTGCGCCGCGTTTCGTTACCACAGCACTGGGCTGCTTTTCTTATTAATTTGCCTATAATCAAAGCCGTAGTAGTTTCATGCAGCACTATTTTACTCTTCCAGCATCTTTTGCGAATCGGCATGGTCTCTTCTTCATGCCCCCGCTACTCCAGCAATGCGGTTCTTGCGCCATTGCTTTCACGAATCTGTTCTGAGAATATTAAAACGAGTTTCTTGAGGTTTCTTGTGGAAATTTTGCTAATGATAAAAAGGTTTCTGAGAAGATAATGTAATTGTATTGGGACAGCTAATTTTGGAAATGAGTAGATTGCCTGAGCTGCAAACCACGGAAGAACCGCCCCAGCCTCCTCTTTTCCTTGCGCGAAAAGAGGTATGATTTTTCGATATCACACATAATTGCACGCGGCCTAATCGAGGTTCTGTTTCATTCGAAAATCCATTTGTTCCATGCGTTTTAATACAAATCTACATTCCCGGTGGCAGCGGTGGGGGTGGCGGGATGCCGCTATCTTCCACGGCGTCGCCGACGTCTTTCGTTTTCTGCTTTCTCACCGGCTGCTGCATCGCCTGCTCGCGCAGGTTCTGGGAGACCACTAAATTGTTGATCAGGCCCTGGCGCGTGCCGACCTTCGAACTGAGATCCTTCTGCCTCTTGCGTGAAAAGTCGCGCTCGTGCAGCTCTGCCTCGGTGATGCCCCACATATCGTCGAGACGTTCGAGAAGCATCTGGGTTCATGTTTTGTTTTGGAATGAAACGCTGATGAATAAAAAGTAGTTGCAAAAGAACAAAACGCGAGGGAGTACACTGTATTAAGCCCTAAAAAATGCATCTTTGCGTGACGGCTGCAAAAGGTGAGCGACACGACGCCGAAAAACAAATCATACCTTCGTGATAGAAACAAAAGAATTTGCAGTTTCTTCGAGAAAACATTTACGCGCAAGTCCATCAAATTCAAATTAGACAAACAAAGCGATACAAAATAAAAAAAAAAAAATCTTTAATACATCCGCCTGCTGAATAAGTTTATCCGCCTGTCCCTGCAAGTTCATGGCCCTTCTGCTTGCTCTCTGCACGTACGCTAATAGTTGGATCATATCGCCTCCTTGCGCGGGCCCCTTCATCTTCTGCACACCCACGATAAACTCATCGACGGAGAGAGATTGAGAATTGTCCACATCGAGGAGGAAAAACAACTCTTCGGCCTGATAGTTTTTGTTTTGTCCGTAGGTAGGGTTCTAGTGTCGCATCACAAAAAATTTATTTCATATAGTTCAAGTTCTCACGCTCGAAAATAGATCAGTAGTGCTAGTGCAGGACAAAAACAGGAAATACTAAGAAAATAGAAATACGTCCTCCAACGGCAGCCCAATAATTTTCAACTTCGACTGGAAGCTTTTTGTTCTTATCGCTTCGCAGAACTGCTCGAAGTTCAGCTCCCCGGTGCTGCTCGCGTCGGCGAACTCCATAAACTCGATTCGCATGGAATTCATGACGCGCTTCTCGCACTCGAGGATGATGTTTTGCACGTTCTGGTCGTTTTCCTTTGCGACGAGCAAGGTTCGCTCGACGATGACACCGATAATGACGTTGAGAAGACCAAAGGAGCACAGAACGATAACGATGAGGCATAGGACGACAAGGGAAACATCCTGCTTCATGGACGTATGGAAAGGGAAACATGCTCTTCTTGGTGAGGGTGATTCAACTTGTTTTCATGTGTGAATACCATTCACGTGAACGGTAATACACATGATAAGCTCTCTCTTGATGTTGATTCCAGCCTGCTGCATAACATAATACACGATGGTATGGTAGACGATTAAAATATTAATGTACCTCATACACCACAATACCATCGTGAGTAACATCTTGCGCGACGGTATAATGCGCGTCTGAAAAGCGACAAGTCAAAATCATTAGAAGAAACATGTTTCACTATCGTAAATTGGCCTGACAATTGACCCCGACCAGGATTCCAACGTGATAATCTGTCGTGTGATGATTGATGTGGAATAGAGTTAGTTTTTCGACGGAATTAATACGTTCTTTTAATTTGCAAATCCAACCCAAGCAAAACAGAAAAACTTTTTACCTGAAACACGGTGAGCATGGCTCGTGGCACGGATCCTACATAGACATCCATATCTGGCCAGTGGTTTTTGAATTCCTTGACACTTCCTACTGCGATGACTAACAGCACCCCGATCGCGTAGCAGACGACGAAAAGTAGAACTGAAACCCAGAAAACGGTTACCAGCGATTCGTAGAAACCTTTGATTTTTTTTTTGTGAAGTTGATCTCTGACCGTGTTGTAACCCACCACTACCAAAAACAAAATAAGTACTGTGTGCTGTTTGTCTTCAATCACATAGTGTAACTATAATTGTTGCTCCGTCGAACAAAAATTTAGGAATCTAAATCAAATACCTTTCACAATCGTCCACAAATCCCGGAACATCCTGAGCAATCGAATCTGTCGCACCACACGGAGCATACGCAACATACGGAATGCGGTAATCACCTTCATCTCACCCTCGCCTTGAAACATGAAGCGCACGACGATCTGATTTGTAGACAAAGCTAAAGATCATTGCATTTTGGGATAACAAAGTACAAATTCGTTGTGATTAGGCAAGTACAGCCTGTGCTGCATGACATTGCATTTTTGCGGGAGCCTCACAAAAAAGAAAACAAGTGATCTATTCAGTACATCCACAAACCCGAGCACAACGAGATGGTAATCCAGGATGTTCCACGGATCCAGGAAGTATCCCCACTGCAGCTATCACAGGAAAAAACATTGTAGGTGTAATTTTTTTGGAGGAACAGCATTACAAATTTGTCTGGCATGACAGCAAAAACCTGTCATGCGCAGATAGTACGGGAAAACGCCCTTTGGTGGACCCTATGACGCATGCCAAGAATGACAGACTCAATCACTTTGCGCGTTGCGCGTGACAAATCTACACGTAACAACGTTTTTTTTTTTGGATAGCAGCAGTTGTAGTTTTATTATCATTTCCGCGAGAAAGATCGCCAGAAAGCAGATCTCGAAGATGACAAAGATCAGAGTGTGCTCCAGCTTGTCTGACTTTGCCGTGTCTACCTCCAACCCAATCATGAAGGCGTTGAACACAATGGTGAACGCGACGAGGGAGGTCAGGTATTTACTGTTCGACGGGTGTTTTTGTCTCGCCATCAGGTCGTGCGTGGTCATCACGTGCATCTGCTGGAAAACCGATCGGAACTGCTATTACAGTGAAAAATGCCCCCCGCCCCCAAAGTCGCAAAAATTTGTGATGCGAAGTTTCCAAATGAAAACTTTTTGTCATGCATGCAAGAAGTATGAATCTTTCCGATGCAGAGTCTAGGCGTGTATCGCATCGCTTGCATGACAAGCGCCACCTTTGCTGCGGTCTCTTGCAATACAAATTTTTGCTATTCACGATTGGAAATCTGTGATGCTGATAGATGCAAGAAGGCGGATGTTTCATGCATACAAATGAAAAGGTTTGCAATGCAAATGCCCCCAAATTCGGGGGTGGGGGCATTTTTCACTTTGATAACTGCCCGGTGTGCTCTATCATCTGGCCATTGGCACCGTTACCGTTGGCGCCATTGCCATTCCCGTTCGGCGCCTCCCCGCCATTGCCGCCGGATTCGGCGGGAGCTGGTTTTTTTTTTTAATTTTGGAAATGTTTCGCATTTAGAAAAGAAAAGCTGGCTCATGCCGTCCTCTATGTGTGCCGAGGAGATGTTGAAGCAAAGCGTGTAGTTGATAGTTGTTGTATCTCGTGTAGTTTTTAGTCCTGTTGTAGAAAGCCCAAACATGATATACATTCGTACCTGTTGAGCTCTTAGCCTTGCTCGCGTCGGCCATTTTGTTTCTCTGGTCGGCGCGCGATTTGAAGAGAGCTCAGGTCTGCGGGCGCAGCAGCGGTGTCGATTCAGCAGGAACTTTGTCTGTAGATTTCCGTCTTTCGATGAACTTGGTTGAATATCACTACCACGGTAGTGAAAATTCCCCGGCGAAGTAGTTCTTGTGGGACAAGCTGCGCGTTAGCGTGGCCGTCTGCGCTTGCGCGGCGACGTTGAGGTGAGTGCTGACATTATCCTTTTTAATGTGTAGCTCTATGAAGATAAAAACGCAGGAGAAGGTGAGGATCTACAGCTTCGAAGGCATTTTTTATTGTTCATCTCTCTCTAAAAAACGTCTTGCTGTTTCGTTTCTCAGGGTTGACGAATTATGACATGCGAAAAAAAGATTGGGAGGTGGATAACTTGACGAGTAGAACAAGAATAAGAGACGACAACGAGGCTGGCACATTTGAGATTCCGCAACTTCCACATTCCCTTGATGTTCCTTCGTCCTCTATCGATAAAACATTCCACTTGCGCTCCGTGTTTTCGTTTTCGACAAACTCGCTCGCGAAAAATCATATTCGTTCACAGCTCTTCACTTAATAGAATCAATCTCGACCTCTTCCCTCCCTCACAATCTCTCTTCTCGTCCCTCACAATGCGACTAACAGTGCTAGTGCTACTGGTGCTCTACTAGTACTCCTATCTCGCTTCGTATTCGTTCTCCTCTCTCACGTCGTTCAACGAGATACGTGCGGGCGACATTTTTGGGATCTGTCACTTGCCAGGCCAGTGCATCAGCAAGCCAGAAGCATACTGTGCGAGTCGCGCCTTTGATTTTGCCTCGCTTGTTAATTCTTACTTGCTCATACAACCATATGCGACGTTCATTCGTAGACAAGACAGTCTGATGAAACTGAAACAATTTGTTCTGCCGTGCAGGTGCAGTGTGGTCATTCAAATAGACGAGATTTTTGCATAATATATAAATTCGTACAACGCTACTTGTTTACTTTCTCAAAACTCTTCCTCTGCTAGTTCTGAGTCCGAGCGGCCACGCTCCGGGTCATTTCCATTTGTTTTTGAAACTTTATTTTCTTTTTCGGCCGCAAAGCCGTTGTTCTTGTTTGCGAAAGCACTCGGCACCTTCATCGGCACGGTGGGTAAGCGGGAGACGTCGAATGTGGTCGCAGAAGTAGAAACAGGGTCATTTTTCGCCGGTGTTGTAGTCCTCGTCGTTCCCGGAATGTCGCCAAAAACCTTTCCGGAAACCCGCACCGGCTGGATTTTCGCTAGAGCCTTCTCCCTCTCCTTCGTGGTAGAAACCACAGTACTCGGCGGAACCGCGTCGGACGAGTAGTAGGAAATATTGTCGTCAAAATCCACTTCTTTCTCCGACGAAGACAGGACTGCACCGTCCATTTTCATCACGTCTGCTGGATGAAGAACACTGGTACCAGGAGCGACTCGTTCGCTTATTTTGCTCGTATCCCGACTGGAGGTTAAGTCCCCGCGAGCAGGACCCGATGAGCTATCCTTTGACTCGTCTGTGGAGCTTTTCTTGGAAAGAAACACAGACTCTAACTCCACTTCCGAGGAGTGGGCGGACTTCGGACTGTGTTTTTGCTTGATGCCCCTGGGATCGTCGATTTCCACCTTTTTCTTGTTCCTAGATGTTGCCCCCGCCGCGCCAGCTGCTTTCTTCAAAGACGCCTCCGTGCCGTCGAAGTCCGTTTCATCATTGTCGACATTGTCATCGAACTGCACAAGATTCGTGTTCAACATCATCCCCGCCGACAGTCCACGGCCACCACCCCCGCTACTCTTTTTCCCGAATTCGATCCGAATTTGCGCCAATAGTCTCCGTTTTTTCTTCCGGTCCACTAAGAGACTGAACACGTTTTTCTCAAACTGTTCGACCGGGATTCCGGGGAGGCGCCGGTACATTTTCACTTCGTTATCAAATGCAAATACGTCTGGGCCTGGAAGATTGCCACGTTTGTCATGCATATTTCACATGACGCATGACGCCTGTAATGCATGCCCCAGCATCACAGATTTCCTCAGGGCTTCCTGATGCTTATTTCGCATGAGAAATTGAAATGTCCTCCCCGCGTAGCGCAAAGTGGACTCCTCTTGCTAGTCATCCAATACAGACTTTTTTGGAATCCAAACACCGCATCACAAGTTACCACCTTCTAGACCCAGACATATTTGCAATACATATTCGTCGTGCGGGAGCAAGTGCCCGGCGGAAACGTGGTTCTCCGCCTCCGCGATCGCCAAGTCATCGTCGTCGTCTAAAATCCGGCGAATCGGCTGCAGTTTCGCGGAAGTGGGTTGCGAAGATGTTGCGGCTGCACTGCTGGAATTCTTGTTGTTTCTTCGATTCCACACGTCCTTCGTCGCTCTCATCTTTCTCGTGGCGGACCGGAGAATCGCCGTCAGGACGGACTTATGCATTGCAAAAGCATCGCACTAGTACAAAGCGCATGACAAATTTTTCGTAAAGGAAAAATCAAATTTGTCGTGCAGAACAAGCTAAAAAAGCAGATCTGCCATGCAAGACCTGCATTTATACGAGTGCGATGCCTTTGCACAGGATAGGATTCCCTAGTAGTGCTGGGGTCTTGATGATGTTCTGCTGTTGAAGATGTTCCTCCAGAACCGCCCGACAGATAGAAACTGGTGTTCTCGTCGCTGTCAAAACTGCCGTCGAAATGCGTTCGCCAGAGCCCGATGAGACTCAGTTTCGCAGTTCTGCTCTTATCCGGCGTTTCCCGAAACTTCGTTTTCCACTTTCGATACGCGCCCGTGTCGTCCCGCGTCGACTTCGCGTTGCTTCTCCCCACGCGGTGCGAGAGGTTGCGCATCTGCGCACTGGCGTACTCGACGAAGCAGCGGAGGAGGACGGCGCGGTAGATTTCCGGGAGGTTAGTGGCGAACTGGTGTTCAGAGGATGAACTCGACGAGGACGCAGCACGAGACGAGCCACGACCTGTGGTCATGCCGGAGCTCATTCCCAAATGCGAAAAGTACTCGCAGACCCTCCTGATTGCCAAAAACACCACTTCCTTCCCCGTGCGGTTCAATCGCGTGACGTCTAAGACATCGGATTGGACGCTGTAGTCTCCCGTCCTGTCCTGGTCCACGTTCGGGTAATAATAGATGAGATGATGAGAGGAAACAAATCTCCGTCTGTGAAGATGTTGTTGACTTTGATGTCCTCGTCCGTAGGTGCTCTCGTGGACGAAGAGGAATTCCCTGCAACGCTCGACAAAATCGCCAAAGAGAAGCGAAAAAACACCCGTCCCGTGCAGCAACTTCAAATCATCAGCAGTCAGATCTCCCGCGTCACGAGCTTTATTCCGCCTCTTCATTTTCGCCTTGAGCGCCAGGTGTCTCCGGCGCGCAACTTCGCGCTTCTGCTTTTTCGTTTCATCTTTTTCTGGATCTGCTGCTCCTTCCCCGTGGTCTCTATCGGAGGTGGTGTTGCTGGTTTTTGATCGCTGGCTTTTGCTTGTGTCGGATGAGGAGGAAGAATCATCCGCGGACAAGGCGTCGTTAATATCGTTTTCTTCGTCAAAATTGCCGAAGTCACCCTCGTCCTCAGATGAAGAGGAGGATGAAAAGGCTGCACCAGCAGCCAGGTCCCGATCTCGCAGACACGCAGAGAACAAGGTGGACAAGACAAACCGCAGCACGTTTTTCAGACCGGTGAAAACTGCGGAAATGGGTTCCTCCGAAATAGGAAGTAAGAAGTCTAGACCGCAGGCCTGCAGGATGAAGGTCCCGACTAATTTCCAAATTGTGGTGAGGACGAAAATAGTGTGCAAAACGAGGAGGATGTCGATTGGGAGAAAATAATCTGCGTCGGATTGATTTGACGGGGAGGTGGTCGTAGAAGAATTGTTTTTGATTCTTCCTTCGTACCACACGCCGATCAGGCTCGTGGCAAGCATCAAATGCAGCTGAAAACTTTCCGCGAACCCCGCGATTGGAAATGCAGCGAACGCGTCGTCCTTGTGGTGCAGAAACAAGAGAGTAACCGCGAGGAGGAAGAGAAGCAAGTGCAACGACGGAAGTGTTGTGTCGAGGTTCTTCGGTGAGGTAGAAGAGAAATCAGCGCCGGAAAACTCAGTGACGCAGACATAATACCCCGCGACGAGCAGAACTAGCACACCCTTCACGATCATCTTCTTCTCAACCGCATAAAGCGGTTCCCAGAGGGCGCCCGAGGTCAAGAACCCCCACAACTGGTTTGCAAACTGCTCTCCGTTACTCGTGGACAAACCAACTGAGCTCTTCAGGCAGCAATGGGCGACGAACTGGCGCAGGCAGAACGGAATCCAGAACCCGAAAAGGAAAACCCCGAGATAGATCAGAGAGAGCGCTGCCGATTTTCCAATAGAAGCGGCGGAGGCTGCTCCTCCGTTCAGCGTGTGGATGTTGACCGCTTCGAGGAGGAGGCAAACGAGCGAAATCCCCTGCGTGAGGTACAGTAAGTTTACAGCGGTGGGGAAAATCTGCCGGCAACTTTCCAGCACGACTTGCCAAAAATTCATCCCGCGGTAAACCTCCACATGCGAAGCGCCTTCTTTCCTTCTGAAGCCACACCGGTACCGGTACCAGCCGCAGAGGAGTGAGAGAAAGAGCAGACCTGACAGGACAACCAATGGAAGCAGGTATGCGACGGCCAGAAGAGACAGTTGGGAATCGTCCTCGTTCTTGCTACTTACTGATAGATGTGCAGCATGTGCTCCCGATGAGGCAGGCGCAGATGTTCCAGCACTGCTCGCTGCGACAAAAGAAACGCTACACCCGGCTTCTGTAGTTTTGCCCGTAACCGTTGCAGACGCTGGGTACCAGAATGCATGTGGAGATGTACCCGCTGACAAACTGCCGACCTCAAACGGGTTGTGCAGCCACTGCAGGAGTCTTTCGATGCTTCCCAGAAACCCGGTTGTACTGTGGTCGCGCGGAACGAGCAGCGTAGTCGCACTCGAAGTGGAACTGCTCGAGACCACGTCGATGGCATGCCGCTGGTCCCGCAGGTTCAGCAACAAAGACAGCGGCAAGCAGCCGAGCAGCGGGTAGTCGAAAAGCGTCCGGAGCAGCGCGAGCTTCTCTTCCCGCATGTGCAGCGACCACTCGCCCTTCCGCTTGTGGCTACTGGACAGTCGGCCGCGGCCGCTTGCGAGAATGCCGGGTCTGGATGTGGAGGAAACGCTGCCGCTTGGTAAGAGAATGGCTTTGAGGAGAGAATCCTGTGTCGGGGAGATACCTGCTGGGTTTTCAAATAGCATGGCACACAAACATCTTCTTCGCCGGAAGAACAACTAATCGCAAGATAATAGCACACGAATTGTAGCTATTCTTTCAGTCAGCGCACCAGCCGCATGAAGTTGAACCACATACGATATTTCCTCAACTCTCACAACATTTTTTCATACCTTCCGGATACCGCAGGAACGCCCAAATCCGTCCATTCTGCAGGGTCGCGACAAAGGAGAGTAGCAAAAAAACCAGAACTGCGACGAAGACAAAGTTTGCAAGTGAAGTCGTCGGAGAAAAGACCAGCAACCGCACTTCGCAGTTTTCCGTTGCAGTAGTCGTGAGATCGCGGCTCACGGGCGATGTTGATGTGCTCAAGCCGGTCATTTATTTTTGCAGGGAATTGTTATTTGGCCTCGTTGCTACTGGCAGACGGTTAGTCACAATCCAGTGGCGGCCTATTCTGGGTTTCATCGCACCTTCTTTGCCACGACTTAGATAGTTATCGCACTCTTATGTCTCTCGCTTGCGGCTACCGGTCCAACAACAACAACAAAATCCGATTTGACGCGACGATCATAAAATCAATGTCACTCATCAACTTGAACTTCTACGTCATCAGATCACAAATCTCGAAGCAAGTTGCTGTCACTTCATCTTCGTCATTCCCTATTTCTCAATCACAATAACCCTTCTCTCTCATGGTCATGCGAATTGACATAGCTACTCGGGGGATGAACAAAGATACCTACCGAGAAGGAACGAGCGCAGCGACACACACGCGACGACACGCGCACACTCCTCAGCGCTGTTGGCAGAAATGAATAGCGACGCTGCGGCGGGAGGGCGCGCGCCACCGAACGTCGACCCGACGGAGCCACACATGGCGAGCGACCGTCCGCCCAGATGCAGCTGGAAAAGCCTCTCGACGTGGCTAGGCGGCGATTAGGGGGCAAACCTTCCTCCCTTCCGCGCGAAAGCAAACCCCGAACAAACATCGCCAGAAGAAGACCCGGGCCATGCTTCCCGTGGCTGCGCCCATACAAAGGGCCAACGCGATTAAGTACGGGCGCCAACTGCTCGGGGGCGACGGGCACACAAGCGCAGCCGCGCGGGGCATGCCCACAACCTGCCGGCGCTGATTGAAAGCCTGAAGGCCCCCGGGCGGCTACGCGAAGCGCGAAAGGGCTGCCCGCCGGGGGGGGGGGGGCGGCGGGGCGAATGTATGACGGGCGTAGCCCGGCCCACGCAAAGCAAACGGGGCGCCCGCGGCAGAGCACGAAGAACAGGAGCCGGGCGCCGCTGCGCTCTCCTGGCGGGCGGCGGTCGGGGGCTGCTCCGCTGCGCCTGCGCTCCGGCTGTCTGTTATTCTGTTTGAGGGTGAGCACGGGCAGCGACGCCGCTGCAGCAGGTGGGTCGCCCGCAGCACTCCGCCAGCGACGGCTCGCGCAGCCCTCATCGATTGGCAAAAGACGGAAACGCGCGCCAGTGCAGACATAAGAAAAAACAAAATCCGCGGCGCGCGCCCGGTTGGCGCCGGCGCCGCTAGCCCCGGCACGCGACCGCGTCGCCCAAAAGTCTGACCCTCCACCACAGGCGCATCTTGTTCGTACTTGCTACCTATCCGGCGAGCCACGGGTCGCTCCAGCACAACTAAATGAGAGCAGATCTATTGGTATTGCGAAGTACTCGACCACTCGTCCACCATACGGATTACTCGCTACTGACTCCTCCAGGTCGCGGCTCAGAGGAAATAGACACTCACCCTCAACAAGTTAGTAGATGTTGCGCGCGAGTACCTAGCCAGAGCCAGACTAGGACAGAAACACTGCTGGTCTCATTCGTGCGATCCCTCACAACTCTTCCTGCTCCTGCAGCGGCTCCTGCATCCAACAATGACAACCAAATAACAACACTCGTACACCCCACAATCGTTTATTTCATCTCTTTGAACCACGACACATCGCGCAACAATTTTCCCATATGTTTGCCGACTGCTGCTCCATTGAGTTTCAGATAAACACATCATCGAGGTGGAGAATCGATGAAGCAACACCCATTGCACCTCGAATTCAACAGGGACAAATCAAGCGACAGACTCGTTCCATTGCTGTTCAGGCTTGATGCAACCGGAAAATGAAAAGCTCTTTACTGTTCTTCCAGCATCCACATACCTTCCACTTCCATCCTTCTTGATGTCCACCCAGGAGCTCAAAATTGTCCTGCAATCTATCCATCTAATCCTGTGGCGCTGGACCTTTACCATCATCTTCAAGTTGTCAAAATTCATTCAAATTTAGAATTCGTACTGTTCCCAAGATTTGTTTGCTTTCGATTTTTCGAAAGTAGGGCAAGGTTGATATAACTTCCATGGTGCCGGAGCACGGTACTAAACAAGTTCGCAGTTTTTATGTAGAATAAAAAATGCTAAAAGCAAAGCGTATAATTAGCAAAGGGTGTATCAAAAAGAAGTTCGCTAAATGTCGTGGCGAGCACGTTTAAGCTGCTGGGTCTTCGACACCATTGCCTTCATCTCGGAGCCCGATGCAAATCAATGCGCGAGCACTACCGTCTCATTGCGAATGCAATTTTTGGTGCCAGGTCGATGATGCAGACGAAGACCCGACTCAAAGCCATCAATATAGTCAAGACCAACCACCTCCTCGTGTGAAGATGGTCATGGACTTTTGTAAACCTCTCGCCTCCGACGTCAATCGAAGCAAGGACGAGAAGAGAGCAGCCCGGCCGTCAAGAGCACAACTAAAAGTAAAAAGAGCGTGAAAATCAAATCAGAGAAAAAAGAAAAAGAAGGTAAACTCAGACTTCAACTAATCAAGAAAGAAAAAGGGCTTTGCCTTTACTGTACTTGTAAACATTTTTCGATTGTCATTTTCCAAATCAAATTCAAACTGTTGGCAGAGGAGTTAGCTCAAGCATCTTCACAATTTTTCAGCTACACAACACCAGCTGAGAAGCGGATGCAGCTGCCGGTGCCGCATGTGCATAGCAGCAGAATAATACAACCGAGCATAGTGCTGCTAGCTTTTTTCGAGGAGCGTATCAAATAGATACTTTTTGGAAAACTGATACTACCCGCACTTCATATTGTGATCGAAGTCAGCAACAACTTACAACGTAGCTCATGTTCTTGTGTATAGACGAGTAAAAGTGATTCTGTCAGTAATATCGGTGAAAAAATACCTGTCTGATTGAAAAGTAATAGAATTGATTCTTCTTGCCGTTAGAAGTTAGTAAAACAGTTCAAACTCGAGCTAATCCCGTGAAAAATCGTATAACAAAGTTCAAGTTGTGACTAAAAATTTAGGCTAATAAAGATACTCTAGCTGATATTCATATTTATCTTTTCGAAGCGCCGTGCTGCCCAGCGCCGGGTACTTTTATACTATTCCCGCTACAGCTGTGATTATTTTGGTGCGACAAGATAGGCATAAGGCTCCCTGTATTAGTGGAACTAGAAGTACTAAGGGTAATAATATCTTAACAAACATGATAGAGCGAAAAAAGGTATTTCCTGTCGGATTAGAACCGACTTTTCTGTAAAAGTTTTGTAAACTCAATTAAAAGTTCGAAAGAGAAGTGTGCTTGAATACTAGAACAAATATGTCAGTAAAAGCAAATAAGTTCACAACTATGCAGCAGCTCTAGTAGTTCCGATGCTGTTGCGGAATAAAATAGGCTTTCGAAGAGTCGAACTATTGTTTACTCGTCGCGTAACTTCGTAGTAGCAAGTTTTTTGATGATGTTAAAAAGATAAGCACCTCTGCCGAAGACGTTTCTCCGTTTTCTTTCCCGTAGGTAAAAGGCCAATAGATGACTTTGATCTATATTCCGTCTCACATTCGCAATTCGACCTCCTTGTTTATCGTCATCGACCTACAGCCCTGTGTTATTTTGTCGACTGCTATATCTGAAATCTGCAATAAACCTCTCTAACTCCATTTGGAGTTATCTATTTTTCTATTTTTTGCTAGTAGATGATACGGTGGTCGTTGCAACTTAATATTCACGAACAGCGCATCTTCAACTTCGAATCAGCTGTACCAGTGGCGAGAAGAACTTGCGGCTATTTCAAAAGCAAACAATCCAGCAAGCAGCGAGAGTCTATCTCGTAGTGTAGGAGCCTCGGTAGAGCTGTGTGGTGTACTTCAGCAACGGTAGCACGTATTGATCATGATCTCTGTAGTGTAGTAAAAACTAAATCGTAGTATGGATTTTTATTCCAGCTTAATATTTGTTTTCGCTTGTCTATCGCCTGAGTAAAGTACTCCTTCCATCATGTCCTTCTTCTGGACCCGCTATTCATCACTGCAGTGACATGAGCTGTTGGTTAATCAGGTCGGACAGCGGAATGTTGCCCATTTGTGACTTTACCAACACGATAGAGGAGTCCAGCTTGTCATCCAGCATGCTGTCCAAAACCCCCGGACCCCCATTTTCGAAGAGCTGCGAATCATGCTCGTTTGGATTCGCGGTCGTGGCGCTCCCGTGCTGCTGCTGTCCGCTGGATAATTGGTTTATTTCCGCAGAAGTCGTAGCAGAGCTGCACACGACAGCACCACCAGCCGGAGCAGGACGAGCCGGTAGCTCGACTACTGTAGTTAACGGCGCGGCTGTAGCTGTCGTCGTGAGAAGATCTACTTCCGTTTTGTTTCCTTTCGGTGCGGAGTTTGTTGTTGAGAAAGAACTGGTAGAAGACGACGTCGAGCAAGAACTCGAGGTACAAGAGGACGAAGCTGGGTTCATTTTCGGGAGCGGCGGCCCTCCGGTCGTCATGCAGTTCGGGACGATTCCCACCGAAGCACTGGAAACAAACTTTTCTCTGGGATCCACACCGCGCGTAGGAACTGTGCTTGTTACAATAGTTGGCTTACAACTAGTGTTCGTGGTACTACTGCTGGAACCACTGCTAGAAGAGGAGCTACTTGAAGACGATGATACCACCGCCGCCCCTGCTGTGCTGCTTGTCGTCGCAGCTGCGGTGCTACTAGAACTACTCGCAGTCGAAGAACAAACAGCGGAACTGCAACTGGATGAGGCCGTCGCCGCTCCTGTCGGTTTGGTCACGCCAGGACCCCCGCTTGCGACAGCAGTAGAAGCTGCACTGGACGAGGACGACGTTGCGCGGACACAGCGGATCCGGTGCGACGGGCGGATATGGGAGTGTCAGGATCGAAATCGTCCGAGTTGAAATAGTTTGTGATCATGCATAAAACGGATACCAGTTGCCGTCTAGTTTTTAAGTGGCGCATGACAAATTTGGCTAGAGCCGAGCTCCAGTTTGTCATGCTGTTTGGGTAAAAAAGACGCCTTTTGTCATGCTACTTTAGCAGTTCTATTTCTACCCCTCAACAGGCTTACAATCTTCCTCCCTTGCCTACTCTGCAAGGCAGGCACTTTGTGGGTTGCATTTTTTGCATCACAAACCATTTCAACTTTGAGGATTTCAATCCTGACACTTCCATAGCGGATTGCACCGCGAGTGGTCGCCGTCATTTCCATGGCAGCGCGGCTGGGGCTTGGCTTTGTGCCTCCGACAACCTCGAATTATTTCATCAAAAATGATTTTTGACTCAGATGTTGCATCACTTTTCTCGCACACACAACAGCACATCAAAAGTAAAAGAAAATTGATTCTATGCATGTACATCATCAAAACGAATATTATCCACTCGCACCTGATCAATCGACGAGGTCACCACCGAAGATGCGGAAGTTGTACTAGACGCCACTCCCGACGAAGCTCCTCCACCGCGCGCGGACCGCGGCTGCTGCTGAATGCTGCTGTTGAAGAGCGATTCTTTCGAAGAGCTCGTGCCTGGGGGTCCACCACCTCCGGTGCCGTTGTTCGTCTGCTGTTGAACCATGGAGCCGCTGGTTGTCGTGCTCGGACTGTTCATGGTGCTATTGCTGTTGGTGCTCGAATTGTAGCTCGGCATTCTGCCCGTTCGCACCTTGGAGCGAAAGACGGCGCTGGGTTGTTCCGGTTCGTCCGAGGATTTTTCGGGCAAGAACGGGCGGATGTCCCGCTTCATGCTCGAAATTTTCTCCTGAAAATCAGCGGACGCGAGGGACAGATTGTTTGAGATCCGGGTCGCTTTTCGCTTCTGCGCGATCCGGGGATCCAGCTTGTAGCGATCCATATCGGTCACCGTACTGTTCCAATCCGGCCTCGTTTTGCGCTCCGGGGGCTGGAATTTCGGAATGGAGGACTTGCTGTGGTCAGCACTGCCGGTGCTGGTCTGTTCGATTTGGTATATAATGCTTGGGAGCAGGAGAAAATTTTATTTGAGTGTAGTTTTACTCCTGGGCATCTTCATCTCAGGTTTTCGGTACAACATGCGCTCTTTAATGACCGAGAAGGAGAACTACGAAGACCGCAGGCGCACACATCATTGTCATACAGTATGAATTTCAATGAAATCATATCATGGAGATAACGCCACAAATAGCAACCATACAGGCGGATTCGAAGGCTGCAACACGGTGCCGTAAGTTGCCTTTACAGCTCCGGTAGCCCGAAAGCTCCCTGTTGCTCCGGTCGTACTCTTCGAGCGCGCTGTGTTAAACCTGCGGGCGGTGCGGCGACGTTCCGTCGCCGTGGCCGCTAGCGTGGGGTCGGCGCGTACCTTCAGGTGATATATGTGATGTGAGCGACTTTTTACTACAGTTTGTACTATCTCTGTCTTCGGGTGTTTTTCTGTACCTCAATGCAGCTACGGCGCTCAAATTTCTATCTTCAAAATCAAACGCATCTATGTATCATCGCAATTCACTACCGGTCCCCGGTGGCTGTTGTCGATCATTTTTCTGGCACTTTTCAACTTGACACTGGAGGCGGAAAGCGGCTGTTTTTTCATGCTACTCAGTGCGCCGTTCATCAGATCCAGGGGCTCCAGGAACAAGGAACTTCCGCCCCCGGACGCCGTTGTGGAGCCCATCGAGATATGCATTGCAAATATGTCTGGGTCTGGAAGCATTCGAACTTGTGATGCGAATTGATTCTACATCATGAGAAAATCTGTCATGCACGGTCAGCAAAAAGCGACACTTCTTGATACAGAAAGAGGAGATTTGTCATGCGGATTTGGCAGAGATACCTGCCCGAAATCTGTGATGCTAGGATTTGCATGCCAGACGGTCTGGGTCAGGCAAAAACTGCATGACAAATGTCTGCACTCTTCCAGACCCAGACATATTTGCAATTCATACGAGATCGTGCTGCCTCGCCCAGATTCGTACACAGAAGAGGAAGCGCGGGACCGACTCCCGTGATCTCCGTGGATGCTGATTTGGGGTTGAAGGGAAGAATCAGGTAGAGAGCGCTGAAACTGATATCTAGAAGCTAATCATAACAGTTGAGAAGTCAGTACTAACTTACAACTATTCTTTGTGCGAGGGAAGTTGCAGCGGGACGAGACGCGACTACACTCATCTACAACTACAAAGTTGTACTACCTGCTCCCCGTGATCTGCACGTGTTGCACGCCACTCGCCCCGGCGGCCGCTCCGCCTCCCCCGACCGCCGAGGTCAGGGGGCACGCGCGCACTTTTTTCACGATCGGACCGGTGGCACTGGTGCAGCTGGGCCCGAGATTGTAGTTTCCCATGGTCATAGACAGCAAATCCGGTTCGTCCTCGAATATCTGCGTGCGCCCGTTGTAGCCGTATCGCAACTCCGCCACCTCCCGTTGCACGCGATCTTCCAAACTGGCCATGGGGGAGGATGTTTGACTCGATCCGGTCGTGGGCCGGGAACTGGGGACGCCGTTCGCACCACCAGCTCCTTGCTGTTGAAGGGTCGACCCTGTAGAAGTACAACTACTAGTAAATCCATTCGCACCTCCAGTGATAATCTGCCCACTCGCGTCAAACTTCGGCCAGTTGTTTTTGGCCGAAGTGGGGTGCTTGATGTCAAAGCAGAGCACGTTGTTGATGTGCGACGTCGTTGCACCAGAAGTTCCTCCTGACGCAGTAGTTTTCGGCGAGAGAAAAAAATTCTGCTCGTGCGTCGAAGAGTTCCCGGGCGAGTCCGCTGTGTTGGAGGGCTGGAAGCAGGTGAAGGCGTTCAGCGAATCTTGACGGTTCATCGGATGAGTGCTGGAGATTTGCTGTTCGTCCACTTCTGTCGCAGAGGAGTCCTCTTCGAGGACCGCAGCATCTTCGACGCCGACACTGCAACTACTGTTCTTCTCCGCCCCACTCTCGTCTTCGCACAACGTCGAAGGGGTTGGCGCGACCATGTTGCAAGAACTGGAAGGAGCTTGTCCTGCGGAGGTACTACGTAGTTGATGTTGATTTTCCGTGTCCTTCTGTTGCTCCTCAACATGATCCACCACTTCGTCGTCGATGTTGCCCACTACTTTTAACTTCGAAGTGGACAATTCGTGGGCCGCCGCTTCTAAGTTGTCGAGGTCTTTCAGATTGTCCGAGACAGTTTTTGACGTCTCGGCTTCGTCAAAAATGGAGGATGATCGACCTGCTGCTTCTCGCGCGCTAGTCGTAGTTTCTTGCTTCTTCACAACTTGCGCTTGCCTCGCGAGGTCGTCGCTCGTTGGCACGACGAATGCATTGTTGCAAGAATTATCTTGTTCGTGGTCTTTTCTCGGAAACAAATACCCGCCGGAGTTTTGCGCAATCTTAGCTTCGTCGCTACCGCCCTGCTGTATGAGATATCGGCTGCTGGGGTTGATGCTCGTGGAGGTCTCGTCGCCCTGGACCGCATAATTAGAGGAGGTTTCGTCGGCACCATGATCATCTTTACAACTTCCACCAGCTTCGTCATGGCGCGGCGTCTCCGTGGCCCGCGGTATGGAGATGATCTTTTCGATTTGCTTGTCCAGATCTTCCGAGTCGACTGAAGAAACCGACGTGTATGCATTTTTTGCAAAAGTTCTGTATCGTATTCGTACTTGACCACGTACTACGATAAGGATAATTTGGTTGCTGAAGTATTATATTGTGCAAGAACTCGTACTAGAACCAGTACCAGTAGTAGTGCAAGTCAGTGGCGTAAATTAATTTCTGCACAGGGTCGAATTTTTGACAAAGTGGATTTCTAATTCTATGTATTCTATGCTGAAGAATCCGGTAATAAAGAAGCAAATTTGTCATGCAGTACTGCATTTTTATCTTTATACGAGTACAAGTACGACTACGATGCTTGTTTTGCGGTGCATACCGTGTCGTCTTCTTCGTCCATTTCGCGTAGGAGCTGCGCACCGCCGTTGTTGTGGTTGTAAGCAATCTCCTCTCCAGACCCGACGACACTGGTTGTGCTGCTGATCTTTGCAACGCCTTGATTGCTTGTTGTACCTCGTGGACTGGTGCTTTTTGTAACCGGCTCGACAGGAGCAGCTGTGTGGAGGTCTTTGATGTCCTCATCTTCGAGCTCATTCACATTCTTCTTCCCCATGTCCATCTGAAACCCCACTTCTTTCCCGATCTTTTCCACCAGTTCATTCACATCGACGTGGAGGTCCATCGTCCGGTCGTGATTTGATGTCACCTTGGTTGTTGTACTATCGTTCTCATCATGATCCACCAGCGCAGCGACTACACTAGCGACCTGATTATTTTTCGCACCTGGCACCACGACGGCCGCCCCACCTGCGGGAACAACAGCTCCAGTCTCATTCATCATACCAGCCGCGGGGGAATCCACTCCGTTGCAGCCGCCCGCCGGACTGGTACTCCGGGTTCGATCGTTTTCCGAAGTGGAGGTGGCGCAGTGGGTGCTGCCAGGCTTTTCCACGTCGCAGTTTGAAGTGCCGTGGTTGGTGCAGGCGGAATTTTTGAGCAGCAGGTTCATGCGAGTCTGGTGCTCCCGCACGATCTCGTCCAAGTCTTCCATGGTTTCGGTTAAAGACTTACTGCGGGAACGCTGCAATTCATTTTTTTTTTTGATTTTTGGGGGAGGTTCGAGTATATCGATTTTTTCAGCCTGGCTTTTCTAAGTTCCGATCGGATTCTATCCTTCATATGCGTCAAGGTGCTCCTTCTCACCATTTTTCTCCATGACAAAGAGCAAGGACATGGACATAAAAGTATCGCTTCGTTAGTACAACTACCTGGCGCCCGCACGCATTTCCGCCCGCTGCCGCGTCGATGCAGGACTCTTCATCACTGGTGTTGCAAGAATCAACTTGTTTTTCAACATCAATTTGCTCCGCGTCGACGTAATTATTTCGCTTCAGTGCGGGGATCGAATGTCCTCCGCTGGTGTATAACCCGCTCAGGTGTTACAATCTCAAGCGTTACAGTAGAATATGGAGATCTGTGATGCAAGACTGCATGATCTAGCCAACTTTCATACGATTGCGCATGACAAGTTCCGGAGCCCCAAACCCCACTACAATCTGGCGAAATTTGTATTGCAAAAGGTGGAACGCTGTGCGAGTCTGTCATGCTCATCATGCAACACAAATTCCAGATTCTATTGTAACGTTTGAGATTGTAACGCTTGAGCAAGTCATATGGTGCAGTCGTTCAACTCATTATCCGCAACGATCGACGAACCGACGCTGCTAGTTCGGCTCCGTCGGTTCAATCGCCTCGGCGGGCAGTATCCAAAAAAAAAAAAGGTTGTAGGTGTAACTTTCTTGGAGGATTAGCATGACAAATATCTCTCGCATGACAGCAAAAACGTATCATGCTCAGATAGTACGTGAAAACGCCCTATGATAGAACCTACAATGCATGCCAAGCAAGACAGACGCAATCATCTTGCATGTTGCGCATCACAGATTCACACTAACAACGTTTTTTTCTTGGATAGGCAGGAGCGGGAATTCACTGTGGTCTTCTGCTTGTTCGTCGTCCCGACTCCGCCTTTATGAGAAGTCTGAAGATGTTGATGATGATGTCGCTTCTCCTTTTTGCCGTTTTGTTGCTGCAGCATCTTCTTGATCTCTGCGTCCATAGACTCTAAGTCCAAAAGATCAGCGTCGGACGAGGTTTCCGAGGCGGATCTGGAGGTGTTGGACCCCGTGGTTTGGTCGTGGAGCTCGATGTCGTCGTCGTTTTTGCAGAGAGAAGTGGACAGATTTTGACACGAATCATCTCCAGTCGCCTGGTTGTTGCTTTTAACATTTGAGGATGCAGTAGTTGTGGCAGCTTTATTACTCAGTAGACCTGCTGATCCTTTAGTCGTAGGTGGAGCCGTATTTGATTTGCTAGTCGTTCCCATTCCTGCTACACCTCCACCACAGGTCGCCGGCGACGCGCTACTGTTGAAAGCAGCACTCAGCTGATTTTTGCTCTGCAGCTGTCCAGTGCCTCCTCCAGCTCCTTTGCCACCGTTTGTTGTACAAGTTCCCGATACAACTACAACTGGAGGCACACCAGCTGCTGCGCCACCCGCTCCTGCCACGGCACACGCCGCCGGAGCAGGAACAGCAGCTGAGGGTTTGCTTTTGTTTTTCGCGCTCGCTTTGGTAGGAAACCGCATCTTGATGATCCGACGAAGGGCGGCAGGTGCAGTAGTGCTCGTGGTGGTTCTTTCCTTGTAGAAGTATTCAGGAGGCGGGTGTGGAGATGCAAGCGGTTCTTGTGTGAAGACCAAATACTGGAGGAGAGGTGGACCGACGAGTCAGGACAAGGTAGAATAAACCGCAGGCTGACAGAGACAGCAAATTATCAGAAATCGGTCTGATTGCGGAAACAAAGGAAAGCTCAATTTTTCAGCAGCGCTCTTTTTGGCGATGGAGGTTCCACATGGTCTCGGTCTTCAAGGGGGGATAGGAGAAGAAGTTGAGGTCGAAGTTCTTTTGTTGGTCACAAAATCATCGTCAAGAAAGTTGGAATGGCACAAGTTGTTTATCTTCTTCACCGCAGTTGATTGACCTCCCCGTCGTACTGCGCCGCGTCATCGAAGCTGAACATTTTTTTGGCGAGAAGTGAAATGATCCTTCTTTCCGGTACAATTATACCGAAAGGAAGATTTGCGTTCGCTTCTACTATAAGTGAGCTTCAGTTCATTCCTTTCAACGAACGATACTGTCGCGCTTCTAACACTAACAAAACGAAGACGACAACATTTTGATTTTGTATGTTTGCTCTCGACGCAGCTGACTTTGCTTTGGGTATAAACAAGTTGTAGGAAATGTCAAGAACTTACACTCGACAGATTTTCTTCTCACATTGTTTTTTGCTAGTACTAGTTTGATATTCCCGAGCGCCGCAGCAGGTCGTTGCAGTGTAGTAAACTTGGGAGTTCGTTTCCGATTTTACATTGCCACTATTTCCTCACAAGACATCGACTCCTGCTACTAAATCTAAATCCACTCAACACATGCAAGCAGACTAAAGTTCAAGAGGAAATAAGTACAAGAGCAAATTTCTCTTTGAGTGCGCATACGCACGACCAAAACAACTCATACAGTTGTAAAGACAGACGCAATAAACTTCTGCCTATGTTGAACATGAACACTACTAGAGACCTACCAGACGTTGAGGCGATGAAAACGCACTCAAATCAGCCCATTGACGCTGGTATCGTTTCATGCCCAGGCTTTTCTCATCCCGAGAGTTGTTTCTTTACTTCTCCGATCCTAAGGCTTTAATTCGAAATTCTTTCACATTTATCTTCTAGGAAATTCATCGACGGGCAGAACGTAGTTAATTGCTTCACAATCAGCTACACAACGCGTGGTCCTCGTCCTGCTCTACATCTCGTTTGTTATTTTGCATACGCGTCGTTCTACTTGGCGATTAGCTTTAGGTTTGTCATGCAATGATCAAAGCCGCGTGGTCCACCTGGGTCGGCACGCATTTGCTCATTTTCTACTTATTTTTGGCAGACCATGGCAATTTTATAGACCTCACCGAGGCTCCTGCAGCACCTCGAAAGAGTGGCAAACGCGTGCTCTTTCTGGCTTCAAGCCCTCAAATAGGAACTCATCACGAGGACTCTTGGTGCCGAGTCTGAGACAGAGACAGACACCAGTCGGCAAGAAGATGGATCCTAATTCTGGTGCAGAACAATATCTCTGCTATTTTTTCGGTCCTTCCGGCGTCCCTAGTTTGACCATAATTAAAAGATGCGTTTCAAACAAGAGTGGTAGTCGCTCGCCATCGTCAGATATGCTTTTTCAAATTTCCTACTGTCATTTAACCGTGGTGCTGGTGTTGCAGTTCAAGAATCTGAATTATTTGGGAAGCTGATATGCGGATAATAAACTTACTACTTTTTGACAGAACGTCGAGGGGAAGTGCTGGAGTGTGTTAGACTTAATACTCTGCAGATAAAACGGGCTATAGAATTAGTATACTGTGCAGGGTTTTTTTGTTCGAGGACAGGAATCATACATGTAATGTGGCATTTGTTACGAGCAGCAGGGACCAACGCGCCATTAGTTTCACTTTCGTTTACGTCGTACTACAATCTTCACAGTGTTTATGTTGTAGTTCTGACGCGAGTAAGCCTAACCTGCGTACAGGTACAGCTGGCAGTACTTGCTTCTTCACCTCGGTTTATGTCTCAGGACAACATTGCTCGGGGCGAACGCAGCGGAACTCCCAGTAGTACAGAAACGAGGAGAATACGCTTATCCAAAACCGCTTTCAAGAACGAAAGGGCGGACAACAACCTCTTACACTGCTTTGCGCACCGCATCCCCCGCGTGCATTAGCACCGCTCCGAAAAACCCGCCCAGACCCGTGGATGGGGGAGTTCTTTCATTTTCAGGCTGCCCTTGCAGCGTGGAGGGCAGGCGCGGGTCGCGGAAAAACTTCTTGAAATAGATGTCGACCGATGTTCCGGTTTCCAGCAGTCTGCCGTGCCAGTTCTCAGCGCGCCGCCAGAAGGAGATCTTCGATTTTTCCACATCTACTCGCGCACACACGAGGCTCAGAACGTCGGGAGAGGCAGCTACGTTCTTCGCTAGTGGCGGTAACCACTGCCTGCTCAGTGTGCGGAATGATACATCCGTGCGCGGGCGGCCCATGCGCCTCGTTCTGTCAACTTGGTCTTGAGAGTCTGAACCCTGGATGAAAATCTTTCCGCTCACGGGGCTGACAAAGATTGCGCGCGGATTTTTGACCGCGTTATTTTTCTGACGGTACTCCGAGGGGGAAATAATGAACCCAAACCGAGTAAATTCGTCTAGAGAATGTTCTCCGCCTTGCGGGGAAAAAAATTCCACACAATATTCATGCTCGCCAGCGCCGACCCATGTTTGCAGATCGGGGTACATGGACTGACGGCGCCAGTTAGCATCAGCAGGCTTCTGCAGCCACTCGCCGTTCCAAGGCAACTCGCGGAGGATTGCGCTTTCTGGAGTTGCAACTGCATCGACATGAACCGGTGCTCCTTCCACATCTTCTTGACGAAGCCGCTGGAGAGATGTAATGAATCGACGGGCGGGTGGAGGGGGTGGTAGCGTCGTGAAATAAGTAGAAGTGTGCAGGTGGTGTTCTCCCCAAGATGGCGAAGCAGTCGACAACTCGGTCGGCGCCACCGTAGACCCGCCATCCGGAGAAGATTCGTCCGACCCTGCAGAGGGGGCTCCAGAATTGTCCTCCTCTGTGGTACCGCTGCGGCGGCCGGGGTGCGGAAGCCCTGATCTAGTACGACTTTTCGGTTTTTTAGCGGAGCGACGTAGCTGACCATGGGCATCCGCGTGAGGGTAGTGCTCTGGACAGGCGTGATTTCCTTCTGTAGGAGGCCCCACGTAGCCGACTCGCTCAAAATCCAAACCACATGGGGCTTCGTACGCTGGCGGTCGTGGAGGCTGAAAAGTCGTGGTATTTCCGACTGGAGCTCCTACAGGGAACTGCTGATGCTGCTGCTGCCAAAAGTAAGGGGGTGGGGTACACAGCTCGCGCTGATGCTGTTGGTCGTGCTGCAGCGGATCCAATTGGTATTGATTTTGCGCTTGCTGCTGCGACATAATATCATACGGCTGCGCCTGCTCTTGTCCGGCTCCGCCTGCACCAGGAGCAGCTGCTCCTGCTGCCCCTGCTGCTGCCACAGCGTTGTTATAATACGGCTGCACCATCGGCATCGCAACGCCACTTCCGTCAGTGCCCGGGACTCCTCCATTTGGACAGACAGCGTGGAACGCTACGGGCACGGGCACAAAACACACCATGATGGAGCCGCCATCGTAGTACTGCTGCGGTTGTTCTTCTGCTCCTGCCGGGGCTGCGCGGAGAGATAAAGAGAGACCATGCACCCAAATAGATCTGTTGCTGCCGTGCTGTCCGGCGAAAAAAAAAGCAAGTACAACTCTCAAAACGGATGCACACATGTTGATGCTCGTTTTCTGCTTCAGCGACATGGTTTTCAATTTTGCAGACCAAAATGTAGTTCAATTTGTTTGTTTTGCCCTCGATGCGACAAGCAGGATGGTAAGCTAGATGAATCAATTTTTATATATACGATCGCCAAAACATCAATGACAAATTCTAGTGCTACCAAATCAAAACGTCACTGGCAATCGAAAAACACTACTGCTTCAGTGGAAACATGAAAGACAAGCAGCAATGGAAACAAATTTCGAGATATCTGCTCATGCGCAGCAAGATCAACAGCAACGGTTTGGAACTATAAATTTGAGCTTGGACTACGACTATATACTTGGTGCCAGATAAATTTTGGAACAATCGGAGGAAGCGACGACCCCGAGTGATCCGGAGGTAAAACCTACCTCATCACGAATAAAGGCCAATCTCCACCAGGTGGCCGCTGATCTTATTTTCTTAAATGATTTTGATCGAAAATGGATCACCTCCCTGGATCTTGCTCACTCAGCGTCATTGTCGTATTTTCAGAACAAAGGGTCGTAGTACGTGAGTAATGTGCTACTGCGCCGGAAGCGCTAGCATTTTTCGCGTCGACCTACTTATCCTCACAAGAAGTGAATTTTCAGTCCAGAAATGCATAAGCAAGTTGGAAACCGGAGTAGTATTGCGTGCAACTACCCTAACTTCCACTTTTGTTTTCCATCGTCACTTCGTTACATCTTCGTCTTCCTTTCGGTGAATTTTTGGTGTATTTTTTTTTCATTTGCTACACGAGGACTGTTCACATTATTCGAGATCTGAGCTCTAGCACAGTGGAAAGATGATACATAGCGCTAATTTCTAGGAACATAGTTCTTCTATCCGAGTTACAAATATTGGAAGCTGCAGCTGTTTTAGCTTCTAGCTGCTGCTGCTGCTGCTGCTGCTGTAAAATTCATTTCATTCGTTCTTGGTAAATCATTTTTGGGCTCCTGTCGCTGTGCTCTATTTATCCCGCTGCATTCTCATAGTTTATCTGCTGGAACGGGATCAGCTGCCTTTATTGAGTACCAGCAGGCATTAGAAATACGTCTAGGGGCTGTCTTCTTTTCCAACTATATACATCAAGCGCGAAGACATGGCTGTTGTTATAAAATTCTTGAACATGTCACTGAAGGCGACTTCTTGCTACTTTTGCAAAATGACCGTCACTTCGCTGTCGCCCCAACAGTCATAAGTGGCAGTGTGTGTGTGGTCTCGTTCGCTTCATTACATATCAGAGAGAGGCTGCAGGTCATCGATCACATCGTCTCCGCCTCCCTCTTGAAAGCGTAGCTCACTTCGTCGTCCAGATTGGGTAGGAGGTCGCCTTACTGGAGGACAAAGAGCTTTTATCAATTGACAAAATGAGAATTTTTCCCTACATCAGCATCACCTGCGTTAAGTAAGTATCATCTCTATCTCGTCGATACGGCGCCGCAAGCCCAAGCATGTTCTTGCATCTTCATGCTACTTGTGCTGCTGTGACTTCATGTCATAGCAGTTGCAGCTTGGATTTCACTTTCACATGATCTTTGTGAGGTCGTCTAGTAGTAATCCGAATCACAGTGTTGAGCGACATGACGGCAAAAAAAGGGCTTCTAGTATCGAAGCGCTACATGATCCATGCAAGCTCTCCGAGCTGAAGATCTTCAAGTTTCTTATCTTACTTAATACTGGGGCTGGGCTCAGCTGATGTCGACAAGAAAATCATTGTCAGTGTGATAGGTTCCGCCCTGACTGGCACTGGTACTCCCCCCCGTAAAAGCCGGCGCGCCGCACACACCATAGACTGCGGCCTTGTTCGTGTTCGTCTTGGCCTTCAAAATCTTATACAGCTGCTTGTTCTCGCTGTTGGCTCGGAGCGCCGCAGCGGCAGCATGCTGGTAGGTTGCGTCGCGACCATTGTGCGGAACCGTCGTCGTGAATTTCGGAGCGGGGCGTCTGGAGTTTTCGTTTTATTTCTTTTATCGGTTTGATCTCACTTCAATGAAAATCTTATTGAGGCGCTATCCTACTTTTAATTTCGCTTTCGCAGGCATGGTGATACAGTGCGTGGTCACAGAGTGGTGATACAGTGCGATGTCGTTCTAACAGCCTGTGATATGTGTTTGTCATTCAAGAACACTTTTTACACCGGTTCCAGTACTGAAACTGATGTAGCAGCTTCATAAAAAACAATGAAGTACAGAAGTGGATTCTAATTACCTGGCCCCAATTTCCTTGCTCCCCAGGGGTCTTTTGACGATTCGATCGGAGTCTGCCGTTCTTCCATTCTCGGAAGTGGACGCTGGGTCGTTGCAGCGGGGGTACAAACAGTCAATGAAATTGTTCGACGACTGCAAGTTCTGCTGTTTTCTCACCTGTGTGTACCGCGTCTTCTTCGTGTTTGCCTCCGTTTTCGAGCGCAGGATCCCCTCCGTGGGACGGTTGAACACACTGTCTTCCGAGAATTCAGAAATTGTACTGGAACTGGTTCTAATATCCCGCTGCTTGATCCGGTCTTCGGCCTGCTGGTAAAAGGACCGCGTGGAGCTGCTCGTTTTACTGCTAGAAACGCTCGCGGTATCGGAAATGGTGTCTTGCTGCTCTTGTTCATTGTTGCGACTCCTCCTATCATGTGTGCGTGGAACTTGCTCGTTCGGGTGCTCGGACTTTGTGGTTCGTTCTGGCTCTTCAGCACCGCTTCCAAACGGCTTCTTCCGAACACTCACATTCGAAGAGCTCGATGTTGGCGTTTGCTCTGAAATCGTGCTCGCAGTCTCATGGAAAGCCACTTCCCGCGGTCGGAGGAGGTGATGTTGTTTTTCCTTTTCATGTAGTCCCTCGTCATCATAACTTCGCGGTCTACTACTCGGGGCGTCCGGCAGTTGTCTTCTAGCGAGATGTCCACCTCCACTAGCACGTGCCACTCTCCCTCTTTGTCTTTCCCCCGGGTAAAACTGGAAATTATTTTGTCGGTCACCAGCTGCACGCTCGTTGTCCATCTGTTCCGAACTACTGCTCCCCTCCGTTGCCGACTGCTCGGGACCGTATTTCTGCTCGCTTTCGGTCGAGCTCAGAATTGCGGAACTGGAGGAGACCTGACTCGATTCGCTCTTGTCCTGCACTATGGAAGTGCCAGAAACAGAATCGAAATCGTCAAAGTTAAAATAATCTGTAATGCAAAAAAGCGATACCAGCTGGAGCCCAATTTGCAAGTGGCGCATGACAAATTTTGGCAGCATGGAAATCCAATTTGTCATGCTGTTTGAGCAGAGAAGACTGCTTTTGTCATGCCATTTTAGCAGCTCTATTTCACACCCCAAACAGGCTTACAGTCGGGCTCAGTTGCCTGCTCTGCAAGACAGGCACTTTGCGTCTAGCATTTTATGCATCACAAACTATTGCAACTTTGACGATTTCAATCCTGGTGACGCTTCCATATGCACTATCTCGTGGTTTGTGCCGCGGTGCAAACTGATCCGCTCCTTCTGCGCAGAGGTGAACGGTATGGAAGCGTCAGGTTTGAAATCGTCAAAGTTGAAATAATTTGTAATGCATAAAACGGATACCAGTTAGACTTACAGTTTGTAGTCGGTGCATGACAAATTTTCCCGGTCCTGGAAGCGAGTCTGTCATGCGGTTTAGGGCAAAATAGCTGCCTTCTGTCATGCTAGTTAGCAGTCCAACTTTTGACCCTTGCCAGGACTATAATCTGCCTCCCGTGGGTCCTCTGCAATGTGTCGCATTTTATGCATTACAAATTATTTCAACTTTGACGATTTCAAACCTGACGCTTCCATAAACGGCCCGTTGCGGCTGAAATGCGTTTGATGTTGGTGAGAGGTGGACTTTTTCTTTACACTTGTGCTTGTTCCGGCAAGAGCAGCACTATCGTCATCTTCTTCAAAATGATCGTCGTCTTCACCTCCTCCGCCCACAGGTCGTCGTGGCTCTGGCACCGAATCCGCATGCACTTGGTTGTAGACCCCGATCTCGTTTTGCAGCCCGCGGCCCACGAGATTTGACCGCCGGTCTTCGCGGAGTCCGTGCTTTTCCGGCGCCGTGGTGGAGGTAAGTAGGGGGCGGTGCTCCTTGTCCTTCAGCCACTCTGGTCGCATGGTGGTCCCGTGCGGATTGCGGACTTTTCGATCCATCCAGAAGTACGGGTCGTTCGACTCGTCATCGGGTTATGCAAGATTGTGCAGATTTTTTACCCTACAAAACTACACGTTGTTGTTCTACCTCGCGACATCATCTACTGTTATTTGTACAAAATGCATCACAATAAATAATGCGTCGTACTAGCAAACAAGTAGCCCTAAAATGACAACGAGAAGGACGCGGTTGTCAACATGCGGAAGCAGCTAGAGGAAAAAGCTTGTGATGCATGGTCCGTGTCGTGGTTAATAGCAATACTTCTTGTACGGTAAAATAAAAATGCTTCCACATGACATACCGACTGCCTGGTCTCGTCCGCGTAGCCCCCGTCGACGAGTTGCCGGTCTGAAAGTTGTATTACGTATTTAAAAACTTTCTCATGCAGAAACTGCGTAGACTGTATTTTCCTAATGACGAGCTTTCAGTATCAGAAACAGAAGGAGGAGGAGCGCCATAGACATATAATATCCTGAACAATGTCCGACATTCACATTAAAAGCGTCGTGTTCAAAAATACTCATCCGCATGTTCTCCTTTTGGCGGAACAGGGAGTCTCTTTTCACCTCGCTCATGTGGTCGTGGTGCAGCATCCGCTCGTTCAAATGTGGGTCATCTGCGTCCCGTTCGCTTTTCGTGGTCCGTGCGCGCCTGCCGCTGTCCCGTTCCGGCTCGTGGTCCCCCCGGCCGTAGGTGTAGCCCATCTTCTCCCTCTTCCGGTATGACAGCCTCAGGTTGGAAATCCTCAAAGTGGAAATAATTTGTAATGCAAAAAAACGACTCCAGTTGAAGCGCCATTTGTAGTCGGCGCAAGACAAATTTCCTGGGCCCTTAAAGCATGTCTGTCATGCAGGTTAAGGCAAAGGGGTGCCCTTCTCTCGTGCTAAGCAGCACTCCAATTCTTCACCTCTAGCAGGACAATAGTCGGTCTCCATAGTGTCCTCCGCAATACAGTCTTTTTTGCCTTGCATTTCATGCATCACAAATTATTTCCACTTTGAGGATTTCCATTCTGAGGCTTTCATATCCGGTCACGGTAGCCGGCAATCTCCGGCTGGAAAAACCGCACTTCCTCAAAATGACTGTGCGCGTTCTTCTTCCCGTGTTTCACTTCCCACTTGTGCCGCTTATCGATGTGGTCGGGATTGTTCGAAATCGGCGAACCCAGTTCCTCGCCGCCAAACTTGCGTAATCGCCACTTCTCGTGAGCGAGGGTGGCCTGATATTAGACCAGATAGATTTGATATTTCTCGTCCCCAGAGTGAATCTTTGTCGTTCGATCACGATCAGAGATTGTACTAGCGGCGTTGATAGATCTTGCTCGCAAGAACTTCTAACTCAGTCACGTAATGATTAGTAGTGCAAGCGACCCCTCGATGAGATGGCAAAGGAAAAAAAGTAGAGGAAAAGTATATATAATCGCAAGCAAAAAAAATAGTTTCAATACCTCGTGCTGCCTCTGGTATCGTTCCGGGTCATCTGGCACTAAGTCCGGTGGCTCATAGCGTAAATCCAACGGCCTGGTGGTTTCCACCGGATTGCAGCTGGGATGGCCGTACGTTTTCGGTGTCTTATTTACTTCTGGCGTAGCAGGATCTCGTCCATCTCGGTCTCCACCACGCGGACCACCCGCGTTGTTATTGCTAGTCACGTTCTCCCCGCGAATGATTTTCGCTGCCTTCGCAAAGTCGTCGAGCTCCCTCCTGGTGCGGGGATCTTTACTGAGCGCCGACTTCATGGAAATGGCCTTGTAAAACTTGTTGCCGCCGCGATCTGGGAAGTTGATGAGAGGAGGTTGGTATTTTAGCAAACATTGGTCAATGCTGTGGAGGTCGTGTTGCGTGCAACAGGCCCTCCTCGTGCTCGGATCATAACCACGACACCGAGCAGATGAGAATATCTAAAATTCTTCTATTACGCACGACTACACACACACAGAGCAAAATTCCAGATCAAAGTGCGTCGTATTTATTACAGTAGTGGTTCGCGTTTTCCGCAGTGATTCCCATCATCGAGCTCAGGACCGGCGTGTACTCCTTCAGCCCGGCGGCCGGCTATCAAATGCAAATATGTCTAAAGTCTCATGGAAGATGTAAGTAAGTAGATGAATGCAGACACAACTACTTCCCATGCTTTTCCTGCATGACACAGAAGGTCTAGCACGCAAGCCCGGGGAGCATGATTGCGACAGGCTTTGAGAACAATTTAGTTACACAGTACCTAATCCGCATCACAAATACGTAATCCACCCGCTCGATGACAAGACGTTGGCCTTGGCACCTTTCGCTGTCCACGCACGACAGATTTTTAAATGCGCACCACAAATTCAAATGTAATAAAAAATCTTTCCAGAGGACCCAGACATTATAATTGAGATGCGTAGCGGGGTGTCCTTCACAACTTTCATGTTTTTGTAATCCTCCTCGCCCGCCGTCGTGGTCGGGAGGTAGACCCGAACCCCGCCCGTGTCCCGGAATTGGTACCTGCGCATGTCCACGCCCGCTGGTACGTCCGTCGGCGCGGACCCGCGGCCGGCTTTGTAGTACTTTTTTTCCATGTACTCCTGCAATATCTTGCCCGAGTCGGCGCTGCTCGCCCCAGCACCAGGAGCCCCTGCTCCGCCGCCGGCGTGGTAGTTGCTCGTAGAAGTTGTCGTGTTTTTGCTGCCGATTTTCCCCACGACTGGGGCGACGCCGGACAGTTTTCCGTGCTTCCCGACCGGAATTTCATCCGGAACGTCCCACTCGTAGCAGTACTTGTGGGGGTTTTTGTGGTGGTTCCGCCGAAAATCCTCGTTGTTCACGTTCACGTTGTCTCTTACCTTGCCCTTCTTGTTCCGCAGCATGTCCATGCCGTCGTGCCTCTGCTCCCGATTCTCAAACCGGTCGTCGTCAAAGTCACATTTCCGGTACAACCTCTCCGGATTTTCCGCAAAGTGCGTGGACTGCTTCTTCTTCGTGGCGCCAGCGTAGGGGATGACTATCCCGGAGGCGGAAACGAGAGTCTGTGGCATTTTGATCTCTTCTTGTTGCAACGGAAGCCTCTTCGATTTTTGCTTGGTCGTTCTTTTTATCGAAACACGATCCGACAGGTGCTATTCGTATTCTATTAGTAGTACTTCTTCAAAACGTTGTCCGATACAATGGCCGGCACCTCTACTATTGTTCAGCTCTTCATATCGATATCTAATTTTTCCAGGTTGATGCAGTTCATGCTATATTTGAATTGACACGTCGACCACCTACTCAACTACAAACAACTCCACAATAATTCCATAAAATTGCGACCTCCACGATTACAATAATACACAATGATAACGAATAAACAGATCAAGCTACTATTAACGACTTGTAGATTCCGATAAAGCTGCGACGTCGAGATCATACGATGTCGTGGCTTCGATTTCGATTTAGGAATTTTCCGACAACGCGACGATTTCGATTAGGGTGTCGACAACACGAAGCAACGACTCTCTTCCACAAAGATGAAGATCTCACTTACAACTTTTCGTTACAAAAAGCATTAGCTCGTCCGCGGGCACCACGTGTTCTTCGGGAAGGCAAGTATACGACATCTTCAACTGAAGAGACGACGGTGACGACCCTTTGGTGGTCTAGTTCATGCCTGGCACTGGTACAAGAAAACATCTTTGCGCAGGCACGATCGTGCGGCCATTGTCGATGTCGACATTGAACACCAAAAATCTTCCGCATAGTGCATTACCGCGCAACAGGAGCGCGTACGTGTTTTCTTCTTGCGTCATTCGTAATAAAGATAGTCCAATTTATTTTACAGTACAAGTTCGGAGGGGGTAGCTGTTCTCAGTGATACATTTTTTCGCTTCTTGTGGTCCTCGGCGTGCCATTGATTTTATTGTCACGTTGCTTTTATTTTTGTTACGAATCAACTATACAAGTTCTACTTCTCGAGCTTCCTCCATTTCTCAGTAGGGTAGCTGTAGTTTGTTGACTTGCTTAAGGATCATCCCGGACGGGGCGCCCAAGTCCTGGGTCAAGTTAGTTTCCTCTTGCGAAACGGAAACCGGGCTGCAAATGCTCCCCGAGATTGGACAACGGAATCCGTCGCTACCCGGGCTGCAAATGCTCTTCCTCATCATGCGGGAGTCAAAATCAAATCAAGCTACGATTTTTACATTTTGGGCATCAGATAAAGTTTAAAGGTAAAAGGAAAAGCTCCACAGTTTTTAAACCGCTGCTTCGTTAGTACGTTTATTGAATAATTGGTAGGTCGAGAAAAGGCGCAGCTGTTGCTGCGGCTCGCAGAGTTTTCGATTGTGCAGTGCACTTCGCTTTGATTGTCTCCTGGCGGTCGTGCGGCCACTTCAACTGCTATTTGGTCTTATTGAGAAAGCTATATCGGTTTCGGTATTCAGATCGAAATAAATTATAGCGCACGATCGCGATACAGATACTCGTTGCGTTGCTGATAAAATATCGGAGAAAAGATGGAGTGACATCATACATAAAGCATATCATAGAATAATTTAAATTTTTTTGGTGTACTAGTTCCAGTTCGCTCGGCGGTAAGTTCGCCTCGACAGTGGTTGTACCTTTAGTGGTGTACAGGACCTAGAAGGTGAAGGTACGATACTGTGTTTTTTCTTGAAAGAGTTAGAGTTTCATCATCCAGCTTGGTACAGTTTTTATTTTATTTGCGAAAGGGGGGGAGCGGGAAGCCGTGGCTGCTCGCTTTCTATTCTACAGCGGTCTGGTGCTGCAAGCTGTTTCTTGCGGGGTTGCAAGTTGCAATTGAAAAAAAGGAGTTCGGGGTGATACGATTAGCATTGGAGTCTGTTGTGCAGTGTTCTCAGTGTCAGTTACTTTTCAAGTGCGCCGCAAGACAATCTTATTGGGCAACAGAGTGCAGCGTCTTTTCTGATTGTTCTGTTCCCGACAGAAAATACAGGTGGATACAGCTACTTAAACGGATAATACTGATGATCTTCGGACAATAACTTCATTTTCTGTAGATGTGAATTTGTAATATTTGTAAGAAAGCTAAGCTGATTGTAATTCTAATTTCAATTTGTCTGTGAGTGCTGTTCATTGTAATTTCTAAATTGGGTAGTACTAGCTTGAACTTTTCGTAACGGTAACAGTAAAGGACTATCCTTTTCCGTCAGCCATTTACTTCGGGGGTTCCCCGATAAAGAAGAGTCAAGGCTGGCAGCGTCCTCGTAGGATCCGCCTCTTGCTCTTGAACCACTACGAGCTCTTGTGTTCTGGAATGATGTTTGCGATCTCAAACACCGTCTCTTCATCAGAGGACGACGCCATCGCCTCGTCTTCCACGACGAGGACATCCGAAGTAGTAGAAGTTCCCCCACGTCGTGTTATTGAGCAAAGCAGTCCTGTGGTAGCAGCCCTCGGCCGCGGGGGGTTTTCATACTTAGCGCCGTCCTCCCATCGCTCTTCCTCATCTTGAAGATCCTCGTCGGAATCGGAATCATAGTAGTCAGAAGAAGCTTCAGAGTCGGAGGAGTCGTAGAATAATCCTCGGAATTTCTCTCTCTCGCCCGCCAACAAGGCTTCTTGTTGTGATGTATTTATTGCAGTCCTACTTCTACTATGAATTGCAAAAGTATCGCACTCCTAGTATTCTTGCAACACAAATTAGCTCAGCATGACAAATGGAATTTGTCATGCTAATTTGGCTTGAAAATGAAATTTGTCTTGCATGACTGCGATTTTTAGCACGGCGGGCACGATACTTTTGCAGTTCATATCTACTACACCACCACCACCACGACATCAACGGAGCCGCCTCCTCGGATCGACTTTTCGTGGTGCACCACCCGAAGCAGGTCCGCAACACGGAGATATCCACAGTAAATTCGAATTTCCCGCACACGCACAAATGCGGTTTCTGCATGACAAAGCTGGGCCTCGATCCTAGTGCAGGGCATGACAAGTGTCACGCTCCAAGTTGGTGAAAGTTGTGATCCATTTTGTACATGCGCGGGAAATTTGTCTTGCATAGGACACAAGCGCAAGCCACAAACCGATGGCGAACAAGACGCAGAAGAGGAGCCGCTCCAGCTTGGAGAGACGACCGGCAGAGAGTTTCATGTTTCGCAGTGTCTCCTCCAGAAACTGAATACGGTCCGCGAGACGTCGCACCGGGCGCGGCGAGCGGCTGCCATTGGGATTGGCAGTGGTACCACCTCCAGCACCACCTAGCGGCGTTGCTGAGCTAGATGTTGCGCTTGTAGTGTTTCTAGCACCACTGACACTTTCAGTCGTTCCCTGGCCCTGCTCGCCTTCTTGTTCTTGGCCAACATCTTCACTTTTCGTCGGGGTCCACAAGCGCGCCATTTGTTCCGCGAAAGACGCTGCGGCACTTGCTGCCGCCGCGGAAGCAGTAGATGCGGACTTCTTTTTGCTTTTGCCTTTGCTGCTGTTGCTTGAGCTTTTCCGCGAAGAAGAGCTCTCCTTTTCCTTCTTGCTACTGGTGTTCTTTCTGGACGAAGAACTGCTTGTGCCTTTTTTGGAGTGATGTTTTTTGCTTTTTGCATCATCTACTTCTTCCGTCGTTTTTTTACTGTTCTTCCCACTGCTCGGTTCTACTTTATTATTGCCGTTTTTTCTCACGATCGTGGTGGCCGTCCCGTCTTTGATCCCGGCTTTTTCGCGCGCCGCTTTCTCGCGTTTGATGGTCGCCGCGCGGCGGTTGACGGGGCCCTGGCCGCTGGATCCGGATTTCTCAACCATGCGGTCGGTCACCTCTTGCACGGCTGCCTTGTAGTCCTCGCGCCCCTTCGTTTCAAAGTCAATCGCCAATTTGGCCAGCACCTGCTGCCGCGCCTCCAGCGCCACCAGGGCGTTCTGCAGCTCCAGGTGCTTCTTGGCGAGGAAGGTCTGCGCGAACTTGTGCTTCTCTTCATACGTCATGCTGCTAGTCCACTCGTCTTCGAACGAGTCCCGGGCGTACTCCGGCAGTTGCGCGAGAAGCTCTACAGGGCAGTGCTCCAGGCGGTTACTCTTTTCCACTGTCCAGGAAAATTGCGTCAAGTCTTCCCCCGCTGCACGCCGGTCATCGTCGTGGTAGTAGCCCTATGAACTGCAAAAGTATCGCACTCGTATAAATGCATTACAAATTTCTCCAGCATGAGAAATGACATTTGTAACGCAGATTTGCCGCGGGAACAAGATTTGTAATGCAAGACTTGCATTTATACGGGTACGATACTTGTTTTGCACAGGATAAGTCCTCCTCGTCGAGCCGCTCGTCCGGTGGCGTCGGTATGACGAAGCCAACGCGCTTATCCTGTGTAAAAACGTCCCCACCCCATAGTCAAGTTGGGACTTTGGCAAGACAAATCGAGCATCTTTGGGACTCACGCATGACAAGTTCGGCGACGCAGTGTAGTCGTGCCTAGCTAGTTCGAACGCATCACAGATCCAGTCTGTCATCCTGATTAGCGCATGACAGATTCCCAAACGCCACTAGGTAATGCCTCTCATGGTGGAGAGCCGCATGACACACATTCTGAGCATGCAGATCTGCATGACAACTATGGGGTGGGGACGTTTTCACTCAGGATAGCGCTGCTTGATTCGGTTCCCGATCCGCAGGTGGTTGTCAAACGTGCCTACTTGCATGTCGATCAGGTTGGATATGAAAGCCTCAGAATGGAAATTCTCAAAGTGGAAATAATTTGTGATGCATGAAATGCGACACCAAAAAAACTGCAATGCAGAGAACGCAACGGAGGCCGACTACTGTGCTTCTACGGGTTCAGAATTGGGCTGGTGATTAGCACGAGAGAAGGGCACCCCTTTGCCCACTAGCATGACAGACACGTTTTGAGCGCCCGGGAAATTTGTCATGCGCCGACTAGAAATGGCGCTTCAACTGGAGTCGTTTTTTTGCATTACAAGTTCTTTTCACTTTGAGGATTTCCAACCTGAGGCTTTGATATTGGATTGCATTTGCTTCCGCAGCAGCTCCTCCTCAATCATGTAGTCGTTGTGGACCAGCCAGAACGCGCGCATGGGACTTAAGTCCTTCTTTTTCTGCTCGCTGTACCATTTGTTCGCCTCTCGGTCCCACTTTCGCGCCAGCTCGTAGTCCCGCTTGACCTTGTCGTACTCTTCTTCGGCCTTTCGCAGCACGTCCTGTAGGGCGTCCAACATGTCCGCCTTCTCCAACAACCGCTGAAACTTAATACCGTCCTTCACGCCCTCGACGGTGTCCTATGGCAGTGCAAAACTTCGTCCCCTCCCCCTCATTTGTATTGCATGAACAGCAATACAAACACCAGGACACGTGGTGGAGCCTGTGCATGACAAATTCACGCGCCTACTGTAGTATTGTTTGGGCTTCCGGAATGATCTGTCATGCAAATAGTGCCACAGCAGGGACGAAGGACTAGACTTGGATTCGGTAGTTTGCGTGACAAATGAGGGGGAGCAGGGGGAGTTGTGCACTGTCATATGTCCCCCGCCTCCTTGTGCAGGTCCTCGATCAGGCTGTCGCGCAACAGGTCGGGTCGCAGAAACTTCTCGTATTTCGCGCTCTTCATGATTCGGTACCGCTGGTTATGGACGTGTCAGGATCGAAATCGACAAAACCGAAGAACTTGTGATGCATAAAATGTAAGGCACTGAAGGCCTGTATTGGGGGGCAGGCAAATGAGGCCGATTGCAAGCCTGTTTAGGGGTATGCAATGCGCTGCCAGAGTAGCATGACAGGAGCAGTCTTCTTTGTCCAAACAGCATGAAAGACTGGATTTGGGTGCTCCCGAAATTTGTCATGCGCCACTCGGAAACTGAGTGTGAGGCCCCAACTGGTATCGATTTTATGCATCGCAACTTTTTTGATTTTGTCAATTTCGATTCTGACACTTCCATACTGGTTGGACAGCTTCTTCACCTTCATCGCCTTGTTGAACATGATTTGGTGCATGAAGGCCAGCTCCGCCTCCCCCTCCCCCTTGATGGCGACGTATTGGTCTATGTCCCGCTCGTCCTCTTCCCCCTCCACCATGCTTTTCGACGTTTGCCGGGTGTGTTTCCAGGCGTTTTCGATCTCCTCCGTCACGTCCGTTTCCACCATCATGGCGATGTCGGGCTTCTCTTCGAGCAAGTGCGCCATGCGGTTTCGCTCGTTGCGGTACACGCTCGCGGCTTCGAAGTACATCGCGTCCGCGATTCGTTTCCAGATCGATCCGCACTCCTGCGGCTTCAGTTTCCAATCCGAATTGTCGACCTGCCGCTCCAGCACGTCTTCGGCCAGCAAGCGAGTATGAGAGTTGTACACAACTCCCCCTCCCCCTCATTTGTATGGCATGAACAGCAACACAAGCAACAGCGGAAAAGAGGCTTTCGCATGACAAATCTGCGTGCAGATCGTAGTACAGTTTGAGGTTCCAAAATTTGTCATCCTAGCAGTGCTTACGAGCACGGTGTGAATTTGGTACTTTGCATTACAAATGAGGGGGAGGGGGAGCTGTGCACTCCCATACCGGGCCTGGAAGATGTCGAACAGCCCCTTGTTGGTGCCCCGTTTCTCCGCCGCCAGAACCTCCCCAGCGGAGGGTTTTCGCCCCAGTTTCGCCTTCAGGCGCTCCGTGAGCAAACGGTCCTGGTACTCCGTTTCGAGCGTGTGCACCTTCGCAGGTTTTGTGTACTCCTTGACCAGGACATACTCCATGGCCCGATGCAGCTCGCTCATCAGGTAGCTCTTGGGAAGCTCCACGTCGCCGCGGATTAGGTCGCCGCCGATGTACTTGTTGTGTTTGAACTCCTCGGGGGTGTCCTCCGTCTCGGTCAGCGCCGCCTGTTGGTACTCCAAATCCGCAGCCAGGTGCTCCGTTATGTGGCCCGCCGCCATGCGCACGTCCATGCCCGCACGCTGATACAGCCGGCTCTCCCCGATATTGCCGCCGCAGGCAGAGTGCTGGTCGGTCTGAACCATAATGACGTACTCCGCCACCTTCTTCCACTCCACCAGCGCGATTTCGCGGAGCAAGTTGGTGGCGGTCCACCGGTCGCGGGTATTCAAATTCGACTGCGGGTTTAGAAACATGTCGTCGCGCAGTTCCTGCTCCGGGGTTGTCTCCCACGAATAGTTGTCGGCGTAGTGCGCGAGCCAGTCCTGACTGAAGTCTTTGTGCTGCTCCATAAATTTCAAAATAAGCTCGCCCTCGACCTCCTCCGCCTCTTGGACCCTCTCCGCTGGGACTTTACTCTCTCTATGCCGTGCGACTAGCCGCATCTCCTCGCGCTCGGTTGTTCTGCTCTTCAACTCCTTCATTGCGGAGGTCTTTTTACCTTCCTCGCCCTGTTTTGTTTCTTGTACTTGTTCCTCTTCCACAGTGTGTTGAAGCAGAGACGAACTGGTGCTAGTTTGTGCTCCTGCTGGGGGAGAAGATTCATGCTCATCTTGTTCCAGCACATGATCAGGACTCCGACTTCTTGTTGATTTCCTGGCATCAGCATCTGAAGACGCCGCTCGACGCTGACGCCCCCGCTTCCGCTTCTGCCTCATGGCTTTTTGGAGGAGAACCTTCTCCAGCAGCTGAGACTGAAGCTCTTTTTTCTTTGCCGTTTTTTGTTCTGCGAATGATGATGAAGATGATGAGCTAGCTACTGATAGCGACCTCTCCTGGGAAGTAGTTCTGCTTCTACTTTTGCTCGTCCCGCCCGTTCTTCGCGCCAATTTTTGATGATTTCTTGCCGTTTCAGTTTTAGTTTTTGCCTCCCCCACCTGCAGCTGGGAGGACGTGCTGGACGTTGCTCCCGCTTGCATATTTGTGTCTACTTCTAGTACGCTGTCACCAAGGGAGGTACTACTCCCATCTCCGCGGCCAGAAAGTGCGTCGTTTTCGGTACTGCTCCTGGCACCGGAAGATTCTGATGACAGCTTTCCCAGTGGTTCGGCTAGTTCCTGAGATGAACCTTGGACACCTGGCGCAGAAGAAGTAGCGGCAACCGCTGGCAGCTTGTGTGCTGTCGTAGATGTTGACATCGTGTTGGTCTTCACGTCAGTTGCGCTCCTACCTGATGATGTTACTTTTTCTACGGGTTCCGGAATCTCCTTCGCGGCCCCTGCTTCATCTGGTACTGCTCCTCCTACGAGAGATGTAGTTGACAGCTCTTCTTGTTCTTTCACCTGCAGCATGCTCGCAGCACTGGAGCTGCTAGAAGTTGCGCTACTCGCAGCAGCAGCGGCTGCTGCTTGTGCTGCGCCGTTGGCTTGATTCTCCAGATCCTCTTCGTGCTGGCGTAGCAGCTCTTCGCACTCCGTGTCGCCCGGTTCGCATTCTTTCGTGATGACGTTTCCATCTTCGTCGACGTCAAGGTCCGCAAAGTGGTAGTAGAGGTCGCCGCCCTCTTATCGCAAGAAAAAAATGTTTCACTGTGAACCTGTGACGCAGAGAACGAAACACCAAAGTGTTTGTCTTGCTACACCTGCAACGCAATGGATTTTTAAGCGTGTTTTCCCTTGGTAAACGCGCATGGCGAACTTTCTGTATCATGTGTAGCACACTTGTGATGCAGATCTTGCAAAACCATCACAGTGAAACAGTTTTTTCGTGGGATACCTCTTCTAGCGCTTCCAACTGTTCCCGCATCTGCTGGATCTCCAGCTCGATATCCCGTTCTCGCACCTTGTCGCTCAAGTGCTCCGCCTTCAGGATTTGTTTTTGCAGAATTCCCTCGGTCTTCAGATGGAACGCGTAGTTATACCGCATCTCGTCTCCGTAGATGTCCTCCATGATGTCGCGAAATTTCTCCGCGCGGAACCGCCTGGCCCGAATGTACTCGTTGATCCTCTCCTCGGCGGCCAGGAGCGGGATCTTGGGATGAATGTTCCCGTCCACCCCCGACACGCCGAGCTTGTCCGTGGTGAGCTTCGACGTACTTAAATGGATGTCCTTATGGATGTGTCAGGATCGAAACCCTCAAAGTTGAAAGAGTTTGTCATGCATAAATCCGATACCAGTCGGAAGCCCTTTTATCAAGCGGCGCATGACAAATTTTCCTATCACCGGGATCCAGTTTGTAATGCTGTTTGGTCCTCACTGAGGACTGCTTTTGTCATGCTACTTTAGCAGCTCTATTTCAAACCCTAAACAGGCTCACAATCGGCCTCACTTGCCATCCTGGCAAGACAGGCACTTCATGCCTTGCATTTTATGCATGGCAAATCAAAATCATTTCAACTTTGTCGATTTCAAACCTGACGCTTCCATAGTCCTTGCATGTGCCCCAGGCGGCATCTTCCAGGTCCTCCAGGGTGGCGGAAGTCAGGTCCTGCAAAAAGTTCGCGTTGTGGTCCGTGATCTTGCTGCCCACTTCCCGTTGTCGCAGTTCGTTGATGTTCCAGGTGGCTAGGCGCTCCTTCTTCTTCCGCTCCTCGTCGATGTCCGACAAAATTTGCCCTTCGTTCCGCATCTCGTATCGGTACCCGAGCACCGTGTCCTGTCCCGGCTGCGGCAAACACTCGTCCGGTGTGAGGAACATGAGAAACCGCAAGTGCTCCCGGATTTTGGTTGGCAACACCATGCCCACCGCGGCAAAGTAGTTGCGCGTCGCGTCCGCTTCCCGCGCCGCCTGGGTGCGGCCCTCGCGCCGGGTGCTGGTTATGCTGCCACCCGCATCCCCACCGCGCTCGTACCGGTCTACCTTGGTGTATGACCGGAGCGGGTCCAACAGAATGAACGCGTCCCCGAACATCGTGTCCCGGTACGATGTGGTGGAGTCCTTGCCGCCGAAGAGGCGTCCGCTCCAACTGTTTGCGCCGCTGTGGGCCAGCAGGTCTGCCCGCAGTCCCAGAGCGTTGGTGGTCTTGGGGAACTCAGATTCCTCCACATCCTCATCCAACAGACCAGCGTCGTTGCTCGCAGGCAATAGTTTATTTTTCGCAGCTGCTCTTGTTCCTGTTCTGGCTCTTGCTTCTTGCTTCGCCTCCTGCTGCTCCGACGTCGTAGAAGCTGCAACTGCGTGCCGTCGTGCCACTCGTCCGCCCTCGCCTACCTTCATCATACCGGAAGCAAGACCTTCCCTTGCCGTTTGATGCTTTTCCATATTTTTTTCCATTTGTTCCTCGGTCCGCTCGCCCGTCTTGGACATTTGGAGAAACGATGAAGCAGAGGCAGCAGTAGAACTACTCGACGCGGCGCTGGAAGACGACGAGAGAAGTCCACTCCCTTGCTCAGCCTTGGTCGCTTCCGCCTTCATTTTTCGCTGTTCCTTGTACTGTTTTACGAGTTCCATCCGCTTGTCCTTCGGTATCTGAGTGACCCAATACTTTTCGAGTTCCTCTTTTCGTTTCTCCACCTCGTCGGTGGCAAGTTGACAGAATTTGTCGTTCTCCAACTCGTATGAACTGCAAAAGTATCGTACTCGTACAAATGCATATACAAATTTATTTCTCAGCATCATCATCATCATCATCATCATCATCATTGAGAAATAAAATTTGTAATGCGGATTTACCTTAATAAGACAAAGATTTGTAATGTAAGACTTGCATTATATACGAATACGATACTTTTGCACAGGATAACTCGCGTCCGTTTTCGAAAGAGCAGACCTCTGCCCGCTTGTCGAGCCTCTCTTGCAAAGGAGCGACTCCTATCAAATGCAAAAATGTCTGGGTCTGGAAGAGTTGGAACCTGTGATGCAAACTCTGGAACACGCAAAAACTTTTGTTGCGTGAGCGCCAAAAGCTGTCCATTTCTTGGTCCGCAAGTAGGAAGTTTCTGATGCGGGACAGGCATCATGAGGCGTGCTCAAAACCTGTGATGCTTTTGCCTGCATCAGACGCCATTTGCGTGATCCGAAATATGCATGACAAATCTCGTAATCTTCCAGACCCAGACATTTTTGCATTTGATAACTCCTGACTCCGGTGCTCCCGGGTCGGCCTGTAGCCACTCTTCTGGCGGCCTCAAAGCCTCCGCTTCCAACGCGTCCATTTTCGCGCTACCATCCTCGGCGTTTTCAGAATTTATGCATTGCAATTATCATGTAGTTGTTACATGGGTGGTCTACAACTTTTAGAAGTCTATGTTGACATTCGCATTTTTGCAATAGAGTGGCCCGCCCTTGTTGTAAGTACGGTAGAACATCACCAGCATCAGAAGTTTCGCGGGCCGCCTATTCTTGCTGATTCATACCTGAAGGAGCGCGTGTATAATGACAAAGAAGTGCCATCAACCTCCGATATTAAAAGAATTCTTGATGGCCATGCATCAATTATCGCATCCATGCGTGACAGCTCTAGGTCTTGTTGTCCTTCAAATCTTGTCGCGTCACGAATTGTATTGTATCCAGACCCGGACGACAACTACATGTGTGCAATGCATAGCGTTGGGATCCTCGCCATTCAGGTGCTTCACGTCTTTCAGCGCTTTCTCCTCCCACTTCTCCATGATTTGTTGCGTCTCCAGCGCTATCCTGTGCAAAAGTATCGCACTCGTATATCATGCAGTCACGAATTACAAATCTTTCTCTTAAACTTAAGTTAAATCAGCATTACAAATTCTATCTCTCATGCTGAGGAAATTTCAATTTGTAATGCATTTATACGAGTACGACAATTTTGCAATTCATAAGCGCGACCGGGTCCATCACGGAATCTTGGGCGTAATAGGTCGACAGCAGCATGGGCAGTGCCTCCTTGGATTTTTCCTTGACCTGCTCTAACAGGTCGTCCTCCTGATCTCTTTCCCACCCCGTATCGTTAGAAAAAATCGGCCCTCCCCATATCGACAAGGCACACCTCAGAAAATTTGTCATGGTGATTTGTAGCCACAAATCGCATCTGTGATGCAAGAAAGCAACGCCACAGGCTCCGCCCAATGGTGCAGGCGGTTTGTAATGCTGTTGGGCCTGCTACGGCATAGACGTTCCTCATGCTAAGTGCCTAGGCCAAAACCTCTCGACTCCGGCACGATATGGGCCTGCAGTCCTCTACTGCAAGACAAATCTGACTTGTGGACGCAAATCCGGCATCACAAATTTCGTTTCGATGTGGGGAGGGGGGATTTTTCCTTGTGATACCCCGCTTGCCAGAACCACGAGGCCCGGGTTTCCTCGGCGTCGATCGAGGCCAGCAGCTGCCGTTCCGAGGCCATCGCAATCTCCCCGGCACTATGAACTGCAAAAGTATCGTACTCGTATAAATGCATTACAAATTTTCTCAGCATGAGAAATAAAATTTGTAATGCTGATTTGCCTTGACAAAGAAATTTGTAATGCAAGACCTGCATTTATACGAGTACGATACTTTTGCACAGCATAGGCACTTTGTCCCCGCCACTTCAGCAGCTGTCCAGTCAAGCGCGTGAGCGGGGACGTCATTGCGTTATGCTCCATGGTGAACTTCTTCCAGTCTTTATCACAGGAAAAAAAGTGCTAACGTTATACGGTTCTCCTAGGTTGCAAAAAAGCATGACAGATTTTGCCTAGGATGCATGCTACGCATGACAAATTCTGGCACGTTTGGGGATGCATTTCTGCATCATAAATTCCGTTTTTAACGTTGTACACTTTTTCCTGTGATAGTCTTCCACCAGGACCCCGTCCTCGTCGATCAGCAGCTCCCCTCGTTCGTTGAGCCGCACGCGCGTGCCAATCTCCATTTCCTCCCCGTATCCAGGAAAAAACACCCATCCCCAGCCAATTTTTTGTGCAAAACATGCATAAGCTCCTGCAGGTTTTTTTTTTTTATGCAAAAAATGAATCATGGGGAAGATGGGTTTTTTTTCCTGGATACCCCGACGTACTGCCACATGCTTGTTTCGAAAGGCCCCCACCACACCTTTTGCCAGTTGTCATCGCTCTGTCAAATGTAAAAAAAGTGTCTGGGTCTCCTGGAAGAATGCAACTTGTGATGCTGCATTTGGATTTCGAAAACAATCTGTATTGCGTGAGCGGCAAAGAGAATGCGATTTTTGCTACGCGGGGAGGGCATCTGTCATGCGGAATAGGCATCAAGATGCCCTTAAAACGTCTGTGATGCTAGGGCATGCATATGCAGGCATCATGGGTCATACAAATTATGCATCACAAGTCTCAGAATCTTCCAGACCCAGACATTTTTGCACTTGATACGCTCTCCAGGGTGGCAATGTCCACCTTCGACAGGAGCCCCGGGCGTCTCCCGACCTTCCCTTCCTCGTCTATGGCGTTCTCAAATGTTAACAGATTCGCAGCTGTTACGTGATTTGTCACGCAATAAAACTCTCAGCAGTATCTACATTTTCAAGCTGCTTCGCATGACAAACTTCCAAAGAGGTAGACAGCATCTAAATTATCTGTGCCAGACTAACCTGCACTTAATGCGAAAGGCGCAAAAATCTTCCGCCGTGCTCTTGCACTTTTGCCATTTTTGCATACTTATATACAAATTCATGTAACTACAGTTGAGGATGTAACGCTTGAGAACGCCATATCGTCCAGCTTCTCCTGCAACCGTGTGAAGTCGCTCGCCACCTTGTAGTGGTAGCCGGAGTAGTCCTCGTACCCCTCCACGCCGTGGCTCGCCATCTTATCGTCGAGGAGCTTCCCCTATCAAGTGCAAAAGTGTCTGGGTCTGGAAGAATGCAAGTTTGTCATGCTTGTCTCGCATGACTCTTAAATTTGTCATGCACATTACCCAAGACCCCCAGTTTTCTGTCATGCAGAAACGCAGTTCGTCATGCAGAATAGGCAACATCAAGAAGCTCAGAAACTTGTCATGCTGAGACAGCACTTGCGGCCTCCTCATGATACGCCACCCAGCGTCACAAGTTTCAAGACCCAGACTGCCATTTTTGCATTTGATATCCCCACTTGCTTGTAGTGCGCAATCTGCCGCTCCTGTTGTCGCAGCTTCAGCATTTCCTCCTCGGACAGGTTGCGACGTCGGTCGAAAGCCACTTGGTCAGCATCGCGCAGGTCGAGGGAAATCCGCTTGGCGCTGCCCCGGCTGATCAGCTTTTTGCTCGTCTTTTTTGGGTGCATATGGGGGCGTCAGGATCGAAATCGACAAAGTTGAAATAGTTTGTCAAGCACAAGAAAACGCAAGGCACGAACTGACTGTCTTGCAGGAATGCCAACAGACGAGGCCAACTGTAAGAGCCTGTTTGGGGTTTCAGATTCGATAGAGCTGCTGAAGTAGGATGACAAAAGCAGCTCTCTGTGCCTAAAGAGCATGACAAATTCGATTTCAATGCTGCCAAAATTCGTCACGCGCCACTTGAAAACTGAATTCCAATTGGTATCGATTTTATGATGGATTACAAATCACATTTCAACTTTGTCAATTTCGAAGATCCTGACAGTTCCATAGTGCAGTACTTCCTTGTATTTCTTGCTGTACATCTTGTTTCCGAACCAGAACCAGGTATCCAGGAAAAAACACTCATCCCTATCGAATTTGTCATGCAAAACATGCATAAAATCCACTATTTGCCATGCAGAAAATGGATGGGGATGGGTGTTTTTTTCAGGATACCAAGCGCCACCGCCCACGAGCACGGACGCTGCGAGTTGCCGGGGGTCGTGGTAAAGCTGTGTCTGCTGCTCACCGATGGCCTGGACCGAGTCTCGCGCTGCTTCCATGTGCCCGAAGATTGTATCTTCCGGGTTCTCTCCTGCTTATGCATTGGAAATATGTCTGGGTCTGGAGGAATGCAAGCTTCTCATGCTCGTCGTCACACATGATTATGATTCATCTCAAAAAATCTGCAATACACGTCGAGCAGGAAAGCAAAAGCCTCTTGCCTGTCATGCAAAAATGCAGTTAAATTATGCGAAAAAAAAAGCGAAGCACATTCATAGACGGAGCTCAAAAAATTGGCATGCGTAGCTCCGTTTTTTTCAGTGCGCTCACCAGTAATCCACTAGCATCGGAACAAGAAATTTCCAGACCCAGACATGATATTTCTCGCACTGCATACTGCTCCATGTCCATCTCCCGGGGATCCGATGGTGTGTTCGGCGTCGTGGACGTTCTATGAACTGCAAAAGTATCGCACTCGTATAAATGCATTACAAATTTCCCCAGCATGAGAAATTATGCGGATTTACCTGAAGAAAAAAATTTGTAATGCAAGACCAAGACTTGCATTTATACGAGTACGACACTTTTGCACAGGATACGTTCTGATAATCGTTGACGACCCTCTCGACAGCGTCATGCTTTTCATTCAACTTTTCGAAGTTGTCGTGGTCGATGCGTATCTTGTTGTCGTCGTGATGTCCCCCATTATTACCTCCTCCTGCGCTTTCGTCGGCGTCGGCGACATGGTCTTTAATGTCATCCAGCAAGTCTTTATACTTGTTCGCCTGCGCGTCGAGATCGTCTTGCGACGGATTGTATCAAATGCAAAAATGTCTGGATCTGGATGAAGGTTGGAACTTGTGATGCTACAAAATCTGAATCATGCAAAAAGACAAATCTGTGTTGCAAGATTAGCAAATGCTGCCCAATTTTGATCAAGTTGCGAGGCAGTTTCTACTCATGCAGGATAGGCATGATAGTGATCTCACAGATGAATCTGTCATGCTAGGTCCTCCATGACAGATGAGATCGTATGCGTCATGGAAAATAACCTGGATGACATAGTCTAGCAGCGTCTTTTGCTGTTCGTGCAATACAGATTTTTGTACCATCCAGATGCAGCATCACAAGTTGCATCCTTCCAGACCCAGACATTTTTGCAATGCATAGATTGGGATGTTGGTTCTCATCCACGGCGTCTTGGATTTCCGTCAACTGTGTCTGCCATCCTACTACCCGCTCGTGATCATCACTGTCACCTGCTGTCTGCCTCGCTAAGCCGTCTAAGATGTCCTTCATCGCATCGTGTCTGTCCGTCAAATCGTCGTGCGCGTCTATGGTGTGTTCCCTCTTAACTTCCGTGAGCACGTTATGGAGGCGCCAGGATTAAAATCGTCAAAGTTGAAATAGTTTGCGACGCATAAAATGCAACCCGCAAAGTGCCTGTCTTGCAGAGTAGGCAAGGGAGGCAGATCGCAAGCCTGTTGAGGGGTAGAAACTGAGCTGCTAAAGTAGCATGACAAAAGGCGGCTTCCTTACCCAAACAGCATTACAAACGGGATTTCGACTCTACCAAAATTTGTCACGCGCCACTTGAAAACTAGGCACCAACTGGCGCCCGTTTTAATTCTCCATTGCAAATTATTTCAACTTTGTCGACTTCAATCCTGACACTCCCATACGCGTCAGAGACCAATCTTTCGTACTCGTTCATCTTTGCGTCGTACTTGTCAACGTTTCGCACTGTCGCGATCGCGGTGTCAAGTTCTTCTTTTCGCGCCAGCAGAGCCCGTTTGTCGTCTCCGTCCGTGACTTCATTGATCAGCGTATCCACAGTAAATTTCCCGCACACGACGACGTACAATAAATGCTGTCACTGCATGACATCGTCATCATATTCATCGCCATGTAGTGGACACCCGCACCCAGCGCCACAGGTCAAGGATCCCCTCCCCGGGGGGTGGGCGAGGAAGCACTTTCGGCGACCTCATCATACAAAACTTGACTCCGATTCTAGTTTAGCATGACAGGCGTTAGTACACTGCAAATTGGTCGTGAAATTTGTGATGCATCTTGTGCATGTACGGGAAATTTGTACTTATTGCATACAGCGTCTTCATGCTCGTCTGCATGTCGCGCAGGTTGTGTTCCTTTTCTTCATCGGCTTGGATCTTGGCGCCCTAGAGGTGTAGGTATTCAGTGCGTCGTGTTGAATAGATCGTAAAGTAGACAGACATCAAAGGCTTGTTCGTGTGTGCTGTGTAGTAAGGCATAAGTAGGCAAATGACAAGGTCAACAGTTGCAAGTAGCCGGACCAGCGGCCAGAACTACTTATCATGGCGGCGCTGTTGAGGAGCATGAGCCCCTGTTGCATCATCGAACTCAATGCGTGAAGGACTCGGTTCTTCTATCGGTATTTTTTTTACTTGATAAAAGTGTCAAACAAGTAAAACGCTGAATACATAGAAATGGGGGGCGCGACCCCACCAGAGGACCACTGTGCTACGCTCGATTCCTTCGGGCATACTTTGTGCGGAGGGCGAGGGATGTTACAGCGATCAGGACAATAAATTTCAATTTGTTAACATGGACAGAACCAGTGTGAAACGATGGAGTTTTTTCATCGACCGAACTCGCTTTCTTTACGACAACACGGCCAAACTCGTACGGGCTCCTTAACATCTGGCACTAGAATACGAATTATACTTAGAAATCGAAATCCATGATCAAAATAAAAAAAATACAATTTCGTCCATGTTGCCCTCGCGCATGTCCTCCTCCATTTCTTTCAGAGTTCCAAGGTGCTGCCTGTCCATGTGTTCCACACTGCTCTATGCATTGCAAATGTGTAGTCTGGGTCTTGAACAAGAGTTCCATTTCCAACTTGTCATGGTGGTGCTAAGTCTGGATCATGCATAAATCTGCGTTGTATGATTACCAAAGGTTGTCCACTTTATTTGAACAAGTCAAGTCGAGAGGGACGAGTTTATCGTGCAGGAAAGCCATCATGAGACAGACTTCGCAGAATCTGTCATGCTACTTCCTGCATTTATTGAGACCTCATGCCGCGTCATGGAACACCTGCATGACAAGTCTTGCAATCTTCAAAAAGATGACCCAGACATGTTTGCAATGCGTATGGTCCTCAACTCCGCAATTTTATCGTCCGCCGCGTCCATTCTATCCTTTTGACTGTCGATATAGTCTATCAACTGCAATTGCAAATATGTCTGGGTCTCGAATGTCATTTGTCATGCATCTCATAAAAAACAAAAAAAGTCTGGAAAAATGCACCCAGAAGCATCACAGATAATTTCGCAAGATCTTCTTGATGCCTATTCCGCGTAGAGGGTCGCCCTTCATTTTCGCCTGGCAAGATTTATTGGGCAAGAACGTGGTTTGCCATTCATGCAACACAGATTTTTGTACCATTCAGTAGATTTGGCATGACAAGTTGCCACGTCTTTCCAAAAGAACCAGAATCAGACACATGATTTGCAATGCGTATAGCTCGTCTCCTCGTCCGTCCATGGCCGCGTCGTAGCTTCTTCGAGCGCCGCTTTTTTGATGACGATTTTTTGCATAAGCACATCCAAATAATCAGACTCACTTTGGTCGTGTTCTTTGATAGGCGCGTCCGACCCGAGCACCTCTTTCATGTCGTCACTCGTCCGCAAACTGCCGTTGTCTGGCAGCGCCTTGATCCTCGCCAGCTCGTCGTCCCATCGGTCTTTATTTTCCTGCAACGTTTGGTCCCAGTCGTACTCCTGCGTCATGTATGGATTGTAAATATGTCTGGGTCTCCTGGAAGGTTGCAACTTGCAATGCTAATTCTGGATCATGCAAAAATCTGTGTTGCGTGAGTGCCAAAAGCGGCCCACTTTCAACCAAGTTGGCAGGGAGTTTCTCACGCAGGATAGGCGCGATAGATATAGAACTCTCACAGAATCTGTCATGCTATGTCCTACATATTACCAGACCTCATGGGTCATGGAAAACCTGCGTAACAAGTCTGGCATTCTTCCAGACCCAGACATTTTTGCAGTTGATATCATGATTTGCCCCCCCTGGGGGTTATATTCCAAACTATCGGGTAAATTTGGATCGTTCTCCTTCTCCAGAACGTTTGGATGGTTCTCCAGCAGTGTGGTGATGTGATTTAAAACGTCGAGTCGCTCGTGTAGCTTATCCGAGCCGTCCGAAACAAAATGTTGAAGTTCGGCGGGCATTGTAGCTTTCTGCTCATCTAGCTGTTTTTGTAAGTCATCTAGGCGCATTTTGTTGTTATCTATCTGGTCCATACAAAACCCGTAATTGAAGTCTTCTCCGTAGTCCGAATTAGTGTCTCGTTCATGGCAATACGTTGCATCATGGTTCGTGATATCATCCTGCAAATCGTGGATCTCTTTGCTGGTTTCTTGGTAACGTTCGAGGTGTTCCTTTTCCTTCTCCCAATCCTCCAGATTCTCCGCCGCAGTGTGTTCGAAGTCATAGTTTTTCAAGAGTTCGTATCAGAGTGCGCAACTGCCCCTCCCCCTCATTTGTCACGCTAAATACCCAATCCACCCTTTTCCTCTTGGCGATGTTTGCATGGCAATTTCTGGTAGCCCAAATAGCGGCACTTAGACTTACACTCCAGTGCAAATTTGTCGTGCACAACCACCGCTCTTGCTATATTGCTGCTCATGCCGTACAAGAAATGAGGGGGAGGGGGAGTTGTGCACTCTCATAGTTCGTCCGTATGGGGGTGGGCCTCCAGATCCAGGTACCCGCTCTCCTCCTCGCCAAGTTCCGTCTTCAGCCACTGACCCCAATGGCCATCGTGTTCTCGTATGAGAGTGCAAATACGACCCTAACCCCCCTCAATCCCCCCCTCGTCAATTTGAAAATACAAACTTCTCTCGCGAACAATCGACATCAGCGGGTCGCCGGAAGAAGGAGGAATGAAGATAATTCTCCAGGAACAAAAGTCCACCTCCACGACGACGATCATGTAGTTGAGACTGCAGCGCCTTTCGGCGTCATATGCATATGCATGCTGCAGGAGCTCCTGCGCAATCAAAATAGTGGTGCAATCACGACTACATCTACGCGGGGAAGGAGCCGCGTTCTGCTCGTTTTTTTGTAAAATGGCAAATGACCGCCACACGACCAGCGAAGTGGTGGAGAGAGAGTTTTCCGTATTGTGCTTTCTCATACCGTCGAGATCTTGCTTGATCTTTATGGCGTACTCAGAGGGAACAGTCTACACTGGAACAAAAATGATGCAAAAAGCGGAAATATTTTCATGTTGTGAAAAAATCATCGAAATCAACAACGAGAACAAATGCAAAGTCTACCTCGACCTCCTACAGGTCTGCATGACAAATTTTGTGAGGATCATCTGAACGACGCGGTTATTTGGACGGTCGCAGATTTGATGTCATCCTAGACTCCATGTTGGTCGCGAGACAGATTGCCAACGTTTTAGCACCATCGCAAATTGTACGTAGATGTACTTAGTTCCACTCCAGATTATGTTCCACCTGAGCACGTCGTACAGCCGTTCGTGATGCTATTCCCTGAAAATTGAAAACCCCCATGATCCAATTTGTCGTGCACAGTACCCGCCTGTGGTCCACCACATCAAAAATGATCTTTGCACTAGTACCACATCCAATTTATTGTTGAATGCAAATCGTGGAGAAGTAGTAGTAGGATGTGTTTTTGTCATCTTCATCATGCGGTGGAAAATGGATGATGATGGTACAACATAATTTTCAGGGAATAGATGTCCTGAATGTTGTCGAGAAGTTCCTTGTTTTTCACCGCTCCGTGTATGATGTTGCCACTCCACTCCTTCGAATCTCCGTCGGGATTACTGGGATCAATATGGTCCAGTTTGTCCAGCGCCTCCTGGATCTTGTTGATCTCCTCATTGTCCTCTTGTGCATTGCAAAAGTATCGTATGATCGCACTCGTTCTCGTATAGATTGCATTATAAATTTTGGCAATTTTGTAAAAATTATGCTGTTTTACTATTTATAGGAAGAAGATTTGTCATGCATATTTGCAAGAGTCAGCACGACGAGTCAAATAGGTTTTGCAATGGATACCACGTGTTCTCGCTGGTCTAGACCCACTTCCGTGTTGTGGTCCTCCAGGGCTTGGATCAGGGTGTCATTATCAAATGCAAACATGTCTGGGTCTCTAATGCTAAAAATGAACGGTAGACGCACTGCACTGCGCAGCTATACATGACAAATTTTTTGGCTGCCATGTCTTACGTATTCCGCATGGCAAGCTGCGTTTTTGCATGACAGGTAAGAGGGCTTTTTCGTGCCTATGCAACACAGATTCTCGAGTCATGCCAGACAAGCATGACAAACTTGCACTCTTCCAGACCCAGACACTTTTGCATTTGATAGGCCTTCAGGTCTTGCAAGTCCTGTTTGGTGTGCCGCAGCGCATCCATGGCATCTGGCTGCTGTTATCGAAGAAAAAAAGTTCGTCACGATCACTTATGCGCATTCTTGCAATACAAAATTGTTTGTCATGCGTAAAAATGCATCACAGCCAAACTTCATTAGGGATTTCCCTAGTGTTTCTGCAATACAAGGAAAGTTTGTGACGCTGAGAAAATTTGTAATGCAAAGCCTGCAAGTTAGTGACTGTGACAAACTTTTTTCTCTCCATAACTGTTCCAAAGTATGCAGTACAATTTTTTTCCCGCTCATGTACAAAATGCATCACAAACTTCGCGGCCAACTTAGAGCATATTTTTTTATTACCACGCATTTGTCATGCTGAATAAGCTCCTACGCTAGTTTTGTCATGCGGAGCCAGCATTTGTACGCGTAGTACGGGAATAGACTTACTGTGGATACAAAGTCAGGCCCTCCGCCTCACCGTGAAATAATAGCGGATTGGGCGCGTGGGTACCGTCTCCGTTCAAGTCCCAAAAGTGCGAACCCGGGTCGTGCACCAACCAGTCGTGCCAGTCTTCCTGATATCAAATGCAAATGTGTCTGGACGTCTGGAAACTTGTGATGCTGGCCGGCGAGACATGGAGACGCGACAAATGACGGGTCTTCAGCATGACAAGTTTCTGAGGTGCAAGGTGTTGTCTGACAGCATTCAGCATGACAAACTGCGTTTTTGAATGACAAACAATTGGAACCTTTGGGCAATATCCTGCATGACAGATTCGGGAGTCATCATGCTAGCAGAGCAACACAAACTTGCACTTTACTTCCAGACCCAGACATATTTGCCATGCATAGCTGGTCCCACCCGTGTATGACGGCGTTGTTGGTCAAGTCCCGCTATCCTGTGCAAAAGTATCGCACTCGTATTGCAATCATGATGCATTACAGATTTTTTTCTTCAGGGAAATCCGCATTACAAATTTTTTATTCCTCATGCTGAGGAAATCATTTGTCATGCATTTATACGAGTATGAAACTTTTGCAGTTCATACTCCCAGCGCGTTATCAACTTCGAAGGTGTCCACGACATAGTTCACAAGCCGGTGTGTCATATGTAAAAACGTCCTCACATCCCCATAGCCAAGTTGGGAACCTAGCAAGACAAGTCAAGTCCACAAGTTTTGGGAGCCACGCATGAGAAGTTGCAGTCCGTAGTGTAGTGCATGTTTTTAGCAAGGACAACCGCATTTCAAATCCACCTGCTTATCCTGTTTACAGCATTACAAATTCCAAAACGCGGATGGAAATGCCTCCCATGGAGATGCGCATTACAAATTTTCCTGATGAATCGCAAATCTGCATGACAACTATGGAGGGGTGGGGACGTTTTTACTCAGGATACCCTGCCCCATGTAGTCAAAGGGCTGGGTGTATCCTGTGCAAAAGTATCGTACTCGTACTAATTGCTTTTATGCATTACAAATCTTTTTCGAAAGACAATTCCGCATTACAAATTTAATTTGTAATGCTGAGGTAATTTGTATTGCAATTTATACTAGTACGATGCTTTTGCAGTTGATAGGGTGACCGTGTCCACCGTCCATTCCACAGTGTTCAGGCCGTAATTTGCTAGGTCCATCTGCGTATCCTGTGCAAAAGTAATATCGCACTCATACTAGTACAACTACTGATCATCGGAAGACTGCATGACAAATCTTTACCTGGATCTGCGTGACAAACTGCTACTGCAACTCTCTTCTTAAGAAAATCCGTCATGCGAATCATACTACTGCGATATTAATACTTTTGCAATGCATACTGTGCGTCGTGTGTGTCCTCGTCTTTCACGAAATTGACGTACCCGAAGTCTCCGTCCCCAAAGTCAAAATCCCAGTCCTTGTCCCACTGGATGTCAAAGCCGAGTGCGCTTTCAATAAGATTTGCCTATCCAGTGTAAATATGCCTGAGTCCTCTGAAACAATTCTGTCGTGACACTGACAGCTCAGCCTGATTGTGATTGACAACTAAATTTATATTTATTGCAGCCCAGCATGATCCATCGATCATGAGAGCGAGGTTTTCCAACGCTCTTTCTGAAGACCACACGAGCAAGGATTACAAAATTTAAATTCCGCTTTTACAATTCAAAAACAGCGTCGCGTGTAGTATCAATCGCCACTCAGCATGTGCATGACGGATGATAGTACACGCGCTACTTCATTTGTTGATGTTGGCCACACAAGACCGATTCTACAGGGAAAAAAAACAAAGCGCGAAGCAAACATGGCAAGTGCTACTTCCCCGAACCCAGAGATTATATTCACGCTGGATATTGTATCCAGGAAAAAACATCACCCATCCCCATCCACTTTGTCATGCAAAACATGCACAAGCTGCGGTGTTTGTCATCCAAAAAATGGCTGGGGATGGGTGTTATTTTTTCCTGGATATATTGCTGGTGCTTCGACGATGTCATATCAAACAAAAAAGTTGTGTTAACGTTCACGGTTTTCACAGAATGAAGTCACGCGTGACAGATCTAGCCTAATCTGCATGCTATACATGACAAATGAATTTGGGCACGTTTTGTGGTCGTGCGTCATTGCATCACAAATTCCGCTAAGGTTAACACTTTTTCTGTGATATGTCATCGGCGGTGTCCACCAAGAAGTCGCGGCCCTGGGGAACGAGGTGTGATGCCTCGCCCCATGCACCGCCCAAATCGTGCTGTACAAAAAGTTCGTTTCCTACGTGTGGAAGCGCCAGGCTCGAAATCGACGAAAGTGAGACAACTTACAACGCATGCAGCCGCTACATACCGGTTGATCATGGGCGATCACCTTGAACTTCAGCTTCTAAGCGTCGCAAAGCAATATTTTGGAAGCTCCTGAAAGAATCCGACTCACCGCAGTTGTGTTGGCGGCAAACGCGAATGCTTTTCTAGCGTTGGACCAGAAGTGTCCCTATTGCTACCTCTTGCGGATAGATGTGAAACAGGTGTGCAAACTTCTAAAACTGCATCGATCTGGCCGCGTTTTGGCACCGCGGTCCGCCTCCTCGGCGCTCTTTTTTTCTAGTCTTTGGTCTCGGGGTGCCGCGCTCGGTTTTTTTTAGCGGAGTCGCTCATGGCAGATTTTGCCGCAGCGCCGAAAATTATAAACATGGGGCGCCGGCCCTTTTTTCTATGAAAGCACGAGAGGCGAAGCGAGTAGGATAACCTTCTCCGCGCGCGCAGCGCGCGCGAAAATTTTGTTTCACCTCGCCCCCACTGACGCGGATTTTTTTTCTCTGGTTCCGCCCGGCGGCAGGCCGGCAGCAGCTGTGAGGCACCCGCGCGGCAGCTGTGCAACAGCCCGCGCAGCAGCCGGAATCAGGTGCGCAACAAGTGCGCAACAAGTGTGCAACAAGTGTGCAACAAGTGCGGATGGGTGTGAAATAAGTCCGTTTTCTTTTAGAAAAAGACTTACTTCACACCTATCCGCACTTGTTGCGCACTTGTTGCGCACTTGTTGCACACTTATTGCGCACTTATTGCGCACTTATTTCACACCTCTCTCACACCTGTGTAACATTTGTCGCGAGCCTGCCCCCAACCGGCCTCACACCTGTCTCGCAGCCGTGCCGCAGGTCCCGCGCAGCGCACCCTGCGTTGGGGCCGGGCTGTTGCACGGCTGTCGCACAGCTGACCGCGAGGCCTCTCTTTTGCCGCCCGCGAAAAAGTTTGGGGGCCGGGGGCCTGGCTCTTGACCCGGGCCCGGTGAACCGGTCGGCCCGCGCTCGCCCTAGGCAACCCGAACGCGCGACGGCCCGCGACCACGGGTCTAGCCGACTACTTCTCGCCGCGTTGTGCATTGTGAAAACGCGACGGCCCATGCGGAACGGGCCACCCCTTTCGTCATGGAAGCTCCTGAAAGAATCCGACTCACCGCAGTTGTGTTGGCGGCAAACGCGATTGCTTTTCAAGTGCTTGTTTGCGGTAGTTCCTTCCACTTGCACTTCTAAACCTCGGCAAGCTAAGGCTTACTACAACAGCAGGCCTCGCTTGCCTACTCGCCAATACAGGAGGTTTGTGCTATTAAGCACGACTTTGATTTATTTTATGGGATGCAAAGCTCTTTCAATTTTGACGATTTCAAACCTGACGCTTCCATAAAACGGATACGGTACCCTGTGCAAACATTTCCACGGGTTTTGCAAGTTGCTCACCAACGTCAAGGACGTTCTCAAGGTTGTTCACCACTGCGTCTTTTATCCAAGAAAAAAACGTTGTTAGTGTAAATTTGTGATGCGCAACCTGCAATATGATTGCGTCTGTCATGCTTGGCATGCATCGTAGGGCCCATTAAAAGGCGTTTTCACGTACTACCTGCGCATGACAGGTTTTTGCTGTCATGCCAGGCAAATTTGTAATGCTGTTGCTCCAAAAAAGTTACACCTACAATGTTTTTTTCTTGGATATCTTTCGCACCAAATGTAGTAACCCACCCCATCCCGAACAAGGTATCTCCGATGTCGCCCGGCATGTCGCCTATATTGTCAATAAAGCCCTGCTTCGCTTTAGTTCCCTGCCTCCCGGAGGTTCCCTGCCTCGCTGTTTCCTGCCTCGCTGTTTCCTGCCTCGCTGTTTCCTGCCTCGCTGTTTCCTGCGTCGCTGTTTCCTGCCTCGCTACCTCCGTGTGCGTTCCAGTGGACGTCTCGAGGAAGGTATCCTGTGCAAAAGTACAGCGCTCGTATATAAAAATGCACTACAAATTTTCTCAGCATGAGAAATAAAATTTGTAATGCGGATTTACCTAACGAAAAAGATTTGTATGTAATGAATGCCTGCAATTACTACGAGTACGATACTTTTGCAGTTCATAGAAGGATGACGCGGGCGCGGCTGCTTCCTCCTGGGTGGCTGCTTCCTCCTGAGCTTGTTGCGTCTCCTTCCTGCGTATCAAATGTAAAAATGTCTGGGTCTGGAAGAATGCAACTTGTCATGCTAAATCTAAATGATGCAAAAATCTGTGTTGCGTAAGTGCAAAAAGCTGTCCGCTTTTGACCAAGTCGAGAGGGAGTTTCTCATGCAGGAAAGGCATGATAGAGACCTCCTCAAAAAATCTGTCATGGTGGGTCTCGCATTCCAGACCTCATGGGTCATGGAAAACCTGCATCACAAATCTTGCATTCTTCCAGACCCAGACATTTTTACATTTGATACTGCGCATGGCTGCCGTACCGCGAAACCGGTATCTCGGCTGGGCTGCAGCGGCATCAGGTAGTGCTAGATCATGATCGTCACCTCTTCCCGGAAGAACGACCTCCGACGCCGTCTCCCTATAATTTTCTTGATGTTCCCCCTCCGTTTCACTGCTGCTCGCAATCTTGCCCTTCATCAAATAAACATCGCCGAAAGGAGGAGCATGGGGATCCTCGAGCGCCGGTACTACTTCTCCTTCATGGTCGCTCGGGGGTTCATCTTGCTTCTCTTCCCTATTCGTTGCAAGAACATCATCGGACGGAACAGCGTGGTCTTCACTGTGGCTCCTCTGTTGTAGTGCAGCCAACCTCGCACTCCCACGCAGGTTATTTTTCCGATGAATCTTCTTCGTCGTTGCCGCGGTTGCCGTTGCGCCACCAGCAGAAACTACTCCGTCTGACGACCACGAAGACCACGGAAAAAGAGCGGAAGACCCTACTTCTCGCCAATTATGGTTGCGCTAGGTCGTTGGGAATCGGCAAGATGGAAATGGCATGCAAGGATGTAAAAGATTGAAGATACCGGCCGGGCTACAATTTCTCGAAGCGGCCGCGCACGACAGATTTAGGGTTCGTCTTTATCCAACTTGCATTTGCCATGCTGCTTGGACGAGCAAAGCAGACGACTTCTGTCGTGCACTTCTATCACTAACACCAAATTATAACAGGCTGCAATCGACCTCAAATGCCATCACTGCACGACAGGCTGCACTCTGTGCCTCACATTTCATGCATCGCCAATCTTTTCCTCTTTGTCGATATCCACCAATCTGACGCTGCCATACCGAGCTTTATTGTCGTAGTGCTCGTCCTCGTCCGGTGCATACAGATTTTTGATGTGCAGATTATTGTACAAGGAGCTCCTCCTGGAGGTTTTAGCGCCAGCCGCGCGAGGCAAGCCGCTCGTGGTACTCGTACTGAAGGGTCGCGCAGATCTATCACAGGAAAAAACTGCTTCACTGCAAGGATTTTATACGCAACTTTTGCACGACCATCACTAGTTTGTGCAAAACTTGCAATACTTCGGCTCTTCTACTTGTGCCGCTGTGTTGTTGCATATAATTATGCATCCTCTGCATGACTAAGCACATCAAGTCTACGGTGAAAGAGTTTTTTCCCTACGATACGATGCTAGAAGTTGCACCGCGTCGATATCTTCGCTGTATCTGTTTACTGAATAATTCAGATCTCTTTGCCCGGCGTGGGGGGTCTCCTCACTATCGTGCCCGTCACTTCGCATCATCACGGCGGCTCGCCTCCGCGCCCGCCGCGCTAGCACCTCCCGCAGCGCGTACGCTTGTCGCAGCTTCCGCTTCAGCCGCCGGATCTTCAGCGCCCGTCGAAGCACGAACATGGTTATGAGAACCAAGTACAAAGCATCCAAGGAAAAAACTGTCTCAGAAGTCTCAAATCTTTGCAGACTCACTATTAAGGCAACACGAATTTCAGTTTCGGTTTAGCATGACACACAAATAAACTTGTGAAGTGTCAGTAGACTACACATGCCTGCGATAAAAGCATACCTGGCAGACACCTTTCATCTTGAATGTGCAGAAGCATGACAAAAAACTGAAAGTTAGTGTCTTAAGCAGCGTTTGCATTACAAGTTGGGACTGAGACATTTTTCTTTCGTGATACAAAGTGACGATCACTTTCCACCAGGAGAAGCGCGAGGAGGATGTTGACCGCCGTGATTGCAGCTTCATCTGCTTCTTATCATCTTCTTCACAAAAAGTACCTCGCCTCTGCAGGTGCGACGCTCCTGCTCCTTCTGCTGGAAAAGAGCGTTCATCTGCTCCCGTGGAGGTGCTCGGTCCGGTACTAGACAGCGCTGGTGCTGTTGTGGCGTTGTAGGTAGTTGCACCGTCCTCCACTGCGCTGATCGCGCTGGTCTCACCACCTAGCGCATCACCGCGGCTGTTTGCTCGGTCCGCATCAGCATCCCATGGATGTTGTAGCTCGAGTTGCAGCGGCGCAGTCAGCGACTCCTCATTGTTTGTGCTTCCTGCTCGAAAATGGGCGGGTCTCTTGTCGCACATCAGTTCCTTCCACCAGCGAAAAGACAACAAACGTCTACGACGCGATGAAAGAAGAGTCCTCGTCGAAAAAGTAGTTGTAGTTTCTGCAGCCCGAGGATCGTCATCCTTGCTGCGAACAAAGGAACTGCGCATCATCATCAGGTGTCGCCGTAAACAACTTGGCAAGCAGCAGCTTGTTGCGCGGCTTGCGGAAGCAGGTGCAACTTCTTCGGGCGGGACTTCATCTACACGGGGACGAGGCGACGTCACAGCACTCTTGGAGGAGCTCTTCTTTTTTTTCTTTTTCTTCTGTGAGTTACTGTGAGCTGCCTTCGTTTTTGTTACTCGAGTTACGGTGTCCGGCGGAATCATTGGTTCTCGATTGTACAACTGCAGCTCCCCCTGGCGCGGCTGGTCTTGCGTAGCAGAGGACTGGTAGCGGTCGACCTGGTGCTGCACCGCTGGACCTCCGCTTCTACTTGGATTTGGATTTGCAGCAGGGTGCTGTACTAGATCTGCAGCAGTACTATGGCGCTCTCAAGCGTTAGAATCAATGAAATGATCCCTGTAGAAGTTAGATGAAGATTTTGTATATGGTTCAAGAGTCGCAGACGCAAAAGCCTGGACCACGACCACTTTATCTTTAAATTCAATATATACGCTCGTTGCATTTATACAAATGTGGTGGACGTAGAATCTTCAAGAAAAAATCGCACCTTGCATTTATGCAAAAAATCAAAAAAATACATAGCGATCGCGCAACGGCAATACATAGCGATCAGTCAGCACCAGTGTGTTAACGCTTGTGATGAGAACGCCATACACAGTACACGTCGAAGCGGAAACTTTTCCTCCGGCCACTTGGACATCATTTTTCGTCTCGTGACGGTACTCATCATGTTGTTGCAAGTGGATCGGAACCCTCTCCAAACTTGTACTGGATGTGCTGGAGTTGTTGTTCCTGTTCCTATTTTGATTTTGTTGCACACTAACACTAGCCATGCCTGTCGCCCCTTGCTCCTTGTCAACGGTGGTGGTCTCGCGTGCAGCATCTCCTCCTGAACGAGCGGCCGAAACGCCTTTGTTGCGATGATCTGCATGATCTGATGTGCAAACTACGGACTGCAGTGCGTCGTGTCGAGGCACGATCGTCGAGGAGATGTAGTTGGGCACCTCCTCCGACCTCCTGAAATTACCATGTTCTGCGCCCGGTCGTGCTGACAGGGCCGCAGTGGAGGCTGTCGCGCTCCTCGCGCTCGTCATCCTCTCTTCAGCTAGTGCAGCTGTTCGAGGACGTACTAGATCTCCATCTAATTCGGGCTCGGCGATCACAGCTGTCGCCTGAGCGGGGGCTAGCTGAATCGTGCTGCTGTTTGATGTGCTCTTTCTTGTGGTCATTTCTGACTCGACGACAAGAACTTGATCCGTCATAATTCCTTTTCTCCCGCTTACAATCTTCTTGTGCACGTCCGATTCCATGATGGGTAGTCGTTCTCGCTCCCACTTCGGAAGATGTGCAGAGTTTCTGGCTTCTGCGACGTCCACCACTTCGCGAGGAAAGGCTGATATGCACTGTCTGGGCCAAAACTGCAGCGGGAGAAGCTCAGGCTCGCAAGAAGAAGTTGCACGTACAATTCCTCGTGCACAAGAAAGAGCAAGCGACGATCCCTTGGTAGTTCAAATTTTCGCGAAATAATTCCTCGTTGTTTTTGTTTTGCGGTCTCTTCGTAGATAGTACACACCGTTAGGGTAGTTGGAATGAAGAAGAAGTAGATGCTACTCAACGAACTGGTACTGAGTCGCCATAATTAGTAGTAAAGCTTTCGTGGCGACTTGAAAACGAAACTTCGCAGATATGATTTTCTAGTTCCCAATCGCAATCCCATCTTCAGCTAAAGCTGCTGCCAGATCATGCTACAGGAACGTGCTTAGTCGTATTTACTAGTACTTATTAGCAAACTCGAGTCGAGGAAATGCAGCAGAGCACGAAGATGAATATGAATTTTTCATATCGAGCACTTCTACATTTTTTCTTGTGGACAAGTGGAAATTGATGTTGATTCTGGAGCTAGACAAAGTCAAAGTCTGTCAAAGCGGACGCATACATTACTGTCTTACTTTACGTAACGAGTAGCGATTTGTCTTCCTTCGCTCGGAAGTAGCCATCGGTGGTTCTTTGTAGTCGAGTTTTCTGTTTGCTGCGACTCCGACTGCGATCCCTAGTGACACTGAGACGATGTTCCGACAGATTTGAGCAGATTTTCTTCCCTCGTTGTTTTTCATTTTCTCCCTAGCTATCTCGACTACAACGACTTCGACAGCTGGCGTGTGCAGCTTTCTCTCTACTTCTCTGTGCTTCCGCACGCGAAGCACACATAATAGACGAAGATGATCGATCATGCACGCGAAGAGCCTGGAACGAAGCAATAAAAAGAACGACCTGCAAAATAGAACAATCATCATCCTGGTGATGATCATCTTCCTTGCTCTATTACGAGGACGATAGGGGTGACGACAACGACGAACACTCAATCTGTCTTGAACAATCCGCACGGGAGACAATAAAGCCTGCGAGCAGCTACATCTCCCCCACGGATTGCACAAGAACTGAAGCATGCGCGATTATGTGGGTTGCCATGCACTCTGCAAAAGCTTTACCACGCTGGCTAGGATCATCTTTAGAGCTGCAATCGTATAGGTGCATGAAAACAAGTGGTAGAGAAAAATGATGTTCCCAGGAGGACCAGAAATGTCCGAAATGATCAATGAAGAGCGAGGATCCGAAAAGTGAAGCAAAACGTGTTCTACTTCTCCACGGCAAGAAGAGGAGAGCAAAAGAAGTCTATCTTATGCTACGGCTCGTCCTTGCTTGTCCAGTTGCTGTCCAGCTGCAGCTTCTTTCTGCCTGTATCATCATCTGCATTTCGAGGACACGGACCTGATAATCCTGCTCTGGGAGAAAAACGACAACATGAAGACCTGTCAACACTTTTGTTGCAGACCTGTCAACACTTTTGTTGACCACCCTGCATGTTGATCCCCAACATAATAAATTCATGCCGCCGTGGTCGTGCACACTTCCATTTTTTCCAGCTCCTGCTTTTTCTCCGTCTTCGGGCCGAGTTTGAGTTTCAGTTTCTTCTTCTCCGCGCCCTTGGCCTTCAGCGTGGCGTTGCGGGCGAGTTCCTTGCCGAACACAGACACGATCTCCGCATGCTTCTTCAGTTCCTTCTCCGCCTGCGTTTCGCGCTTCTTCACCAGGTTCGCCAGCCGCTTCTTGTGGAATCGCACCTTGCGCACCTGCCGTATCTGCTGGATCCGCTTCATGGCCTGAATCGTCTTAATCCACAGGTTGCGGTCGTACCGCACCGGTTCGTTGCGCCGTTTCTCGAATTCGAAGGTCTTGTCCAGCACCATCTCCTTACCGCGGTACCTACAATTTTATTTTATTCGGGGGTGAGTTTTTCGAGCCGATTGGCTTGTTGATCAATAGAAGCTTGAGATGAAATTAGAGACATACGTCGCGGACTTCGTGTCAATAGTACTGCAAGTATCAGCCAAACAGATTCCTTTATTTATTGTCACGAGATCAACATGCAAAGAGGACTCTTTTTCTTTCAGTCTCCATCTTTAGTACTACTATGCATTTACCGTCTGCGAAAGATAAGCAGATCTCGTTATGGATGCAGTTGCAGATCATGAATATGAATAAATGAAAATAAATCACGCTTGATTATTATGACGGCAGTAACGTGCCCAACAGGCAAGTTACCCAAAGGGTTACGGTTTTTTTTTTTCGGTGTAAATAAGGTAGTGGTATATTGACTAGCTAGTAAAAGTGATTTGTTTTTAGCTAGGTTAATAGCTTATCTTTATAAGGCGTTTTTTACAGCTTCCGGGACGCTACATCGCCGATATCCAGCTCCACGGATTCGCCGCAGAACCCTAGCAAAAAACCGAGGAAGAGCCCCATGGCGTAGCGTCTGTCTACTGCCCGCGCTTTCCATTGTGCGTGGCCTGTGGAAGGTTTGGCGCAGCTAGCCGCATCCAGGGGATGGCTGACGGCAAGCCGGCACGGTAGACACGCAAAGCCGCGCGCCCTGCTTATGAGAAAAGGCTGAGCAGCGTGCCATCTGCTGCCAGGGGGGGTTCGCCAAAAAGCACCCGCAAGCCAAGTGCAACATGGTCCGCAGGCCGCGGCCTGCAGGGCCGCAGGCGAGAGGCGGGGGCGCGAGGGGGGGTCCGCGGGAGGGGGTCCACACAGGGCCTCCCGTAGGGCATATTTTTACCCCTAGCCCCGACGCTGTGGTCGTTTTGTCCCTTGCCAAAAAGGGGGCATCTCGGAGGGGCATCGCGGACGGGGATCCCGGACTCTCGTGTTGTCCTGTGTGAGGTCAATCTGCCCAGGTAGGAACACAACGAAGCCGGGGCGCTTTGGATAGCCTCACAAAATGGCTCCCAAGCTCGGCGGAAAGCGGCAGCAAGGCACAAACAAAACACAGAAAAGGGCGGCAAGGTGCGACACGGCCGTCGCAATTATGTCGCCCCGCTGCCTCGCCACGGGAAGCTGGCCGCCGATCCTCTGCCCCCTGCGAAGCTTCGTGCCCTATCTGCGCCACGCCTTCGTGTGCAGTATCCCGCCGCCCCGGCGTGGAGACACCCGAGGCGAATCCGTGGAGCTGAATATCGGCGGAGTAGCGTCCTGAAACCCTTAAAAAACGCCTTTTCTAGCTACTTAAATTATATAACTAGTTCAACTGCCTATCTTATAGAAATATCTATATCATATATCTAAGACACACCGAAATTTTTTTTTTGATCCCCCATGGGTAAGTTGGGCGTTGGGCACGTTGCTGCCGTCATAATTATGCGCTGGCCGAGGACGTCGAGGTGATCTTGAACGCACTTGTCTTCTTGTGACCTCCACACCGCAAGGAGTTTCAATTTCTCACCGACAGAAAATGAACAGGCAATGAATAAAATGTATAAAAAAAATCGTTCAAATTTTTATGTACTTTCTGCTGGCCTTGGTCCACTTGAGTTTCTTCGGGTTGTGGCGCATTTTGAAGTGCGCGTGGCACTTCCCGCTGCAGAAGCGGAACGTCTTGCAATCATTCCGCACAAACATCGTCCCGTGCCCGGGATAGACGTTACAACTGCAGTACCAGCACTTTTCGATCCTCATTTTGCTGCTGCTGGTCGGAAGGCGTGGTCAAACAAAAAAAAGAGAAGCCTTGAGATACTCCTCGCGAAACTTTTCTGCAGAACGTGATCTAGTTGCAAGAAACACTAGTAAAAATAGTAGAGCCAATGATGTTGAAGATCCCAGTTGGAATGATACTGATAGTATACAGTGAATAGATTGAAGTCGTCCTTGTCGTGTTGCATGATACTGTGGAAGTTTTAACAACCTCCCTCTCAAAACTTCGTCCTGACTTTTTTCCTAGCGAGAGGCTGCATGGAACAATACCACCTATCTGTCTCCTCGTACAACAAGCCTGGAGTTTATTGGTAATATTTGAAAGAAATTCTTGAGAAAAATATCACTGAGATTCATCAAACTAAAGTAACAAATTATTGAGCTGGAAGAGAACCACAGTTTGGTTCTTCGCACAAGATCATAATTTTCTTGCATGATGCGCTGGGCTGCATATTTCTACTACAGGATCGGTGTGGTCTACTTTGGACTCATTATACAACCATTTCAGCTTCTGATCCTACCGCTTTAAGTGGGCTAGATTTCTTTCTCGATGGAGCGATTTGGAAATGTCTTTCATGCCACGATAGCTGCTCTGTTGAACTTGATTTTGCCTCGTAGTCTAGTACTTCCACTACATTCTGGGTGGATCATAATCATGAGCACAGAGTGGCGGGGGCCGGGTCAGTCTTTTTCATTTTTTCGGAACGGGTACTTATGCGGATCGACAGAATCATGCAGAAGAAGGCTTAAGAAACCGCTCTTGCCGATGGATGAAAACAAGGCGACATGAATATACAACGGCCGATCTACCACCTATTTCTTGATCACTTCCGTTCCCGTTGTCCTCCAACTCGTAGCGATAGCGTGACCGGATTGGAGATCGAGCAAAATTTCAGATCCTTGTGGTCCACACTGGTTTGCGCTTGCCTCTTCCGTCAGACAAGATGACACGTGTTGTGTAAAAAGTAAAAAGTAATAGAGAGACCACAGGTCCTTACCGTTACGCTTATGAATTTCTATTTGGGTAGCCCTATCATCTAAAATGCTGCGCATGGTCTTCTCAGGCAGCACCACCGAGGATGAATAAACACCACTCGCTGCAAACACCTTTGTGCTTTCAGAACTCCAGCAATTTCTTCACAACAACGTCTTCACCCCGTAAAGATTGTTTTTTGGATTTGGTTTTTCAAAATGGGTTGTGGTCGATCTCAACATTCTTCGTTTCTATGAAAACGCAACCACTAAAAGTGTTTCTTTCTTTATTATGTCTGACTGAACGATATCAACGCAATATCTCACTTTCTGTTACTTTGGCTAACTATAGCTGTACATAAACAGAACTACCAATCGATAAAATACAACTTAGATTCCCGCTACTAATACTTAAATTACACTTCATTTTTTTTATTTTTTTTCACCAATAGGAATAAAGCAGCTAGTTCTTCTGGTACAATAGACACGCCTTTCATAATAACAATAAGTAAGCTGCACCTGCAGAAACTATAACGGTCGTCCAAAATTAGGCTGGTGTGGTCATAAAGGCTGTAAACAACTCAGGCAAACATCATCAAGAGAGGGGGCTTTTTCCACTTTTTTCCCGAACTCCTCGATCTTGTTTTGAGATAAAATTTACGAAAAAAATCATGATAGGCTGCCAGTCCAGATTCTCATTCTCAACCAGTCGCAACTCCATGTTCGTACAGCAGCGAATAAAGCTGCTTCAGTTTCAACAGTTTCTCATCGATTCTTGCACGAGTAAACGCTGGCGGGTGGTGCTGTCATTGTTTCCTACTCCGTGCAGCCGGAATTTCAGTTCTCGTTGAAATGCTGTAGTTTCTGCAGAGGGTAGAGCAAACTTGCTGTAGGTGGTCCACTTATTGCTGCTTTCGAAAAAATAAACTAGAACGTCATAAAGCACGAGAGCCATTTGGTTCGCTCGCCAAAGAATTTCATAGGTTTTTGATATTTCGCAGAAGGTGGGTTTGCTTGAAGTTTTTTCGCAGTGCGTTTTGTTTTCCAGAACAAACACCGCGAATGAGCTCCTGCTCCAGTCATACTCATAATACACATAGCAGAAGGCTTTGCAATAAAATTTTTGTTAGACTTTTATTCCTAATAATACCTTCTTTTTCGCAACGGCAACAAGGACATATAATTCGAATAGTAGTGATCTTGCTCTCTACCTACAATCAAAGTTGCGTCAGTGCAGTCGGCCCGAAGCGATGCCTTCTCTGTTTTTGCAACAGAAATAAATGCACCGCGTCCGACGGACTCTTTCAACTTTTCGCAAACATAATTTTACTGAATGTCCTCTCTTGATTTGATACTCTTCAGAATCAGAAAATAGCAAAAAAAGCAGGCTTGTCAAGGGATATTAAAGTTATGTCTAGCGCTCAAACAACATATTTTCCGAATAGAAGCTACCGGCTGCACGAAATGGCGTATGTAATACCTAGCTACGTCTTTCTACTGCCATGACGGAAGAGGTCGCTTTAGGTGCTTGAGTAACGTTTCAAGTCCAGTAGGACCAAGTGCAAAAGTACAACCGGGTTGAATCAGGAAATAGCGATACTTAAGTTCAGGCTGCTGCAACTGGAAGACCTTTCCTTTTTGTTTAGAGCAATTAATTTTTATTTTCAAGACCACTTACTCTACTGTCACTGAGATAGCAAAAATGAAAACGATAGGCTCATTTATTACTCCAACTAAAAAATAGAGCAACAACGCAGGCGGTTTCGGAATAGCAATACAGAGACAAGAACATCATTGTAAGGTAGTGCCGCAAAATTAGTTTTCTCCCGTCGAAAGCGAGATAGTAGCTGTAGAAGTAGTATGGTAAAAAAGTACTATTACTTAGAGCAGAACATGGAGACAAAATTGTCATCATCAGTGCGGAGCAGGTAATGCGGGAGCCTTTTCGCCCTAACGCAAACGAAAATTTAAATACAAATACAACGTACAAACCAAATAAGCTTCTGTACATCTTGTTCAAAAAAAATTGGTAAACTTTTCCGACAACAGGCACGACTTATCAAGCTGTGCGACTCGTCCGATCTTTTCCAGACCTTCCAAATCGCTTCGTCTTTGACTATGAGAGTACACACCTCCCCCACCTCCGCGCCTCTTCTGCCATGCAAGATACCAAATCCACATCTTCTTCTTTGTCTTGCCTGTAAAGAGACTGTCTGGTGCATGATAAATTTTGGAACTTCAAACAGTGCTAGTGCAATTTGTGTGCTGCACATTTGTCATGATGTGGAGACACGACATTTCTGCCGCTGCTTGTGTTGCTGCTGATGCCTGCTTCCAAATGGGGGGGACGGATGGGGGATATTGTGCAATCTCGTACGGACTTGAAAGCCAACAATAGGTGGTGGGCGTCGTGGTGCCAGGTGCTAGTGCTACTTCTATGGATATTACAAATGTTGAAAGGAATCAGCATACAGCTACGCAACAAGTTTGAGCAGCGACTGTATCAATATTCTACTTTGGAGATCATGAGGATGTCGCCTTTAGAGTCTTCGCTAGTCTCCATACCTACGAGGCAGGTCGCAGAAGTCGCTTTTTTTTTCTTAACAATCAGCTTTATTCTTCTCTTCTTTTTTTATATCGGTCCCAAGTATGATTTATATATGATAGATCAGGCAACATAGAATTTGTAGAACAAAAGCAAATCATCTTCACCATCCCGCTAAACGGAAATGAGCGGTAGACCATTCTGTTGATCCTGCTGCTGCTGCTGTTGGTGTTGCCCTTTCGAGGAAACTGTTGCAGAGGACGAGGCTTGTAATTCCGCTGGGAGCTGTTGCTGTACTACGCTGTTGGTCATTCCAACAGGCTGCTGGTTGATCTGCATATGTTTGTTGTTCAGGAGCATGTTGTAGTCCGACGTCATAGAGGAAGTTCTTGGTTGCCCTCGTCCCGCCCCTGTAACTGCCGTGCTACTGTTCTTGTGCATGTCGGTCATAATCTGCTGTTGAAAGTCGAGACTGAACAAGGAGGCGGTAGAAGCTGAAGCAGTAGAGCCACTCGTCCCTCCTGCAACAGCTGTACCGGCCGCCCCCAACAATGAAGATCCAGAGGAGAGCCCCTGACGCGCCAGGTCCGTTCGTGTGAGGCTGCTGTTGTTGACCACATTCGTGTTCGATAGTAAAGACGCGGTAGAGTGTATCACAGAAAAAAAGTGCCGTGTAAGTACACAAGAACTGACTCTGTAGCAGGAGCAGCATCTGCATCTTCACAAATTCATTCTGCATGACAGAAGAAACCTGTCATGCGCGCGACCTGGTAAGTGAATGTGATAAGAGCACACATGTTGAAACTAGGCTATGAGGGCGCACTTGCAGTCTTATGCCGAGTGTGAGTACTTACAACTACCCTGATGCACTGTCCGCATCACAGAGAACTCACACTTACACAGTTTTCTTGCATAGAGTTGGCGGAAAAAAGAAATTTGGTGAAGTCTCCGACATTGTTCTGGTAATCGTGTTCCTGGTCGTGCAGGTTGATGTTACTGATGTTCTCCGCGCCCCCAAGCAGAGTTGCGTTTGCGGTCGCCGTCGCTGTATTTTTATATATCATGGTGTACTAAAAACGACGCATCTGGATGTGCTGATTTAGTTGAGTCGTGCAGTTTTAAAGAAGAACTATTTCCACGCACTAAAGGAACTGGTGGTCAGAATCTGAGAACGAGAAGTCTGCTGCTGACCACAGAATTGCTGAGTAGATGTGGTAGAAATTTGCTGCTGGTCGTGGCCCTGCTGCAGCACGTGCTGCTGTTGCGCAATATTGTCGTAAATCGATTGCAAAGTCGTAGAAAGCATACCATTCAGATTCGGTCTGGCTGTGAAAACAAGCTGCTGGTGACTTTGGTCTTGATTTTGGGTCGTGAGCATCATGGAGGACGAGTTGGACTGCTCGTCGACGAATTGAGATTGTGGCTGGTACTCCTGTCGTGATGACAGTTGTGACAGCAGCATCCCGGCGGCCCCGTTTGGAATCGTCCCTGTACACGAAGAGCTATTCGCATTCGCATTCGCGCCAATATTATTCGTAGCACAGGAAGTGGTAGCTGCTCCACCCGTAGAAGTTGTAGCACCGAAGAGATTAGAAGGAATGACACAGGCTTGCTGGTGGACCAAGGAACTACCGCACACAGTGTTGCTGTTTTGAAGATCTTGTAGCAACGAGGACCCGTTCGTGAAAAGATTTTGCTGGTTGAAGTTGTCAGTAGTTGGTACTGGGAATTGGTGATTTAGAACAGGATCACTTTCCGTCGACTGCTGTACATGTTGGTCCGTTTGATTAGGCGGACGAAAAAATGAATGCAACTGTTGCTCGCGTTGGTTCTCGTCGGAAGTCGTCTCATTCACCTCCTCCGAGGCTGCTGACGCTAAAGCTCGTCCATTAACGTCATCAAATTTATTTTCATATTGATCTTCGATCATTCCCCCGCCAGGGAAATGATCCCGATGTTGATCCCGTTGATATAATTGATGCGCCACCGCGTCGTGCTGCGCCTGGTGCTCGGCTTCGACCATGCGATTGTAGTGGTCGTGCTGGCGATCATTTTGTTCGTACGATCTCCCGTAGTAGCAGGCTTCAACATCATTGCTGCTCGTCCCCACCTGCTCGTCATAGTTGTAATAACTGGAATAAGTTGTAGCTCCATGTTGATCATGCTGGTTATGGTCGTCGTGGTAAAAAGTGTTGTAGGTGGCCTGGTAGTTGTTGTACTTCTGCTCAGAATGAACCCAGTTGCTCTGGTATTACAATGAAAAATGCCCCCGCCCCAGCAATTGGCAGCATTTGTATTGCAAACCTTTCCAATGAAAACATTCCCGCCTTGCGTGTATATGTATAAGCGTCGCAAATTCTCCATACTGAATAGCTCAAATCTCTCTTGCAAAGGAGCCCAACAGCAGGCGGGTCTGTTATGCAAAAGATAGCTTGCGCAATTAGATTCTGCGTCAGAAAGGGTCGTAGTTCTTTCACGCAAGACAAAAAGCTCTGATTTGGAAACTTTGCATGAGAAACTTTTTCAAATTCCTGGGTGGGGGCATTTTTAATTGTAATATCTGCGCTGCCATGTAACTCAACTGCTCTGCCGCTTCTTCGTAACCAGGTGTAGTTTCCAAGTTGTAGCTATGAGAGTGCACCACAACTCCCGCCCCTCCCCCGCATTTGTACTATGGCATGAACGGCAACACAAGCAACAGCAGAAAAGGGGCTTTCGCATGACAAACACAAATCTGCATGCGGATTGTAGTATTATTTGAGGTTCCAAAATTCGTCATGCTAGCAGTGCTTCCGAGCAAGGTGTGACTTCGTTACTTTGCACGACACCAAATGAGGGGGAGGGGGACGAGTTGTGCACTCTCATAGTAGCGCATGCGCAGGTACTCTTTTTCGATTCCGACGTCGGTCAACTGGATTAGTATCAACATGAAATAAACAAGTGCCCCACGACGAGACCCACAGGCCGCAAGTAGTTCAAAGTATTTGTTTCTATTTGGAGTCCTGCATTATAAACTCTGATCTACGTGAAAATAAATCATAGATAGCTATAGCAGCCTGCTATCTACTATGATTTTCCATTACAATCATTTTCCCATTCTGCGACGATCAAGGCACTTTATTTATTCTCTGTTGTTAATCGGGTTATTTTCTTCTTCCTTCGACGGGCGAAAGGACAGCGGGCAGGCGTCTTCGAACTTGTACTTGTACCGATTTTTGTACAGGTGAGACAGGATTTCCCCATGAGACTGCAGTCGGCTGGCCTCTACCTTTAGGTACTTGTGGATGTTATGCACTACGAGTTTCTAATTTATTTACCGTAGTACAATAGTACAAAATTTTCATGCATGAAGATGATTCTGCGTAGAACGGAATGGGAACCCAGCGGACAATGGTAAAACTATTGTGGTCATGCTGTTGAGTCAGGCAGATGCTGTTCATACAGGAGGAACAGAACTGTGTAAAAATTGTAAATCAAGTCGTCGAGTCGCATTCAATGCTATATGCGACCGTGATGTAATATTCTAAATTCTAGTACTAGACCGCGCACGTGCATGCTGTCAGGACGGTATTAAATTAGAACTTGTACAAGATTTGATAGGTGTAGTGCCGTTCGAATTGCCCGTTGTGCAGCGCTTCCGCGACTTTGTGGGCGGCCTTGGTGCCCCAAAAGCAGACGTGAGCGTAGCCCAGCGACTGAGACGTCAAAACGTCCACCGGCACGTAGAAGTAGGCAAGTTGCCACCGCTCGACGCCGCACACCTCAAGCATGTCCTCCAGGAACTCGTCACGGTAATACCTGTGGGTTGCATTCGTAGCACCAGTCCCAGTCGAGATGCCTCGCGCATCCATGTTGCTGACAAACACAACTAATATTCTAGCAGGCTACTAGCTACTCAGTACAACTTGGTTCTCTCGTCCTCCTGATGCAGCGGTATGCGATTGCAACGAGACTACATTCTGATCAACAGTCTGTGCGCTTTTTGTTTTTCATCGTAGTTCATCAAAATAAAAGCTTCTGCTTTATACTGGTTCGAAATGTTGCGGATGATGATGGAAAACACCGAGTCCGGCACGTCAAATTCCTTCGGCAACGGCGGCAAATTCCTATGCCCTAAAAATTAACCATCGGCGTCCAATTTGTCATGCAAAACATGTAAGTAAGTTCAGTGCTTGTCATGCAGAAAATGGACGGGGAAGGTTAATTTTCAGGAAATAATTCCGGTTATTTGCGTAGACGAACAGCTTCCAGTCGCGCGCTTCGGGGTCCTCCCGGTCACGCCGCACGACGACCCGCTCCGATATCAAGCAAAAAAATGTAAATGTTAACGTTAACGGTTTTCTTCATTGGTTGGAAATATGCATGAGAAATTTTGCCCTATGCATGACAAATTTGGGCGCGTTTTCTGATGCATTACTGCAGCACAAATTGCGCTAACGCTAACACTTTTTCCTTCGATATCCGATAAATCTCGATCACGGTGCTCACGCGTGCTAAAAGTCCGCTTGCCACTGCTCTTTCCGCCCTTGAAGTAAAGATATGACTGGGGTAAAAGGATGCTAGCATACCACTAGATTATCATTAGCGCCACGAATATATTAATTTGCGGATATTTTTTTCTGATGTTGTCTGTGCAACCACCACGCAACTGCGGTTGTAGAACTATGGATCATACCTGTCTGGCACGATGTTGCCTCAAACATCTCAAAGGCTTGGCTTCTGCTATCTAATTTGGGCAGCTCACGTAGGACTAGGACCATCATGGAAAGCTACGTAAGTATAGGGTATGCTAGTAGGTAGAAAGTTGTGTGGGATACGATCATGCCACCTTTTCCTTTGGACTTGGAGGAGACGGGGTCAACGTTGAAAGACGAAGACAAACCTGACATCATGCATCATGATAACAATAAAATACAGAAGATTACAAACATCATTAAATTCTTTTCATCATTCATAATCTCAAGCATATTTTCCTTCTGTGTGCAGCATTGCTGAAGTAGACGAAAAGGCGAAAACGGAAAGACAACTACTAAACATCTGGTCCTCGTCGTCGTCGCGGCTAGCCGAGCGACGAGTATAATTCAAAAAATGACTTCTAGAAGTAAAAACTACTAAAATCTTGACCGGCAGTTGATGTGACATCACGGTCCGTGGTACTAGCACCTCCTCCCGCCCGTCGGTCCCAATATTGCTCCGATGTGCGCTTGTTCTTCCAGGAAGTAGATGATCCGCGGCCGGCGCTTCGCGGCTTCTCGCCGCGCCAATTGTACGAGTTGTACTTCGACATGTTTTTGCGGCCGGAAACGTGGTACTGGTGGTGTTCACCCCCATCTTGTTCGCCGTAGCTGGCCTCTGCAATGGCAGAAGAATGTTGGGGATAAAACTGGTCGGCGGCGGCGTAATAATCTTCGTGCTGGTCAACATGACCTTCACCCACGTTTTTCTGATCCGAGTTCTTGTTGTTTTTACCCCCGCAGTATTGTAATTGTTCCTCGCGCTCACGAATCTCGGCCGCGTGGTCGTACGCAGACACAGTCATTTGGTGCAGCTGGGAAACGTCCTGAGCATCTTCATCCTGGAGGTTTTGCAATTCAGGTCCAGGTCGTGCCACCTGTTGTTCAGCATTGCCTTTAATGTTTTTTTGCGCGGCGTGCTTATTGTAGTACTGGCACTGGTCACCTTGCTCTGACGCGGCCACCTCCCCTTGGAGGCCTTCCTGCGTTGTTGTACAAGGAGTCGCGCAAGTGCTAGTACGGCGAGGACCCTGGTGCGGGACCAGGTGGTCATCCTTACTGTTCTTGCAGGCTGTTGGCACTTTTTGAAGAAGCGATGTTGAATCAAACCTCGCTGGTATCACAAGAAAAAGTGTTAACGTTAACGGTTTTCACAGATCGCAGTCATGCATCACAAATGTAGCCCAATATGCATGCTACGCATGACAAATTCTTACACGTTTTGTGATGCATTGCTGCATCACGAATTCCGTTAACTTTAACACTTTTTCCTGTGATAGCTGGCGGAGGTTTCGACGGTGCAGCTTCTTCATCCGTGCAGAAGTTCTTCGACGCAAGATGATGAACAACAGAGCTTTCTTGATGTTTTTCGTCCACCTGATCATGGAAGTTAGTCCGCTGAGTTTTTGTGCATCTCACCTTCTTGTCGTAGGAGCTGCAGGTGTTATCTTATGCTGTGCAAAACAAAGTATCGTACTCGTATATATAAATGCATTACAAATTTCCTTAGCATGAGAAATAGAATTTGTAATGTTGATTTGCCTTGATATTGATAAAGAAATTTGTAATGCAAGACCTGCATTTATACGAGTACGATACTTTTGCACAGGATATATTTCCTCTGGTCGTTTCCACGTCAAAGTGCACTTGCTCCGTCATCTTCTCAACCACGATGTCAGAATGAAGATTCCACGACGAGTCAGCATTTTCAAGATTCCCTGTTGTCGTGGTCGTGTGGACAACAAGATTTGCGCTGTCGCTGCCCGCGTTCTTGGCCGAAGACTTCGATTTATTGGTGTCAACACAGCACGAAGACGCCTCGTGGTCCTCGATTTTATGTAAGTCTTCAGCTGCATGCTCTTCCGATGTTGAACTGCAAAAGTTAGTGGGCACCTTCAGATTGCAGGACGAGCTGGTTCTTTCGGAGACGGAGTCTGCGTCCGAGCTGGTTCTTTCTGCGTCCTCCCGGGGCGGCACGTCCGTGCTTTCCGCGGCCGAACCGCGGTGGTTCGGATATGAGAGTGCGCAAGCAAGAACTATAATCCTCCCCCTCATTTATTCAAGAACCCTCCCCCTCATTTATTCAAGAACGGCATGAGGAGATTTTTGAGCAACAGAAGCAGGGGCAGAAATGTGGCTGCCGCATAAAAAGTTTACGCGGAGACGATTTTAGTACTGATTGACAACGTGGTTCCGAAATTCGGCATGCAGACAGTGTGTGCTTGAACTTGAAGACGCACTACAGGTACAGGCACATAAAATCATGTGTCTGTGGTGTAATAAGTTCTGCATCTTCTACAACTTATGAATGAGGAAGAGGGCTGATCTTTGTGCACGACTCATCATCTTCTCATATCGGACTCATCTGAAACTGCACGTAGGTGTGGTCCGGCACAATGCGCATCTCGGGGAGCCAGTGCATCTGCTTGTTCTCGGGAATCTGGTTGGTGCTTTCCAGGTAGGACCTCACCTGCTGTTGGTGCAAGGCGACCTGCTCCAGGAACAAACTGTCATAGCCGCCGAGCTCAACTTTGCTCCTGGGCGGCGGGTAGAAATGCTCACCGTCCTCGCCCATCATGTCGCTTCTTCGTGAAGTAGGCACTCCAGAGGCGTTCGCCCCGTAGCTACCGTGTAGTTCCTCCATGTTCTCAATGCTGTCCCCCCGGCCGTCTTTTCCCTGACGATCCGTAGATGGGCTCAGCGTTGTGTTCGGCGGTGACAACGAGTGGACCATCCAGGAAAAACCACCCATCCACATCCAATTTGTCATGCATACCCGACTGCACATCCAATTTGTCATGCAAAACACGTATCAAGTCCTGTGCTTCGCATGCAAAAAAATGGAACGGGATGGGTTTTTTTCTGTGGATATGGAAGGTCGTGCAGCTACTCTTGCAGCGCCCCCGGTTGGAGTTGACCAACAGCTGACGAGTATGCTATAGGAAATTTGCTCCCACAGTCCTCCGCTGGTGCGTACAAATTATGCGGTCTCTGCATGACAAACTTTTCCGCTAATCCACCTGCTCAGCATGTTACAGGTGGGGACACGATCATCTACGTTGGCGAATGAATTGGAGATGCAAGAATGATTTGTACGTCTGCGGGTATGGAAAGCGAAAATCTGTATAAAAGCGTAACGACCAAGACGATGCGAGGACATTCTCCTGGTCGTCCGTGCCCTTCGATATTCCTTGAAAACTAATCATCCCCATCCAGCTTGTCATGCGAGACATGGAGCAAAGTCGACTTTTGTCATGCAGAAAGTAGATGGGGATGGTTATAATGATTTTCAGGGGATATAATTCCATCCGGAGCCGTGTGAATCAGATCCATTCGTACGTCCTCCTCGTGCAGCTCTTCGTCGCTACGGCCTTTATGACACCCTCAGAATGGAAATCCTCAAAGTGGAAATGATTTGTGATGCATGAACTGCGACACCAAAAAGACTGTATTGCAGAGAGCGCAATGGAGGCCGACTATAGTACTTCTACGGGTTCAGAATTGGGCTGCTGATTAGCATGAGAGAAGGGCACCCCTTTGCCTAACTAGCATGACAGACACGTTTTGAGTGCCCGGGAAATTTGTCATGCGCCGACTAGAAATGGTGCTCCAACTGGAGTCGTTTTTTTGCATTACAAATTATTTTCACTTTGAGGATTTCCAACCTGAGGCTTTCATAGCCTCGAGTGAAGTACGACAAGGATCCTTCATGCGTCAAGGCCGCCGGTCGCCGCCCGCGGCAACGACGGGTAAGGGCTGCTGCCTCCGCGGAGATCGTGGAGTTAATCGCCACAGAGTCGCCACCAGCTCCAGAGAAGTTCGGGGACCCCGAGCACGGAGAGGTATGAGACGTGCGGCTGGTTCCGCCACCACAGGTGTCGTGAAAGGAGGCACTGTATCCAATGCAAAAGAGTGTGGGTCTGGAACATTGCGAGATTTGTCATGCTTGTCTGGCATGACCAAAAAGTTTGTGATGCGTGTCCAAGAAGAGACCCTTTTGCCTGTCATGCAAAAACGCAGCTTGTCATGCGAAAAACGCAACACAAAGAAGCCGCGCAGACATTTCGCATGCTTGGCTGTGCATTACAGAGCATTCACTATTCCCAACGCAGCACTACAAGTTTCCAGACTCAGACATTTTTGCATTTGATACACTGCCGTTACCGGTATTCTCCCGTGGAATGACGAGAATGCTGCTGATATTGTTGAAACAAGACACGTCAGAGCCTGGACGAGTTGTAGTGAGAGCGGAGGTGGACGCAGCACTGCAGTTGATCTGCGACGTGGACTGCAAGCCAGCATCGAGCGGTAGATACTGAGCCGAAGAGTTGTGGTCTTCGCTCAGTGTTGTCAGGCTGCAGCTCGAGGTGCACTGGGACACGCGGGAAGCAGTAGAATCCACTTGCTGTTGCTGCTGTAAAAAGCCACAAGAGTTGTAGAGCCCCTGGTGCTGCGAGAAGTTGTTGTACATGAGATTGTTGTTGGAGGATGTGTGGCAGTAGAGGAGAGTCGGCATCGTTAACAGGGACGCAGTGCTGTTGTTGCTACTCAGAATGTTGCTATTGCAGCTGGTTCGCGGAGCTGGAGGGAGAAGGCTCGGACAGGTGGAGAGGTTGTCGTTGTTGCTCGTTCCGAGATAGTGATCGCTAGTAGTCGTGCTTGTCGTATAATTTGTGCAAAGAACACCAGTACTCGACCAGCAAATCGGCGGCAGCGGTGGCGGAAGCTGCGGCTGCTGTTGGTGCTGGTGGTCCGTAAGTAGATGTGTTCCGGTGCTAGCTGAGAGCGCCGCTGCGGTTGCAGTAGATCGTTCATTGTGATTCTGAATACTGTCGTTAAAAATAACGGGCCGCGCACCTCCGCCAGAAGACAGTGTGCTCGTAGAAGCCTGGTGGTTCATGTTCATGAGCAGCATGTTTTGGAACAGCTGGCTGTCAATCTCTTGCAAGCGTCTCACCAGACTTTCCTCCGTGATCGCCGACGTTGCTGTTGCAGGTTGGTGCTGCTGCGCTTGTTGCACTGTGGTCTCAATGGTGGAAGACGACGTCGTATGCTGTCGCGTAAGTGGGCAAAGACTATCTAGTCCGCCCGAAGACAAACTCGTGTTCAGGCTACTGTAGGAACTTCGGTCTACTTCATGAGGAAGCTGGGCAACTACAGCGGGGTCTGTTGTAGCTCCGATGACGGGTCGTCCATCTCCAGCAGCTGCACATGGTTGCTCCTGTAGCAGCCCGCCTACTAGCTGCCCCACTGCACCACCCGCTCCTGCCATGCACATGCTTGTTGACAATCCGCCACTAACTACAGTGCCATCACTGTTCAGCGGTGCTGCGTTCGCAGGCAATAAACCTCCTGAGGACTGCGCCCGCTGCTCGTCTACAAACTGCGGGAGAGCTGCGCAGCTCGTTGCGACCGCAGACGACGGAGGGTGCTCCAAATTGTAGAGATTATTTGTTGTTGACAATGTGTAGTTATTACAAGTTGTACCGATGAAGGTCGACGTGCTCGCGCTATTCGTCGGGTAGATGAAGTGCTGATCATTCTTCGAAGAAACCAAACTGCCCATGCTATCGTGTGACCTGTTCTTGTTCATCATGGTGTTCGCGAAAGGAGCTCCGACAGCAGCGGCTGCATTGTAGACCATTGTTCCAGAAGATTCACCACCTCCATGAGTCAACATTTGGTTAGCAAGAACTGGCGCGCCATCAAGCTGGTGGTTCTGAAACTGCGGCGAAAAATATGGGACGATGGGTTGGTTGCTCACGGTAGTCGACGCAATGGGGTGATGTACGTGGTCGTTCGCTGGAGGGGCACAAGTAGAGGACGAGATCGCGGCGGGTAGAAACGTCGTAGCAACCGCATTGCAGTGCTGGTGCTCTATGAAACCAAAAGTTATCTCCATTGAGGCAAACCAATTTTTCTGTTCCTGTTACGGGATTATTCTCATGTTGCCACGGCTATGGTCGTGATGTAGTAGTTGCCAAAAAACTGAGTAATTTCATAATCAGCGGTTCAACTTCTACAGCGATTCCGGCAGGGTGGCAACACCCGCATAAACACAAAGTCATTTTGATTTGCCCAGCACAAAATTTGCAGTGATAACATGGCTATCGATGCTGGAACCACCTGAGGAAAGGGAAAAATGGAAATTTTCTTTTGTGTCGTGCTGTCGGAAACGATTTCATGAGCCGCATCATTGCCCCCCTACCAGCGGTTTCGAAAATTTCTTACGGCAAACAAGTACATGTACAGCACTCAGGAAACAGAAATCTCAGCAGCGAAAGTAATTCTTTTGTTTTTCAATGTGATCATGAAAGGAATGTTCTAGATGAAGGGGAGACAGTGGCAGTGCACTTCTAGTTCTATTTCATATCACAGGGGCACTTCATACCAGCAGAACCAGTGTTCTTGTTGTTTCCCGTCATCTGCAGAAATCCTTGCTCTTGCTGCGGCAAGTTCGACTGTCCGTGAGAAGTAACGCCATCGCTGTTAGACGTCGACGCTCCAAACCCGGCCACGAGCCTAGACTCGGAGGTAGACATATCTACAGCTGCTGCTGCTCCACCACGTGTTATGATGGTGCAAAAACCACACAAAAACACTGCCACTTTCGCAGACCTTGACCTTTTCATGGGGAGAAACCCGAACAAAAAATCATGCTGCAAAATGAAGCTGTAAAACGAACAGGAAGAGATTGAATACATACAGCCGCATCATGACGATCGTGAAGATCCGGCTTGATGTATGATTGTTGCAACCTCCTCAAGCGTTCTAGCTACCTACGTAGACAGCATGCATGTTCGTACCTCGATAAGTACATCGTAGCAAGCTGCAATTGCGGAAACTGCCTGGCAATGGTGTGATAAGTTTGCACCGGCGGATATTCACCATTCCGACGTGTCGGCGTTTGTGTCGTGGAATTTGCGTTGTTGGAACAGGAAAACAAGAAGCCGAAGAGCCTCTTCGGAAGAGGTCGTCGTGGTAGACACGGATATAATCGAAAGATGCTGCAGCTCTTAGAGATCTGTTTGAAAATACTACTACTTCTTTGTACGAAAGAGAAATAAGACCAACAAGTAGCAGTTGAACTTGGGGTGTGATGCTGAGGACGCGCTGTCTCTGTGCTTGTCCTTCACACCACCAGAAGCACACGTTCTTTAGTACTACGTGCTGTCGTCCTTGTACACTTCAACTTTCGTCTCTACTAACTTCGTTGTTAAGTGAAGAACTTCTAGTGCTACTGGAGATGGAAGACGCGGGCATAGAATCAGAATCAGATATAAAAAAATGTACCAAAACCAATAGGAAAAGGACCTCTTACGTTGTTCAAAAAGAGCAAGAACAGCATGAATATCAACTGCAGGTGCCGCCTTCTGCTAGTAAGAACTCCTGCTGAAATATCAGCACTGATACATTTAAGTGCACGCGAAGATCTGGTCCAATCGTAATGAAATTGAATCGATGAGCTAGGTACTTAGACTGGCAGCAGCAGCCCTCGCCGTGTGTGGCCACGCATCATCCATGTCAAAAAAAAAAAAACCTTTTTTTCTGCGAACACAGAGGCACTGACAACGCAACGCTCTTACTTCCTGGGACACGCGCCGTGAACATGAGCCTTAAAGACCCATGCTCACACGTGTTCTTACTTTAGCTCCTGCGCGGATTTGTGGGCTGTGGTGTGCGTGCAGGGCTTTGCACGATTCCAGGCCGGTCGTATACATATTCATATTGCCCAACACGAATATCTTTAGCATATATCAAAAATCAAAAACATCACGGTAAACAATTCAAAACAAATTCAAGCAGGTTCATTTGTGTGGTAATGATTTGGTCTTAGTTACTACAGTGTACATATCCACCATCAGAAGTCGAAGTCGCCGCCTTCGATACGAGATATCGTCGCCACGCATCGTCGGGCAGAAAGTTGAGAGCTCCACACTGTCGTCGAGAAAAATACTCCGTATTCTAGCACATAGCATACATTTTCACCAGCTATTGTGGTTGGGCGCGAGCGCGTCGTGGCTTAATATGATAATCCTCATGGTCGTGCTGAGTCAAGCTTCATACACCATCTCCTGATGCAGCAGCTGCGACGTAACAATTACAGTGAACATACAAACCTTGTGCTGGTGGTATGTGTAGATATGCTCCAAGATGAACTCTTCACCACTGTCAAAAAAGAAAATGATGCTTCATGCCAGCACGATTTTTCTCCCGTAGGATAGACTCAACATCATTTCATTCAACATTACCCCGCCGAGTGAAGAAGCCTGTAGTAGTACAGCAGCTGCGGCTACTAGTGACTTGCTATACGTGGTTAGAACTTGCACGGTCTCTCCTCGTGAATGGGCGGACTCCCACAACACGACTCGAAAAAGACCCTTTGAATCGGAAAACTCTTTAGTTTTCCACACCTTTCGGTTGATTCTTTTACTTGAGCAAGCGAAGCAGCGTAGTGTCACGGCGCGATAGACGAGGACTCCTTGTCGATTTTTCCTCGTCCACCCTAGCCTTAGTCTTAGTCACAGCTCATGGACCTTCGCCCCCAGGTGCGGCGCGAGACTCTGGCGCTGGCACGTGCGGCGCTGGTGGCATGATTCTGGTCTTCGACATCTTCTACGTGAACAGTAGCGGCTGCTGTTCCTCTTCCTTCTTCATGATGCGTGGAGCCGTCCGCAGTCGAAGCCTCGTCCAGCTGCAGTCCGCTCGAAGTCTTAATACTACTGCCGCACTGACGAGGAGGACGACCCTCCGGCTTTTGCTTTTCTCGGAGCTCCTGTTGCTCGTCGCTGTTCACAGAAGTGGCCACCATCAAATCTACTTCATCCCTGCTTGCGTCAGAAATTCCTGCAGCTACACCGGTGCACTTTGCCGTGGTCAGCACCGTCCTGGAAGATGATGATGTTGTTGATGATGCGTGGGACTTTATTTCGTTTTGCGACATCAAATTCCCCGACGAGGACGACCCAGTTCCACAGGTGGCGGTTGTTTTGCGCAGATGGTGCGCTGCGGCTCCACTCGCTGCATAATTGGTTGTAGAACTACTACTTCCACTCGTGCTGCAGGTGGAATTGGAGGTCGTCACGAAGCAGTCCCGTTGAATCGACCGCATCAACAGCTTTTCAGCTTTTCGCAGTCTTCTGAAGTACTTGCGCCGCTTGGTCAGCACCGGACTGGCCGACCGACTCTCGTTGCCCTTCATGCGCTTTAGCACGTTCTTGATCGCCAGAAAATCAAACACGTCCGTCATGTTACTGTAGTTGGTATCCAGTTTCGCAGACGCTTTTGCCCACCTCTCCTCCACCGACGCCACTCCTCCTGTGGAGACGACAGGTCGTGGTCCCGCCGACGATGCAGCGGATAAGCTTTTCTTGTTTTGATCCTGGTGTTGAAGAAGATCCTGTATCCCGCGTTTCTCCTGCTCCTCGGCGGTAGTTGCTGCAAACGAGCTGGTATCCTGTGCAAAAGTATCGTACTCGTAGTCATTGCAAACATGCATTACAAATATCCATCCCAAGGCAAAACAGCATGACAAATTCCCTTTGTCATGCTGAGCTAATTTGTATTGCAATTTATACTAGTACGATGCTTCTGCAATTCATAGGTGGACCTTCCCGACGTCGACGTTCCACCGCCGCTACTGCGTCCGCTGATGTTCTTTGAGGTCGAGGACGGAAAAGCTGCAAATGATCCGGTTTCTGCTTTTGCCTTCTCCGACGTGTTCTGTTGCTGCTGCTCCAACGAAGACAAAAAATTGTACAGCGAAACGCGCTTCTTGTTCCTTTTTGCCTGTTGCAACTGCTTCTGTTTCAGAGCTTCCTGTCGCCGAAATTGCCGTGTGGCTGGACTTTCTTCGTTCTTCCGTCGTGTTGAGGTTGATTTCTTCTTTTTACTTCCTATTTTCATCCGGGAAGCAGGTTCTTCATTCGGCGCGCGGGAATCCGTCTTGCTTGCGGCCGCAATGCTAGAAGTCATCAGGGCTCCTGTATTGCAGCTGCTCGTGTAGTCTACTGCGTCCTCATACGGAACCGCAGCTGCTTTTGTTTCGTCGCAGTCATTGGAGCTCTTCAAAACGTCGACTCTGGAGGCGGTGCAGGTCGACCCAGCAGGTCCAGAACTGTGGCCCCTCTGTCCAATACCGCTGGAGCGAAGATCCAGCTTGTGTGACGCGGTGGCACAACGCTCGACGAGAGCAGTGTCGACGCCTTTTTCATCAGTAGAAGTAAGAGTAGAGCCAGTACAATTATCCGGTCGTGCTGTTGAGCTGCGAGTGCCACTTTCTACTTGCAGCATCCTTTGCTGCTCGTCAGGGTCCACCATGGCATCTTCAAGTCCTTCGCTTTTTTTGCCCTCTCCCGCCCTGCAGGAGATAGACACGCCGGAAGACGAAGAGGATGATCCGCCACTGGAGATGGTGCTAGTATTCGTTTTCCCACTGCGCGCATCCTCCTCGTCGCTTTCCTCATCATCCCCGCCCGAACTGCTCGTCAGCTCGCATAGCCCCAGATCCTCGTAATACTGCAGGAATGTCTTGGGAATTGCCTGTACGTGGCTACTATCCACTGCAAAAGCAACGCGGTCGCACTCATCACAATCATGCATGATGACAGATCTGCCTCCAAAACCTATACAAATTCTGCAGAAAAAACTGCAGCTTCATCTTGAAAAAAACTTGCCATGCTGCACTTAAGTCTAGTGGTGGTGCTGGTGGTACAGCGATGCAGCTCGTTTTGCAATGCGTAGCTGGGTCCAAAAGCCGCCCGCTTCGCGACCTTGCGTCGCTCCTGCTTGATGCGCTCCAGTTCGGCCTGGATCCGGGGATTCGGGCCCAAAAACTGTTCCTGTTTCTTGGACAAATTTTTCAAAAACGAGAACCGGTCGGATTCCAGAGATTTCGGATTTTTGATGATAACGCTTCTATTTTTAGACGAGGAAGAAGTACTGTCGTACGAAAGCACATTCGTTGTTCCTGCAGTAGCAGCACTGGAGGACGAAAAGCTGTTGCCGAGCCACTCCAGTCGGCGCTGCTTTACCAAGCCCTTGTTGCTAGTCTCCTCCAGGATAGTGGTGCGGCGGGCGCCAGCGATAGAAGCGGCATTGACGGCGGTCGACCGGCGCTGGCCATCGCAAGAAGACCAGGTAGACGATGTGATGCTGGTTGCCGAGTCTCCTTTTGGCAGCTTGAACTTAAAAAAGTTATCCCTGAGAAGCATCCGGCTTTTCCGATTCAGCCGTTCCTGGAGTTGATGGTCTTGGCGCAATTCTTTGGCGCAGCTCGTCGTATTTGTCATGGTGTTGCGGTTGTTCGATGATGTGCCAGGACCATCATTCGCGCTTTCGCGCCTGTCCGCGGCGGTGCCATCTTCGCCGAACGCTGGAGGGTTCGAATCTGAACAGAAATTCTGGAAGATATCGGGTACGTATAACAAGTAGAGTGCACAAGAACGACCCGCAAGGGTCTATCTCGTTTGAAGGGCGGCAAACGGCCCAACATGGACAGGAGAAGCAACATAATGTTTCTGTTTAGCCTCTCCCTCTGCGTGACAAATTTTTTTTAAAATTCCTTTGATGATCAGTATTTGCGGCGTGGCATGTCAATTTCATCGGTTCGGCTGCGAAATCTTATGGTCATGCAAGATAAAATAAGATTTTTATGCTGTGAAAAACAAATAAGTAGCGTCAGCAGCTCGAGTGGTCGAGCTCCTGTTTTCGAATGACAATGTAGCACCAGAAGGGGCGACCACGTCGAGGGGACTAGTTGTCGTGCACTCATCTCGTAGTAAGCCGATTCTGCTGGACGTGCTGCTCCCATCGAAAATTGAGGACAGGTTGCTGTCCTTGTAGCTGCGCTTGCTGCCGGTGCTGAAGATGTTAGACCCATGGTTTCGCGAAGACGTCCACGTGTTGGAGTTCTTGGTTGCCCGAAAGTTGGAAATGATCGAGCTCCACCTTCCCACGGCTTCTTTCGTCTTGTCTCTAGTATTCGCCGACGCGGCGCCATCAACGTCCACGTGGTCAAGCGGAGAATGATCTCCAGGAGTAACAGGAGCTGCGGATGAAGAGCCCGGTCCTGTTCCCGCCGTAGGACAAGCGCTACTAGTTCTTCTTGTACAGCTCCCCCCTTGATGCCCGTCCTCCACTGCCACTGTTGTAGCACGACCTTCTACAATCGTCCCAAGCTCGTCTTCTCTTTGCTGTGGCGGTTGGAGGTTCTCCTGCTGGGCCGTCCCGAGCTCCAGAAAATCAGATAAGAACGCGTCCTGTTTTATTCCAAGAACCTGCTCGTCTTGAGAGTGTGCCTTGATGTTGGCCTCTTCATCGATTCTAATTGCCGTCGTGGTTGCAGAGTTTTTGCCTGATGAAGGTACTGGAACTGGTATTCCTGGCGCCCGAGTATTTCCTGCTCCTTGATTTCGCTGCTCATCGTCGTCGAGCAGCCTGGCAGTAAAAGCCCCAGGCTCAGAGCTCCGCCGTGTCCTGCTTCGCCGGCGGCCTACCGAGCTCAAGCTCAACCTGTTGCTGAAGAGATGCATTGAATCCGCGTTGTCTTCCAATTCGGACTATGCATCGCAAAAGCATCGCACCCTCATAGTACTTCTAAGGCTCTTGTCGAAATTCCATTCCAAATTTTCGCAGCAGCGCAGAGAGATAACGTGCACTTTGTCATGCAAATTTAGGTAAGCCGCAATCGCAAACTAGTGGTCAAGGTCATGCACAGTTGCAGCTCATATGAGCACCACGATACAACTGCATTTGCATGGGATACCGGCACAGAATCCGGAGAGGACGAGTGCTGCACGGATGCAGTAGCAGAGTTAGAATTACTAGCACCCGATCCCGCACACTTACTGGTCGGCACCGCATTGCGATACCCCGGTAGCAGGTCGCCCATGTCAAAGATCTTCCGTTGGCGCGCTTGCCCTGAAAGAACAGGTAGACTTTCGCGATTGTTTGTGTTTCCAACGCCACTACTGCGAGGAGTACCGGTTGCAGTTCTCCCCTCGTCGATCATGTTGTTTTCTTTCTGCCCAGAGGAGGACAAGGCCGCTAGGAGGTGGCTCGTACTGGTTGATGTACTAAAATCCTCTTTATTTCCGGTCGTTCCCAGTATATGTCCGGAAGACAGCACGTCGCTTCGGTCCCGGCTAGACATCAAATCCAGAAAAGACACCGACTTGCAGGACTCCGACGGCGTGGCCGCCTGCTCGCTCCGCACACCCGTGGTCCTGCGGCCAGCGTGTTGTAGCTGAAAGCTCGTTCGTTTCTGTTGGGAGTTCAGCGTCGACCGGCGGTTCTTTCTGAGGATCGACCGCAAATGCAGAATCTCGTCCTCCACGTGGACAACGGAAGCTGAGGTGGACGCACCTGATAACTGTTGTTGATCTGTGTCCGCTGGTGCTGGTCGTGTCGTGCCAGGAGCAGGGCTTGCTTTTTTACTTGTGTTTGTACTATTAACCCGAACAGTAGACGTACCCGATTGGAGTTGATTGTCAAGATGTTCACTTCCCATCTCGTCTGTTGTACTTCCTTGTATCAGCAACGCGTTGGATGGTGATGTCAATCCCGCCCTTGTTTTCATCTTCTCCACTTCGCTACCATCCACTTCATTACCCGGAGCTGCGAGATTTCTCCCGCCAAGAAGAACACGAAACGTCGTTGCAGGGGGAATGTCAGCTGCTACACCGGCAGCACCCGCCGCACCTCCATCGCTAGAGAAGGGTCGCACTTTTGTTGCCGCTGCGTGCTTACTGTGATGAGAGGAGGTTGCGGCTTTTTTATTTCCTGGGACGAGGACACGAAACTGGCTCTCCTCGTCCTGCTCTTCTCGCTGGGTGGTGGAAGTGGATGTCCCGGAGCTACAACTACTTCCACGACTCGCTCCCCCGGTGTGTCTGCGACGTCGGTCGTGCTGGGAGCGAGGTTTTCTTCGGGACACGCGGAATTCAGGCAGGGAAGATGATGGGTCCTTCTCGTTTCTACTGTTCGCATCAAGATTTACTGCATCGGTTACCGTAGAACTTGATGTAGTGCTCGACGAAAAGGCGCTCGCTGCGTCCTCGTCGTCCATGCCTTCTACATGCGCTTTTGGATAATTTTTTCCACCCTCGCGTGCCTTCTTGCTACGGTCGCCCTTCAGCTTCTTTCTCGCCCCCGTGTTCATCGGAGCAGGCTTGCCATCAGCCATGTGAACACGAATACAAAGGCCGCTCCCTGCCTCTTCCCCGTTGTCAGTAACGTCTTCACCTTCACTGGACGACGAAGAGCTTGTGCCCGTTTGCTCTTGGCTGGAACTGGTCCCAGAGCTGCTGCTGCTGCTGGTGCTCCCGTCTGCGGATCCGGACAGTGCATCGTCGGAAGACTGCTCCTCGGACTCTGAATTGGTTCCAATATCCTGAGGATAGAAACCATCGCTGGACAAGACCTCCCCGCCCCCTCCCGTGTTCTTGCCCTTCCATGAATGCATCAAACTCAATACAATTTTACAATTTCTCGAAGTACACATTAGAGGCTCGTCACACTGCTTCTGCGACCTTGTTCGCTACAGAGTAAGTCGAAGAGAGCTAGGTCGATTGCGCGTCTCGCAGCACAACAAGGAGGAGGAGCTTGTGCCGTGCAGAAAATTATGTGGTAAATCCAATGCGGGACTCGCATGAGTGACAAATGCTGTGATTATTTCATGTGGAAGTCGTGGGGGTGGAGATCATAACCCTGCGCATTTTCTCCCAGGATAGTGCCCTCCAGATTCCTCTTCTTCAGAAGTAGCCCCCTCCTCGCTACCACTGCCGCTAGACTGCTCGTCACTAGTATCTTCATCGTCAACATGGAGGCAGCCTCGGGATTGGCTCCTGGACGAAGCGTGAGCTGCGCACAGATCTTCTTGATCCTGACCGACTTTTTCGGTTGTATGATCCTCCCCCTTTTGATGATCCTTACGATCTCGTCGACGTGGCGATTGACCACCAGTATTTTCGACATCAAGTGCAAGTTCTTTCCTTCTTGCCGCCGGTGCACCCCCGCCCCTCAAAATGAACTCCTTCTTGGTTTCCCAAATGTTGTTTCCTCGTCCGGCCGCGCCGCGATCGTCTTCAGACGTCGAGCACGAAGCTATCGTACGAAAACAAAACGTCGTGTGAGTAATCTGAAGTCGTGAAGATCTTGTAGGACAACTCGAGTGTTGGCATAAGTAATCAAATAAATTGACATCGCGGGACTCGTAGTCGCATGATGAGAGAGACAGAAATATCTGCAGCCCTGCAGTGTGCATAATTTGAATTTCGCACAAGCGAATGAGAAACAAAAACATGGCTTCATGTAAGAAAAGTTGTGCTTGTTCCCACTTCCGGTCTTCCATGTGTAGCAAGAGGCATCTTCAGGTCTGTGCGTGTAGTTTTTGCATGATTTGCAACACAGATTCACGACAATTATGAAGCTGCGGTTTTATCGTGCGATAAGCTCGCTCTCTTCCACAATCACCGAAAGTTGCGCCTCGTCGGAAGAAAAGCTCGTCGAGTTGCTTGAGCTCCCCTCGCATGCATCGCAAATATGTCTGGCAGTGCTTGGGCGACATGGCTGTAGAAAGCATTGTGCGGCATGTTGCGAATGCACACCTCCGAAAAAATCAGCTCTATCATGCTGAATGTGAATGATTTTACTTCTTCTTGTGCATTACAGAGGTCTGCAAAAATCAACTTTGTCATGGTCGGCTGCTTAGTACTGTGGTATGCTCATCATCGACGAAGGAGCATCAGAACTTTCCGGACCTCCCAGACATCCTATTTGCCGTTGATACCTCGCTCGACGACGAACTGGTCGACGAACCGTCGCCGTGCTTCCTTTCCCCAGGCGTATGCATTGCAAAAGTTGTATAAGTAGTGAGTCATCGCACTTCATCTAAACGAAATCGCATTACGAGTTTTTGCACAAATAAAGAATTTAACTCGAACCTGGAGACCAGACCTGTCATGCTAAAGTAGTACCACGACTACAATTTTTACGATACTTTTGCAGGAGATAACTCGAGGTCCGCAGCAGCAACTTGCTCCTTCTGGTCCCTGAGCCGGAAGAAATTCTTGCGCTTGACTTGCCGCGCAATGTCAGCGAACTGTCGAAGTCCTCCAACTGTTTCATCAGATGCTCGGGCAGCCCGTCCTGACACCCCCAGACCACGCTCGAGGACACGTTGCACGAGGCTGAATTTCTATGCATTGCAGAAGTGCAGTTGCCGTTGCCGTACGTAGTAGCAATTGCATTTACAACTTTTTGGAAGACAAGCGGGATTTTATTAATTGTAAAAGTAAATCTAAATGGTGACTTACCTCAAAAACTTCATGGACGAGAGTCGTCATGCACCATTGCAATCATTCCTACGTACGAGTACTAGTACAGGAGTAGGCTTACAACTTTTGCACAGGATAATGTGAAGTCCGCTGCAACTGGTTCTTAATCGGATTATTCAGCACAAAGGAGGGGTTGCTCGTGACCACCATATCTGGGACCTGGAGCAAGGACGGCGTCGAGGGTCCAAGCGACGTCGTCGACGACCGAGTGCAGCTGCTAGCCGTGCTTGTTTTCGCGTTCCCAGTAGTGCTTCGACCACTACTTTCCCGGCTCGGCCTCGCCATTCTGGATGTTGTTGACGCAGCACTGCTAGTTGACGTCCGGCTCTGTGCAGCAGACGAGGTAAGCGAGAGGTGACCAGTTTTTCGTGATTCAGTACAACTTGATGTGCCCTCCGAGCATATTTGGCTGCATGAGCTCAGCGACGCCGTGGTGCGCCCCAGCGTATTCGGCGTTGCACAGTTCGACGACGTCACGGTGTTCTCAGACAGTGAGTGGTCTTCTGCGCTTTGATGTTCCTGTCGCTGGAGAATCTCGTGCGAACAATTTCTTTCCGCTTCGACAATCTGGTAAGGCGAAGTACTGTTGCTCGTTCTTAGGTCTACTGCTGCGTCACTCCTCTTCCGCCGATCCTTCTTCTTGAGCAACACAAATGACGGAGCCGCTCCTCGCGAATCCTTGCTTGCCTCGCCAGGTAGTACCGCAGTGGAGTGGTTGCTTGTTTCGGCTTGTTGCACCGTCCCAAATTTGTCCGTCTTCGTTCGCGAAGAAAAATCCAGTTCGTTCTTGTCTGTCCTGCTTCGACGAGCCCTGTCTCTTCGTCGTCCACCGTCGTCTTTGCTTCTTCGGCCAGTGAAACTGCTGCGTCCCTCCAAGCAGGTAGTAGAATCCTCGGAGTCCTCATCTTCCGATGCGCTGCTCGACCCCGAATCGGAGTCAGAGGACGAGGCAGCGGCAACGTAGTTTTTCCCCGACTTCTTCTGCGCAGTTCTCGCTTCCCGACGCATTCGCTCTAAGTGCGCCTCCGTCACCGGGACCAGTTTTAGAGTGGAAGTAGGACAGGGTCTAGTACTCATACTAGTTCTACTTTGCTCCACCTCGGAGGTGATCGATGGCGAGAAAGAACGGGTCCTCCTGGAGGTTGTGTCTCCAGCATCTCGACCGCACTCACGCGGGCCCACTTCTGGCGCTGCCGTTCCCGCTGAAGAGGCCGACCACGTGGAGCTCGACAAACTCGTCATCATTTCCCCGTAGTAGGAACGGTAAAAACCACTGCCATTGATGTTCATTGACGTTGCGTTCCGGCCGTGCGTGCTTCTTTCTCCCGCAAACGCGGAAGCGTCTCCTGCTGCGTCACACGGAAGCTCCGCTATTTTTGCGGTAGGGCTCCTGCAACGTCGCTGGTCTTGCAGCAGGTCAACAGCGCTACGGCTACAATTTGAGACGAACAACTCGCCACTAGTTCTTGTCGTTGTTGGTGCCGTGCCGCAACCTGTCTTGTTTAACAAGCCTTCGTGTTGATCTTGTCCGCCCACGACCATGATCTCATCAGGTAAGATGTCCAAATCTGCCTTGGTGCTCTGGTGTGATGTGCCGGACTGTCCACCGCTCGTTGCAGTTTGTGTGAGGCTCGAGTGCGACCGTGCTGACTCTTCAACAGCAGGAGCATCATCTGGTCCCGTGCAGCTGGTTCCTCCGTCCTCGTTGTCGTTGCGAAAATCTGTGCTCATCCACCGCTCCTGGCAATTTTTCATGGCCCGCTCCTGGACAAAGGAAAGGACTTTTTTCTTCCAGTATTCATCAGAAAAAAACGATCTTATTCTCGAGCTTCCAGGGTCAGGCAAGTACAGGCGTGAGTGCTGGGACGGTCGCTACACAAAGCAAAGGGAAGCAGGTGATATCAAGCTCGTCGCTTTGATCTACTTCCCGAAAAAAAAAAAATTCCCGCAAATCAGAAATCATGTCTTCTGAGGATCAGATGTTATGCTTATGGTTATGCAGGAAGTTTTTCCCGGCCTGAACTAATATCCAGCACCCAGTAACGCCTGCCTCAAGACCGTTACCCAGAGCAGCGAGAACTACGTCGCACGATCCTTATACCAAGATAACAGTGCCAATTCGTGTTCTGCTGCACCTGACCCTCGTCCCAACTGCAGCGGACTGCGTACCAAAACAGTCGAGTCCGTAAGAAAAGTGCCCACCAGAACTGGCGTGACGCCCATCCAGAAGTCGTGTACGATGTTGGTTTTGGGGTCGGTATCAAGGAAGAGCAGCTTCACTTGAGTATCAGCAGTTGTTTCCTCCTCGGAAGTTGCACATGGTGGCGGAGTCTTCAGATTGCCTCCTTCAACGGCTCCGAAAGCGTTGTATTCCGCCAGCAAGCGTGTGAGCAGCTGCTGCCCTTCTTTTGCGACCGCAGTTGAAATTATGGAACGTGACGACTTTTGTTTTAGCCTGCCTCGCGGCACGATCATCAAGAGATAGCCCCACGTGCAGGTGCACGTGCTTTTTTTATGCATGCTTCTCATCTGTAGTCATGGGACTGGTCGTGTGCGATCTCCGTGCATGCAATTCAATCATGCGGCATTGAAACTCGGCTGCTCCGTCAGCATCACCTTCACCAACGATTTCGATATCGATCCACATAAATTTTACAATCATGTTCATGTAAAGTAATGGAACAAGTTGCCACAGGCCATACTCTTGTCGATGCGAACTGGAAGACGGTTCATCGATCTCGGTGCGAGCGGGAACGATCGTGCTGCAGTAGTCCCGACTGCCTGCAGCTGTGAAAAACGTGATAAATCACAGGAATGATCAGCAGGCACGCCAAGAATGCTATCAAGATGCTTCTGCTCATCGTCGACATGATCGCCCACTATCACTGACACGAGCTCGTGCTCGTGTGTCTCGTTGCACGCAAGAAGGATCGCCTCTGGATCCGTTGGACTTGGACTACACAAGGTGCCACAACTCGGCTGAAAATAAACTTTGGACAGTTGTAGTTCCGCGTCGTCGCCCGTGTCTGACGGTGGTCTTCCTGCTTGAAATTTCCTCGACGTCCGACAGCGCGTTCGTTCCATGGACGCAATTTCCCTGCGAGCTTCTTCGACCAGGGCCTCGCCCTCTGCTTCGAAGCCGTAGAGCCCTTCGATTTGTCGCCGTTTGCATTCCAACTTGTACCGCTCGGCGAAGAATTTTTCCACATGAAGATGCACAGAAGGTTCTTCGGCCGCGTGTACGTCTTGTGGCAACGCCCCGCGAGTAGAGTCGTCGCTAGAGGTTTCCTCGCTTTTGTTGTAGCTGTGGGTAGGTGGATCCGCATTTTCTGCAGGTCGTCGCATGCATGATGTGCTTCTTCTTGATCGTCGCACCCCCGGCAAATCCTGTTGGCTGAAAAGCAGCTCCCGGTTCTGCAGGGTGCGCAGGCGGGCCACTGCCTCTCGAAAGACACGCGCGTCCGCCTTTATTGGCGGCGTCGCAGCAGCACCGACATGTTGACCATCCTCCATTTCGCCCGTGCTTTTCGAACTTCGCTTCGATGGCCGCCTGGAAGTAGCTGCACTAGTGGTCGTCCCCGCTGCTACCAGCGCCTCGGCTGAGGATGTTTTCGTTAGCACCGTCACGGAGGCGCGCGAATGCGCGTCTTGCTCCACGATGAGACACGTGTCCTCCTCTTCGTCCAAATGTGGCAGAGAAAATTGACTCGATTCAAGAGCAAAACGAGGGTGGTTGTGCGCAAGCTATTCTGGAGGTGCGCTGGCTTGTAGTTCCGCGGGGCTGGTGTCGGTGCTCTTCTTCATGTAACAGCAACAAAAGTCATTTCCATGCATACATCAAAGAGACTTGAGGAATTTCTGAGGATGAGAATGTTGAAGCTCCTTTGCATGCACGCTCTTCCTATCGAGGTGGACACTGATACTTTATTGAAGATGCGACCGTGGTGCCGTCGCGCAGTCACCAACGCTTTTACTTCCGCTTTAGTTTATTTCTACGAGAAGGAAAGGAGCCCCTACCCCTAGTACCTCTCGCCTTGCTGCTTGCTATGTAAGCCTTCCATAACTACATGCATAGCTACTCTACTCGAAATGCTGGCGACAGCTGCCACACGACGAACTATACTCTTGTACAACCCAGATGAGCCTTGCCTTGATCAAGAATTCCAACAGGATACACTTTGGAGCAGATGATGGTGCAGTGGGTCAAGCGCCGGTCCAGTCGGAAGCGGATCTTCGTGTTCAGGTGCAAGCTGCTCGGAGGAAATCGAAATGTTAAACGAAAATCTTGAGCAATAACAAGACGGCCAAAGTTATCATGACCAGGAGGTCCTCTCAACCGTACAACTACAAAGGCTGACCGCTTGAGCGCAGTCGTCGTACTAGAACCTGGGGATTTTGATTCTCTAGCATGATCAATGGCCCAGCACTGTTGGCTCAGGATTTTTCTGTGCGATATCCCATACACCACCGGGAGGGGACGTCTGACGAGTTCTTTTTTTCGGTGGTCTTCGAATGTTGTTGACCACTTTCTTCTCCAATTTCTACCGCAGCTGAGGGTGGTGCTCGTGAGCGAGCTAGTCTCTGTAGTTCATCCAGCTGAACTCCTACTTCGTTCACCGTTGTGCCGCTCGTCGACGCGCTCATTCCCCGCAGAGTACTAGAGCCGTTTTGTGCCGCTGACGCCTTGAGCGCCGTGCTGCCTGTTTCTTTCTCGTGGTCCGAAGCAGGGGGCAGCGTCGGCAAAAGAAATGGCTCGTTGTCAGGGTCGAGAAACAGGAAGATCTCCGTGCCCAGCTCGTAAAAAACTGGGTGGTGGTCGACCACATTTTGAAGATCTCCATCTTCGATCATAGGTCGTTGGTGTTGGACTCCATAAGGACTCTGACAGGATGAGTTGAGACGCTGCGACGTTGTCGATCTTGCAACGCCATCAAAGCTCGTCGTCGTCTGTCTCAGAGCAGGTCGTACTACGTCAGCGTCATGCTCATGGTCAGTGGTAGTTTCTTCATGATCGGCTGTAAGAGCACGACTTGCTCGTGCGTTTATGTCTCGTCCATATCCTGTGGTAGCATCAGCAACATTCCAATTTTCTGCAGGGGGTCGCGTTCTCTTTTCCGGCCCCTGAACGCCGTGGAAAAGTTCCAGAGCATGGGTGTACGTCCAAACAGAATAACGTAGGTAGTTTGCAGTGGTAGGACGAGCACGAGCTGCAAGGGCAAGGCCGTCTTCAACATTTGTATTTCCACCGACAGTATCTTTTTCTTCGTGACCACTCTGAGGCGAGGAAGTAGGAGCAGCAGGCCGCCCTCGGTCGATCCCAACAATGATCCCCCGACGGATTTCGACCATGGCGCTTCTTGCGAATGGGAGTGAGATAGAGCTGAGAAGGTGACGTCACAAAAGCAGAAGCGCGATCGAGATCTTGTTCTTTACTCAACCGGTCCGCTGTCCGTATGATGATCGTCGTAGCCGGAAATCATGATGCGGTAAACGGAAAATCTGCGGGAGAGAAGCCACTGCGTCGACAACTTCTACTGCCGCGCGCACCTTTCAACACTTCTTCGAGAACGAGAACGAACAAGAGGGAGGCACTTCTGCAGTGACAAGCTTCTCTGACAGTGGACGAGGGCTAAGTTCCTCATCCTGGTTGCAGTGGTAACATGATGTCCACCAAGAACAACTTCGCGGCCCAGCAATTATGCTCTTCTAGCTCGTACATCAGCAACACGCTGCTGGTAGGATACGGCACGTCGGTCGTAAACGTAATTGTGCTACGATTTTCATAATTTCGGCAGTCCTTACCTAGCGCAGCGCGAGTTCTTTCATCAACATCAACAGAGGCCTGCACTTACAATCATGCCTCCAACAATCACAATCAGCCCAAACAAAGTCTAGGACAAGCGAAAGCAAGGTGCCTTGGAAGCTAGTATCCGCTGCAACTTCACGGACAGAGCAATACGGTCCCCAGCACTCGACGCCGCGCCAAAAGTGCGACGCGCTGTACTATATGAAAACTCAGGATCAAAGAAATTATTATCGAGTTGTTCTACTGCTTGTGGGAGCACGATAACGAACATCTCTAGAAGAAGTAATCGGATCACTATTCGTTCCTTTGCCACCAGGGGTTGCCCAGAACCATCAAAATTCGCCACCAAGCCGAGGCTTCAATAAAGACACACCTGACAGAGCCTGGCGCATTGTAGTTGTGGTGCACGGCATCTAATAAATGAACGACAGAGCTGCAGGAGAACGAAGCGGCTCTCTCGTGGTGGCTTCAAGAACCGTAGATCTTCACGTTAGCACACTGGAACACATACGCGGAGGCCCACACGACGGACAGTGTGCTAAAGACGCGGGGCCCACGCGACATTTCGGGAGGAACAATGTTGGCCACTGCAGAAGCGCCCTATCTTTTTTGGTTTTACATGCAAGACTGCCAGTTGAAATTGTACTTACTTCGAAAACAATGCGCAAGATGGTCCGTCGTGATGTAGAGGTGTTTCGATACACATGAGTAAAGGGCTGCACTTGTTGCATTCCCATTTGCAACAAAGAGTTCTAGTACATCAAGAGCACAATAAAATCAATCACGTGCATCTCCCTCGCTGCCCGCCAGAAGCAGAAGCATTCTTCGTCACCACGCACCAGAAGCTTTATCGTCCACCTCGCCCGCCCCACGACCGTACGTCGTTTACAAAGAACACCTTCACGACATCTTCTTCTTGTATTTTCTCGTCCTCGTCCACCACGCATTATATTTCCATCACAGCTTGTGCGATTTGACGACGGTAGTGCGGATGCCGGTCATTTCGCCCGAGTAGAGATTCTCCGCGGTGCGCATGGTTTGCACGACGGTCTTCCGCTTCTTGACCGCCTTCTCGTACTTTCGGCGGTGCTTCACACGGCTGTTGCGGTCCTTCTTGGGCCGGATGCGCACCAGCCCCTTGTTCTGCAGAATCTTTTTTGTCGCGAACCGCTGCTCCCCGTCCTCTAGCTCCAGGTGCTGCTTCTGTCCCTCGGTCAAGCTACCAGGGTCCACCGCGGTCAACGCGGTCTTTTCCTTTGTGCCTTTGGCACCAAACCCTAACACTTCTGACGTTGCCTTTTTCTTCCCGTGTTTTGTTTTCTTCAGCATCTCCTCCTCCTGCTGTTCCTTCGGATTGCTTCCGTGGTCCTCGCCCTCCTCGTCCGCGGCAAAGAAGTCCGCCGGAAGCGAGTCCTCAATGCGGACGTTTTTCGCACTCCGCTGCTTGAACTCCACCTGGGCGTCCCCCGTCTTCTGGCGCGAGCTCTTGGAGAGAGTCGCGCCGCTGGAGGTCGTCATGGTATCCGACAGCAACTTCTGCCCCTTGGTCATGTGGCTATCCTCACGAAATCTTGAAAGTGTTTGTCTTTTGCAGTCGGTTCGGTGCAATTGCATATTTTACCATAAAAGACTTTTATCTGTGTTGCATCTTTGTGATCAAGATTTGATCAATCATGGCCGTCGTGTTGCTATTATGCATATGCTTTATTTGCTTTTCCTTTATCCTTTGATACTCAGGATACCTACAACGCTTATGGTTATGTAGCATGAAATTCGCATGACGGAGACTTATTGTGGCGTCTAAAATTACATGCATGTGTCTAGAATCTATTGTTCTTTACGCGTCGCCGTCTCGTTCCTCTATTCAACACTGCAAGATTTCGCTTTGATATTACTGCTGCAGCTGCTTTTGTCCTTTCTTCTCGGGTCGCGCGCCCAGCGTCGCGTCGTGGTACGGACATTCCTTCTGCAGCGAAATCTGGTTGCGCGGCTTCGGTATCCTGTGGAAAAATCGCGATCGTGTCGTACCTACGACCACACAAGGAGAACGCGCCACAAATTGCGATCTGTAATTCAATCTTGTTTGTAGTGGACACAACATCGGTATTAGACACTCATAGTACAGACGTGTGGTTGCATGTTCTTCGTTGCTCTTGCAAATTATTTACAGCGCATGACACCATGTATAGTTTCCCCACGTAGTTGAAGTTGCATTTGTAAACGACGCGCATGACAAATTTTATTGGCCGCGACGTCTATCTGTGCTGGAGGTGGAAGTTGGCACTACGATTCAAACATATCAGTTTCCTTTGGATAGGTCTCACAGCACCATTGCCGTTCTTGTCCGCGCTCTTGACCTTCTTCCCCAGGGACGCGGCGCCAGTGTCCGCTGGTTCTGCTTTTCTCTTGCAGGAGGACACAGATTTATTCGCTTCACTTCCGCCAGCAGGCATTGTTGGATCTTCATTTGAAGCGGCCGCTAGTGCATTCTCTTCTGGAGTGACGGTGCTTCGTTCTTTCTTCGTCTTCACAGAGGTAGATCCGGTAGCTGCGTGCTTCTTCGAGCTGGTTGTCAACCTCGCGGTTCCCGCCTCGCTCGCGGAATCAATGCCATCAAGACCACCAAAAACATCTTCAGAGTGGTCACTTTCCTCCTCCTCATCCTCCGCGTCTGAGGAACCGTCCAGCTCGATGCTGTTCTCGCTCGCTTCTGCGTCCTCGTCCTCCGGGTCCACAGGTGCATGAAGATCCTGTTCTTCTTCATCTTCTGTTCCGCTTCCGCCCAGGCACTCCACCAACATGTCGTCCTTGTCCGCATACTCGACCTTCAGCTCCTTCAGGGCGAGGATCTGCTCGAAGACCGGGTGCTGGGTGATATACTTCTGCGTGCTCTCGAAAGGAGATAACTTGGAGGACGTTACTGGGTTCTTGTTTCCCGAAAGAGTCGCTGTGGTCCTGCTGCCCATGATGCCAGCCGCGGAGGGTGTGCTGCTCGAGCACAAACTCGACACTGTACCTGTTCAAGAATATTTGAAGATGGAACAATACAACTCTTCACAGTCGAAGCAGTAGCAGGATACTGCCCGCTACTTCTGGTCGGTACAGCACTTCTTCTACTACTACCCGCAAGAAATAATATCAAGTATCTCGGCGCAACATCTCACAGAATGAGTTTCCCTTCTCTTACTTTCATATACAATGATCTTCACAGCCTCTAGTTGTACTTACACATCTTCAAACACAGGTATGCTGTCGCGCAAAATATTTATAAATCGTCTACCTTTTTCCGCACCTTCCAGGACTTCGCAGACGCTGTCCTTTTTCAAGTGCAGGTAGAACGAGAGAAACGCCAAGTACTGCTTGGCAAACGAGCTTGTATCACAAGGCAAATTGGAACTGCGCTGCTTCTACAAGTGAATAGTGACACTAATCATGGTAGAGAAATTTGCTCACCCTCTTCTTCTTCTACACTTCATTAGCCGTTCTCTCTTCTTAATTTTCGCGAACCGACTGCACAGCTCGACCTTTTTTATTTATGTATATGTCTTTGCAGCACAGCCCCACTCCTTGTGTCCCTGTGATAGATTCTCGCGTCCACGAAAGTCTTCAGCTCCGGTCCCATGTCTTGCGCAAAGGCTTTGTCCGCTTCAAACCGGTCGCTGCACGGCAGCAGGTGCTGCTGCAGAAAGTTCATCTCCCCTACGTATTCCTGCAACAGTCCCTGCAGCTCCGGTGCGTTCTTGCTGAGCCAAAACTGCTTGTTCCGCGCAGTGATGGCGTTGCTTGCCGAACGGGTCGCCGTACATCTTTTGTTAGTAGTGCTCGCGGAGTCATTGTCATTGTTCTTGGGTTTATTTTTCTCTATTTGATTCTCTGCCGCGACCACAAGAGAGCCTTCTTCTTGTTCGTTTTTACCTCCGCTGGGAGCTGCATTCATCTGGTCGTCCCTCGTTTGCGTCTGCGCGGTGGTGGTTGCATGTTCAGCAAGACGTGCTAGTCCGTCCGCATCTGCTGCTCTCAGGGGGCTTTGTTCTTCTTCTTTCCCCGCAGCGAAGTTTTTATTTTCGCAACTTCTGCGTGCAAGCAGAGACGATGACCCGTCGGTTGCAGCATCGTCAATACTTCTTAATAACTTACTTCGTGCAGCTTGTCCTCCTCCGACGGAATGAGAGGGCTGTTCGTCCGATTCCGAGCTGCTGCTGTCGTCTTCGTGAAACAAGTTTCTCGCTTGGGTGAGCAGTTTTTGCCGGTTCTCCTGAGCAAAAACGTCCCCGTACCGTAACAAAGTAGATGCGGAGTTTCGCTTCATTCAGTAGACTATTCTTCGTTAGAAGTAGTCATGTCATGGTTGGAAGTAGTCATGGCTTGTTCTAGCTTCTATCGTGACATCATCAGAAAATGTCATTTTCCCAAATCGTGCTTAATAGCCCGTGACAAGGTTCAATTCTCGAAATATCTCGTCCAGTAAATAAAAACTAAGCATCGATGACTTTCACTCTCATTGGGCCAGGCATGACAAGCGTCTCGTTTTCTGGGGAACAAGAATGCAAGTTTGCGCACAAAGTTGTTTTGGAATCGCGGGGACGTTTTTGCACCGGGTACCGCTTCTCTGCCTTTTCCCGGAGCTCCTTTTCTGCGTCAGACAGATCCGCGGCCGATTCCGCATCGGAACCCCCGTAGTATTCCGCTGCCTTCTTGCCCCAGAACACCTCCTTCTCCAGCGGAAACTGCTGCTCGCTTTCCGAGAAATCACCGGAATCTTCGGAATGAGACATTTTCTGTTTAGTGTCGTGAAAAGACCGTCCAGGAGTGAACTTGGTAAAACTGCTGGATGGATACTGCACCAAGAGGAGAAACAAAGGAATACAAGAGGATGAGGACCGCAACTGAATACACTATATCAAATAAAAGAAGGAACTCCTTCCGAGCCTGTGCATCTGCTAGTCACACTTTTCTCATCATCCACTGTGGTCACCTGCAGAAATGAAATAAAATAGAAATATGAGTCGATCTTCAAATACACTTACAGCCACTTCTCGAGCCTGCTTCGTCGAAAATATTATAATATTTGAACCCACCATCCAACATTGACACGACACCATAGTGCGTCAAAAGCTTGACAAGGAACACAACAAGATCCGTTACTATTTATCGAGTGTTGATGACCAGATCGAATGTGGACTTCCTCGTCAGAAACAATTCCGTTTCTTTTCTCCGTGCGCTGGCCTCCAACACGAGGCCATGATAAGTGGGACCGAGTCGTTGATCCTAATTTCAATCAATGTGTTTTGCAGATCCTACAGTATTATTGAGTCTACTTCTCGCGTTATTTTGTGATCTTGTTGTTGATTTTTATGTAGGTGCTACTGTTACGTTGTCGCCTGCATTATCAGTGTATTCAAATTCATGCACTGCTCTGTAATACTCACAAGCCGCGATGATCCATGTTCCGTTTGTCGGACGCTGATCTCCCAGTAGTCTAGCCTTTTACTAGTGCACTTTGATGCTTGCTTCATCTTCATCAGAGATCGTTCCACTTCGACATTTGGTGCGACAGGCGAATGATTGCCAAAGACGAGGGAGAAGATCGAGCGCTGGATCATCGACGGGGAGTCACCAGGTTTTCTTTAGGACACGAAGTGAGGACATCAAGAAGAGCAATAATTTTGAATAAATAAAATGCAAGCACAAGAAGCCGGCGCTGGGCGGGCAATAAACGAACACAATATCAATAAATAGAAATAGAGGATGTTGCGCAGATGAAACAACGCGTCACTAAGGCATTTTTTTTTTCTCGAAAGTCATCTCGTAGGGGGGGGAAAGTAAAAAACATCTCGTAAGTTACGTCCTCATCGCGAAGCGATAAGAGACTACGTAGCGTGCGCAATTGCAACAGAGTGTCGCAGTGCCAATAAAGCTGCCTATCTGACTGAAGCTGCAGTTTGTTTTAGTTATACTCGATTTCAGATTTTAGAGCTTCATTCTTTCTCGAGCCGGAAGAAAAGCATCATACTGCAACTGCAACTACGAACGCTCGTGACACACCACAACACAAAAAGAAAAACTAGAACTTCGATCGAGATCGATGGCATTTACGACACCACACAATAGCTTTCTTTCTGTTTCTTCCAGCTAGAGCTACAGCTTCGGCATATTAGTCTCGAGCTGAGTACTAAAGTAACGGCTGATCGACCCGCGGAAGGAATTGGATTCGCGTTCTGTATTCATATTTTTATTTTGTCCTTCCACATCGAGCAGCTTCCACATTCATAAACACTGTTGCCTGTGGGTATGCTCCAACACCGATGGGAGTTGATACGCAACTATAACGACCCTTCCTCAGGTTATAACGGGCTAACATTTCACTGCAAAAGAAACAGCTCAAGGCGGCCCGATTGTTACAGTTCAGGATGACTTTTGAGATCTCACGACTAAAAGCCACGACCAGATTGCAACCGCAAAAATATAGCTACACTTAGGCTTTCGATGTTCATGTTTATTTTTATCGCGTTTTTCACAATTTCCCTACTAGAAGAAGCTTATATAATATTAATCAGGTCACGTTTTCGGGAGGGTCAACGCGATCATCGATGCTCTATTTTATCTTCATTACAATGTAAAGTTGTGACTTGACTTATCAAAAAAAAGAAGAAGAAGAAGAAGAAGAAGGACCTTTAGAAGAACAAAAAGATGTATTGCAATGTAAAATTGTGACTTGAATTTATCAAAAAAGATCAATCTTTGTTGTAGAAGGTGAAGGAAAAAAAAATGGTGCACAGTTGTACTAATTAGGTTTTTACTTCTTTTTTTCATAACAAATTTGCTCTTCCAGTTTCACGATACACCCACAAAAATCTGCTCTTTGAGGGGGGCTCAGAGACAAAGCCTGGATCTCGGGCGCAGCTTGTTCTTGAGCCTGTAAGCGAAGTTAACAAAACACGCGATTGATATGCGCGGGGCAAGGTTTTGCACAAAAAAAAGTACGGAAGCCAAAACGATATAGGAGAGTTCTTTTTGCTGCAGACCACACCAGCTGCCACAGCTGGCTTGCGAGTCTGTGCTAGCTACTTCGAGAGCGGGGGCCCATTCTCTGCGTCGGATTCGGCGGCCTGCCTTTCGGCTTCGTAAACAGTCGCGCGCTTCTCCAGGTCCAGTTCCGGGCTGCGCTTGCTGGATTTCGTGGAATTTCTTGCCCCCGCCTTCAATGGTCGACAATTTTCGTGGCCGATTTCGTCGGCGGCTTTTGATTATAGACTGCAAGCTTTAACTTGTCGAGGCCGGGGATTATCACGGCGCGACGGGAGATGCGTCGTGGTATACTAACTGTCCTCGTATCCATGCAAAAAGAGCCTGAGCCGCTAGCACCACTACATTTCTGGTACAGATAGGGCGGGCTTCGGCTGTCGCTTTCTGAATCTGAGTGTAAATCCGGAATGCACGACTCAGGAAGTAGGAGTTTTTTTCCAGTAAAATGAGGACGACAGGAATGATCTCAAATTTTGATATCTATCAAGCAGGTCCTGATAGACAAAAAAAAGTTAGTTGCTACCCATCCAGACAAAAGTCCTGCTCTTCCCCAAACCTGACACTCACCTTGCGGCCGATATCAATTTCTCCTCCTCGTCCGCCAGCAAGTCCTTGCTGCTCCAAAAGATCGCGAGCGCAACGCAAAAACCCCAGATGATAAACGCGGACGCCACGCTCGCGACGAGGGTTCTGAGGTGCAAAAAAACCGCTGAAATGCCGGCGGAGTGGATGCTTTCAGCCATTGTCTGACTCCCGTCGAATCCGGTGACGGTAGACTTCTCTGCTGGAGGTAGTGAATGCGCGAAAAACGAGCTCCCCCTTGGCCCCGGCGTCTCGAGAAATGCGAACCCGGAACGCAGCACAACAGACCCCGGCGGGACGACTTGGTTGGTCCTGCTTATCACGCGTTGATCCTTCGCGTCTTTGAAGCCCCCGGGCGGCAGGACCTGCAGAGGTTGACCTTGAGGATGCGTTTCTGGGCTGCATGTGTCGCATTGCAGATCTGCATGCGTGTTCCGCTTAGGGAACAAGTCATCGGCCGTTTGTGAACCTTGTACGAAGCTCATGTGCTGCTCCTGGTCTAAAGAGACCCAAAGGGGGAGTTTTTCTCTATCTCTTACTTCTCCTAGCCTATCTTCACTTATTTCGGTATCTTCAATAGGAAGGGTGTCCAGGTCCAACACGAGGCTCTCGGCCACGGGGTTCCTTGCGTGTTTCACTTTCTTAAGGATCCCGAGCATTAATCTTGCTGGCGAAGGATCCGCATAGCCAGCCACGTTGAACGCCACGTCAACGGAGTACCCGCTGAACTGCATGCGATTTTCCTGCAGCCTCCGCGCGACGTGCTCCTGCGGCGCCTCCTCGCCAATGATAGAGAGTGGCCCGGCCGCGGCCGGTGGGGTTGGTCATAGCATGCGCGGAAGAATGAAAGCCTGCGGCTTTTGTGCTAAACCGACGTGATTCAACTTCAAGAATAGACTTGCTTTTTTTCGAAAGCGAAAGAGAAAAAAAAGAATGAAACAACTAGCCCCGGCCATTTCCGAAACCGATGAAGCTGATGAGTTTGCCACTTGGCAAATTCATCAGCGGCGCCAGCTTTGCCCCCGGATTTCCGAAATTTGGCAATCTTATCAGCGTCACCAGCTTCGCCAATTTTTCCGGGAGGTTTGCCAAATTTGAAAACTTCATCAGCTTCACCCGCTTCGCCACTCTTGCCGGATTTGCGAAATCTAGCAAACTCATCAGCTTCATATCATCGGCTTCGGGAATGGGCGGGGCCCCTTATGCCCGGCGCGCGCCACGCGCGCCTAACATAAGCGGCGCGCGAGATCCTGCAAAACGTAAAAAGGGAGGGGGGATCCTGCAAAACGCAAACAGAGGGGGGGCAAGCTCCGCGAAAAAGCGCCGCGGGCGCGCGTTCTTCGGGATCTCACCCAAGCCGCCGGTAGCGCCCCCCCCTTTTTCGCGGAGCTCCAGCAGCTTTGCCTGCTTTTTGGGATTTGCCAAATTTGGCAAACCCACCAGCTTCATCAGCTTCACCGGCTTCGGAATAAACCGAGGCCCCTCATGTTCGGCGCGCGCGCCGCGCGCGTACGTTTTACAAGGTTCGGCGGCCCCTGCCGCCGCCGGTAGGTTTTCTCCCCTGGCCAAACACATCGACGAGGACCCCGCCCCCCTCTTTCATTACCCTGCCAGGAATCATATCGGGCAATGACTTTCTTTCCGCTTTAAAGTTGATTTTCGGAAAATCGGAGACGGAAACGGCGCCCACAGAACAAGGAGCGTTTTTTTCTTAGGGTAGGAACGCAAAGCCCGATAGTACGGCGCCTTCTCTCTGGACCCCGGGCAAAAAATGCGGGGAGTCGCCTTGTAACACAACAAACCACAAGCACAAAACACTTGCCCGAAACGCTTCACAAGTTTTTTTTCAAGAATCCCAACGCGTGGCACTTCTTCAAAACTTTCCGCGATTTTTCCAAAAGCCTCCCAATCGAACTCCTCCGGCCCTTTGGAAGAAGTTGGAGGCCATCCAGGGTTCGAAATCTTTGGCGAGTCTCGGGAAACTTTTCTTCAAGCGCTGTCACGTTTTGTCTTTGGAAGCCGGAATGCAACACGCAAAAAATTTCTCCGTGTTTGTATTGTTGTTAACACAATCCGCTCCAGAATTATCTGCAAAGCCCTGTGCCACGTCGGGAATGGATGAGGGGCGCGGAAAATTTCAAAATGCGAGCCATCCACCCCCAGGCCGAGCGATGCGACCCAAGTCATAGAGGCGACAACAGCGCTCAATCGCAGAACACTGCCCCAAAGCTTTTCAGAAGTTTTCGGAAATTATATGCAAAGCAGCCTTCTCCGAACTTTTGGAAGAAGTCAGCTGGAGCCCGCCCAGGGTTCGGGGCGTTTGCAAAGTTCTGGAAAAATTTCATTGCAGTGCGCTCGCTCTTTGTCTTTTCTTTACAAACCGGAACGCAACCCGCTAAAATAATCCCCGACGGAATTACTTACGCAGCCCTGCACCCCCCCGGGATCCGGTGAAAAGCGCCTAAAAAGCGCGCGCAAGAAATTTCTATTTCCCGGCAAAGCGACGAGGCCACAGGGCCGGCAACGGCGATCGCCATCGCTTCACACTCGACAAACAAACAAACATGGAGCGGCCAATAATACCTTTCCGGACCCGACCCGAAATGCTCCGGCTGGCTCCTTGGAGGCTAGGCGGGAAATTCCCAAAACAACGAAGAAAACGCAGGCGCCGAAAATATTGCCCCCCCGCCAATCAGGGGGCCCGTCCTGTTTGACTTCGAGAACCTTTCGGCCGGGTTTAATTAATAACAAGGCCCGGCGGCCCATGCGCTTCTGAAGCTGGTGAGACTCAAGCTGGTGGCTTTCGCTTTGGCGAGTTTGGTAATTAAATTCGAAAAAAATGGCGAAGCTGGTGAAGCTGACAGCCTCACCAGCTTCGCCATTCTTTATTTTTCGAAGTTGGCAAATCTGGCAAACTAATCCGGGAAAAGTGGTCGGCTGGGCCGAATCTGCTAAAGGAAGCGCGCGCGCGCGGGGCGTGAGAGAGACGCCAGGGCGCTCGCGATCGAAGCTGCTGCAGCTGGTGCAGCTGGTGCATTGCGAAATTTGGCAAATCCGGAAAAACTGGCGAAGCTGGCAAATCCGGAATTTTGGCAAATTCGCAAAATTTGGGAAACCAGGAAGAATTTCGCGAAGCTGGTGAAGCTGGTGAATTTGCCGAATTTGGGAACGAACTCCGGAAAAATTGGCGAAGCTGGTGAAGCTGATGAATCTGCCGAATTTCGGAAATCCGGAAAAAGTGCGAAGCTGGTGACGCTGGCAAATTTGTCAAATTACAGATGGAATCCAGAAAACCTAGCGAAGCTGGTGAAGCTGACGAGGGTGGTGAATTTGCCATATTTGGGCAATCCGGAAAAATTGGCGAAGCTGGTGAAGCTGATGAATTTGCCAAATTTCGGAAAATTGGCCAAGCTGGTGACTCTGATGAAGTTGGTGGCTTTATTGCCCAGCTTTGAAACAAAATTCTGAGACGGTGGCACGGCCGTCGAACCAACATGACCAACCCCATTGGCCGGATCGTTCTGTAGTGATAACATACCCTTTTCCCATGAGGAGAGGACGTAGCAGTCCTCCTCCCACGGGTTTCCCAGCAAGCTCGCTCTGTTCCCAATGGCGGCGCTGTAGCAAACTTCCGAAGCAATGAGCCGCGCCAAACTTCTCTCGTCCTGAGGTGTCTTGACACCACGGAACGAGCCGCGCGCCATCGATCTTGACAGTGTCGGGCACTACTCCGTTACAGACGCCGTTTTTGGTCAAGAGCACGTCATTGACACGCGTCACCTCGAGATTGACAACAATAGAAAAATTACTAAGAGGCGTCGCAACTTGCACCCACTCCCACGACTTTTCACTGCCAAACGGGTTCCAGACATCAAGCGTCGATAATAATCGCGACTTAACCTGCAACCTCCGCGACGTGGTGCTTATCGAGGAAATCTGCTGCCGTCGCTCTATCCAGTTCTTCGCTGGCAAGAGCCTGAAAGAGAACGAGTTTGAATGTGGACCCCCGTTGTTTAGGAAATCGAAATTGAAAGAATGCGAATTAGCCCCGTCGCCCGCATGTCCCTCTTCCGGTATCGGCACCTGAAGAACAAACAGCCTACCGCTAATCGTGACCTCGAAGTTCCGATACAAGTGAAACGCATTCGGCATCGCCATCGGCTCCCTCATCGTCCCATGACCGCCAGGACTGACGCCGCGGCTGCTGTATCCGTGAGGCTGGAACAAATGTACGTAATTGGGCTTCTGCTGAAGTTGTATTATGCGCGAAAATGACCAAGGGCTAGTGCCCAGACCCTTGCCTCCGTCTTCCTTCTGCGCGAAGTTTTCGGGTACCTCTACCCCGTCCTGGGCTTCATCATCAATGCCTTTCTTTGCAGCTGTGCCGATGTGTAGTTTATTTTGGCTTTGCTTTTTCTTTTTCCAGATTTCCCTCAGGATTGTCGCGTCAGCGCGGCCGACTACTGCTACCAGCGCCACTACTCGCTCGCGCCTTTGGCAAGGCCCGCGGCGACGTTGATCCGCCAGCACCATTCTTCGGTTGATACTACATAAATCAGAAGCGCCCCCCCAGTCCGTGCTGCGTGGCGCAGTTCAGTTTGGCGAGGGTTTCCACGGGCGCTGAAGACACTTCCGCCGGACTCGCCTTTCTTGGCTGATGCTACTTCCAACTTCGTCTAGTTGTATCGTGGATTTGCCGCTGGCACTAGTGTCGGTGCTGGGATCGATTGGGCTGCTCCGTGTTGTGATTAAAAGATCAGGCAGGTCTGTAGTCGCTTATTATCGGCACCCTTATCAATCGCGACCGCAGGGTGGCCACAAGTAGACTTGTCCTCGTGTAGAAGTTGCGGCTTTCCTGGTGACGATTAAAATAGCTTCCAGATTTGTAAACCTGGTTTACCTGATGCCTTTGTCTGTACCTTCCTCCACCAACGTATTTCCTCCTCTTGCGCAAACCGTTTGCTTCTTGAGTCGCGTTCGGAGCAACAGCTTGAACCTCCAACGCTCGTAGTGCCCTTGCTCTTCTTCGGAAGAGAAAGAGATGCAGAAATCGGAGTCAAAGTGGGCTACTGCGACTCCGTCGTCAATTTTGGTTTCCTTTTGGCAGCAAGTAGTTGCAAAAGCAAAACAGAGGCTCTCCTCAAATTCAAAAAAAATGCAATGGATCTTTTCGGACAGTCCAGGCTCGTTATTCGTCAGTCATGATGATCATCACGAAGACAGCGTTGCTCTTTATCTCAAAAAAAATCTTCGCGAATTTCGGTCGGGTTTAAAAAAACAGTGTTTTATTGAAGGTTCGTGAAAAAGTTTATTTAAGTTCTTTGAAAGGTCGTGTGTGCAAAAGTGTTCTTCATGTATGTAAAAGCTAGAAAAAAAGAAAAGTAAGCAGATGCATATATTAAAAGGTTTTTGGGACGAAGTGGTTTGTGAATGTGAAAAGTAGAAAATTGTCGAGGGATCGTGACATGAGTAGTGGGCACTGTAGAGTTTTGGGTGTGTGTGTATGAGCCTTATCCTACTTGAGAACGAAAGAAAGGAGCTCCACAGTTGTCCCCTGGTAAGAAACTCCAGGCGCCAGCAGTAGAAGATGTATTAGTTCAACGAGCAACTTCTCAAACTCGGTCGTTTGTCTCCGGACTTCTATTGCGCGCAACAGCACCCGGAGCCGTATCTGTAGTCCGACGAATTCATTGTACTGCTGGCCAGCTGATGTAGTGCCCTGTACTACGACGCATTCTGTTTTTCCTCTTGTCAGGCGGCTTGCACTTGTTTACAGTGCTGGACGAAAGCAATACATAGGACGAAACCGAGGGGTAGTAAACATCTTAGACCGAAAACCACGAAGCTGTTCGATGTTTCCGGTCGTCGTGTACGATTTTTCTTCTATTCGTGTACGAGACCAAGGCGGGGATGAGCTTGAGCGGAAACATTCCGCCTCCATCCAGCACACCGGGACCGAGAATGCGCGACGAAGCATCAAAGAAGCTGGGACGCGATAACTGTGTGTCAAAGTAGTCACTCCGAAACCGATTGCGTGGATGAAGCTACGTCAAATAAGACAATACCGATTACAAAGAAACAATGTAAATACTTAAGACAGGCATTCGAATATTCATCAACAGGGCGCAACTTCTTACGTGGTGCGTCGATGGATCAACATGCCCCGCCCTACATTCATTTTAGGTGCAGGTTTGCGCTTGATCATACGTTCTTTACATTTGCTTAGATAGTGCCTGACTACACGACGAACACCAGCCTCAATCGTTCGGACTGTGAGTAATCAATTCAAGTCCAACTTTCTTGTAGTTCGGTGAAAAAGCTGCAAAGATTGCAAAAAAATCAGCCTCCGACCGCCTTGTGCCAGTAGGCGCGCAATTTGTGAATGATGTTTGACGCAATGCGAGAAAACTAAGCTTGACATTTTGACGATTTTTCCCACCGCCGTGCCCGTGCCACCCGTCGTGGTGTAGCTCCCATTTTATCTACGATTGTCGGCTCCTGCGTCTCAAGAGGACCAGCCGTCCCGGCTACAGCTCGGCTGCCGTGGCTATAGCGTTCTCTAACGTTGCACTGATCGCTGTGGATGGCAGCTGGCTTCTTGCTGATAGTTTATCGTGCAGGACCCGTGTCACCTTAATGCTGCATAACGATCATGTGAAGAACGCGTCGACGCAAGTAGCTGTCATGCGTCGAGCCAGCAGCTGATCATGGGTCCTCGCAAAACAAGCTTACACTACAATGACAATCCCTTGGAAACCTTACGTGATGCAAGAAGCACACACTTCTTTCTCTTGCATTTGCGATTTCCCATCACAAATCAAGCAAAAATCCTGTAACAGCAACCACTGTATCTGTAACGTTCGAGAATGGCCATAGTGCGCAGCGCCCCCTCTGGTTCACTTTCTTGGTCCTGCTCTGTTGAGGAGGTGGGATGCTGTGTAACAGAAACTAATATTGCCTTCTCAAATCATTGCACAGTCTGAGTTGTGTCTTTTCTTGTAGAGAATCCGCGCTTGATGCATGGTATCTATTCGCATCGACAAGTGTCGCAATAAGGCAATTAAATCCAGTTTTGAATTTCAACTTCTAGTAAACTTGTCATGCGTATCCGTCTTCCTACCCCTGTGAAGACGATTGGCTTATGGATCAATGTGATATTGGATAGTAGGGCTCTTGAATGTACGACTTTCATCGTACATGATGTTTCTTTCGAGGACTCGCCGTGCAATGATCGATCGTCATGATACGACAAGATATTTATATACTCAGACTGTAAAACTACTTGAGGAACCTCCTGTGATAGACAGGGACTCGGCTGTTTTCCACTGTATCCAGGCCAGGTCGCCCTCGGAAATCATCAAATCCGGACTGGTTTCTGCGTTCGCATCATCCCAAGCAAAAACGCATAGGCACTCAGGTCACGATTGGAAGTTCGGAAGAAAATTCCAGAACATTGAGGGCTCGCGCGTGAAGACGGGTTTCGCCATGCGGCCGCGCAGTCGTGCCTAGCAACTCGCCGAGCTGCACCACAAAATCAATCTCTTATCCTGATTCGTGCGTGACTAATTATTTCCGTGCGCGACTAATATGAAAGCGCCTCCCATGCGGAGAGTTGTCGTGAGAACGGAAACGATGCTCCTCTGGGTGTACGAATACGCATGACAAATCTGACGCGACTACGTTTTTGCATCGGATACTCATTCCAGTAGTGAAAAATGCGCACGGCTTCTGGGTACTGTGTTGCTAAAGCCGTTGGATTATCAACTGAAAACCTGTAGTCTGGGTCTGAAAGGGAGGGACGCGAATTTGTGAATCAGGAGCACTCTGCGTCTGCATGGCCGAGCATGATAGCTTTTCAATGTAGGTGAGCCGTCGTGCGCATTGAAAATAATTTTACTTGCCCGTATATTATATCATGACAAAACAGCGATGTACTTTGTCGAAGGCCGCATGCATCAGCATGACAGAGCTGCCGATCATGCCGGTACAGCATGAGAAACCTTTCAACCTTGGCCTTGCAGACCGCGAGGACAGCAACAAATATTTTCAGTTCATATTGGTCGTGGCCACCGGACAGCACGTAGGGGAAATCCGACCCCCAGAGAAGCCGGTGCCCGCCCCCCGCGGCTTGCAGCAGCGCCAACACGCGCGGCCGCACGTCGATGTGCGGAAAGGGAAACTTGCTTACCCGGAAGAAGGCGCTCAGCTTGACAAAAACGGACGCGGGAAAGTCGCGGACCAGGTTGAGTGCAGTTTACAGTGGAAAAGCACAACATCGTCAGTACCAGGAAACACGAAACGACTCTGCATTTTTTGCGGGTTCTTGCGATGCTCTTTGCTGTTCAGCATGACAAAGTTTTTCGGTACCTCTACCTGTGCAACTACAATCGCTAGAGTGATGAATGCATTACAAATTGCATGATTCTGCTTCTGCATACCAGAGAGCCTCGCCCCCTCTTGCTCTTGTGGTCGTCCTCTCTGCTCTCGTCCTTTCGTCTCTCGTTTTCTCGTCTATGTGTTTTGTATCTTCCTGTGTCTCGCGTGCTCTCTGTTTTAAGTCTCTCATGTCTCGGCTTCTCGTCTTCGTCTCTCATCTGCATCTGTATCGGTATCGTTTTATTCTCTTCGTCCGTCTTTCGGATTTCCTCTTTCGTGTGTCGGGTTTGCGTAGTACGCATTGCAGATTTTTCAGTGATGCCAATTTGGCAACACATACCTATGCTCCTTTTGGTATGCGAAGTGGTTATTGTGCTTTTGCTTTTCTGTGTGATAAACGGCCTCGAACGCAGCTTCGTCGTTTTTCGGGGACAGGTATCCACAGTAAATTTTCCCGTTAAAAGCGTACAATTATATATGCGGTTTCTGCATGACAACAGAGCTTACCTTTAGTTTAAGTTTAACTTTAATCCCATTCAGCATGACAATTGGCACTCTCTAGTTGTAAACTAAATTTGTCATGCATTTTATACGCGCAGTGGAATGGAAATTTGATGAATATGAATTTGTATTGCATAACAGGGAGCGGTAGAGATCCTCTTCCAAGCCAGTTCCCTTTCCTGCGTGGTTTGCCAGCAGCTCCTCAGCCCAGCGGGGGAGGCGGTCTGCAGCCGTCGCCGTCGAAGCCAGTGCTGCGGCGTCGTCCTCGTCGTCCTGCACTCCTCCGGTGGCGGGTTGCCGAAAAAACCCAAAATGGTCGAGAATGAGCTTCGTCTTCGGGAACGCGGTGAGCAGCTTGCGCAAAGCGGCGATGTGGGGCAGAATGCCGCCAAACGCCATGACCCCGACCGCCAGCCCCGCTTCCCCGGCCGCATGGTACAGCGCGCGGGCGCATTCGTTGTCCAGCGTCTGTCCCGGAAACAGGGCGGGATTGAACCGGACGCCCCGGCTATCACAAGAAAAAAGTGTTGCAGTTACACATTTGTATTGAGTTTCTGCATCACAAATTTTCTCTGTGCGTTAATTCAAAGATCAGAAGGGAAAATACGTAGGAAACGAGGCTCGCAAGCATTTTCTGCATGACAAAGGTTGCCTGTCTTGCGGCTCCTGCAACAGAATGTGTAACAGTGAGCACTTTTTTCTTGCGATACCGGTAGCCCTGCCGCGCTCTTGCCCACAGCTCCGCCACTTTCGTGGCCTCGACGGTCTGCGTAGCGGACGAGGCCTGTCGAGCGGAGGGCGAGTTTTCAACATTTTGTCCTTCGGCCTTCCTATCATCCTCGTCATTTTTCGGCAATGGCGTGTTGATAGAGGGTGGCCCGGCCACGACGTCCACCTGTTTGTCGACTGGAGCACACTGCTTGCCCAATAAATCTGTGGCCAGGTACATACCAAGCAGCTGTGTCGTGGTAGGAGTTTCATCTTCAACATCCAATGCCGCCGTCGTAGTTGGCTCTCCGCTCAGGCTGCTGGTACCCCGACCGGTAGGATCATTTGCATTTCCTTTATTTCCCCTCCTCGCCTCGTCCAGATAGGTGTGATCGCGCCCGTAGTTTGCGGGCTGCACCAGAAGTGCTTTGCCCACGCCCGCCGTCCGCGCGTGCGCGAGATACTGCGAGGTGCTGGCGACGTCGCGCACGACCACCGGAGGCGATCCGTTCACGTAGGGACCATTCGCGTCCCACACGTGCAAATGACTGTCGAAAATCTTGTTCATGGTCGACGGGGACCACGGAGCACCACCACCACTTTTGCTCCCGGTACTGCTGAGGATGCTGTCTGCCAAAACAAAAGAACCCACACTCGCTGTTGAAATGACCCACACAAAGCTGCAATAGGCCAGCTGCTGGTGTATGCTCGTGAAAAAGCTCCTGCGCTGCAGAAACGGTTTTCTTTTCCTTGATATTGTTTCACCGGGTGGTGCTGAGAGTTGTAAATAGAATTGGAGGATGGCCGCAATTGCAGGGGCCATTTGTTGATCTTGACCGGACTAATACTGAGCTTATTTCCACCGTGGCCCTGGGCTTCTTGTTTTTTGTACCGAAATCTTTATCTACTTGTACTTCACACAAACAGTTCGACGACTTATTTCCTTTTTCGCGTGATATTGAAGTCAAGAGAAAATAGAGCAAGTAGACCTTTAGGCACCCATCTTTTCAGCCGGTCGATTTGTTCGACACCGACTGACCGGCGATCGAGAAAGAAGTTAATCGGAAGAGTCGTTTCTGTTCGATGCTCCATCAAAAAGTGAAGGTTGATCACAAGAACAGAAAGAGAACTACAATATTTCGACCAATAACCACATTGAAAATCCCCCTGCTGTGATTGTAAGTATGCAAAACAAAACTGAAAATGCACACAAGCGGAATGCGTTTTTCGACCCTTTTTTCCAGCACAACGACCTCGCAAAACAAAGGTTACACCTTAGCTGCAGCTCCTGATTTTGTTTTCAAGAGAAATAAAGGATCGCCTCTTTGTAGCAACATATCTTCGACCTTTATCTTAGGGATCTCGCAGGACACGCCGGTAGCACTAGGTAGCACCTTTTATCTTTTTTTTTTTATTTTTCTTCTGCCACCCGATATGTGATCCTCCGCGACCTCAGAAAAAACAAAAAGAGGGCGAGAGTATGGAATACCAGGGCGCAACCCGAACAACCAGGTAGTCATCTTGGGTATGTGTTGAGAGTGAGAGTCACAGTTTTTGTCTGTTCCTCATCCTCTTGTCTTCCTGTTAGCATCAAGTTCTGTATATAAGTCTTTTTTATTTTTCAAAGTTCATTCTTAGTGATAACGACGACAGACATGATCCCATCAAATACAAAATCTCTTTTTTTGGCCGCAAAATCGGTGGAGCTGCTTCTACCCCAGTAGAGGAAAGCAAGTTGTGCTTTTACTAGTCGTTTTCTTCTAGTATCGACGGCGACCATTTCTATGCAAGTCTGAAGTTAATGTTCATAGACAACTAGTAGACAAAGATATCATATATCAACTATGCGGACCACCATGATCCGCGAACTTATTGTCAACATCGTTGTGAATGGTAGCAACAGAGGTGCCGTAGTTTGCTATTCTTACCGGCGTGAAACGGTCGATCATACGAAATCCGGATGAAGAGGTAGATCCAACAGGAGCCGGGCATGAGTATTCAACATTCCAACCTTTTTGAAATTCGAGTGGTTAATCCAATACAGATACACCGCCCAAACGATAGACATCACGATAGCAGTCAAAGAAGAAATTGCTCGCACACACGTTTATCCTAGAATCAACGCAATTGAGCTAAGGTCATATTTTTGATGTTGTAGTTACCTCAAAATCTTATCGAAGTCGGTGCGTTTTTTTGTTCATCTCAACACGAAAAATATCAGACAAGAAGGCTATTGCACAAAAAGGCACGAATGACGAGTATAGAAGCAGGCACGACAGCACAGGTGTGTGGAGACACAGTCGGACGGTCGGAGGACTTGATATTGAAAAAAACGCAAGCTTTTCTTCAAAAAACGGCGAAGGCGAACTTGAAGGGCACGTCACGTACTTTGGTTTCTTACCAGGCTTTGTGGTTTCAACTTTGTGGGGGAATGGAAAAATATTCTAGAAATTACGTATACATGAAGCTCAAGAAAGTTGTAGTTGTACTTGTACACATCGATTAAAACGGAAACGACATTACTAACAAGTTGAAGTTCTTTGGTTTAGTATCGTCATTTACTACACAGAGAGGAAGACAAAAAGCTGCGGTTAATGGTGTCTCCATCCGGAGCTGGACAATCTGTAATTCCAGTACTCGCAACGCGAGCACAGTCGCCCCTACCAGAAAGTTTCTTCTCCTCCTCACAAGCGCACGCTCCCCAGGCCCAAGAGCTCCGCGGCGCTTCTATCCAGTGCAAAAATTGTATCGCACTCCTCGTATAAATCGCAGTCATGCAGCAGGATGGCTTTCTAGCAAAAATCAGGACTTCTACAAATTTCTGGCAAGATCATTTGTATTGCAGTTTACACCAGTACGTAAGAACTTCTTTTGCAATGCATAGCTTCTCGGTGACAGCAACTTTTCCTCCTCTTGTTCGTCCTGCTCGACAAAATGGGCAGCGGCGGGAGAAGACGGTGACGCACCACGAACGTGTTGACCTGCACTAGTACTAGCAGGCGGTTGATCCAGTAGGCCGCTGCTCGTGCGGTTGCGGTTCGGCGTTGGGGTCCTTGCTGTACCACACAGATTATGCACTGCAAAAATATAATCGCACTCGTGTAAATGCATTACAAATTTCCTCAGCGTGACAAATGAAATTTGTAATGCAAATTTGCCTTGGGAACAAGATTTGTAATGCAAGATTTGCATTTATACGAGTACGATACTTTTGCACAGGATACAGATTCTCCAGTTTGGGCGAAGGAGACTGCTATCACACGGAAACAAGAGATGCTGACACAAAAGAACAATCATGACCACAGTGGCATAATCCTAGAATCAAAAACTTTCTACAATAGAGCGTACGCAACGACCTCGTACTGTGGCTAAAATACACTCGAGATCGAGCCACACTAGAGAAGGGCACGTGCTAGAAGATGTCGTTGTCACCTACAAAATACGATTTTAGTTGGCTCAATTAGAACATGCCGATGCTCTGCTCCTCGAAATCGAAATTTTCGTGAAAATAACTAAAACGCCATCCACCGTATCCGTAATGGTTTCTTCATATATTATAATCCGTTGTGTCTGTGCGATAGGCTCGACGTGTTGCTAAAGGTTGCCCTGGAGTCGTACGATTTTTCTCCCGTAGACGGGCGCTTTCTGTATGGAGCGCTCAACCAGAGTGGGGGCAAGTCTTTACATCATCGCGAAGGGGAAGGTCGTGCCTGGTATGATTTGTGATGCAAAAAGGGATCAGAGAAGTCCAAACCAGAGTGCGCACAGCACGGCTTGGGTTTGTTGGGGTCGATACACAAAAGAAGTTTTCATTCGTACAATGCTTTGCAAATATGCATAATTCTTCATGCTAGTACATCAATCACAGTGACAGTACTAGAAGACTTTCCCTTATCATGCTTGTCGTGGCGATGCAGACCCTAGCAGCCCAACACAAAAAATCCAATATCGTTTTGAAAACTTTTCCACTCGCCCCCTGACACGGGCATAGCAGAACGCTAGAGCTGGCGCGACGTTCTTCGGAGCTTGTGCTCACAGCTCTTTCTTGCGTGCAGCTGCTGCCGCCATTGGTGTTTTTGTCGCCCCGTGCTGCTGGTGGAGGTGAGCGACGAGAGCCGTGACTCGTCGGATCCTTCGCAGGCGAGTTCTTTCCCTCTGAAGATGCCTGAAGAACCTGATGACGTCGATGATCAGGAGTTCTCTCCTTCGGTCGCTGTAGTTGCTTCGCGGGAAGATGAACGGAACAGCCAGCGGAAGCCTCAGTCTTCAGCTGGTGGTCTACTTCATGCTGTTCTTGATGAGGCCGCGAAGGAAATAATTCTCGACGGTCGCGACGTTCTCGGTCTTTTATTTCCACACCAGTTATAATTTCTCGCTGGTGTCCCGCCGGAAATGAAAAAAGCCGCTCAACAGGATGACCTTGACCGTGCCCGCCGCTCGGTGGCACCACGATATGAATTGCAAAAGTATCGCAGTAAGTAGTAATTGCAGTACAAATTAGCTGAACATGACGAGGGAACTTGTCATCATGCGGGTTCACCATAAAAAAGGCATTTGCAATGCATGATTGCGATTACTACGAGTACGATACTTTTGCACAGAATACACGACCAGCTGCTGCAAAACTTCGGACACTGATTTTCGCGCCGCCACGGCAATGTCGACCGGTGGTGGCGTCGACGATGATGGAGGATCTTCTAGCGACTGCCCTGTTGATACCTCTTCACTAGAGGCACTGGGACGCGTAGCACTCGCATGATTTTTACCAGGAGAAGAAAAATCCTGGTCGTGGCCTTCGACACATGCAGCGGCACGACCACTCGGAACTTCTTCCCCAGTCTTGCAGCGCCTTTCGTGGCGTAGTACTCGATCACTTTCACTGCGCGTGTGCTCAGAAGTAGTGTTGCTCGTCGCCGAGACTGCATCTAGCGTATAATCGCGTAACCTTGAGGATGGGGATGGCCCCGGCTGGTCCCCTTGTGCTTCCTGTAATTCCTTGGCGCCGTTTTCGCAGTGGTTACTCGTGGTTTCGTCCTGCAGCTCCTGTGCACATCGATATTCTGCTCCAGGATGAGAAGTTGAGTCAGGAGTAAGCGAAGCAAAAGAGCCTGGAGCTGCTGCGGGAGCGCCGTTTCTTCTGTTGTGTGCCCTAGTTATGCCGGTCGTGTGCGGGGGGTGACTAGGCTGGACAAACCCCAAAGTGCTGCAGCGCTTTCTCCAAGTGCGGGAGTACGAGTTTGCTGCCACCGACCTACCATGAGGATGTTGACTGTGCGGAGAGATAAAAGTGCTAATCCTATTGGTCGTATAACCGCGCTTGCTTGTTCCATGGTGCAGCTGCGAGGGATCGGAATCGCTACCAGTTACAACATGATGACTGCAGTTGTCGTCCCCTTCGTGTGCGATCATTGCACCTGCTGATGACGACGAACTTGCAGCTATTGTGTCCGGTGTTCTTGAGCTCTTCCCCCAGGACACACGGGAGGACGTCGAGGTAAAGTTAGAGTTGCCCCCTTCCGGGGTGCTCGTCGCGTATGGTCCATCGTGTGCTGTTACCTGCGCCCTTGCACCAGAACCAGCACCAGAGCTCATCGTCGGTGGGGGAACTAATAACCCCGTGGTCGTCTGGGTTGACGAACTGGATCCGGGCGTCGAGCTTGCGGTGGTAGTGCAATGCATGTCCACAACAGTGAAACTATCCAGCACCGCATCGTAATTGATAAATGCTGTTTGCTCGACGTTTCTCATCCTGTCAGCCGCCGATAAACTACAAGGCGGCACCAACCTCGCAACAAAGTCGTCAATTTCCCCGACCGTTTTCCAGAACGTGATTCGCTCTCCCGAAGATGGTGAAAAAGAGCTTCCAGAACTACAACCCGCGGATGTGCAGGATTTGAACTTGTTGCTTCTATTCTCCGTGGCGATTTTCAGTCCTTGCAGCGCGTACTTGAAGTGCTTTGGCTCCACCAGGTAGGTGCTGTTCGGGTCAAAATGCTGCAACGCCTTCCGCAACGCCCTTCGATTGTGGTACAACAGGAGGGCGATCGCGTCCAACTGTGGATCTCCGTCCAAAGTCGGAATGATTGGCGGCGGGGAGCAGCTGGCCATCGCCATGGTCGTGCCGGATCGATTTGTGTCTTCATCTCGTGGAGGACCGTTGTCTACTCGGGATGAGACAACCTCCACGTTGCGCTGTTGTTGTTGGCCCTGCTGATCAACCCTACGCATGTTGCTACGAAAAACTGAGTTAAAGGCGTGCAACAGGGCACAAAAAGACAGTTTTCGATCTGGCATGTTTATTGGGAGAAAGTAGGATGAAGCACCGCTTTGTAGGGATGTAGTTGCTTGCTCAAAAAAAATCCCTGTGTGTGTCACAACTTCGTCGATGAAGCCGACCGCTAGCTTTGTCAAGCTATCGTCCTGCAACTTCCATGCGGGAATCATCTCGGACAGCACGCTCGCTCGGTCGAGAAAAACCTTCATCTCCTCCTCATTGAGGAACCCATCCTGGTCTGCGTCCGCGTGCTCGAACAAGTGCAGGAGCTTCGTCTGCACTTCGTTGGCAAAGTCCGCATCAAGTTGTAGGCTCGACCGCTGATTATAGTGCGCTGTGATTGGTGGAGAGGACGTGGTGTTCGTCAACATCTTCTGTGCCGACGACGTGGGATTCGGATTGCCAGGATTAGATACCGAATTGAGTACGTTGTTGCCATTCTGACACAGGTGGAGCTGCTCTTGCTCCAGTCGTTCCCGCTCGACCTCCGCACTGAGATTTCGATACAGAATGCACAAAAGCTGTAGAGCCGGGCCACCTTCCTCGTGGTCTCGCTGCGGGTTGATGTAGTGCCGCTCTTCATGATCAACAGATCGCCCCAGAAGCACTGAAGAAGAGTCTGCAGGCTGCGAACAACAAGGAGAACGAAATAAATGTTGTCGCCCTATTTCTTGTTCGTGCCCGCCCTGTTGCACGGAGCTTACGTGATGGAAGGCGAACTCGAAATTGGACAGGAACTGGAGAATGCTCGTGGTCGTACTGCAAGTTGCTGCAGCGCTTGCTCCGCCGTGCGCCTTTGCTGTTCCAGTGACAACGTCGTCCTGGCCTGCTTCTTTTTCGCTTGTTACGTCATCCCGTTTATTGCCACCGGAAGTAGATGGTTTTCCAGTTGTGTGGTGATTTTTCTCTTGATCTTCTCCGGAGGAAGATGAAGATGAGGACCCGGTGGCAGCAGACACATGTTCTTGCTTTGCGTCACCGCGGCCTTTGTTCACATTAGCCCCACCAGCACTGGTGTGAAAATCCATTGGGTTCTTGAAAGCGTGGTGATGCAGAGTCGCAATGCAGGCGTAGAGCTCCAGGCACTCACTGTCGCTGAAGCCAAGCTCGAAGCCGCACACCACCGCCTTGAAGGAATCAACCGTCACGGACCCGCTCAGATTCAAGTCGAACAACGCAAACAGCTGGCGCAGCGGAAGGTTGGCCTTCCAGATCGCCGTGAAGAGCGTCACGATCGCGTCGCGTATCCACGTTACGTTGTTCACATTGTCGAGCTCCACCCGAAACCGATGCAGAAACGTCCGCCAATTCACGACTTTAATATTCGAAACCACAGGTGGCGGTGCTACCGCCTCCGCTGCAGCTTCCACTGCTTGTGGTCCAACATCTTCAGCGAAGTTGTTGTTCTTGTTGCGCGGCACCACAACGGTCGGCAGGTCGAGGTGTTTTTCTATAAGGTTCTGCCAGGGAACGTTTTCGCCGACACAGGAACTGAGCCCCTCCACGAAATCTGCCATGCCGATCAGGTCGCTGGTCCCGCCCAAGCTGCTCCACCAGAACTTCAGCTGCTCCTTCTTCTCGCAAATTTTCACCTTCAGCTTCGTGATGATTTCGTTTTCCAGATTGCACACCGACTGTTGCCGCATCACCGATTTGTAATTCTCCTCCTTGCGCGTGAGGTCCTCCAGCGTGTGCAGAATTTTTCTGCAGGCCTGGATGTTCTCCTGCTCCAGGTCCAGAATTTCCCTCAGGTTGGGCGCCCAGTGCTCGAAGATTTCGAATTCCAGGGACGGCTGCAGCAGCATCACGGCCCCGTAGTTTCCGCTGGTCCCGCAGTAGTTGGAGGCCGAGAAAATTATGGGAGTGTCAGGAGCGATATTGACAAAGTTGTTGAGATAATCTGCAACGCATAGCTATAGAATGCGACGTCGCAAAAAAAGATGTTATTGCAAGAGATGCAAGGAAGGCCGATTACAGTCCTGCTAAGGGTCAGGAGTCGGGTTGTTGACTAGCATGACAGAGGGGAGCAGGTCTTCTGTCTTCAGCAGCGTAACAGATCCGCCCCCGGCACGGGCAAAATTTGTCATGCGCCGACTACAAACTGTGGGCCCAACTGGAATCGAGTTTGTCCACTGCATACAATAAAGCATGTCAACTTTGTCAATTTCGACCCTGAAGACAGTTCCATAAAAATGGTGATCAACTTGGAATCGTGGTGCACTTGGAAGCCCCGGCTGTTTGCGGGGAGTTCGTGACTTCGCACCACCATGTGCAGGTGGTTCTCCTTCAGAAATTTCTTCGTCGTTTCCGACCCGAACGAAAAGCAATCGTCGCCGCGCTTCGAATATGAAATGCAAAAGCATCGTACTCGTAGCAATAGCAGGCATGGATTACAAATCTAACTTTCTACCTTGTCCAGCATGACAAGTTGCATTTTTGTTCTTGGGGAAATTTGTGATGCGATCATTTACACTAGTACGATACTTTTGCAATGCATATCGAAATGCCCTTGGACTTCGTGGGATTCGGGTCGGCCCACAGCGAATCGAAAAAGATCCAGTCCATCACTGTCTGCGGGTGTTCCGGACACGTCCGCACGCGTTCCACCTTGTTCAGCTGCTTCAGGGTCACGTTCGGGCACCGAAACAGGCCCCCGTGGATGATCAGCAGCTTCTCCGACACGATGGTCGCGAGGGGCATCAAGTTGAAGGTCTTCTGAATCAGCTGGAAGACATCGTTGCCGTACTTTTTCCGGCACTCCTGGGCAAACCCACCGCCAATGGCCCGGTCCCGCTCGTTCATGTTGGCGTCCTCGTGGTTGCTATGAAAGTGCACAAGAGTTTACTCATCTACTTCTACCTCCTTTGTGCCACAGTTTAAGTCGGCCTTCAAAAGAAATTGTAGCGCTTGTCATGTTGATATTTTTCGGCGTGTCTGATTTTTGCTGTGATGATTTTATCAAGATCAGCTGCCATGCAGAATAAATTTGAATTCCATGTTGATCACTGCCCCCGGCGCGGCCTGTGTTGCTGTAGACAATGACCGGAAAGAACAGGGGCAAGAAAAAAAAAATAATTCTGTGCACTTTCATATTTCCCCCGGTTTACGTGAACCGAGTGCCTGTCGAATAGCTGATGCGCGTACATGAGCAGCAGAATCTCGGTGCCGAACATGCCCCGGTCAACCATGTCGCCGTTGAAAAAGTAAACGTTGGTGCTACTATGGAAGCGTCAGGACTGAAATCGTCAAAGTTGAGTGAATTTCTCATGCATAAATTGCAAGGCATGAAGTGCCTCTCTTGCAGGGATGGCAAGCGAGGCCGACTGTCAGCCTGTTTGGGGTCTGCGATGCAGCTGCTAAAGTAGCATGACAAAGGACGCCTTCTGTCCCTAAACAACATGAAAAACTGGATTTAGACGCGCTTGAAATTTGTCATGCCCTGCTTGACAATTGGGCTTCCAACTGGTATCGACTTTATGCATTGCAAGTTATTTCACCTTTGTCGATTTCAATCCTGACACTCCCATAGCTACTCGGCCTGCCGTACTTGAAAAAAATCCACAGCAAATCCTCCAGCTGGCCGTGCGTGTCGTATCAAGTGCAACTGTATCGCACTCGTATTGCAATCATGCATTACAAATCTTCTTTTTTTAAGGTAAGTCCGCATTACAGATTCTATTTCTCATGCTGAGGAAATTTGTAATGCATTTATACGAGTACGATGCTTTTGCATTTGATATGTCGCCCACGATGACCATTCGGCCCTTTTTCGGCGGCTCTAGGAAGACGAGCGGCTGCCGGTATTGCTGCTTGTACAGCTGGTGCACCTTGTAAATCAAGGTTTGCACAAATTTCAAGGGCAGCAACTCCTCGGGGTGCTGCTTGATACGCTCGGTCAGGTTGGAAAGCTGTTTCTCCGTGATGTTGTCAAAGTCGAAGTCAAACCCAAGGTCGGGCGCACTTTCCTCGTTGAAATGCGTGATCATGGGATGATTCGCAGTGGATAATTTACATGATTTAGCGGTGCTTTTCGTGTCGGTTAACAACCGAAGATGTTCTTGTCCTGCAGGTCCTCCTGCGGAAGGTAGTACTACTGGCCCCCCCGAATGAACAAAAGCGGAGGCGGGTGGAACTACACTAGCGTTTTTGCCGTAAGTGCAGCTGCTCCCGGGAGGGTGATCAGGAGCAAGCAACTGTTGCTCCGCGGTACCCCCAGCGGTGGTGGACGAGGTCCTGTTACTTGTAATATTCAAATCCTGTGCAGCAGCCATCTGGGTCACCGCCGCGGGCTGCTCGCCTACCCTGGCAGCTTTCCTCCGTTGCAGAGAAGACCCAGTGTGTTCTCTCTGTGGAGCATTTGGTCGGGCTTGGACCCCTGCAGGATCCTGTATTTTCAAGCTTTGCTTCATCTGGAGGTTTCGCCGGTGATGAGTCATTTCTGCTCCGGACTGCAGCTGGTCAGGTATGGATGTGTCAGGTTTGAAATCGTCAGAGTTGAAAAAACTTGTAATGCACAAAATCGATGCCAGTTGCAAGCCCAATTTCTAAGCGGCGCATGACAAATTTGAGTAGAGCCGAAATCCAGTTTGTAATGCTGTTTGGGTAAGGAAGACGCCTTTTGTCATGCTGCTTTAGCAGCTCTATTCCTACCCCGCAACAGGCTCACAATCTGCCTCCCTTGCCTACTCTGCAAGGCAGGCATTTTCTGCGTTGCATTTTATGCATCACAAATCATTTCAACTTTGACGATTTCAATCCTGACAGTTCCATATCAGGTCTTGTCTGAGTAGAAGAAGTAAACGGAAGCGGTCCAGAACCCCCTGCCCCGCTCCGCGAAGACGACGAGGCTGCCGGAGCAGCCCTTGTTGCGGGCGAGTTAATACAAGAATCTCTTTTGCAGGATGGACTTTCCAGTACGGAAGATGTGCTGCAGCTGTCCTCGTCCACTCCCGCCGCGTCTTGATCCGCATGGTAGGAACCATCCAAGGAAGTTGGAGCTCCTGCGACGGAAGATGACGCACGGGGGCCGTAGTTCATTTGTAGATAAGATTCAATGGTCGCGACGGTCGTGGCTTCCTGCAAAAATTCCCTCTCTTCCTCCTCTTTATTCACTGCAAAAGTACTCGTGCGTGGGGTCGTGCTGCTAATTGCAAACAAGAATGATGAATCTATCTTCTTCTTGTCTGAATCGGCGTTACAAACTCCACCTGAAAAATTTCATGCACTTACTGATTTTGTTCATTCTGTTGCTACACCTACCAGGTACGACACTTTTGCAAATGCAATGCATACTCCTCCAACCGCGCCCAAACGTCCACATTCTGCTGCCGCGAGCTGGAACTTGGAGAGCTCTATCGTCAAAAAAAAAAACAAGCCTCTTGGCCAGAAATTTGTCTTGAGTATGTACATTTTGAAATAATGCTCATGGTGCAGCCCATATTCTATCTTTCTAATTCTATCTCGTGTATGGTATTCAATTTCCGATTTCTATGTTTTTGTTTGCGCCCTATTCTGCATTACAAATTCAGGGCCGCAGTGTGGTCAATGAATTTCTTCATGATAAGCTCGGCGGGGAATGTAGGTAGTTGGTCAGCTGTTGCCTGGTGCGCACGACGGGGGAGGGAGACGATGCTGCCGTCGACGACGGCGTCGGGTCCTTTATCATAACGCTGGAACCCGCGCCGGTTGGAATTATACCCCCTTGATGCTCCTCGTCCTCAGGCTGCACCTTTGTCTGTCGTGTGTTTACGCCACTCCGCGATGTCAGATGAGGGGCGCGACTCGGAGAGGACGTCGGCCCCCCGCTCTCTACTCCTCGTCCTCCAGAAGTGGCCACGTTATAACACGGACCCGGTGGCGTCCTCCCACCGGCCCCCCGCGGCGGCGAGTGGGCAGCCCCTCGCGGCGCGGCGCGCATTTTATTCGCTGTTGGCGCGGTGGCTGCTGAAGATGCAATGGAAAAGCTGGAACGGCTCGGGCTCTGCCGCGCGGACGCCGTGGTCGCTCGCTGCTGATGTTGCGATTGCACCTGCTGTGTTGGTCGTGGTCCACCTGGACCTGTCCGTGTGGAAAAATTCGAGAGGTTCGAGAAGTTGGCAACACCTACACCACTTGGTTGTTCCAAATTCCTCTGCTTTGCCTGATTCGACGAGCCCGACGATGCAACCGCGGAAAAGTTGAAACTGCTGGGGCTCGCACCAGCAGCACTGCCGCCAGTAATCGGGCCCAACGTCAAGAAACTCGTGCTACCTCCTACTTGCGGATTGTTCATCGGGCTGGACGTCACGGACTCCTCGGGAGAGGGGCACATCGTGGAAAGTGTTTGGGATAAAGGCGAAGGTTGACTAGTCTTCGAGGGAGCGACTGACGTGACTGGAAAGATACAAGCTTCACGGCGCTCTTCGCTATTAATATCAATATTATCCTCGTTTTCATTTTCATTATCCTCCAGTACGGTGGACGCCGAGGCAACCTTAAGCTTAACAGTCACAGCAGAATCGTGCGGCGTTTTACTAGTGGTCCCGCTTCTGCTTCTCTCTGCTGCAACACTAGCTTCAACGTCAGTCACTCGCCCGCCGTTGGGCCGCTGTGCGGAAACTGAATTATCTCCAGTGCCTGCTTCCTTAACAGTGCAAGTAGAACTGAGCGGAGTTGTGCCAGTAGTTTCCGCGCCGTCTCGTCGAAGTTGGGCTGCACGCGAAGATGAGCCTGTGCTTAGTTGCTCCACTTCCTCGTCCTCCTCATCATCAAAATTCGCACTGTTTGATCGTGTTGGCGACGGCGCGCTGATCGCCAACGTGGGCAGACTTTGGTGACTTCTCAGCAAATTGCTGCTCCTGCTTTTCTTGTTTGAAATAGTACCTTGTTTTTCGAGCACAAGAGCCCGACCGCTCGTCGTGCTCGCACATTGAACATCGATCTCCCGGAAAAGCTGCCGCTTTCTGCTCGCGGTAGAAGATGTTGCCGCAGCTCCGGAATGATGTGTCGGGCTCGAAGACGAATTGTTCAAACGTCGTCCACCAGCAGGAGAAGGACCACTCCTCCGAGGATCTCTTTTTGCAGCACTTGACCCAGCATTTTCGCCGGACGAAGAACGCGAGGCTGCTGGAGACCCGGGAGGGGCACCTAAAGTTTTGTCCTGACTTCATCAAGTTCAATGAATTTCATTTCGATTCGAACTGGAAGATAAAAAGGAGCACAGCGAGTCAATTATTTTGGAGAAAAACAAAATTTTCTGATTTATTCGTGCGGCCTACAAGACCACAATCAAGAAGGTCCAAAGAAGTGCTGTTTGGGTGCAGCTCTTCACTATGATTACACTTCAGGTAGTTCAGATACTGTGGCAAGAACTTTTTACCTCCTTTGCATTGCGCAGCGCCTTGACCAGAGGTCGTCCCTGCTCCAACAGCTTCACCACGTCTTGGGGTCGTGTTCGTGTTACCAGTTCGTACTTGAGGACGAGGAGGAGCACCGTCGTCGTGAGAACGAGAAGTGGGAGAAACACGCATATTTTCATCCCTGTACAACGAGGTCTTCTCGTGATGTGTACTAGGATTTTTTCCAGGTTCACGTTGCCGGTCCTCGACCTCGTCCAGCCCCCGAGTCATCTCACCCGCATTCAAGTTACATTTCTCCGGCTCGCGCTGAAATTTCTGCGGAGTTTCGTAGCTGTAGTAGTTACAAAGCAGGTACGAAGAGGGCGCGGAAGTTGGCTCACTTGGGTTTTCACCCTTGTCCGGCCGCTTTTCCGTCGTGAAAACCGAGTTAATCGCACCGCTGCCATTACCAGCCTCTTCACCCGGAACAACATGAGTTGCCATCTCGTCTGTTCGTTCGCGATGGTCAGCAGCCGTTTTCCAAGCTGATGTTGATAACAAACCCTCTTGTGGCCCTTCTCTTCGTTCTCCTCCTCCCGGTCCCGCGGCACAGCTCCTCTCATTCACGACGGTACTGCAAGATGACGCGCTCGCCGGGGCGTCCTCGAGTACGATGTTCTCGAAAAGCACGAAGTCCGGGGAGTTCTTCGAGACTTTCTTGCTCAAAAGCATCTTGCTACTTGTATTGCGCGATACTAAAAACTTACGGTGTGAAGTAGAAGAACTCTTATCAAAATTCATCGTACTAGGTCCTTCAGCAAGCAAATTCTCCCTGGTGTTGTACTCGTCCTTCCGCCCACTGCGCAGGCGGGTGGAATTTGGCCGCACCAGCGGTGTTGGGTTACTTCTAGCGCCACCTTCGGCTCCGATCATGTGCTGGGTCGACGGAGTGCAACCGGTAGTTGATGACCCAGCAGGCGGTGGTCGTGTCGAAATCGAACCCCTCCCCGGGGGTCCACCGTCGGGAGACGCTGACGCACCCCCACCCCCCGTCGTAGAAACAACACGCATATCAAACGTAAAAATGTCTGGGTCTGGAAGGGTTGGAACTTGTGACGCAAACTCTGGAACACACAAAAATTTGTGTTGCATGAGCGCCAAAAGCTGTCCATTTCTTGGCACGCAAGTAGGAGATTTCTCATGCGGGACAGGCATCATGAGGCGTGCTCAAAACCTGTGATGCTTTTGCCTGCATCAGACGCCATTTGCGTGATCTGAAATATGCATGACAAATCTCAGAATCTTCCAGACCCAGACATTTTTACATTTGATAACGCAGGCGCGGCGGACCTGGATTGGGATTGCGGGCGGTCTATCCTGAGTAAAAACGTACCCACACCCGAGTCAGGATGGGGATTATGCAACACAAACCTCGAAGCTTTGTGAGTCACGCATGACAAGTTTCAGTCCGTAAGGTAGTGCAAGTTAGCAAGGAAAGCCGCATCACAAATCGACCTTCTGATCCTGTTTACAGCATTACAAGTTCCCAAACACGATTGAAAACGCCTGTCATGGGGTTGCGCATCACAAATGTTCCTGTCATGGCAAATCTGCATGACAACTCTGGGGTGGGTACGTTTTTACTCAGGATACGGTCAGCAGCTGCTTCGTGCTGCTACTCGGCGCCACTGTAGGGACCGTCAGGAAGGTCCGCAGCGTCGTCGACGTGTTTTTACCTCTGTTGCCCGAGCCTCGGTTCGTCCGAGCTAGTGCCTGGTACTGCTGCTCATCCTGTTTCCCATGAAACCCGGCTGGTGTAGCCTGGGGGTCATCTTCTCGTCCACGACCTGTTCCGACAAGAGTTGTTGTGCCGGGGCCATTTTCAGGCTTGGCAGTTTGTGCTACATTTGAGCGCTTCATCTTTGATGAAAAGGACGTCGATGTAGTCGCATAATCATCTGCCCGCTTACTGGTTCTACCTTTCGAACCTGCTTTCAAATGCAAGTCCTTCTCGTTTGTTCGCTGCTTCATCGCCGTGGACCGCTTTTCCGTACTAGACGAAGGAGCTCCAGGAATGCCTTCCACGCAAGAACTCCCGACGGAGCTGTTCACGCTCCCGGCGGTGCTGTCCATCGAGGAGCTATTTGTGTTGTTCGAATGTAGCAGAGAGCTCGAAGACGAGCTGTTCAGCAGGATTTTGCTCTCCCGCACGAAGAGTCCACAGTTCGGTGGACACTGAAAGTACCGGATGCTGTTCACGCACCCATCGTGTTTCCCCAGTGTGGTTTGCCTGTTGGAGGAGCCCAGCTGCTGGGGTGTCTTCAACGACGACGAAGACGACGTCTTGCTTGTTCTTTTCCCCTCAGCACAGCTATTCAACAGCTCGATCCCGAGCCAGATTCCTGGCGCGAAGGAGGTCAGCCCACGGTACCGGACTATGCCCTCTTGCTTCGGAGACTGCTGGGACTGGGAGGAATTTGCCGCATTTTGTCCTCCTGTGGTCTTCAGCATTTTTGTTCCGCGGCGATCGTCTGGAGACATGGCAAGTTTCGCGGTCCTCGTCGCAGCTACCCCAGAAGAACACATGCTGCCTGATGTAAAAAGATTTCCGTTATCATTCAGCAGAATCCGGTCGCCGACCCTGTAGACACTGTTTCTCGTAGCAGAGGAGGCGCCAGTCATTTTATTTGTCGCGGAGGATGGTGAGGTCACGGAGTGGGGTTTCAGCAGCTTGGAACAGGATGCCGTCTTCTGCCGCGGCTCAGATGCAGCACCTCCTCCAGCAGGAGGAGGAGCCTGCGTGGCTCCTTTTACCGGCCTGGTGGCACAACTAGACGAAAAATATTCAGCGTTAGGTGACGAGGCGCCCACTTTTGTCACGCCCCGTGCCTCGGGCGAGAACGCAAATGCGGTTTTTTCCTTGGAAAAAAAGGTCGTATTGCCCTGAACAAGCGGACTACCGTCACCGATTTTCGTCGCACCTTGTTCGCTTGGACGGTTTCTCACGTTGAGCAGGTTCTGCTTTCTGCTAGTACAAGTTGTGGAGGGGGACGTCGTAACTGCTATGCCCGTATCAACATGAAGGTCGACCACATGATCTTTTATTTGCCGGGTGTCGTGATCGCCACTTGAGCGCAACCGAGATTCCGTGCTACCCGCTTGTCCTCGGCGCTGCACCAATACACTGGGTTTTCTGGTGGTCAACGACTGTAGTAGTGGTTGCGGCTCTTGCTGGAGAGCATGAAGATGTGCTGCTGGTGGGGCTCGTCCCTGGTCCTCTGAAGCCTTTTCTGCTCCTGCTCCCGGTGCTGCTGCGCTACAGGGAGCAGCGCCCTGCTCGTGCTGCGGCTCCATCTGCAGTCCCGGAGCACGGGGAGGCGGCACCGTCGTGCCTGGCGGCTGAAGGAAATTGTAGTTGTAGGGACGCATATTCATTTTGTGCCTCTAAATCTCTGTAGTTTATTGTTTACACCTCCGCATTTTACAGTACATGGATTTTTTATCTTAGTTCTAAAATTATTCACCTTGATGTTGCAGCAACAACCGCGTCCGAGCATGACAACATCGGTGGATTTCTTTCTGCCAATAGAACCTCACACAGCGACAGCCAGGCCAAGTCCTTCTAGTAGTAATTATCATTTTATTTGCTTGTTCGCCGAAATAGGAGTTGATTTTCTCAGCAGCAGCAGCACCAGCAGCTGCTGCACCAGTCATCTTCTCCATAAATCAGTCATCGCAACGCAAAAAGTTTTTACGCTTCGGTCGAGATGATCCACAACGAGGAATTAGAAAGTGATGCTGTAGTATTGATGCCAGCAGCGAGCAGGGGAGATCTCCTTCACTTGTTGTACACACAGTATCACGATGCACCGGCGCCACGGGGAACGTTCTCAATTGAATAATTGAGTCAATTCATACGATCGGCAGCGCGGCGAGCCACACAACTAAGGAATACACGAAACAGTGATGTTGGAAGCCTTCCATACACAGCAGCTGTCGAACAGTGTAGCACGGTGCAAAAAGGCAAAGGGCCGAGTGAGCTATTAAGTTCAGTAGCTCGTGCAGCAGTTTTTGTTCTCCTACTTTGGTACGTTAACGTTTTCCATATCGTGTATGGTTCAGAACTTTATCCGAAACAAAAAAAAGCTCAGCAACAGAAACAGCTTATCGTGTCTTGTCCCGATACTGTCCATCTTTTGCCGCCAACGCAACACGCAAATCAAGATCATCATACAGCAAAACAGTAGAATTTTCTACTACAAACTCACACACGGGCGTAGGCGTGGCAACGTAGTGGGTTTTATTTTCCTGAGCAAAAAGTGTGCGACCAATTTTTATGCAGCGGAATGCCACACAGACGCACTTTAAGGAAAGGGGTATCATCATCATGTCCGTACTGTCACTGGATAGGAACCAATCGCTCACGTCCTTGTCTTTGGATATAAGGTGATACCTACGTTAGAAGAAGGCAGATGCAAAAGTCGCCGCGTCATGATCTTCGCTACCAAGAGCATCGAAAAGGAAAAACGCAGCTGCAGTGCCGCAAAGCACTCTTTGACGACCTGCTACGCCATCACGGCCGCATTGTTGGACGCTGTGCCTCCTGGAATGATTTTGCTCACTAGATCTTTCGCCGAGCTTGCTGCGGAGGTCACAGCTCCTTTCGCCGCCGTCGCGGTCTCCCCGACCGCACTTCTCACCTTACTGACGAAACCTTTCTTCTTCGCATCCGCCAGGTCATTGTCCATGTCGGCCACCCGCTGCACCATCTCTTCATAAGGCTCCTTGTAGATTTTCACCAGCCGGTCGTTTTTTCGGCGAAGCATGTCCACTTCGGCATGCAGGTCCTGCAGAGTCTCGATCGGGGCGGCCTGGTATTCTAGTGACAAAAGAACTACAACGATGAACCACCTCCATGATATAAAAATGTAGTTATAAACGTCCTCACTCATCATGAAATTGCAGGCACGAATATGCTGAGACATCGGTCGTGGTTGCGCATACTGTTGCATCTTGAGTCTATGTCTATCCTCGTCATAAGGGAACCGCACTACTCGTCAGATGAGAAGTGCACATATCAAATTTTTCTTCCATGATCATTCTTGTCCTTCTTGTGCGTATGGTGCACTTCGTTGCGCGCGCGCTTCTATACCTAGTGCAGAGCCACGAAACATTGCATGGTGATTCTGTTTAAAGGTAAAGCATGAAGGTGTAGTTCGCACGTAGTTTATTTTTATTTCACCAAGCGTAGATGATTTGAATCCTGGCACAGGCACTGATTTCCGGCGTCCACGGCGTCTAAAGTGGCGTTCTGTGCGAGCGTCACCGCTTGCGAGGCCTTTGCGACCGCAAACTGCATCGCGATTGCCTGGTTTTTTTGTCAAGGTAGTTCAGTATTTCACTCGAGTTGTATTAATTCGACGTCCATATGTTCTTCATGACGCAGAAAGAGCGCGACAATTGTGCAAAGCCAGAGCCAACATTGTTCTACTTTCATCAAGCAGGAGATGAAACCAAATCCATGAGATCATCCAAAGTTGTTCAAGTACCGCTTTCTTGATTCGACTTTGCGCTTCCTCGGACCAGTGTTCCGCGGACATCGCGAACTCTTCGGGCGTATCAAATGCAAAAGTGTCTGGGTCTAGAAAAATACAAGTTTGTCATGCAGCTTTTCCATGACCCATAACGCCTGTAATGCATGCCGTAGCATCGCAAATTTTTAGACGGCTTGCTGATGCCTACTCCGCATGAAAAATGCCCTCTCCGCGTAGCACAAAGTGGACTCCTCTTGCTGGTCATGCAACACAGATTTTTATTTTTTTGCAATTCAGAGATAGCGTCACAACTTGCAACCCTCCAGACCCAGACATATTTGCTCTTGATAGGGCGGTCCGTCCGGCGACCCGGTGTTCAAAAACGCGTTACTGTCCATTGCTCGTTGGTCGTTGCTCCGTATTTGCTGGTACTGGTTCCAGAGCCACACTATGGATGTGTCAGAGTTGAAATCGACAAAGTTGAAATAATTTGTCATGCATAAAACGGATGCCAGTTGGAACCCAGTTTTCAAGTGGCGCAAGACAAATTTCGGTGATCCCTAAATCCACTTTGTCATGCTGTTTAGGCAAAGAAGAGCGAATTTCTCATGCTACTTTAGCAGCTCGAGCTGTAACCCTAAACAGGCTTACAATCGGCCTCACTTGCCTGCTCTGCAACACACGTGCCCCGGGTCATGCATTTTATGCATTACAAATTATTTCAACTTTGACGATTTCAAACCTGACGCTTCCATACACACCCGCATCTGGTTATCCTCGATCTTGTTCAGCGACTGCATGCCCAAGACCCCCTTCAAAGCCTATCCTGTGCAAAAGTATCGTACTCGTAGTAATCGCATTCATGCATTACAAATCTCCATCTTAACCTAAATCCGCATTACAAATTCCATTTTTCATGCTGAGGGAATTTGTCATGCGATTTATACTAGTACGATGCTTTTGCATTTCATAAAGCCTGCGGCACGACGAAAAACGAGGTCCGCCTTCGTGTAGTTCTCGCGACTCGTATCTTCCGGCGCTGTCCCGTAGAGGCGTCCTGGTGGATCATTGAGAGGAAGCTGGAAGTAGATGCGCTCTTCCCGTGTGCTGCTGAACTCCGTGCTGATAATTGAGAGCATGCCCCCAACGCCGGTCCTGTGTGACCTCCGCGTAATTCCCTCGTGGAACCACGCGCGCCAGGACCACGACCGCCACCGGCAGCTAGCAGTAATCCTCCTCCTGCAAAACTTTCATCTTCATTATCCCAGGGCCAGGAATAGTCCTTGGAAGATGTTGACCTCGTGGGCAATGCTGACCGCGGCAGATTGAATGCAGGTGCGCTTGAAAAAAAACAGGTCGAAGATTTATTCGAGCGAGCGCTCAGTTGTCCTTCTGAAGGGGCCGCGCCGTGGCTGTCGCAATTCAGTCTGTATGAGCCGCCGTGTTCCTGCATGTCGTGCGATGAGAAGGCGCAACATCCTCGTCCTGCAGGCGAGCCGGTCAATGCAGGTGATCCGCCCCTTCTGACTCGAAGAGCCGTGGGACGAAACCCCTGCTCGATAAATTCTTGGATGTGTGGTGACTTCAATCCCACAGACATTTTTCCTTGCAGCTGGGGTTAGGGTGCTCTGCAAAAAACCAGAATTTTTCTCAATTTGATCCAGCAGCTGGCGCCCGGACTAGGTGTTGACATTCAGAAGCTGCATTGCATTTATTTTCCGAGCTGCAGTTCTTGCACGAAGTATACGTCGCAACACGACGCTGCACTAGCCGACTTGACGCCCTCACACCTCTCGTCGTGCGAGAGTAACGATTAGACAGCTCCTCCTATGGAGGTAACGACGATTCGCACACCTTGTATCAAGGCACGAGCAAGTCAAGCAGTATTGCTCTTTAGCACGAGAAAAACAATGAAAATGTGCATCTTGTTGTGCCCTAAGCGATAAGCTAAATCTATATGCAGCGTGAACATGTCATTTGTTGTTTTGGAAGGGATATTTTGAGCTCGTCCCGGGACCACGACGATCATCTTGGGCGAGGATCGATTCCCTGAGCGATGAATATCGTCGATATGTCCACCTCTACAAGCGGATCGAAAGGTCGTGAGCCAGCTCGCGTTGCGTCTCTCATGTCATCGACGTCTGATGTTAACTAAGAGAGACTCCATCTTTGCATACACTATAAGTGACTACTTTCGAATTCGACGACCGGGACCGGACCACGAGGAAAATCATAATATGAACAGTTTCTCACATTTCACCAAAGGCAAGTCAACTCGTGCAGGAATTTCCTTTCTATCTCAGATATTCGGCGCCTGCTGGTAGCTCAGCGATCTTCGTCTTCGCAGTTGGAGGTTTTGTACCTGCAAGTACTACTATGCTATTCAACTCGTTTTTTGAGTAAACCACTCCGCTGCACTTGTCTGTAATTTTCACACATTCCGACGGGGCCCCCGCTGGTGATTTCTGACAAGTTGTCAACTTTTCTCACGATTCAATACAGGAATAGAGCGAGTGTCAGCAACTTGTGCGCACGATTTTTCCGGTCACTGAATCCGTTTCTAGTCCTCGTGAAAAACCACTAGCGAGGTTGTTGTCTTGCAAAACTAATACTGTTTCTGCAAAACTTCTTTCGCAGTATTTTCAGGGTGCGTCACGTTCTTACGGAAGATCGTTTCTCTTCGTCTTCATCACTTGAGCAAATGCTCACTGCTCACCACGCCCTACTAAACCATTTCTTGTTTTTGTACTTTGCGCATGTGTCGTAAAAACTGCGGGACCTTTCACCGCGTACTTAGTTGCTTGTCATCTCACCAAGTGGTCCAAGTCAATCTTTTCTGTTTCATTGTTCCCAACCGCCTGCACCTGCTACACACTGTCCGCAAGTAGATATCATAAAACCGCTACAATTATGTCGTTGTTCCTAGTCCAAACCAATCTAAAGAAGATGCCCTCTAAGAACGCACTTGATTAGACCAGAAAAACGGCCGAAGTACATGTTTGGCAGGAACACACTGGATAGGGGGGTGAAGTTAGTAAGTTGTTTTCTGGGGGAAGAACCCATATCCCCAGAATTCGGGTTTGTTTTTTCATATTTCTTTCTGCGTGTTCAAGCGTTTGAAAAAGCGTTTGCGTGGAGGTCCTGCCCTCTTTCAAATTTGAATGGGTTCAGATTTTCGGCTGCAGTGCCCCCATCGTCGATGTCCATCCTGCACGCACAGTGCAGCTTGGTGCGCTGGGGCACCCACCTCAAGATCCTCTCCCAGTTCAGGCGGTCGTCGTCGCTGCTGATGCCCACCGTGGTCGTCCACTCCGTCTGATTTTTGTTGGCGTCCGCTTTCTGGGAGGCTTGGGTGGGGGCGGCCGGCGGTTTCGCGACGAGCTGCGTGAGCCGCGTCCTGCACTTCTCCGGCGCGGCGCTGCATTGTCCGATAAATACTACCCCTATCTCGACGATTCCATTGAAAAATGTCCCCGTCCCACCCCCAAACAAAGACTTTCTATGTGCCTGCTGGCCGGTGGTCCGCCATCGGACGGCCCCGGAGGGGAAAATACATACGTCGCCGGGCGCCTAATATGCAAGACAAAGTTGGCCCCCAGGGAGGCGCCATGCGCCTATACAAAATCAAACCAGCTGCAAACCCGACGAGGGGCGGTCGGGGGTGTGGGGTGCAGGAACGTAGAACCAGCCCGCAGGCTTTTGCATGCATAGGAAGGTCGCCAGCTTGGGCGCAGGCACATAGAAACTGTTTTGGATTGGGGTTGCGACGGGGACACTTCTCACTGGCATAACGTCGTCGCAGAACGTGCAAAAAACCCGCGCCAGCTCCCGCTCCGCGCGCGGCTTGACGAGGACACTGTGGGAGGACTTGACCCGGGCAGCAACAATACCGGCGGCCGGCTCCGTTCCATTTGCAGCTGATCCAGTATTGATCGTGGGGCCCGGTTCGCGGCGCGGCGACCGCTCTCGCGTTGTGGCCGGGGCTTGTTGCGGCTGGACTGGCAGGGAGGGCTCGGAAAAGAAGATGTCGCGGTCAGTTGTTTCGAGTGGGTTCTCCTCGAGAACAAACATTTTCTCCCCCCGCCACAACTCCTCCAGGTCCTGGCGGCACTTCTTCTTCAGCCGGCCGGCAATGTCGCTGTAGGATGGGACGGCGGGTCGAAGTTGCGAAACAGGCACTGCAGAAGAGGCGGGACCGAGCAGAGTGCTGGCGGAGCTACTGCTGCTGCTGCTGCTACTGCTGCTGCCGGTGGGGGCAGTAGCACTGTCGGCGCCGCCGCGACTAAACTCATACGCCATGATGGTCACAAGCTCGCTGGTCGCGATGTGTTCGACTTCCAAAAACGTCCGGAAAGTGTGGTAGACCTCGGGCTGTTCGAAAAAAAGCACATTGTCGCGCACGAATCCGCGGTCGCAGCGCGCCGCATACCAGGTGTCGCCCAGCAGCGCGATCCGCGTGCGGCTGTTCTTGTGGTAGAACATCACCTCCCCGGACGGGGGTGCTGCTTCTTCTGCCGGGAAAATTTGGAAGCCGTATCGTTTTGAGGGATTGCTGCTGCTGCTACTGCTGCTCACGCCGCCGGGGGCCGCAAGCAGACTGCCGACCCCATTACCGATCCGGCCGCCACCGACGCTTGAAGAAGTCCCAGGAATCTCGGTCAGGCTCTGTCGCTGAACACAAACATAAAAGTCGCGCACACCGAGATACCAGTAGTACTGCCGCTGCTTTTTGTGCCAGAGCAGGATCGGACTTTGCTGTGCCAAGACCAAGAGCTTGCCGCAGGATTTCGCGTAGGCCATGTGCTCCTCCAGGGGGGCCGAGAAGACAGTTGCTGGCGCAGGTTGCTGCTGCTGCTGAGTGAACTTCTGCTGCGGGAAGTTCGCGGCGGCGGCAAGGGCAAATGCCTGGACGAACGGCGCCGGCGACGCCGTTCCATGCAGAATCTCCTCCCGCAGGCGTGGCCACTGCGGTAGCTGGATTTCGTCCTGCAAAATGTCCGCGCGCTGATTCCTCCTCGCCAATCCGTCAAACCGCGCCTTCAGCTCCTCGCGCTCCTCCGAACCATTCGCGGCCAGGTCCGTTCCCCGCTCGTGCAACAAGTCGCCGTAGGTCTTGTTCATCAGGTCGCCGGAATCCCCGAGCTCACAAGGGGGGCGCGGCAGGAACTTACTTCGCGGATAGTCATCTTTCCCTTCGCGGTCAAGTTTGTCGTGTCGGGTCGCCAAAGGAAGACGGGGGGCACCCGGTAGTATTTTTCCCTCTTGCACTCCAATTGGAATTTCCCGGTGTGTCGCCGACAGATTCTTGACCCCCGCCCCATGAAAAGCGTCCTCCTGAAGCTTCTCGTCGCGCAAACTAGTCCGTAGGGCCCTCTGCAGGTAGGTTCTTGCTGCCGCTGGGACCGTAGACGCGCCGGCCGCTTTCGCCGCGTGCAAGTCGGAGTAAAGTTGTTGCATCACCAAAGGCGGTCGGAGCCGTTCGGGTATGCGTTCCACCGCCTTGTGCAGGTGGGAGCCGAGGGAGATGAGGTTGGCCTGAAGCTGTTGCTGGTGTTGCAGCTCCGGGTCGGTCTGCTGAAAGGCCGCAAAAGGGAGCAGTGTCGCGGATTCCCCGGCCCATACCGAGGCAGCAGAGAAGAAGTAGCACCGCAGTGCCTGCGCAAGGTCCTGCCCATCTACTTCCAGCGCGAGGGGGTTGGCCTCCTGCTTTACTACCGGCGTCTGCAACTTTTCCACGCTGCTCTGGATGAAGGACCAGTTGTTGGATTTTTCGCTTGCCCTGCAGGAGATTTCTTGGTAGAACTCGAAGTACGGCGCCCAGGTGGTGACGGTCACGCGGATCGCCTTCGGCGTTACTCGGTTCAGAATTTCGAGAACGTTGGCGATCTTTGTCCCCTTCTTTGCGCCCGTGGAAGCTAGCAGAAGGCGCAGCCCGTCATAGTTTTCGCCCACGTACTGCAGCATGTAGAGGATCCCACACCAACGGTATCCGGCCCCACTATATCGGGCGTTGATTACTTTCTCGCAAGCCTTGAAAGCTTCCTTGCTGCCCCCGGCGAACATGGAAGCCTCGTCAAAAAGCGCAAGATCCCGGCTGGCTACGCTGGCCCGCTGCTCCTGTGCGAGGCAATCCCGCAACCGCTCCAGGCCTTCGCGCAACGTCGTGACCTGGTCCGGATTCGTTAACACATACTGTAGCTCCTTGTTCAAAAGTTTCAAGTCCCCCGAAATTGCAACGCTGTTATCGAGGCGGTGGAGTATTGGCGTCTGGATCATTAGTTTCGCAAGCTGGGATAAAAAGTAAGCCGCGCGGCGATTCCAGCTTGCTTGGTCTTGTAGGAACGTGATGGGCACGGTTGGGAGCACGGCGCCGCCAGCAAATAACTCCCGCAAAGCGATTGGGGCGTAGCGGTTCACTTCGATCAAAAACAAATACGCCTGGCAGAGAGACGCGTAATTGTCGTCGTCGCGCTTTCGGGGTAGACCCGCGAAGGGCAGCGGCGTCCATATTTGCGTTGTTGGTGGGAGGTTGTGCGCCGTTGTCGTCGTCACGAGGTTCGGCCCTTGCAACTTTTGGAAGTTTTTCTGACTTTCGTCCGAGTTGTAACACAAACCAAGCAACTTCCCCTGGTGGTCGAGTTGCAAGCAGTCCCACTGCGCCTGGTCCACGGCATGCAAGATGCGGAGCCTGTCGGTGTTTGCGACACCGGCTGACCTGCAGACGGTCTCTGCTTTTTTGGCGACCTCGTACTCTGTCCCCTCGGCTTTTTGTTCCAGAACACTGGCGAGCCGGAGCAACTTGGTCTCGCCCCGCTGTCGCAGCTTGTATCGGTCGTATGGAGTAAGGCCTAACTTTTCAAATGCTGCGTCGTATTTCTCGTAGATGGTTGTCGTGGCACTTTCGCGCGTCTGTGGGTGGGTCGCGCGGTTTAGCTGAAATATCATCCAAGCTACCTGTTTTGAGTGTAGGCCCAAAATTGGAAAGAACAGATGACACGGCCAGGCTGTTTGAAACGAGTGCGCACGGCACGCCCCACGAACGAAGCACATCGGGATAGGCCGGGCCTGATCTAGGACAAGCCGGGCGGATGCAAAACAGAAAAAGGCCCCCCAAGAGGGCGGGGGGTCTTGAGGCTTTTGCTAATACCAGTTCCCGCCCCGAGGCGTCCGAAGCGCTCGGCGAAGGGTTTTCCAGGTTGGAGGCCGTCATTGCTTCCGCCCATATTGCCGGGGGAATGGATTTCGTCGCGGACCGCGGAAGCCATATTTTGTTACAGTTGAGGCGCACCATAGCGCCCTCAGAAGACGAAAAGCTGACAGAAGGGTCGGCCCCCGATCACTGGGCGACGATATGGAAGGGCCGAAGGGTTCCCATGTTGCTCGCGCTTCATCGTTGGGCCCTTTTTTCTATTCATTTGCCGCAGAGCCGTACAAGTTTAAAGCCAGAAACCTCAAGCAGCTCGCGTGCGCACTTCGCTCTGTAGTATGCAGAAAGTCCCTCTGTTGTGGCGGCGCTAGTACACGAGCAGAACAGGCAGCGGGCGCGCGCGGGGGGCAGGCGAAGGCATGGGACACCGGAGGGCCCACAGGACAGGGCATCGACCCCCCCCTCCGGGGGGGGGGCAAAAGGGGGGGCGATTTGGCATGAATTCTGCCGCTTTTTGGGGGGGGGGCAATTTTGGCCCTTCCCCCGATGCTACAGGGGGGGGGTAAAATGGGCCATTTTGTGGCCGAAAATACCCCCCCCCCCAAAAGGGGGAGGAATTCGTCGGAAAAAATGGCCCCGGCCGCCCCCCCATTCGAGGGGGGGGGCAAACAAGCCCGGCGGGCGCGGCCCTGATTTCGCGCGACGCGCGCAGGCCGCGCGCGGCAAGCGCCAGGCCCCCGGCGGGCGCAGGGCAGGGAATGTGCCCGGGGCTTTGCCTTCCGCCCCTGGCCCGGCTTGGGCGGCCGGCGGCCCAACGGGCCCATGCCGAGGCCAGGGCGGACAACCGGGCGCCCTGCGGCCCGCATCGGGCCAGAATGGCGCGCAAATTCACCAAAGCCCGGGCCTTGGCTCTATAGCGGGCCGAAAAATGGCCCCAGGCAGAAGAAAAATGCTAAAGGAGAGAAGCCAAACGGAAAGGGGTGGCCCCCCTCTGCGCGCTGCACAGCGAAAACCCAAGCGGGGCGCGCAAAAAAAGCGCGCCTGTTTTCCTTCAGACACGAGCCAACGCGGCACTTTTTGGGTCCGCGGGGGCCTCCGAACAAGGGAAAAACGAGCGTGCCACCGTGTCTGAAGAAGAACAGGCAGAGGCCCTGCAGGCCATCGAGGCCGGCCCGCGGCGCCTGTGCCTCTTTGGCGCGCCACTAGTGGCGCGCTTGGCCTTTTTCGCCCCGCCCCCAGGCGCCCCATAGGCCAGGGCAGCCCGGCGCATTTCCCGACCCCCGGAGAAATGCAAAAGTGGGCAGAAATACTGCCCGCGCGCGCCAGATCTCGAAAAGCGCCTCGGGCGCGGGGCCTATGCCCACCGGCGCCGTTTCCGGGTGAAACAGTGCCCCTCCCGTGCTCTGCCCCCCGTCCTAACACTCTGAACGCGCTGCCCCCGCGTCAAGAAGCCGTATAGGGCGCAAGCATTTCTTTTCGAACCAACTGAAGGGCAACAGCTTATTTTTTCCAGTTCAAAAGACATTGACATTTTCCCGGCTTGATAAGTTTTTGGCAACGCGGAATCTTTGCCCGGATGCGATTCCGTCAACTGTGATCGGTCTGGTGCACATTACTGTTTTCCTCAGAGCTGACACCCGATGTGTGCCACAGACAGTTTGAAAAAATCACGAATGTATGAAGTTGTTGTTTGTATTGCTCAAAATATTTATCTACGAAACCAAATTTGTGATGCGTGCTGTTGTCAAGTTTCTCGTTGCGCCTCCTCTACGGCTGAAGTAGAGGAGTCCTGTTTCGTCTAGACCTCTACTTCTCGTTCTCGGCATCATCGTCCGAGAAGTCGCCGCCATTCTCCTCCTCATCCTTGCCCCCGACATTGTTCTCTTTTTCCCAAGAGTCTTCCTCGCTCAGCGACTCCTGCATCATGTCCTCCATTTCCTGCTCATCCTGGTGCTTATCTTCCAGTGGGGCGGCCGCGGACGAAGAGCTGCTGCCTCCCCCCGTCCGGGAGCAAAAGCGCTTCAACTGCGGGGTCTGGGAGTTGTACGGGGAAAATCTAGACACAAGCATGTAGAAGCACTTAAGATTGTTTTATGCATGGCAGACGTTCTAAGTGCTGCGATTTTCGCATGACAAATGCAGGAAAAATAGTAAGCCTCATCAATACCGGGGCGCGCTCCTCTTTTTCCCGTTTCGCCGCCCCCATGGGGAGGCGGTCGCGGAGAAACTTGCACACCGCCGGAACGCGCTTGTCTTCGATGGGGTGGCACCGTTTCAGCTTCATGCGGTCCACCAGCTTCGCCTGGCCCTTTCTTTCGATGTAAATTCTCGCCGCCTCCTTCGACTCCACCATTCCGCTGCCCGCGAGCAAATCGATGAAGGTCGGTTTGTGTTGCTCCATCGCCAGTTCGTCGTAATCTGTCATGCATTGAAGATGGTATTGAAGGGGGTGGGAAGATGTCGAATTTGTCATGCAGAATGCCAGAAGGTAGGCCCGAGGGTCCGCAGGTCATGCTCGTCATGCGGAAAAATTAAAAAAATACATTTCAAGTTGCTGGGAATTTCCTTCTTCAACTTCGTCGGCGCCATCACATACTCCTCGGAGGCCTTCTGCAGCAGGTCCTGGAAGGGCTTGATTTCCTTGTCGTCCTCCAAGCGAATGCGGTTGAGGACATTCTTCAGGTCCGCGAGGGAGGACGGCTCGAACACTTCCTTCACGGAAGTGGCGGCGCCCTTTTTGTTGCTGCCGGTCTTGGCCATTTTGTAATCGGTGCGTAGTGCACGAAGTTAGCCACCTCAAAGAGAGTTAGCGGAAGGCGCAGACTGTTCTGCAAGGAGGAGATCCAAACTTTTTCGCGCCACGATACAAATCAGAGTTCTCGACGAAGCTAAACGATCCAAACCACGACGATGCGCTCACACAAAACACAAAATCGCCGCACAAACACAGGCGGGAGTTCTTAAATTTGGTCCGCAGCCAGGTAGCAGAACGAACACAGATACTAGCAAAGCGGGCGGCAAGCTTCAGGGCTTGGCAATAACTGGCCGAGGCCGCTGGCTGCCATCGATCCTTAGCTGCGCGGGCGCCTGCACAGAAGCGGCCTACTCTGCTTCGGCTCTCAGGCGCGGGTGGTTGCGCGAGGGCCAGCCGGGCCTTCCACCGCCCGCCCGAAGCACCCTCGACCACCCCGAGGGGCGGTCGGGGGGCGGTCGGGGCCGACAGGAGATTCGCAGCGGGAGGGCGCCAAGCAAGGCCCACGGGGCTCCCGGCCCCCCAAGCATGCCGGCAGGCGCACGAAGAGGCGACGGCGCGGCGCCTCCGCACCTGTAGAGGGGCGCGCGTTTTCGGGCGCACTTTTGCCAGGAGAGGCGCCGCGCGCGCGGTGCTTGCTGCAGTGCTTCGGCACCCCCGGCGGGGACCGGCGCGCCGGGGGCAGGGCGACGGCGCGCGGGCCGGGCCTGGGGGCGAGGTCTGGGGCAGTCCGGGCTCGGCAAACCGGGCCGCCAAAACGCATCGGCAAGGGGCCGGGCCGAGAGCCAACACCGCCGGGCCCTGCCGCCGGCTGTAAGGCAGTGGGCACTGCATGCCCGCATCGCCGCGGCACAAGAACATCGGCCAGGCGCCGCAGACGCGGGCGCGGCTGCGAAGGACGGCGCACAACCCCGGGCGCGGGGCGGGGCAGGAGGGGCGGGGGGTTGGGATCTCAAGGCGCGGATATTCCGCTTTCTATCGTGTGCCTCTGCTCATATACTACTTACAGCGTGCAATGCCTCAACTCTTTAAGAACACCCTGACAAAATTTTTTTACGCTAAGAAACCACACGCGGCAATTGGATTCCACTAGCAGAGAAAATGGCAACAGGCAAGGGCATCCGAGGCCAGGCGCGGGCCCTCACCGCCGAGGAGTTTGCCGCAATATTCGAGAAACTCCCGACGCCTCACGACCTCGCTTGGCTACTCTCCTACGCACTAATGGCGCCGGCGGCGGAGGTGCTACAGCTCCAGCGGGAGGACTTTGAGTCACACCCGGGCGCCGTTCGCCTCGTCGGGCTTACCGGGAACAAACGGAAGCCGCGCATCGTCCCCATTGCCGGGGAGGTGGCTCGGGTGGTTGCGGATGCTTTGGCGGGGCGGTACACCTACAAGAACACCACCTACAAAAAAGGGAAGGCGTTCGGCTTCGCTCCTGCCGGGCAGCCCGCCATTCCCCTCCGGCCTCAGTCATACCGCAACGCGCTTGCGGCGGCGCAATCGAACAGCGGCGGGGGAGCGCGGTTGGCGACGTCACACTCCGCAAAGAGGACCGGCATGACCCTGGCGGAACAGGCCGGCCACGCGGTACGCAAATGTCTTTGCTTTATTTTTGAGAGGCCCGCGCGCCTGGCGGGGCATAGCCGGCCCGGCAGCGCGGCCAGGCGCTGCGGCGGCACATATAGGAGGCGCAGGCAGCCCCGCGCCCGGGCTCTTGCTTGGCGCGGCGCCAAACAAGACCCCGCGGCGGCCACCGCCCCACAGCTTGGGAACCCGTGGCCCGCCGGGGTCCAATGTCATGCAGTAAGCGCGCGCGCGGAGCAAAAATCCTCCAAAACCACAAAACAGGGGCGCGACGTGCGGGGCGTTTCGGGGCACAAGACCGAAACCGAATACGCCAAATACATTCAAAGCGCCCGGGCGGGCGAAATTGCAGAAGACATCGCCGCCGACTTCCACGCGGGGCGCGCCGGCGGATGGCGGGACTGGGCCCGACCCCTCTCTCGGTGGCGGCGCAGTGCTGCGGCGCAGGCGGCGGGGGACGTGGCCTTGCTAATTTTGCTCCTCTTGGCGGGGGTACAAATCTGCCTCATTACCTGGCTGGCCGTGCTGCTCGGCCGCCTGCAACAATGAGGCGGGCACAGACAACAGGCGGAGCCAGCGCCCCCAGGCTGAGGAAGTGGCTGCCCGGGTTGCGGCGCGCGCGTGCGGAGGCGGCAGCGCAGTTCAATGTCGGTTCTGTAAAGGCGCAATACGAAACGGACGAAACGAGTGGGATCCTGCAGAGGACCGAAGCCTCGGGACGAAAACAAAAACCATAACCGAGGTGCAGAAGCCGGCGTGTTATCGGTGTCGAATGCAAAATGATTGGCCCCCTGTTGCGGAGGTGGTAGAGAGTGCGGCGGGATACGCGACGTGGCATCAATATAGTTGATGCCCCCAATTATCAACTATTTTGGGGCCCCCCCTTTGAAGGTGTTCTGCCAAACATGTACTTCGGCCGTTTTTCCGGTCTAACTTGATAAGCGGGAAGTCGCTATTCTATTGTCGTAGTCGTATGTCCTCGAGTGCCATTCGTTTTTCCGAATTACTGTGATTCTGTCGTGAGTCAAGAAGTATATCAGGAGTCTAAGTACCATGTAGCTCTAGCTGCAGCTCTTGCTCTACAACTACTACATCAAATAAAGTAGTCGGGCATGAGGCGGAGTTTTGGATTTGGAGCGTGCTGGGTCGCGCCCAAGGCGGAGGAACTCGTTGGCGACAGCGGCAAATCGCTCTTCCCTTCGAGCGGCTCGTTCTCGGGCGCGGCGTCAAACTGCAACACCGTGTACTTGAGGTGCTCGTCTATTTCCATCACCGCGCCGCGGTTGCCGCTATGGAACTGTCAGGATTGAAATTAACAAAGTTGAAATTATATTTTGTGATGCATAAAATCTATACCAGTTGGACCCACAGTTTCCAATCGGCGCATGAGAAATTTTCCTGGCCTCTGAAGCAAGTCTGTCATGCTGTTTAGGGAAAAATGGCTGCTCCCTGTCATGCTAGTCAGCAGCCCAACTCTTTCTCTTGACCCTTACCAGCGCTAGAATCTGCCTCCCTTGCGCCTTCAGCAATAGAGTCAGTCTTTGCGTCGCATTTTATGCATGGCAAATCATTTCAACTTTGTCGATTTCAACTCTGACACATCCATAGCCGCACCGGCCGCAGTAGTTCGGCGCGGAAAAGATCGTGAGCACGTTCCGCTCGTGGGCCCAGCTGTAGCCGTCCATGACCAGTTGGTGCGCGCGGGCGATAAGTCGCAGGTTGTTCTGGTGGTTCCAGTTTTCCGAGACGTCCTGCCCGAAAATGAATCCCGCGCCCCGCGGACTGATGCCCCACCCGGTGATTTCGTCCGGGTCCGACCAGAGGATGTCGCAGATCGGGCCCTCGTGCGGGACCTCGATAAACCGGTTCAGGTTTCGCAGGTCGTCCAGCGTTTCGATGCTCGGGGAGAGGCCGGCGTGCGGACAGAAGATCTGGTCCTCGATGAGCGCGGTGAGGGGGAGGGAATCAAACGCGTTCATGAACGCGTTCCACACCGTGGGAGACCCGTAGGTGCGCATGCACTCGTCGAAAAACCCATACACCTGCGTCACTTGTCGGCTCTCGTGGTTGCCGCGTAGCAGGAAAACCATGTCCGGGAATCTGAAGGGGCAAGAGGTTTTCATTTTCTATCTTTTTCTTTCTGATTGCATCAATATACGCATGACAAGAAACGTCCTTCCTAGTAATCCGAAGCTCATCAACCAGCATGATGATTTTGCAAAGAAATGAAGCCTCTAGCATAAAAAAATGCGAAGAAGTGTGGTAGCTTGTCGGTCAAAAATATACCTCATCTTGTAGAGAAACACCAACGTCGCCGTGAGCACGGAGTGGTAACCTCGATCTACGTAGTCGCCCAGGAATAAGAGTATCCAAAGAAAAAGAATTTTACAGTTACAAATTGTTTGTGGCAGCATCAACACTGATGTCCCTGCATGGCAGAAAATAACACTGGGAACGCGGAGATCATGAGGGAAAACACGCATGAAGCGAGGGCAGTATTAGTATAGCATTTGCTGCATGACATAGCGATAGCTATATTTGTCTTGCTTGCCACGCAACACAAGGTCGCGTAACTGTTTACAATTTTTTCGCAGGATAAAGAGGTTTTGTTCCGGGGGTGCACCCTGGATCTTGAGCAGTTCCTTCAAATCCGTAAACTGGCCGTGGATGTCGCCGATCACCGAAATCGGGCATTTTACGGCGGCCACATTGGACTTATGCAATACAAAAGCAAGTACTTTGGACTATGTGTAAGTCGACACATGGAAAACAATTTATTTATCAGAAGTACAACGACTAACGTATGGATTTTTTCGCCGTGCGGATTTACCTTTACGTATAGAGAGAAAATAAATGCGTCATGCAATCAAACTAACATGCAATTTCAAAGTACAAAGTACAACTTTTATCGCAGAGGATAGGACTCCTCGCGGAGCAGTTGCTCCGTTCGGGACACAATTTCTATCAGCTCTGGTTCCTTCAGCACCTGCATGCCGAGCACTTGCTCGATCTTCCCGTCAATGGTTGCCTGCTCGACCGTCGAGAGCCGACTGCTTTTCGGCTCCGCGGCCAGAAGCCGGGGCTCCAGAAGAACCATGGTCTATAGTTGTCGCTTTTTAGTCGTATTAATTGAAAACCAAAATTCCTTTCAATGTCCTTCAGATTCTTAGAACATCACTGACGCTAAGGCGAAAAAAAACGGAGAAAGCGGATACATTCATGGGGCGTAACGAAAGCGATTTCATTGTCGTCAATATCATTATAAACCTGCTACTGCTTCTGCTTCTCCCGGCGTAGTAAAGAGTTCTTTCGCTATAGAAATTATGGTCACACTCTCCTACTAAGCAATCGACTACTTACAGGAAACAAAGCCACACATATGCATATCGTCTGCTGGCGGTTTCAACTAATTATAACATCCCAGGGGTTTTAGCAGTACAAGAATTCTAGGTCTCACATTCACAGTCACAAGCCTGCTTCTTGTCGGAAGAAAGAGAATTCGCTCGTTGCATTCGAAAATTATAGAGAAAAAAAAGAAATATATTGACTCCATCTTCATCTCCATCGTATGCCTTGTCTAAGATTTGGCTGTTGCAGATCCATACACCAGTTAGAGTGTCACAACTATTCGTCCAACAAGCTTGTCTTCGTGTTTTGATCGCACTAATCGCCTTCCTGATCCTCGTCTTCTCGGAGCGGGCTGCAACCACGCTACACTCATCTTCTTATGTTCTGTTTCATCAAATTAGGCATACAACATACATGAAAGTCGAAGTGATAAGTATGTTGAGCATAGAAGTTTTTTTCTTTCTGAGGAAAAAAAAAACTTGGACAACGAGGAACTCCGGGTCAATCGCAAGGCGAGCCAACATGTCGAGAACGAAGCAGCCTTTATCTAGGCACGGCTTCGGCGTCGCCAACCGACCCCTGCAGATCACAGCTGCCCCTCTTCAAGGTGGTGCGTGGGGCCGCGCGGGCATCCACTCATCTTCACGGGTGCTCGCTCCTTTCCGTAAAGGAAGCAATCACGATCTTTCCGAGTCATGTTCGATGGGTTTGTTGTTTTGAAAAAGTAAAAGTCGTCTTCATCCTGCGGGCAGAATTTTCATCACTTTTCACATCGACGAACCATCCGCCTCCACGAGCTGTATGTAGTTCCTTGTCGTCCTCCAATGATCTGCAGGACGGATGGCCGTCTGGTCGCTCTGTAGTCGACCACGTGAAGAACCTCTGATGTTGATGGGTTCTTCATCTCAGTAGACGTAGACCACAACGACATGCGGGCTTCACGAGGACAACGTTATGTCGCCAAGAAAATTCTGATCCCGCGGCGGCGTGTTGTAAGTAGTTCGTCTACCTAGTACTCCAACGGCGCTGGCAAACGGTTGATCACGGATTCGATCTCGGCGGCGGAATAAAGATGGTACTTTTTCGTTGATGTTGGTATCTTGGCGACTTCAATGTTCGTCGTCGTCATTTTCTCCTCCATCATCTGATTTTTTCATTGTAATCATAATGTCGCAGTTGCTCCACTTGATGTGATTATGATGTGTATATTAATGCACGACAAATCGTCTTCGTCACATCATCTCCATGCTTGACTAGCTCGGGCTTGCATGACAAAGTTAGCACCAGCACGAGGTCACTCATCGTACCTGTCTGAGAATTCCGACTCCGACGATCTCCGCCTCTGCTAAAGTCATGTCCGCTTTGTATTGCTCGGACAGGAGTGATGTCGCGCCTTCCTGCGCACTGCCAATCGCGGCGGCAGTGTATTCGGTGCAACTGCAATCGTGATGTAAATGTTGAAACAATGAAAAACATAGGTCAATTTGCAGAAAATCAAGTTTTGCTATGCATACCATTCTCGTTGTCCGGGCTCTTGTGTGCAACGCAAGTGCAACATACGTGTGTGCGTGCAAGTCGCACAGAATGAATGTCGTGCGTGTATCCACCAAAAGGTTCAGATTGCATTTGAACAAAAAAAAACACTTACGTTCCACTCGGATCCGTGACCCACAGTGCTGGTTTTCCGTCGTCATTTACGCCGCCAACAAGCATGGCTACGCCGAATGGCCGGCTCATGGTTTTTTTTCTCCTTCCATCAGTGACATCGGCGAAATCCAAGGCGAGGTCAGCAATCTGTTGTTAGATGGATGTCTTTTGTTTTGCTATAAGTAATTGTAATCCATTCTGATTAGCAACGTGGTCCGAGGTGGTTGCCGTCGTGAGATTTGCATTAGCGCATACATAAAAAGGAGTTGAAATTCTCTATGTAACCAAAAGCACATAAAAATTCTACCGCATTCACACAGGACTCAATTGAGAGTGGTTCGTTGTAGGTGAACCAGTGCGACTGCGCCTCGTTTCTCGCGTGGTCTACGAGCATCCTTGCGTCCGCTAACAGCCCCGCCGTTGCGCACCCGACGTGATGGTCAATTTCGAACACTTTTTGGATCGTTTTGGGGACGATAAGGGAGTTCGCTAGCTTCTTCTCCACGACAAGGAGCACACCCTCTTTTGTAACCAAGCCGATCGCAGTGGTGCCCAGTTTGATGGCTTGGATGGCGTACCTGTGGGTGAGGAAAGTGTCGAAAATGAGATTGTCATGCGAAATTACAAAACCACGACCCACGGATCAAAAATCTTACACGCGTCTACATGTTCTTCTTCATGACGAGAGTCGCAAGCTGAAAGAGTCGAAAGGTTATGTATGTACTCAAGCTGAAAAAGCCGGCCCGCTGGACTCCAGGTCCCGACGCTGCGATCGTATTCGCTTTTGCCCGCCATTATGAAGGCTGCAGAAGGAGACTAAGATCGAGATTTCTCTTCTTGCCAACCGACACAACCTCCCGTTTGTCCGATAATTCCAAATTTGTACTACGGTTTCTTCTTCTATTGGCAGAGCCGTCGCGTGTACTGGCGTTGCTCCCAACTGTGATAGGCCGTCGCTTACTGATGAGTCGTCGCGGTGTGTTAAACAGGTCGTGAATAATGTTATTCCCGAGGGTGATCTGTGGAATTCTTCTATCAAACGAGTGCTAGGTGTTTAAAATACCTTGTACTACAAGAGCTGGCTGTGATACTCAAAAGGGTTTTGATTTTCCTTGTCGCTAATTGTTTTTTGGAAAAAGAAACAAACTTAAACTTTGTTCTGCGTTCGACTTCTAAATCGAAGGGTGATGCTCAATTCAAAAAATTTTTCGTCTGTTATTTTTTTACTGAGTGCCGCTGGTTCCGAGGCGGAATCATTAAATTATGTTGTTACAGCAGTATATCAAGCGTGCCATGGATCCTCAATATTAAGTCGTGTTCCTCTGACAAAAATCTGGATCTTTCGTCTTTCTGGCAACACTGTCGACGCGCTTTTCTGACTAATCGTAAAGAAATGGAACTGCGACACTAGCAACTACATGCCTGGAGCAGTGGCGAGCTGAAGCGCTTGTTTGAGTATGATCGTTTTCAAAGCTGCTCCTGCGAGCTAGCGAATGCGAAACATCAAGTTGATGCAAGAAGGCAGAACACAATACTTCGCGGTCCATGCCTATTTTCCAAACCGCGTTTTCTTTTTGCACGGTTGGTTTTGCTTCTTTGTTTCATCCTTATCGCAGGACTTCAACTACAACATCGTACTATGTATACACTGATCAAATAGAAGAAGCAGCTGATACAAGAATTCGAAACAATTCGGTACAAGAAGTTCATTTTGGGCAGAATGTGAAGCAGAAACAAAACCAGCAGAAACAGGCTATGTGAAGATCAAAATTACTTCTAGAAGAAGCTACGTCCTTCTGTAGTACTTGATAGAAAGAGGCGGGAAGGACAAGACGGCACGCTGAAAATCCCTTCCGCTTCCTCGATAGCAGTTTCCTTGCCATGGATGATCTGATATAGTCTGTCACGACACGACCATCACCACCAGTAGTTGCTGAATACAATAAATATTTAATATTTGCAGTTCAACATCATGTAGGTCGTGTTCCCTTCTTTCATATGATCAAGCAGTCGGTTTTGTACAAGTGGAAATTTCATCTCCGCACCATCGACCTCGACAACAGCGCAAAAGCTCGACATTGGAGAATATCCTGAAAAATCCGTTTCTTAGTTTTGCGCAGAAAAGGCGGACTTCTGGTTCCAGTCCCGCACGAACTCTTCCATCAGTTTCCTCGTTTGCGCGTAGACATTTTCCGCCTCCTGGCGTGTCTGGACCGCTTGCGTTTTGGAATCCTTCGCGAGTTTCACGGAATCATCCACTTGAAGGAGTTTTTCTTCCAGCTTTTTGCTCTGCGACTGCAGAAATTCCGGACTGAGGCTCCGCTGGACAAAAGGGTGCGACTGGACCTGGTCGTGGTAACGATTTCATGTCTCTTCAAACATTTGCATATCGCGAAGGTTCATTTATTCTCGCAAAGATACACACTTAGACCATCGGCATTGAAGATGCGATTGAAAGAAATAATTTGAGCAGGGCGAGAGTAAGACCAGCTGCACTTTGAGAAGATATAAACAGATCTGCTCTCGTCTTCATCGTTATGCTGCAAAAAAACATGTACAGCTACCGGCTTGAATCCCGTCAGTTGCGGCACTGTCGTGTAAGCCGGCGGTGGCACAAGGCTGCTGTTGGCGGAAGCTGCCGCAGGAGGTAGGTGAAAAGTTGCTGATGCACCAGCTCCAGAAGGTCTGGTGCCGCGCCCGGGCGCGGCTGATGAGGCTGGAAGCATCTTTTTATTTTGCGAAGTGTCGTCGTGGTTCTTCTAACTTCTAGTTCTAGTTGCGAAACGTTGTTCTAAAGTCCTCGCAGAAAGCACGCACATACGACAAAAATGGTGCACTCAATGAAAAATACTACTAATGGACGAGGATTACTCGGCAAGGTCCAAGGTCAAACACGAAACATTGCGGCGATAAAGACTCTCAATGACGATTCATCTTCTCAAGAGCTTCTCTACTAGGGGGCTCAATAAAAGCAGCGAATCCATTGAAAACAGAACTATCCGAGCATGATGGCGACATGGAAGGCACAACAACTGACGAAGACAAGGTAGACAAGAACACAGCGAGCTTGTATTGAGTCAGCATTGATGTGGGGGAAAAAGTGCTGCGCGTCCTGCTCACACACATGGCACCAGGCTACAACTTCTCAATTTGTTTCAATATCAAGCAGAAAACATCTATCGTCCAATGAAAGAACTATACGCGAATCAATTCATCACTTCAAGAAACATATTACACATCGCAGAAACTACCTGATAATAGTTCTTTGTTTTTCTCCCCATAATCATCGCAGTAAGCGTAAGCCGCTCCCGCTTGCTACTGCTTGCTGTCGCTCATACGACATTGGTTCTAGATCACCATTATCTACAAGCTGCAGCCACTGCTCCTCTTCAACTGCAGCTACAACGGGTCGTCCTTTTTACTTTCTTCTTTGTGTACAGTTGTCAATCCGGTTTGCCATGCATAGATATAGGCACTTGCATTTTTTCGATTTTACATTCGACTCGGACAGTTAAGTCGTCACTCATCCACCACCACGTGAGAGTGGTCAGAGGCAGAGCCAGAAGCTGACGTTGTTTGCTAAAATTACCAGAAACATGGTTCAGTTTCAGATGTGATTGCTCAGATAAAAATGTTGTTTGCTGTCAGAAAGAAAACCGTACTTGTCATACCTACACGATGGTTACGTGCTTGAAAGTTTCAGAATCAGTCAGAAGTGCTGGCAACACTTAATATCTGCCTGAAAGCTTCTTGCAGAAGTTTTTCGATGTTGCTGAGAATTGCGGTGAAGGTGCCCGCCTGAGAAGCTCTTTTCATAATTACGTTGTTAGCGATTGCGAAACGAAGCTAAAGTTTGATGGAAAGCAGAAACATTAATATAGACGCATTGAATGTAGTACTAGTTGTGACGCAGAACGAAGATGAAGTTTAACGCGAGGGCACTATGAAGACCTAGAAGTGCAGAAAATTGTACAGGTTTGGCACTTGATGTTGCTATTGGTTTTGTAGTACCGGTTTTATCATTTTACATTTGTGATGACATTCGTCGATGGCTTCGCGCCTGTAAATCGCTACTAGATTTTATTAAACGTAGGTCTACTCGTCTCCCGAGACAAACATTGATTAAAACGCTTGACTTTTTGTTTTTACGTATCACGCATGACATCTTCGTTCGTCTGTGCTTACTATTTGCTTCTGGTCGCGAGACCCGTACTTTTTCAAAAAATTCAAAACTTCACACACGAGGAAACTACGAAATCAATGCATCATGAAGATCGTACTATTTTGATTTTCATCAGAATAGTCTCCTCATGGTCTCGATCATCTGTTCCTCCTCTTCTAGTTCAACTGTTTCCAGATTAATTTCGTGTCTGACTCGAACGAGTGGCTGGCTATCGCGTTCGTCAGCTGCTGCAACCGGGCCTGGCTCAAGTAGAGCGGTTTTCCCCGGCTCAAGTACCGATCTTCCTCGCCGTACGCATCCAAATAAATCGCCCCCCACACGCACATCCGGTCGTCCTTTTGGACGTGGACCAGACCGGAAAGGAGGTTGATCAGCACCGACAATCCCAGCCCCGTTTTTCCCGCGTGCTTCGTGAAGCTGTTGGGGCAGTTCACCGACCCGCCGGCCGCTTGCACCACGCCGTACTGCTCCATGAACGTGTTCGCGGAGCATAAATGCTTTCCGGTCAACATATGCAGTGCAAAAGTATCGCACTCGTAGTATCTATTGCAATACAAATTTGCTCAGCGTGACAAATGGAATTTCTCGTGCTGATTTAGCTTGAAAAAGAAATTTGGCTTGCATGACCGCGATTAGTACGAGTACGATACTTTTGCACAGGATACAACAAGCACAAGAACGATATTTTCGGCTGGTTCACGTTACTCGAGTTTGGCGGGAAGCACAGCGGGCATTGCTTGTGAATGTAGGTTATCAACTGTAAAAATGTCTGGGTCTGGAAGAATTCACGTTTGTCATGCTTGTGTGGCATGACTCTTGAATCTGTCATGCACGTTACCCACGAGCTCCGTTTTTCTGTGATGCAGAAGCGCAGTTGGTCATGCGGAATAGGCAACACCTAGGAGCTCAGAAACTTGTCATGATGAGCCAGCATCTGTAGGCTCATCATGAGACGCCACCCAGCATCACAAGTTTCCAGACCCAGACATTTTTACTTTTGATATAGGTGGTGTAGAGGGTCTGGTACAGGTAGGGAAGTTTGATCAGCACCCCGAGGTTGTGATTGTAGTTACACGTCGTCGGCACAATCTGCGACGGCCCGCCGGCGACGCTGGAAGTGCGGCCAATCGTAGCTGACTGCAAAGCTGCTGCACTACTAGTTCCGCCATTGACATTGTTAGCACTCGCACACGAACTACTCGCCGCCATCGCGCCGATAGAATTGTGCATCATGTTGTCGCTCTCGGACCACTGCCTGACATCCGTTTTTCCGTACCCGAGACAGTGGATTTCCAGAAAAAAACACCGGTTTTGGAGCAGAACAGAATAGGGTGTCGTCGTTTTTGTCTTGTACTGCGAAGATATTAGTGAAGCGGTCTGTAGCTGCATTTGGAAAGAAGTTGCACTACTAGAGCTGTTACTTGTGTTGTTCTTCCTGCCATGATGATCTCGGTACTCCTTCTGGTACAGCAAATTCGCGTAGTCCTGTTTGGCGCTGAGCCGGATGAATTTGCTGTTCTTCGCGAACTTGGGCCGCAAATACGGAATGTCCCGCTTGGTCACCGTGTCGAACGCCTTCTGGTTCAAAGTTGGTAAAAACTCAATCAACGCACGGGAGTGCACTTTCGTGGATGAAAACCACTTGTCCTGCGCGTTCTGCATCTTTTTCCACACATAATCGGGAATCTTGTTGTTCTCGATTTGCTTGTCGTGGAGTCGGAGCAGGTTGTCGAGCTGGATCTTCTTGTCCGAAATCATCTCCACCAGCAAACATGCGTGCTCCCAGGTTGTCAAGTTGGAAAAGTTGTTTTTCATTGTGAGAGAAGATTTCTTTTGCAGCCCTGCTTCCTCTGTGCTTCTATCTTCTCCTGTAGTTGCCGTTGTATCTCGAACTCCTAGCACGTTCTGCAACAGCAAGATTCGCCGCAGAAAGGGTAACAAAGCGACGCCGACCAGATTCTTCGTGTCTTGCTCGGTGAGTTCGAAAAATTCCGCGGACCGCCGCAATTCGTTTTTCTCCTTCCGCAGCTCCTCCCTTGCGTGCTTGTCTTCCTCGTCGAAAAGTTGGAATAGATCCTCTTCTTCCTGATCTTCGAAACTGTGCGTGATCGGGCCGAATTTGTTCAGAAAGCTCATTTCCGACGAATTCAGGATGGAGTTCAAGGAGTCGGACACAGTGGCACGAGTAGAGTCTTTATTCGTCTTGTTACAAGAACTCTCAAGAGCAGCGTCATCATGGTCTGCACCGTTATTGTCAGCAGTTGAAGCGCCGTGATTCATCTTAACGCCACTAATTTCTTCGTCCCCCGTGCAACTGTCGACCTGCATCTCGTCCCCGGTCTGCATACCAGGCCTGCTGCTACTGTTGTTCCCTATCTGTTGCATCTGTAGGTGTTGGAACGGCCCCCCGAGCACACTCCGGTTTACCCCCCCGGCGCAACTGCTGGACTCGTTCTCGGCATTGCTCGCCCCGGAGTCCTCGGTCACGCCTAAAGCGATACTGGACTCGGAAGACATAGACTTCATGATAAACGGCGCTGGCACAGGCACTCCACCAGAAGCTGCTGCTGGGTTATTTTGTAGCTGTGCTGCTGTCGCACCAGCACTTGTGGTGCCGGAAATCGTAGAACCACTAGCACTGCTGCTCGTGGCCGCACCACCACTCGCGGCTCCGTGGTTGACGGACATAACCGGTGGTCTGGGAGTGGGTCGCTGGTTCAGCAGATCTGCGGCAACAGCGCCACCAACTGCATTCATCTTCGGATTCTCGTCGTACAGGTCTTTCATGTCGAAGATCCGTTCCCGCTGAAATTTGGGCGCGAAATAGGGGATTTTCAGAAACTCAAATTCCCGTTCCAATGTCATGAAAATCAGCTTCAGTGTGTGCACGAGCGCAATGTACACCGCCTGCGGGTGCATCTGCTGCTCGTTGTGAATGCTCGCGACGGTGATCCACTCGTGCAGGACAGACGGGTCGCAGGGAATGGCGGTGCAGATGATTTTGCGGAAGAGCAGCTCGGTTGCGGAAGGAAATTGAAGTTCAGAGTTCGGGTTTTTTGAGGAGGACGAGGCCGCGGATCCGCCGGTCAATATTGTAGTTGGTGCAACTGAAGCACTGCCTACATTATTGACGACGGGGTCCATCGGATGGTCGCGAAAGCCCGGCGCGGGGGCCGACGATGAGCTAGAAGACGCGGCGGTTGGATCGCTAATTATCATAGCTGAAGAAGCTGATGTGGTGGAAGGACCAGCTGCACCAGTAGATGAGCCGGCACTCGTTGTACCTCCTCCCATCAATGGTCTGGCCCCAGAGGCTGCTGCTGCTGCTGCTGCTGTCACACCAGCGCTGTTTCCTTGTCTGTTCCGATTTGACGGCGAAGACGAGCCACCGGCCTGAGGACCGTTCACCGCGCCAAAAACCGTGTGTTGATCCGTGGAGTTCATTTTGGAGTACGATCTCAACGTATCGGCCAAATTCCGCAAAAATTCCAGCCGTTTCGGTTCCAGCGTCGGAATCAAGGTCTGTTGCTCTTTCGGCTTGGACTGCAGCTGGTGTTGTCCCTTGGCCCGCAACCGGATTTCGTCTAACCGAATCTGGTCCGCAAGAACGGACCCGAGAATCGTGGCGGGGTGGGAAGCCAGAGACTTCATCACCATCCTATCAACTGTAAAAGTGTGTGTGTCTGGAAGAATTCATGTTTGTCATGCTTGTCTGGCATGACTCTTAAATCTGTCATGCACGTTACCCAAGAGCTCCGCTTTTCTGTGATGCAGAAGCGCAGTCTGTCATGCAGAATAGGCAACACCTAGGAGCTCAGAAACTTGTCATGCTGAGCCAGCATTTGTAGCCTCGTCATCATGAGACGCCACCCAGCATCACAAGTTTCCAGACCCAGACATTTTTACACTTGATACATCCGCATGGTCTCCGATTCGGATTTCCGCTGGTGCCCCGAGGGCTGCTGCTGCAGCAAACTACTGCCCGGAGCGCCCTGCATGACGCCCTGCATGATCTGCAGTTGCGGCGGGGTTTGATGTGGGGGGGCGCCGAGGCCCATGGTGGTCGATGGTTGTATAATGTATTGTGATGGAGCCGATGCTCCTGCTGTTGTAGGCTGTGCAACATTGATAAACGCTGCCCTAGCAGCTGTACTTCCGTTCGACGAAGACGATGCGGGCATGAAAGACGAGCCTTGTTGTCCTAAACCCCCTACAACAGCTGGCGGGTTCATCATCGCGCTTGACGATCCACCGGCCGGGGTCACAAGCGGCGTCTCGAGCGACGAAATACTCGCTCCGGATACAGACGTCGGCAGCATCGGCGGGAGTTGCGCCCCTTCTGGAGGTGCGCGGGATAGTAGAGCCGATGCCGTAGTAGTTGCTCCACCAGGCGGTACGACCACCCCAACCACAGAATCGACCGCAGACGTAAAACTTGCGTTGCTCTGCACCTCCGCCGCCGACTCAAATGCGGACCCGTTTTCTGAGGGCGGGCCGGACGAGAGATTCATCTGGAATGATGTCGTTGCTCCACCAGCTGGTGCACCTTCCAGAAACACAGCAGGCGGATTTGCATTTGCTGCTCCAGCACCACCAAGCGGAGTAGTATCGTGCCCAGCATTTATTGCAGCAGTGCCCCTTCCGGCAGTAGAGGAGGATAAGCTAGAGCTTCCTCCTGCCGCACTGCCAGGCACGGCAGTCGAGGAACTGGCTGAAGACGATGCGGCAGCTACAGCAGCAACACCATCCGACATCGCGTGATCGGCACTGTCTGTCCTGACCCGTTTCGGCTGCTTTACGCACGGACCGCCCGTGATCAGAGGGGGTCTGGAAATGCCTCAGGAATGCTCCAGGAATCTGCTCAGAAATGTCCCGACTTTGCATATATCGCCGCGCATCGGAGTCATCGCCGTGGTCGCTTTTATACGTCGCACATCACTGATGCGCGACACGATGGGCACGCCATAGCAACGGAATGACGGGCCACGGGAATTGTCTGCGCCGTCCTGGACGACCTACATTGGGTTGGCGGACCGCCGGCCGGCGCGAAGATTGGGCGCGGGCAATAGATATAGACCCAAAACCACAGACCCGGCGAACCCCCGGGGCGCGCGCCCTACGCCACCACGCTGCAAAACTGAAGCGCATGCCGCTCGCGTCACACGCGTGACACGATGGCGCCACGGTTCGGAAAAACGGGGAGCGCCCCTCGGAGGGTGTTGTGCGCTGGTTAGGACAAAGGTGGTCGCCCAGCGCGCAAAGCTGGTGGCCGGCTGGCAATCCGTGCGACGGCTGGTGGCCGGCTGACAGGGCGCGCATGCGAGCGCGCGGCCCACACAGTGCGGCCCGCCCGTCCGAGCACGCGCCGCGGCCTGCGTCTGTTGCGCGGGCCGTGTTTCCTAGTTTCTTTCTGCGAAAATACAAACCAGCGCGCCGGCGCACCTTTGCTTGTGCGCTTGTAAGAAACACGCCAAGCAGGTTTCCTTGGGGAAAACCGAGAGGGGCCCTGGCTTCTTCCCCCCAATACGATTTTCCTGAAGAAAGAAAAACCGGGCCCAACCCTCCCAAGATCCCCCAATCGGCGGCCTTGCCCTGGGTGCCCAGCTAGGTAGCGCGCCGGGCCAGCGGCCTGCCCCTGCAAAGGCACACACCGGGCCGCCTACCATCAACGCAGTGCGGTAGGTGTCGCCGGCCAAGGTCGCACGCGACAGCTGCGGCACGCGAAGCTTCTACAAACATCCTGAGCCCGGCGGCCGGGCCGGCCGGGCTTCCACAGCCCTACTCTTTACCCGCAAAAACCTGCACAATCTTGCGCCGGACCCTCCGCCCGCCACAGTTCTTCGCCCCTTTGTTCGCTGCGTGCTCACTGGCCGCGCCCAAATCCCGAAGAACTGCCCGAAGCGCCGGCCGCCCATTCCGGCCCCCCTCCGTCGGACCGGCCGACAGTATTCACGTGCCCAGTCTTAGCAATCGGCCTGGGCGTGCTCTGCAGGACATCCACCCGAGACATCAAAAGCGCGAGGAGCGCTCTGGGCCTGCTCTGTAGATCACTCCGCAACTGCTCTGGAGATGCCGCGGCCTTGCAACATAACACCGGAAAAGACGGCAAGACTGCCGCGCCGCGGATCTTCTTCGCAGTTTCGCGGAAATTTTGACCCTTTGCAGCCTTCACGCAAAGGCATCTTTTTCACAGGGGCGGACTCGTTCGCCACGGCGCAACGGCCCGCGCCCGAGATCGATCGAATCAATCTCGGACGGATTTGCCATCGGTTCCCTCACTCTCGGGTCGCTGTGGCGATCGTTATGAACTTGATCCGCGCGGCAATTCTTGCCGAATATATAAGACGAATGAGGGGCATCCTGAAAAGCAAAAAAAAAACCAGCAAGGGCACTGCGAAACCCGCGAAAAAGCAACACCAGAAAAAGCCGAAACGCGGAAAATCGTGGCGCCATTTCAGCTATTGGGGAAAAAATGTCGCGGCTGTTGCATTTTTCTCCTTCAGGAAAAAACCTGAAAGCGTTTGCATTTTTTTCCTTCAGGGAAAAACCTAAAAAAGTTCGCGCGATTTTCTATAACAAAAAAACCAAAAAAGCTGCGCGCGATTTTCTACTACAAAAAAACCAAAAAAGTTGCGCGCGATTTTCTATTACAAAAAAACCCAAAAAGGTGCGCGCGATTTTCTAAAGGCCAGAAATGTGAAAAATCGCCGGCCTGATCGGCCTCATACCATCGGGGAAAGGCAGGAAAAATGGCCCGTCTTCGGTTTTGGTTTTTTTCGAGGGGGGATTCCCGCGCAACTTTTTTGGGTTTTTTTGTAAAAGAAAATCGCGCGCACCTTTTTTGGTTTTTTTGTAGTAGAAAATCGCGCGCAGCTTTTTTGGTTTTTTTGTTATAGAAAATCGCGCGAACTTTTTTAGGTTTTTCCCTGAAGGAAAAAAATGCAAACGCTCTCAGGTTTTTTCCCCAAAGAAAAAAATGCGAAGGCCTCGGCATTTTTCCTCCCTTTACAGAAATGCGGCACCCGGCAGCGCGTGTGGCTTCGCTTTGGCCTTTTTTTTTGCCTACTTTCTTGGCCCGGTCCTTTCAATTTTTTTCGCTTCATTCGCGGTCTTTTTACTACCGTAGCCCGATTCAGATTCACCATGATTCTGATTCTCATTCGCGACGTTTCTGATTCTGATTCACAACATGTGGCCTCCACAAGCCAAATAGCTTACAACGTGTGGCCTCCACAAGCCAAATAGAGTTTTGTTCTACGCAATATCCACAAAGGGCCAGCTGTAATCGGGGCGCTGAAGCTCCTCAGCGCTCATCATCGTCGGACTCTGGGTCTTGGGGCCGCGCTCGCGAACTCCGGCGGCTGCTGCTTCATCCGGCTGCTGGCCGCCGCTCTCGTTGGTGAAGGAGTGCCTAAGTCGTGCCGAGGGAGAGGAGCGGCGCCACACATGGCGCCAGTGGCTGCGCCAGTGAGTTCAGCAGCCCCATTAACTTCATACGTTTCGGCTTTGCCTAGAAGCCGCTGCAACGCCTTCGCCGGCACTTGCATCCAAGCAAAGCCAACACGGCCCGCGCGGGGGCGCCTGCCTGGCTGTCGGCCGGCGGCCGGTCCGGCTGGCAGAAGCCAGGAAGGGCTCGCGGGCTGAGGCAGGCCTTCGCCCCAGGTCCAAGACTGCCTTGGATGCCAATCATAGACACACACACGCGGCAGTCCCCTGGGCTTTGGCGGTAGAAGTGAAGGGAAACTGACTGAAGCAATTCTGCTTGCCACCAAACCACCCAAGACCAGCAAGAGACGAGAAAGAACGTAGCCGGGTCCGCCCGTGTCACGCGCGTGACACGGTGGCCCTGTGATCTAGAGAAGCAGGGCAGCATCCCCCTCGCGCCAAGGGGCGCGCCTGCGCGTGCGAAAGCAATGCGCCACGACAATGGGCTGACGAGGCGCCCGGCTGTGGCCAAGCGGCGCCGGCAGGCGGCCAACCAATCAATGGGAGGCCGGCAGTTGGTTGCTTGCCCTCCCGGGTGAGGCCGGCCGTGCCTGCCGCCCACAAGGGAGGAGGGCCAGAATAGCAGTCCGCCGCGCAGAAAGCAAGGCCGGGCCCGTGCCTGGCTGCCACAGAAACAAAGAAAGGAACAGCGGCAAGGCCAGCACACTGCCTTCTTACAGAGGCAGCCCCGCTGAAGGTCCCAACCTGTCAGAGCAGGCACTGATCCGCCGGGGCGGCGGAAATGCAGGGGCAGACGGGGCGCCTGCAATGCTTCGAACCGGGCTGCGGACAAGACGCCGGCGCGCCTGCGACAAAACGAAAGCGGGCACAGATAGGCCCGACACAAGTGTGGCGCTGCGGCACTTCGCGTCCATATGTGCAAGGGGAGGCCGGCAAAGGGATAAGGGGCAAACGGGCGGCGCCCGAACGTCAACGCCAGCCGCGGCCCGCATTGCGCGCCACAAAACTGCGCCAAATACGGCAGCGGGCGCCGCGTCTCGAGGAAGCTGCTTTGCGATGGCCCGGCTCGACGCCTTGTGTGCCCCTCTTCCCTGCAACCACAATGAGGGGCGCCGGCGTTGTGGGAATTGCCTCCGCCTTACATTCCCGAGGCCATTTCTGAGACATTTTTAAAGATGGCGGGATCACGGGCGTGGCAGTGCATAACTGCTGCTCGCCCGAACTGCTTGACACACTAGCCGTGCCCGTCTGCTGTTGGTCGGAAGTCGTATTATACCCCGCCATTCGCTGCTGCTCTGCAACTACTGCTGGTGGCACTTGGAAACTAAGATCGTCCGCATCTTCATAACTGCTGGAAGAAGCAGCAGCTGCGGTATTTGATGATGATGCTGCGCCGCCGGACGAGACAAAGACTCGCGGCGCGACGGGGATCGGAGCTTGCTGGTCCTGCTGTCCTGTCGAGGAGGAGGACGCGCCGTTTGTGCCTGCTGCTGTCAGAATTCCTGATGGAGCGGATGAGCTGGATGCCGAGGCAGTAGAGCCAGTGGCCGCATTGATGGATGCTGTTGTACTGCTAAATACAACTCCTCCCGTACTACTACTTGATGCCCCACTACTTCTAGTTCCCGTCTGTATCATGTTATTCAGCGCCTGCGCACTCGCGGTCGCAGAGGCCAAAATTTGTTGCAGCGACTGTGGCCCGGTTTGCTGCTGTTGCTGGTCCACCCCAGGAGCAGCATTCAAACTGGTCCCTGCCGCACTTCCTGTTCCTCGATTATCAGTTGCGGCGTTGTTCGTAGTTATAGTGACTTGGAGTTGCCGCGTGTTGATTGAGTTCACGTTCTGCTGCAGAGCCTGTACCTGCGTGAGGAATTGCGCGTACAAATTTAAGATCTCCACGGTATTCGCCGGATCGTTCCCGTGCTGCGCCACTGCCTGCTGCAAGCGGCGCTGGATGTCCTGCGCGGCAGTCAGGAAAGTGGCGTTGTTCTCCGCAGTGATGCGCAGCCGCTGCTCCCGAGAGAGTTCCACCACTGCAGCTCCCGCCGTCGTGTTTGCAGCCCTGGTTGTGGTCGTGTCAGCGCGTTGATGTTCTACTTGCGTATTTGTTGTTGTATCCTGTGCAACTATTTCATCCACATTATTCCCTGTTGCGTCGTTTATATTTGCAGCCTCGTAGGCATTGGTCACTTGCGTGAAGAGGTTGGTCAACTGCACGGGATTGATCGTCATTCCACCTCCAGTAGTGGTCGTTCCCGTTGTTCCCGCTGCCGTTGTCGCTACACCGCCACCAGTAGTCGCTGTCGTTCCTACCGGTACTACAGCAGGCGCAGTGGCGTTATTCTGCTGCTGCTGCAGGAGAAATCGGTTGAATAGGCCGGTTGCCACCCCGGCCACGTTCGCGGCAGCTGTCCCTCCCGTATCAGCTGCAAAAGTGTCTGGGTCGGGAAGAATGCAAGATTTGTCATGCATATTTTTCATGACCCATGATGCCTGTAGTGCATGACCTAGCATCACAGACTTTTTCTTTTAGAGGGCTTCCGGATGCGCCTTCCGCATGAGAAATGCCCTGTCCGTGTAGCACAATCTGGACCCCTGCTCTTGCTGGTCATGCAACACAAATTTTTTTAGACTCCAAAAACAGCATGACAAGTTGCAAGCTTCCAGACCCAGACATATTTGCATTTGATATCCCGGAACGGTCGGCAACAGCCCGTTCAGCATCCGTCTCCGTTCTGCTACAGACATGTTTTGCGTCAACAGGTTGGCGTTGCTGTTACCGCTGTAGTCCCCTTTCGAGGGCGGGATCAAGCAGTACTGTGCGCGGATGTTTTGTCTCTCGTTCTGTACCCAGTCGAGAAAAGAGTAGAATGGACTGGTGCTCGCGGCACGGCATTTGAGCGACCAGGAAACGTTCCTGCTCGCCATCATGGCTAAAGCCAGTTGCTGGTACCCGACGGAGGATTTGAAAAATTGGTCCCAGTTTTCGAGGTGCTGCAGCTCCGCGAAAGGGGTGGAGGCGGTATTTTTCCTGGTCGCAACTACTATTTGTGTACCAGTCGGATCCACATTTGAAGCTGCTCCACCAGCTGCACGAGTTCCTGCCAAAGCGATTTGCGCTTCATTTTCGCTCAAAGAACTGGAGTTGATATTTGCTCCTACTTTTGAAGATGATGATGGTACTTCGCCGCTGTCCCCGATGCTTTTTCGCACTCGACCTCCAGAATTCAGTTGGCTATTCGGATCCATTAGATCGTGCATTATTTCGAGTGCGTCTGTGGGTTTGTTTGATACAACCTGTAGCTGCTGCTGCTGTTGTTGCTGGTCAATTCTTTGTTCGTTATTTTCATTGTCCACAACGCCCATACTTGCGTCCCCGTCGGCGTCTTGATCGGACGAAACCGCACCACCATTGTTGACCTCCTCGATCTTTTTTAAAGTTTGGGGTAACGCAAACTCGCACGGGATGAAGATGTGCACCGGATGGTTGCAATACGGGCAATGGTTGTCCCGGCTGCCGTGCATGGTGCCGTGCCGCAACCGACGCCAGCAATCAAAGTGGATCTTGTGACTGCAGGACCACATGTACAATCCCGCGGCTGTTGGATCGGGTTGGAGCTGCTCGATCAGCTCCAGCGCTTTCGAGTTATTTGCGTTCAATAACTTCCTCTTCAAGTTCGGGTCCTCCAAGCCCTGCTCATACGCGCTTGACTCCTCAGAACTAGAATTGCTGTCCACCGGGGAATATCAACTGCAAAAGTGTCTGGGTCTGGAAAGTTGTGACGCAAGGAAGGGAAAAATAGTGAGCACACTGTAATCAATGCGCTGCCCAGCATGACAAGTTTTTCCTCGGTTCAGAGTTGCGCACTCCGCATGAGAAACTGCGTTTTTGCATGACAGGTAAGAGGAGCTCTTTGCGGGCACGCAATACAGAGTTGAGAGTCATGCCAGACTAGCATGACAAATCTTGTCCAGACCCAGACATATTTGGGTTTGATAGAGAATTCGCGTGCAAATTATTCTCCGCGTAGTTACTGTCTTTCTCCGGAGAAGACGCCGCGCTCCCCGGCTGTGGGAACAGCTGGCCGGTTGGTGCCGCGGGGACGGAATTCCACCTGGACAGCTGATTGTTGCTCATCGGGGCCGCGGATGAAAATTGATTTGCTCCTCCTGTGCTGCCGGCGGTCGTTTTCTCCTTGGAGGAGGAGGAAGACGAGGAACCACTCACGTTTTGCAATTGGAATAAAGAACCCTGTTGTTGCGCGGCTTGATTCTGCGGTATCGTCGTTGCGTTCGATGTTGTAGTTCCGCCCATCGTCACATCGCCGTCAAGATTCTTGCTAGTACTGCTCGATGAGGAGGCTACTTGCTGACCGACGAACAGCCCCCTACTAGTTGTACTTGACACACCACCTGCTCCACTGTTAAACATTGCAGCACTCTGCGGGTCCACCGGGCAGGATTTCTGCGGCGACAGCCGCTTTCTCTTCCTGACTTGACTGTTCGATGAATTATTGTTCATTCCGGTTTTCGTCGGACTGTTTTGGGACTCAGAAACCGCTAGTTTCTTTAACCTGGGTACGTTCGAGACACAGGTTTTTTGCAAGTGCGCCATCCGCCCCAACGGGTTTTGCCCCGTTTTCTCCCCGGGTTGCTGGCAAAAGCAGATCACGCACTCTGCTTCCTGAACGTCAGGCTCCCCGATTTCCTGGCAAATCAGGTCCACTTTGGAAGTAGAAATAGCTTTCTTACTGGAGCCCGGCTCTTGGTCTTGTTGTAAGAGCTGCAGCTCTCTTTGCGCAGAAGACATCACCGCCGCGGGGGCGCCATTATTTGATGCAACAGCACTTGTTCCAGTGTTGTTCAGCGTTGGTGTGGCGTTCTGGGAGTTGTTGACAGACGCGGCTTTCTTGACCGGTGAGCTGTTCTTCGCCGCATCTTCGAGAAACGTTTTCTGTTTCTTGTTGAATTTTTTCAGCATCGCCGCCTGTTTCCTCTTCCTCTCTTCCTTTTTCTTCTCCGCCTCGGTTTTTTCCTCGACCACCGGCTCCTCCTGTGTCGCCTGTGGCATCGGGGCGTCCTCGTTGTGTTGTTGGAAGGCGGTGTATGAAGAACTGGACGTCGCAGGAGCTGCACCGCCTTGTTGGAACAATGCACCACCTGGTGCTGCGACACCAGCTGACAAGCTAGTACAACTGCCGCCTGCTCCCGCCTCTGCTTGGTCCAGCTGCGCCAAAAACCCGATGGAATTCGTGGACGAAAGCGCCATACTGCCAAAATTCACAGAAGCGGTTGTGCTTTCTGTCGCGCCCGAACGCATGGCCTGCATCGGGAGGGGCTTGTTGTCAGCGCTGTTGTTTTCGAGAACGACGCTGGTACTAGTACCAGAGGATTGTTTCATCGCAGCACAACTCGGAGCAGGTTGTTCCTTGCCAACCCCGTACAGTTGCAAAAGGTTCAGGTTTTGGTTCACCACATGCACGTGCTGTTTGCAACTGGGCTCTTTCAAAATCGCCTCGAAGCACTGCAGCAGGGAAAATTGCACGACGGAAGAAGATTGGTCTAGTTGTTTCAGTGCGACGGCCGTAGAAGAAGCTCCTTGCTGGTCGACATTCATCGCTTCTGGTTCCATTGCTTGTTCTAGCTCTCCACCTAGCTCCTGATGGTCATTATTTTCTGGAGAGATTCTGGTCAAGTTCACGGACCTGCCGTTCAAGATTCGCGAGGAGGAGGATGTTGCGCCAGAACTTGCTCCTCCTGCAAGAGCATTCGTCGTTGCATTCAAAACATTTTTTCCCTCTGAAGTTGCTGATGTTGCTGCACCAGGAGCATTTGTAGTTCCGCTGTTAGTGTTACCATTGTTCGTCAGACTCGGTCTGCGACTGTTGTTGGGACTCGAATTCGAGCTGCTGTTTGTGCTGGAATTTGTGCCGATGTTCAGGCTGCTTTGGTGCACCACCGCGGCGGAAGACAAGGGGTTGTTGTCCAACGTTAACGGCGCCAGCTGCGGCTTCAGCCCGTGGTACCCCAGCAGCCCGAAGCTCTGCCGTCTCGCGGTCTGCCGTCGGGACGGGGAGGAGGGGGAGAGAGACTGGGCGGGGGGCTGCTGTTGCTGTTGATCCCCTGTTCCATTACTATTCCCTGTGTTTCTGCTTGACTGCGAGGTTCCCGGGCGGGAGAGCAAACTATCACCACTCTGCTCGTGGATCCGCATCATCTGCCGTGCCAGGCAGTTACTGGACACCTCGCAGCAATCCACCTCCACTACCACATCCTTCGCTACGTCAACCATCGACAACCGGGGGTCGACCTTGTCTGCAAGCTCCTTTGCGAGCGCAAACACATTGCCCGCCTGAACGACTGACACCTGGATGATGATTTTGTTGCCGTTGTTCCCAGTTGTACTAGAAGACGTCGAGCTGTTCCGCACATTATCCTCTAGCATTTTCTCCTTCTGCTCCTCAAAGTTCACCAAGACCAACAGCCGCTGCAGCAGCAGCAACGTCAGCTGCAGCCCCCGGTGGTTCACCATTTCCAGCGGGAGAAACGCGGTTTGGAGTAACGAAACAATCGGCACAGAAATAAAAGCCGGTTCTCGCGCGATTAGTTGCAGCCCCTTCCGGTAGCAGGGAACGACGAAGGACTCGATGTCCTTCCAGTGCCGATTAGGGACAAAGCTGTTGCTCAGTTTTGCGCCAAGTTTCTCCATATCAAATGTAAAAGTGTCTGGGTCTGGGAGATTGCGAGATTTGTCATGCTAGTGTGGCATGACACGAGAATCTGTGTTGCATAGGTACGAAAAAGCCCTCTTACCTGTCATGCAAAAGCGCAGTTTGCCATGCGAAATACGTAAGACATGGCAGCCAAAAAATTTGCCATGCATAGCTGCGTACTGCAGTGCGTCTATCATTCATTTTTAGCATTACAAGTTTCCAGACCCAGACATATTTGCAATGCATACTCCAGTTTTCGTTCCTCCACGTCGTGCTGTTCCTTCCACGAGTAAAGGAGAAACAGCGGGTCGACATACCGCCACAAAGCTTTATGGATGTGTCAGAGTTGAAATCGACAAAGTTGAAATAATTTGTCATGCATAAGATGGATGCCAGTTGGAACCCAGTCTCTAAGTGGCGCATGACAAATTTCGGTGGGCCCTAAATCCAGTTTGTCATGCCGCTTAGGCAAAGAAGAGTGATTTTCTCATGCTACTTTAGCAGCTCGAGCTGTAACCCCTAACAGGCTTACAATCGGCCTCACTTGCCTGCTCTGCAACGCACATACCTCGGGCCATGCATTTTATGCATGACAAATTATTTCAACTTTGTCGATTTCAACTCTGACACTCCCATAAGCTTGCTTCAGAATGTACTTCCCCGGAGTGCGGTGACCCGACTGGGTGGCGCTGTGAGATTTTGATCATGCGTGTTCTTCTTTTTTACAACACAGCATCTACTTCTTCTGCGCCTTTGTTTCATCAAGCTGATGTTTAGCTTTAGGGATGAAACACAAACAATCACTTATCTTAATTTGCAAGCAGTGCCAAACCATCAAACTAGAAATACGCGTCCGGTTCCTGGAAGTCCGCAATGTCGGACAAAATCCCATCCAGAAAGTCGCTGTTGTCGTGCGACTTCATGTATCAAATGTAAAAATGTCTGGGTCTGGACGAGGCATGCTGTTTTTGCATGACGCAGGAGGTCTGGCATGGAAGCTCTAGCGTCACAGGTTTCGAGAAGCTTCCACAATGCCGAATCCGCATGACAAATCACCCATCTTGGTGACAGAAAGTGGGCAGCTTTCGGTACCTATGCATGAGAGATTTTTCTGTGTGCTGCAATGCGCATCACAAGTTTGTCTTCTTCCAGACCAAGACATTTTTGCATTTGATATCATGATCGTGTCCGTCAGCTCGCTGTGCGTGCAGGGTCCCTTCGCGAGTACGTGGATGCAGTGATACTCCGTGATCCGCTCCACGTCGTTTGCCCGGAAGGTGTAGGGTTCGATCGCCAGACACTGACACAACGTCAACAGCATGGTTTCGACACTGTGTCCGACCAGTCGCGGCCCCGCTTTATGCATTGCAAAAGTATCGTACTAGTATAAACCGCAATACAAATTTCCTTAGCGTATAGAAATGGAATTTGTAAATGCGGATTTGCCTTAAGAAGAAGATTTGTAGTGCATGACTGCGATTACTACGAGTGCGATACTTTTGCACAGGATACGCTTCGAACCGCTGCAACACGGTCGCGACGAACGCGGACAAGTGGTTCGTTTCTCATCCAAGAAAAAAACGGTGTTAGTGTAAATTTGTGATGCGCAACATGCAAGATGATTGCGTCTGTCATGCTTGGCATGCATCGTAGAGCCCATTCAGCGGCGTTTTCCCGTACTATCTGCGCATGACAGGTTTTTGCTTTCATGCGAGAGATATTTGTCATGCTAATCCTCCACGAAAGTTACACCTACAATGTTTTTTTCTTGGATATTTCTGACAAAGCGAGCATTACCAAACGGATCAGGGTTAAATCGGGGTCGACAAACAGACTGTGCCAGTAGTTTTTCTTGTAGAAGCAGGCCTCGTACGCGACGGAGTCCCCGTTCCGGAGCCAGAGGGAGGAGAACCCGTAGCACTGGGCGTGGAACACGAGGCAGCGGAGGGGGTGCTCCATAATGTGCAGCAGGTCGACGATGTTTAGTTCGTCGTTTTCGTCCGTCTGCAAAACCGTTTTGAAAAGCGACTCTGTGTTTTTGAAAAGTTGGAAACTATCCTTAAACGGGTCGAAGATGTGCGTGTTGAGCAATTCCAGGTGGTTCAGCGTTGCCGAGGAAGAACTACTACTGTTTCCAAAACCCCCGCCGAACAAATTTGTGGCGCCAAAACCACTGGTATGAATTCCACCTCCATGATAAAGTGAAGTTGTTGCCATGTCGCGCGCTTTGTCCCGTTCCAGCCTCGCCAAGTAGCTCGACACGTGCGTGCTGCCGTCGATGCTCGTGAAGTGCGTTTTCGGCTTCTTCTTTTCCGCCGGGGTCTTCTTCGGACTGTTCACAATCTGGGCGAACAGTTTGGACGCGGACTCCCTGGATTCGTTCGCAGGTGGCGGCGACATGTTGGTGTCGATAATCAACGACGTGGACTTCTTCTTCACGGGAGTCGTCACGCCAGTGTCGTTGTTATTATTTTCGTTGTCGTTCAGCATGTCCACGTCTTTGCTGCTGTTCAGCGCCGAGTTTTGGTCGTCCTCGTTGCGCCGATCTATCACCGGCGTGGAGTCCATGGGCGCTCCCGCTGGTTCGCAAAGCAACTCCGCTTCGTTCATATCGCCGGCCGCGGAGCTCGACGAAGAACTATTATTCGCTGACGTGCCGAACATCAAGTTCCCCATCCCGGTCGCCCTATCGCCCGTCGCCCAGGCTGCTTTGCTGTCCTTCTCCTTAATCAAGGCCGTCTCATTCGGGCTAGGGTATGAAAGGACACAACTGCCACCCGTCTGCTCCTTCATTTGTTGTCATGCATAGAAGTAAGAAATCGGATTTGCATTTGGTATTTTGCATGCTTGCATGACATCAATTTTATTCCGAAGTAGCAGAAAGCGAACTACAGCACGTGTCATGTTGCGAGAGCAACATGTCTGACACTGTTCGTGCCAGCACACTGTCCGCGCCCTTCAAATGAGAGCAACGTCGAGGGGGAGTTGTGCGAAAATCTCGTACGGAGCAGACGCAATGCATTAGAGACGCGAAAATCCGGTGCATGGGGATGTGAAAGCTGACCGGCTGCTTGGACACGACGTAGTCACACCCAACCAGACCGATTTCCTCTTCCTCCGGCGTGAATTTTGCGATGCGTTCGTTCAAACTCGGGTCCGGTTTGCAGAGGGCAATGTACCAGTTTTGCTCGGCGGACCGCACCGTCGAGATCCACTCGCGCAACGCTTTGCACAGCGGGATCAAGGCCCAGTGAACCGTGTCAATAGCGCGGACCCGGTTTTCCAGCGTGACGATCATGGAAGACGACGCGGAGTGGATGTCGGACTCGAAGACCAAACTGTTGCCCCACCGCGTGTTCTCGTGCGCCACGTGGTCGGCGTCCTCCGGGATTCTCACGTGCGGGTTGGCGCACTGGATGATTTTCCAGATCTCCAACCAGCCCTGCCACAAGCAGTTCCGGAATGTCATCCGGGCAAAGAGCTCATCGACCACTTCTTGATGATCCAAAACAAACCGGAGGTCATGGGTGCACTGAAAGTAGGACCGCTTGGTAAGAATGGAGTGGTTGTTCACAAGGTATTTCACTTTCGACTTCTGGTCGCAGGCGAGAAGGAGCAAGTCCTTCGTCGTGCGGAGCAACGTGTTATGGATTGCAAATGTAGTGTCTGGGTCTGGGCGGGGAACAGTGCAAGGGCTGTTGTGCTCATGCATGTGTTGGAGACTTCGCATGACAAACTGCATCCTCGACGTCCCGGGAGACCCAGACATATTTGCATTGCATACGTGTCAAGGAGCTCCACATCCGGGTCTTCCAAAAGTTCGAGAGTGATGGCTCGAATGGAAAAGAGTTGGACCTGAGATAGGTGGGTGCAAAAGTCAGAGTGTTTTCCATTTTTTCAGCTTCAGATGCACAGAATTGCATGTAGTTGACAAGACGACTCGTGCTGATGGGCATTAGTACGCTTACGCACCACTACAGCCTCTGCTGCAGAGCGGTAAGTTTTTTTTTCTTCCTCGATTCTAAAAAAATCATAAAGAATACCGTGACCCTATCCAAACTTGTCGGGTCAGCCCCAACGTGGATATTTTCTGCGTCCTCCCCGTTTTCGTCCACCAAGGAGCTCAGCACCTCGCTCCGATTCAAAATATGGGAGTGTCAGGATTGAAATCGTCAAAGTTGAAATAGTTTGCGATGCATAAAATGCAACCCACAAAGTGCCTGTCTTGCAGAGTAGGTAAGGGAGGCAGATCGTAAGCCTGTTGAGGGGTAGAAACAGAGCTGCTAAAGTAGCATGACAAAAGGCGTCTCCCTTACCCAAAGAGCATGACAAACTGGATTTCGGTTCTACCCAAATTTGTCATGCGCCACTTAGAAACTGGGTCACAACTGGCATCCATTTTATGCATTACAAGTTATTTCAACTTTGTCGATTTGTTCAAACCTGACGCTTTCATACAGTATCAAGTCCGGGTAGAGTTTGAGGAAAATCCGCGCAAACGTTCTCTTGAAGTTCGCATCGAACATGAGGTCGAGAATATCCTATGTAAAAACGAGTCTCCACCCCATCGTCAACAACATGGGGAATCGGCTAGACAAATCCACAGGGTTTGGCTCTTTTGCATGACAAGTTTGGACTCGTAGCGTATTGCTGTTTGGGGTAGTTCAGCAGCATCACGCATCCAGTATACTGTGCTGATTGGAGCATGACAAATTTCAAATTGCGAGTAGAAAATGCTTCTCATGGGGCTCCGCATGAGAAACATTCTTAGCATGCAGATTTGCATTACAACTATGGGGTGGGGATGTTTTTAAATACGATAGAGAAACAGGTTTGTCAAGTCGGTTTCCTTCGCCAAGTGGTTCGACCCGACCTGCTATCAAAAGTAAAACTGGCTGGGTCTGGAAACTTGTGATGCTGGGTGGCGTCTCATGATGAGGCTACAAGTGCTGGCTCAGCATGACAACTTTCTGAGCTCCTAGGTGTTGCCTTTTCTGCATGACAAACTGCGCTTCTGCATCACAGAAAAACGGAGCTGCTCTTGGGTAACGTGCATGACAGATTTAAGAGTCTGTCATGCCCGACAAGCATGACAAACATGAATTCTTCCAGACCCAGACATTTTTGCACTTGATACCTGCAACGCGAATTCCAGAATCGATTTTCCGTTGAACTTATCCTGTGCAAAAGTATCGTACTCGTATAAATGCATTACAAATTTTCTCAGCATGAGAAATAAAATTTGTAATGCTGATTTGCCTTGACAAAAAAATTTGTAATGCAAGACCTGCATTTATACGAGTACGATACTTTTGCACAGCATAGAACTCCTGTTTCGCAAAGGCCTCGGAGATGATGTGCCGCAGGCCGTCGTGGGCGCCCGCGAGTTTCAGGAGAAATTTGATGTGCTCGCTACATTCGGAGGGGATTTCAGTACTGGAGTGGATGTTCCCCGTGGAGTTATTGCTGCTCATGGTCCACTCCTGCAGGTGGTGACACAGCCGGCGGAGCTGAATGGGGAGGATGTTGCGGAGGGTGTTCTTGATCTTCGGGGGCAGATTCGTGCACGGGTTCCGCTTGTTCGCCTCGTACGCCATGCTGATAATCAGGAATTTGGATTTTATTCATCATTATGATCTTCAGAGGTCGTGAAGGTTTTGGAATCAATCACAATGGCGTCTGATGGTTTTTTGGTGATGAGTGGATTTTTTTGGATGCTGTTTCAATCACAGTGTGTGAGGACGACCAAGATTTTGGCGCGGCCGGTGGGCTTCTAGCTTTATCAAGAAGTAGTACTAGACCTCCTGCGGTAGCTTAGGTAGCTCTAGCAGCAGCTGTGGCGTTTTTACTTAGTCAGCGTCGCTCCTGCCGGTGGTACTCGTAATATGCTTTGAGACCACAAACAAAGTTCCAGGAGCGGAGGCCCCGTCAAATGTTGAAGACAGGCAGGCTACTTACTCAAATACTGAACCACCGACGAAAGATCGAAAGAGAAACAAGATGTTTTTACGAATACCGGTGATAGCGGCAGAACCCGCACACGTCCCAGGCATCGGCGTCTCCGCAGTCGCAGCAACCCCCGTAATCGCTTCGGTAAATGAAGTAGTCGTGCCCTTCGTGCTCGCCTGCGTTGAAGCAGGCCACGCAGATACAGCTGGAGGGGGAGATCCCGCAGGTCAGACACCTGTAGGCGACGTGGTGGCCGTTCCAGACCTCCGCGCACCGCGCGCTGATGTTCCGGGGGAGGCACTCGGAAAGCGGCTTCTCCGGGTCTGGGAACATCAATTTGTGGAACTCCTGGATGACCACCTTGTCCCCGTGCTCCTCCCATATTCGATCGGATTTGTTCTTGGTGGTAGTGCTGTCGGCGGGGTCGGATGACGTTTTATTCGCGGAAATGGGTTCTAGTTCCGGCATCCTCGTCGAGGTCAAGCAGCCAAACGACGGAAGCAGCGAACTTACTTCTTAGTGGTTGGGGTGCAACTCAAAGAAATAAGTTATACTTTTACGTAGCTTGCAGCATATTTCTTCGGCCGCACGCAGTCCGTCGAACCAAACAGGAAATTGTGAAATACGTTGGTACAATGAAAAATAGGTGGGATGAATCTTCAATATATGAAAGTTCTTTGGTACAAATGTTGACTATTTACGGATGTCTGATAGGCATACTTTTCAAAACTCTAGGTCGTGAAGCGTGAAGCAGCAAGGCATTAAATGTCGAAGTAAAAAAGAGGGAATAAAAGCGAAAGCGCATGCGGAGTTCTATGCTTTCAGAATGAAGCGAAAATGCCGAAACACGATTCAAACATATAACTTCGTGTCAAATTTTTCACAATTCAAAACCGAGGTACAGACGCAAAATCAGGTGAGGACGACTATACAAATGTCGAAATATTCAGATGAAGAGTACTTGCGATGCTTGTGCATCACAGGAGCTGCGTCCCGATTCAAATCACTACAGCGCCACTCACCGAAAAAAAGGACAACAAAAAAATCTGCTACGTCAAACGTTGTTCATGGTGACGATAACGATCACAGACATGATGATACCTGTACTGCAATTACTACCTGCTGGGCGGGTACAAAACAACAAAACTGAATTACGAACTATCGTGAGATCCATGCTGACACGGGAGGGCGAATGATTGATGTCAGAGGTTAGAATAAAACTATGGGTCGTGCTAATTCATTATCTTGTGTTTCGATGAGTTTGAGTAGTATTGAAGCCCTGGAGAGGAGGATAGATGTCCAAACGACGTGTCACGAGCGACAGACGAAAACTCCCGAAGGAATTTTGAAAAGTGTCAGTCGACGATCATATAATCGATGCTAGATGTAGACGAACAGACACCCTCAGCGATCTTATCGAAGATGCGACTTGTCATCGGACGGTTGACTCACGACTAGATATTCATTGATTCCTTTACCACGCTCACGAATGAAAGAGAGTAGAGGCCCAAAAAACATCTTATTTCCGGCAAAGCAACTGGGAGTCTTCGATTGCAAACTACATCAACTGCAGCCTCGATCTTGCTCTACAGTCTTGCAGCTTGGGCGTTGAACATCTTCATACTCACTCGACTCTTGTGATGTGCATTGCAATGCCAGAAGGAATTACCGAGTGGAGAAGAGACATACACCGCACGTTCAGAAGAAGTTAGATCTGATGTCTCCCCATCGTTTGCGTCTGCTACCTTGTTCATGTTCTGTATTTTTAGTTTTTTGATGTTGGAGCCACCCTACCCAACGACAGAAAGAGAAAACAAAAACCGTCGTGGCTGCTGCGCCACATTCCCATTTTATCTAGATACAGATACAGAAGGTCCGGAAAACTGCGCGGCCCACCATCGCGGCCACGCACCAAAATCGTGCCACTTTTCCAGAAGATGATCTTCAGGGCTTTCCGGAAGATCACTTTCCGCTTCGCCCCACGATGAACAGAATCAGAATCAATACATTCAAAACCAACATAAACGACGGCGATCATCATCGTTCTCGTCGTGCCGCTTTGACGCAAGGGTATTATTTTTTCTCGCTTTTTCAACTACAACATCCTGAACCAAAATCCGAAGATGCTACACTGCTGTCCACAAGTTGTATCAACATCGGGGGCAGCAAGTAGATCTCCGATTGTATACAGTGTGGTCCTCTTGTCGTTCGATCCCGCTTTTCGTGCTGTCTGCTGTGCTTCCCCTTCATAAACAAGGATGCGGAAACAAATTTGAATTTTTGTATTTCATTGTACAGGCGTCATTTGTTCCGTGCATTTTAATGCTGTCTTTTCGCGTACTTCGAAACGATTTAGCGAAACCGTTGGACTGCGTAAGAATTGAATATCAAAAAAAGTCAATGTGTGCTAACAAGTCTGAATTCATAGTTTTTCTGTTGAGCATCTCGCTACGTAAGAATCAAGAGTCACTGATCCGGAAGTGGAAAGAGAAGTGGGGGTTACAAAAAATCTGATTTGATAGCACGGGGTTTGATGAAGATCAGTAGTACTATCAAGGTCGCCGGCGGGTAGAAGAGGAAGCAGAAGCTGTGGAAACGGAAAGAAACGGGGTACTAGCGAAGAAGCAGAAGAGATAAACAATCTCAGCCCGCTCCAGCACTTTGTTCCAGCTGCGCCACCTTATAGCCTACTTCCTTCGCTTTGCGTCGTGCTGCCCGCCCAGGTCGCCGTTTGCCGGCAGCCCTTTGTTAAGCATCTGCAGCACGTCGGCGAAGAATGCTTGCTCGTTCTTTCGCTTCATCACGTTTGACGTGTTGGGGGAAAGGGACTCAGCGGGAAAGCCGCGACCTGAAATGAATTTTGATGGAAAAGCATTATACTAGCATATTATGCGGTGCGAAGCAGAGCTTTCGTTTACAACATCATGACTCCTTTACATGAAATGAAAGTCAGGCGGGGGCACGACTGGTGGAATCTTTACATATTATTCGCTTCGCGCCACAAGCTCTGTTGCACGAAATTTCCCCGTAATAAGATGATGCATCATCTATCTCTATCAACATCATTCGACCACAGTTTATTTTTACTATACCATTCCCTTGTGGCGCGAACAGCGATTGCATTTTAGGGGACGGAGAGTTGCTGGTGGGTTTTTTTGCGGCGGGAGATCCGGTGCTGTCAGCTGGAGCTCCGTCCTTCGCTATTATTTTTCCGGTTTTTGGGTCGATCTCCATTTCTTCGTAGTTTGCCACGTTTTCCCGCTTCGCGATCTTTTTCCGCGCCTCCTTGTTCCGCACGCTCATGTCCCACATGTTCCGCGTGTTCATTGGTTTCCTCGCGAAGGGGTTTAGTTCCTCATCCTCCTTCTCCCCGTCGAGCACGTAATCGATATCCTGTGCGTCTCGCCCCGCTGCCACGGTCAAATCCAAGTAGTCCTGTCGCGCGCGGTTTTTGTTGTTAATTTCCGCGATTTGGAACATCCGATTCCCCGACTTGCTGTTCTCGAAAGCGCGTCGCTGCTCGTCGCACTTCTTCTGCAGGATCTGCACCTGCTCCTGCATCTGAATCAGCTCCTCTGACAGCTGCGTCGTTTCCTCTACGGGTCGGTTCTGGATTTGTGTCGCCAGGGCCTTGCACGCGTCCTGTGCCTCCCGAAGTCTTGTGGCAGTGTTACCTTTATTTGATGTTCTTGATTGTGTCCGTTTATTTCTACTTGTTACACTTGTTCTTTTTCATTTCGTCTCCGGGATCAACATCTACGCAGAAGTGCATCCAGAGCAGAGAGATCCGTTTCAATAGTTTCAACACGTGAAGAACTCGAATTCTTCCACGAGCATGAAGATACGCGTTCAAGAACAACGTATGATATTCGTATCTTTACTAGAAAAGTACCTGTCGCCACGCCCGGGCCATAATATGTCATATGTTTACTAGAAAAGTTACTGAAATTTGACGCCATGCCCGGGCATGGTAAGAAAGAAAGAAAGAAAGTACCTGTCAAACTTGGGTCGATCAATTTGAGGATCTCTTCATCTGTAAAGACGAATTGGCGAGCTTCCTCCAAGTGTGCAACAACTATTTTGCACTCTTCCTCTTCTTCAAATCCCCAGGGCTCGACGTTGGCAGCATCATCTTCATCGCCTTTCGCGGCATCCCCGAGCTCGAACTTGAGAAATCTGCGAGGAAAATAAAACAAATTACTTCATTACGCAGTTTATTTTGATGTAATTATGCGGCAGCTCATGCAAAAGCAGCAACCGTGCTAGCTTGTCATGCGGGGCACCATTTTTCCTGCAAACACATTGACATTTGGTGTGATTCGAGGTTTGCAATAGAAAGTCAGTCTCAGTTTCCAACACGAATAAAATGCACACAAAAACTAATACGCGAGGTAGTTGTCCCATTCTGACTGCGCGATGCCCTGCGTGGAGATGGCTCCCAGTCGAAAGGTGGCCATCTGGCCGCCCCTTCTCGCGGTGATCAAGATCGTCGTTTTCCGCGTTTTTCCGTCGGACAGGCGGAATTCGTAGGGCTTTTGGGCGTAGGCAAATTCCACCGCCCGCGCGATCAGGCAATCGCTTTTCGTGTTCGGGTCTTTCCCCTCTTTTATGCGCTCCAGGTTGGCCTTCGTCTCGTCCGGCATGCGCACACGGATGAAAACCTTCTCGATCAAACTATCCCGCTTATCGTCGGGCAACTGCGCTATTCTCCACACAAGATCGCGGGAGGCCTGTGAAGTATAGGAGTGCTAAGTTCCAGTCGGTCCGATGACACGGTAAAAGGTTTCACTTTCATCTTATTTGCGAAAAATTGCGACCAAAGAAAGTTTTGGTTTACAACAAAGGCTCCAAAGTTCTCTATCTGCCATCTCCGCAATCAAACTGATTCTCAGGTGAACAACAAACAAATATAGTATTCTAATTCTTTTCCAGAAAAAAGAAAAACAGCTACGATTTTATGCACATCACGAGTTGAACAAGATGCTCCAAGCTTCTACGTACCGTTGATGCGACGACTTCCTGGGGCAGCTCTAGTTTTGCTTTCTTCACCACGACCTGGGCCAGACTTTGGCCCGTGAGCGCGTAGTGATTATGATTTTCGTTCCACTCCTTGTTGTCTTTGTTGAAAAGCTATGGATTGCAAAAATGTCTGGGTCGTGATGCAAAAAGTGGATGATAAATTTTTGAGCAACCCAGCATGACAAATTTTATTTGAGCTGCTATGTATTGCGTTTTCCGCACGAGAAACTCCGTTTTTGCATGACAGATAGGAGAGGCTTTTCGTGCCCATGCATCACAGATTCTCCAGTCATGTCAGATATGCATGACAAATGTAAGAATCTTGATCTTCCAGACCCAGACATATTTCCAATGCATAAAAGCGGATCGTTGTCCGCCGGCACGGCCGGAATGTCGTCAGACTCGCCCGTCCGCCCGTAAAAGTGCGAGGCCGCAAAGGTAGCGTACTTCGCGTAGTCTACATCTTCACCTGTTGCGTCGTCGTAGGCCTGTGGGTCCACTTCGATTACGTCTTCGTCCAGGAGCTTTTCCTCCAAAGGCTGTTGATCTACCACTTCCTCCTCGACTATCCTCTCTTCCACTAATATTATCCACCGAAAAAAATTTCATCTCCTCGTTCTTGTACGTGCACTTCATACTTACATCAAATCAACGCGGAGGTTTGTTTTTGTTTGTTTGTTTGTTTCTGCAAAGCCTTCTTCTTATTTCCTCAGGTCAGCGTCAGCCCGCGTATTCTTCCAGCATGAAAACAAGTTCTATGTCCACAACGACCTCTTAATTTTTTGGACAATTTCGTGATGCATTTTGTAAGTTGCACTTGTACAACGGGATGAGAAAAAATTTTGTGTTGCATATCGACCACCGTTTCTGCAGCTTTCTGCTTGGGTGAGGACGGCCTACTGGTCGTGGCTTTCTTGTTGTCCTTGTCTTTCCCGCCCGAAGGTCTGCTTTTCGGAGAAGAAGCAGCGGGCTTTTTGTTCTTCTTTGTCTTGGCCGCCTTGGTCCCTTTTGTCTTCAAAACAGGTTCGTCGTCCTGAATGATTTAGATTTTTCAACGTGTTCTTCCGGATGATTTTGTAGTTGCAGAAGTTGTTGGCGCTAGTACAAAACAACACAACTACGAACAAAAACAATGATTCAAAAATTATAATACCGAATCGTCCTGGACCTGCATAGCCATCTCGTGGCTAGAGCTTGGTAGCGAGGTCCACGCAGCCGCCATGGTATTTGTATTGCTAAAGGCTCAAGAAGACAGAACAATTACGACATATATGCAGGAGCTGCTCGTCCGCCCTCGAAAAATTAGACGGCTTCGCTACGCTTCTATACTAAATATCGCTTGATTGGTGACCGTAGCCTAAGAAGTGGGTTGATGTCTTTTTATCATTTGAAGGCAATCAATAGCTCTCGAACTATAGAGAAATTCGGTGGTACAAGAACTTGGTATATGTCATTGGTGCTTACTAATAGTTTTGCTTATGCGTTTCGCTGTGCCTGGCGTGAGTAGCAAGATGAGTACTTAATCTTTTTTGTGTTCAGTCCAAGAATCAATACGTCCGCCTCCGCAATCTGCCAAAGGCTCTTAGCTTGTTGTGGTTTTTTGGTTGTTGAGGTCTGGAGCAAATGGAAACTGAAATTTCTGCCACTACTAGCCCTCTTCCATTACCATTACCATTCCTCAACTCTACTGCTCCTGGCAGAGCCTAGTTAACCACCTCCTTCCCAAATTTTCAATTCGTATCGATGCAGCTCCTAATTGGTCGTGCTGGTGTCCTGTGATAACCTACTTGTGCCAGGGTTAGTAAGCGCGAGCGTCGGGAAAAAACCAAGAGTAATTTGTTCGGATTTCGGTGTCAGCATGCAGAACGTAGAAGTCAATATCTTGTTGTTACGTTTAGTTTAGAGAAAATGAAGCTGACTATCGAGGAATCGTGGTCGTGAAGTCGTAGGCACCCTTGCTCTGGTGCCACGAGATCGATTTTAAGAACAGAAGCTTGTATGCACGACAGCACTCTCAAATGCTTTATACTTTTCACACGCCTACTACTTTTAGTTTTATTTTATCCACTAGCTACGTCGACGTGCTAGTGCACGCGAGGATATGGAACGAACTAGTAACTCAGATAGAGAAAACCTACATTTTCGAAGCTGTCCGTGATCTCGACAATAATTATTCGGATCTTCATTTCTAGTCGTTGACAATGATGATCGATAAATTGATGTTCCGCCGAAGAGCCAGAGCTCCTCAAGAGCGAAGCTTTTGTCAAAGATTTATTAAGCGCAAAAATTTGATCCACCAATGATAGGCTCGAACGACCTCGCAAAGGCGCGGGTTGAAGCTAAGAAGCCGTCCTGTGGAGGTTGCGTTCTAGTTTAAGGACACGTCAACACAGTGACTTCTCGCCGCGTCCTCGTACTATAAAGCTGCAGGACAAGCTTCCTAATCCTACGGATCGATTCTATACGTACTATCTGCTACGAAGCAAGCGCGAAAAATGTTGAGCAGAAACGAAAAGAAATGAGGCCTTCCCTGAAATTACATACTCAGCTGGTCGACGTGCAGCTGCTCATGTTGTGTGTCGGCCAACAAGCCAAAAAAAAATGACGCGCTAAGATTACATTACATCGAGATAGGACAAAGAAGCATAGCATAGCATGGGGCTTGGCGTATCGGAACTTTAAGGGTGCAGCCGATTTTGTCATGAAGTATAAGCTCAGTGAGTTCTTCCTTTTCGACAAGCCACGTTCCCGGTTACAAGAGCTTGCCAATCTACGACGAGGACGAAGGAATGCGACCCCGAGGTATTATTTTCAACAGTACTACAGATGAAAAATCGTAGAAAAGAAAGTGCTGATGTTGATGCTGCCCTTAACGTACTCAATGATTGCGCTACGTGCTTCCGACGCCGGGCCGGCTCTGTACACGCTTGACACTGTGGAACCATAATCTCCATCCCTAAGCAAATTTTTACCGAGAATCGAAATCCTCTTGCTGCACAAGAAAATATTAGTAGCAAATTCACTAGGCTATATTGGTGTCCGACGTACGACGAGCGATCTGCTTCCTTGTGCTTCCACTACGCACGACCTCAAATAAAGCTTTGTTTCAAGACCGAACCCGGAAAATTCACAGAAGCCTGCAGGTACGAGAATGTGCGTTCTTTGTTCCTTTCGTTACGCCGAGCCAGACCGATTCCTTATTTCTTTGCTTAGAAAGTGAAAGGCAATATCAATATCTACCTTCCCACGATAGTCACAAAACAAAGCTCGGGACCAATCTTGATTGCTTTGCATTCAGTTTCAAATGAAATACATCCAATGCCATGCTGGTGGTGTAGTTCTCCACGCTTTGCCAGAAACAGGAGAATGTATTGAGTCAAAGCGAGACGAGCATTCTCGTGATATAATGTGGCAGCGGCTTACGTTCATCTTAGAAAAACTCTCATCTCGTCCGTTAGTCCTCATCTACTTTTACTTTTTACTTTAACACGTAATTTCATGTGACAAATAAGCCAGCAACATACTGCACTGACTAGTAGTGGGCACTTACCCACATTTACCTGGCAAACTTTCTTCGTCAAAAAAAATAAAAAAACAATACAACAATGGAGGAATAATACGTTTCCAAGCAACCGATGTCGTCCACGTTCTTGAGTATTTTTCGTCGGCGTGGCCACATACTGCATATCAAATCAGTCTGATACTAGAAAAAGTGCGACGAGAATCCAATCAGTTTCAGTGGCGAGGAGGTTGGATTGAAATTTTTTAATGATGCGAATTTCTTCACCGAGTCAATGACCACGCACACGCATGGCACTTCTCTGCAAGGACATTATTTCGCAGGACAGGGCCAGAGATTTTTACAAGCCAAAGAAAAAAAATTCAGTGGTCGGGACGCATGATCGCAAAAACAGCAGCATGAAAGAGTAACGAACATCAAAACGCGGCAGCGCTACGCCTATGCACCCTCCCCGGTCATTTTCACTTGTCCGGATGCAGCTCCACCTTTTCCGGTTTTTTGTTTTTCCAGTTTTTTCTCTCAAACAAAACTTAAATTAAAGTCGCGATAGGTCGTCGAGTGAAATTCAGATTGTTGTAAATATAAACAAAAAACAAGAAAATACAGTTCTGCTTCAGACTTTCAAACAGTAAGATGCTAATGTACAAAATTTTTACGAATAGAAATAAGTGTGTGATGTTCCAACTCCTACAAACGCGGTACAGATGAAGAAGGATGGTGCTCGTAGAGAAGATAGTAAAGTTCATAGAAAAGAAATACAAATAGGTAAAGCTGAAGCAAAATTTCCGTTGCAAATCACAAAAGGACCACAGCGGTATTCTTATTCACGGCTCCGCAACAGATTCATCCACGAAAAATTCCGTGAGGCTACGACTGGGAGTCTGTGACAGTGTCTTCAATGTCTAGCTCGTCTACACTTCCTGCTTTTCAATTTGAGCGTCCTCACATGAGAGTGCTGTTACTAGGGATAGCAAAATATTTCCCAGTAAGATGAAATAGTACACGAGACGCTCACGTTCGTGCTGGAAAAAACAAGACTAGGCGTAGAAGCAGCAAGTAGAGGACATCCTCCTTACAGGTTCAGGTACTGTCGTGGTGCGGTTCCGCTTCTGTTGCATAAAAATTGAATAAAGTAGCAGTGGCCCTTTGTGGTGCTCCGTTTGACAACAATCGCAAATAAAATTTGCAACTCTTCATCCGCACATGAATAGTGACAAAAACTACGGAATGTTACATGATCGTTTCTTCGCGTAGTAAAATAAAATCTACTTATTTTTCATGCAATGCGAGCTGGTTCTTCTTCTCTCGGTTCATCTTCTTGGCTCCCAAATTCTAAGAAGTTTCTTCTTCTGCTCCGAAAATCGCCGCTCGGCGCTCTCGCATGCATGAAAAAAAAGTAGAACCATACCGTCTTTAAGTGGCAGCTCTGGCTCCTCGTTGATGATGCAATAGTAAAAGTAATGGTTTTGGTAATGCGAATGCTGGGTGTAATGAGTGCTGGTTGTCTCGAATTATACAATAAATTTGAATATCCAGGCGGGTTCGGTGCCGCGGATCTTAAGCAGATGCAGAAGGAAAAAGAAAAACTACATTCCATAGGAGATTCATCTCGCGGTCTTTGTTTGCTTACTTACAATCTTTGGCAGCAGGCAGCAGCTGTACCTAGTACGACAGATAAGCACAACAAATAGATCCGTGAGAATGTACTAGTACCTCTTCATTCTCCTTTGCTCCATCCTCGCGATCCAAAACAACAGGTTAGTATAATTTAAAAATCTTCTCCTCGGCTAGTGAATGTGGAGTTGGATACATTTTCGACTTACGTACGACAAGACCAGGCTTCGTTGAAAATGATTTGTGCAGGAAGTCGATGTCGAAGCTAGCGGTAAATTGAAATTGTAGAGCACCTCCTGCTCAAGGGCGTAGATGATGCACGGCAATAAACGACGCACAACACAATGCCTTTTGTCTTTAGTTTGAATTTTAAAATTTGTTTGAATGATGTGCAGTTCTTGTAAAAACAAGAAATGGAAATGCTTTGTGGTACTTTCAACCAGACGAGGACTACAGGTATCCGCAGCCCTCCTCGACATCGGTAGATGAACCAGAGTTGTATGAAAGCGGACAACGATACTCTTGATCCCTCATCCGTCCCCACCCTCAGCGTGCTCATCTTCTTCTTCATCTGTGTCTGTGATGCCAAGAAATGCAAACTAATTTCTTCAACGACTTTATTTGGTTTTCATAAAATTTTGATATAGGTTTCCACTTTTTAGGGCCTTTTGCGAATCATGTGACTCGCCACATGGCTTGTTGGCTGGAGTCATACCTCTAGAGCATCCTGAAGCAGCTCCAAAAGGAACAGAACGGGGAGCCTAACGAACAGTGCTGCAAGAACTACTACGAAAACAATCCGAGAGGTCGGGGACGCCCTCATCATGGCCAAGAGTTGTCCACTTTCATATAATCGAGCACCTGCTCACCGACTTCAGCACAGGCCGCAAGATTTCTTCACCGGTTCTGAGTTGGTTCTCAGTCCCGCCGTCAACGCCAGGGCTTGGTCATTCCTCCGATATGGAGCGAAAGAGCTTCTACTACCTCCAGAGGCCAACACAACTACACTTTTGCACAGTGCTCTTTTTTCCCGTGGTCTTACGTTCCTCGATCTGCTTCTCTATAAAGGTATAGAATCTCGCTTCTCTTGTTCTTCATACCTCAAAAATTGGCATCCGCGCTCGCAAAGAATGCCCATTCTCCCCCCCCCGGAGAATGTCCCATAGGCTCGAGTTGGCAGAAGCTAAACGAACCCGGCGACCGCGACTATAAGTCATAAAAGATTTATCAGGTGCCATCAATTCATGCTGTTATGTTTTGATACTTACGACCGCCCTAGCCAGCGCAGCAAGAGCAAGACCAGAACCACGACCAGATTGTGTGAATATTTATAACGAGCTTCAGCTTTGGACCACATCAAAGCGGCGCGCTTTGTTTTGTGCATGTATGTCGTGCTGCCTCTGTGGTGTGAATTTTTTGCTGTGGTAGCCTCTGGGGATTGACAAACCCGTGCGTGATGACACCGTTAACTCCCGCCTTGGCCGCCGCGCCAGAATTCTGGGCCACCCACACGCTATGCATTGCAACTTTGTCTAGATCTCCTGGAAGCTTGCAGCCCTTGCGGCAAGCAAATAGATTTATTTTCATGCTCCTGGCCTGACATAGATCTCAGATTAGCACTCATCTGTAAAGCAGCATGATGTTGATGGTCGTGTGCTGCACAAACACAAGCCCTTGCCTTCTTCTGGTCCCTGTGATCTTGAAGGAATGCAACGGGAACTTGCGGTTTCCCTTTCCACACGAAATCATGATGATTATGCAATGCAATTTATTACAATGCCACTGCAGCTGCCCAACTGCAAAAGCTTCTCATGGTCGAATATGCATGCAGTCAGAGTGCGCTAACGATGATCCACCAGCTAGCATATCAACCTTCCAAAGAACCCAGATGTGTATGCCGTCGATAGTTGCCGCCCTGTTGGGTCCGCGTGACCGCACCGGAAGCGAAGTCTCCAACTTTGTTGGCAACTGTTTTTGGCTTGTTTGGAGCTCCATCACCATCTCCGCCCGACACGGCTTTCTTCGTCGTTTTCGCTTCCTGCAGAAACCCGCCACCTATGAGGGTGTAAAGTTCCACCTTCCCACCTCATTCGCAGAGCAACACTTTTTACAGAAACAGCAGGCAGCGCTGGCGAATTTCTTGCCGCTGTAGCTTCATTTGCGTGGCGAACAATTGAAATTGATCACGCAATATTTAAATTGTGCTGTGTCGCTTATTTCGGCTACGGCTTCCGAAGCGTGTCAACATACAAACAATGCCGCGAGTCAAAGAAGATAAAGACGTGAATAAAGAGGAAATTTGGTCTTTCGCATGACCAAGAACGAGTAGTACGTGAAGCGGGAAGTAGTAAGAGGACTTGTGTACAACTCTCGTACCAGCGATAGGCGGCGTGGTTCCAACCTGAACTTCCTCCCCGGGGGGCCCAGCGTACACCACGTTTTGCGCCGGGGTCGCTACTCCCACCGCTTCTTCATCCGGCGCACGCTTCGCGAGAAACCCCGGCCGCTCGCCGGTAGCCGCAAGGGTTCCCACGGCAACCGCACAAGCGGCTTTTTTCGGCAGGTGGCGCTGCAGGAAGGTCGGCTTGATGTTGTGAACGCCGTTAATAGGCTGTTTCTTATTCTTCTTGCCCATGTTTTTCGTTTTCCTTTTCGTTTTCAATTTTTGTGCGTGGAGAAGATTTTGTTTTCTTATTATTTGACAAGAGCTGCTGAGGACACCTTCAGATTAGTGAATCTGGGTGCATGAAATAGAGATCGAGTTGTAAATTAGCTTCTCTTCTTTTTTGTCGTTAATTGTCGTACAAGGTGTCAAAAACGTGGAGTGGAAGATGTGAGTCCTTGGGTGGGAAACATCAACCTGTATTTTGGACAAGAAGATGAAGTAGATATACGTAAGATGATTGCCGCGCATTATCATGGAATTGCAATTGCAAATACGTTTGTCGGCGCCGGTCTTTTTAATCTTTATTTTTACTTCTAGTCGTGCGTACGAATGCCGCGAGGTGATGAACGAAATTATCACGACACAGCCGAGCAGGACGTTGCTAGCGCCAGCATGAATCACAATCGTGAACGAATCACTACAAGCAGAAGCACGACCGAATGACCAGTAGGTAATGCACAAGGGCAGAAGAGACCGATGTAGTGCCTCCACAGCTGCAATTCTTTGTGTTGTACGAAGGTGGACTGGGACTGCGTCTTTGCGTCTTCAATATTTGTACTTATACCACAACACCGAGCGGGTCTTGAGCTTGACTTTCGAAAAAGTTTAATATAGTATTAGAATTGCAATTAACACCGACACTGACGCGATCATGAGCGTCGCCTTCTTGTTTGCGGACGATGACGAAACCTTGATGGCCTATTGTAGGTCATAATACATCAAGACTACTTAATTCTAAAACTCGTCTCGAGCGTCAGTTTAATCTCTACTTCATCTTGCACGCAATAGCAGAAGTGAACCGATAAACTACGACACGCTTGGGCAAGATCTCTAACGCGCCAGCCGCTTGAAGCAGCACGCTCTCGTCGCCACGCTCACGCTAGGTATCTCAACCGATGAAAAAAAAAGAATGTTCAGCTTCAACGCGTACTTTTCCATCACCGGTCATGAAAATGAAAATGATGACGGACCGATAGACTACAAGGCGTTTCGCACCGGAATCTGTAGTTCTATCATCGCATCTTCTACAATACGACCTCCACAGAGTGCTGATAGTCATATGCCGCAACTTGGACATTCTGAAGCTGCTCCACCAAGTTGTGCCATGTGACTAAGTCGAAGTATTTCAACGTCTTTCGGTCGTCGTGGAACAAACTTACTTTATCAGAAGTAGTCTCCTCTGCTTGTCTTCAGGAAGCACTTAGCAGAGGACCTGTGCTCCTGCTGCTGCTGTAATCGTCAGCAACAGCATGATATTCTTGGAAAATAAATCTAATGCGCTGGTGCTAGTCTACTCCGACTCAGACTCTGTTCTCTGTCTCTCTGATCTAGTTGTTCCATACAATAGAGTACTGGTCGTGCTGGACCAGACCATATATGAAGAAAGTAAAACAGGCAGCTCTACTCTCCGCTGTTCTCGCTGATCGACCGTTCGGCAGGTGTGGCCGCTATCAAGTTGAAGAATCTGGTATCTTCTTTGCAGCCAAAGTGATATTCCAAATCACAATAACATCATGGTCTACCTCTATTTCAAGTTCATCTTGGTGGCGCAGCATTTTTCTTTTGCTCCGAAAACGACCACCCTCCTGCGTTCTTATCACCTGAACCCAGAGAAACTCGCGCCGCCATAGGTCGGTTGACTGAACGGTGAGGGTCCTCCTGCGGTGTTGTTACCTGCGGCTCCAGTTGGATTACTGCCCATGGCGAACGGACTGGTCGAGGCCGAGCCTGCCGTGTTGCCAAACAGGCCCCCACCACCTGCTCCTCCGGACTGATTGTTATTCTGTAGTTGCGTGGCAGGCGCCCCTCCACCGAAGAGCCCCCCACCTTGCGGCTGTTGCTGCTGGGTCGTACCATTCATCATGCCGCCACCGAAAAGGCCGCCTTGTTGCTGCTGCTGGGGCTGTTGGCTGACCGTTGTACTGCCCACGGGGGCCCCAAACAAGCCATTCGTTGGTTGCTGCTGCTGTTGTGGCTGCGCGGCGCCGAAAAGACCGCCGGCTTGCTGGGTAGTTGTGTTCCCGCCTGGAGCAGTACTAGCTCCACCAAAGAGACCCCCGCCAGAAGTCGCTGTTTGTTGCAGCTGCTGTTGTGGTGCGCCGGAGACTGATGTAGCATTCGCACCGCCTCCGAACAGACCGCCTTGCTGCTGCTGTGCCGGTTGGCCACCTCCAAACAGGCCGCTTTGTTGCTGCGGCTGTTGCTGCTGCTGCTGACCGGCGTTTCCAAACAACCCCTGTTGCTGCTGCGGCTGATTGGCAGTATTGTTACCTCCTCCGAAAAGCCCGGTTTGCTGTGGCTGTTGCTGCTGAAGGCCTGCGTTCCCGAAGAGTCCCCCGCCTTGTTGCTGCTGCGGTTGCCCTCCTGGGTTATTTCCACCTCCAAAGAGGCCACCCGTCTGCTGCTGCGGTTGTTGGGCCGCGAGGCCTGGTGTTGCATTACCTCCACCCCCGAACAAACCGCCTTGCTGCGACTGCGCCGCCGGCTGCGAAGATGTTGACATAGTATTACCGAAAAGCCCACCTTGTTGCGGCTGCGGTTGCTGCGTCGCGCCGCCCACACCATTATTATTGCCGAACAGACCCCCGGAACCCTGCTGCTGCTGCTGCTGCTGCCCAGATGCGACGCTGCCAAACAAGCCCCCGGTCTGCTGCTGCGGTTGAGCAGCGGTCGGCCCTGTTACGTTCCCGAACAACCCTCCTCCCTGCTGTTGCGCTGCGGGCTGCTGGCCGCCGAACAGACCCGTTTGGTTGTTTTGCGGAACCGCGGCAGTGTTATTGCCAAACAAACCACCTTGTTGCGCTTGCGGCGCACCACCCCCGCCACTCATCCCGCCTCCGCCCATGGCAAACGGACTCGCTCCGGCCCCTACCCCGGGCTGTACGGACCCAAACAGTCCAGCTCCTTGTTGCGCCGGTTGCTGTGCCGCCGCCGGTGCTGTCATCATGTTGCTGGCTCCTGCACCTCCTCCGAGGAGATTAGCGCCCGGTTGCATCAGATCCGCCGCTTGCACGTTGTACTTTTTCACTAGTTTTTGGATCAGCGTAGCCGTGTTTCCCGCGTATTTTTGCAAAATCCCGGGAATTTCCGCCATTTTCGAGGGATTGTACTTCTGGTAGATCAACTTCACTTGATCCTCATGCGACAGTGGCTGCTGCTGTGCTACTGGAGCCGCACCCGCAGTCGTTGTGGTCCCAAACAGTCCACCAGTGGGCTGCGTTTGCTGCTGTTGAGTAGAGCCTCCTCCGAACAACCCCCCTGCCGTTGCTGTCGTGCCGGTCGCTGCTTGCTGTGGCGGCTGCCCGAAAAGCCCCGTTCCCGCTCCTGCTCCGGTGGTTGCAGGTTGCGCTGATGTCGCTGCTGCGCCAAAGAGCCCACCGCCGGCAGGTGCTGTAGTCGCACTTCCCGCGCCGAACAAACCTCCAGCCTGTGGCGCGGTAGTCGTACTGGCGCCCGTAGCCGTAGTAGTCGTCGCTGCGCCTACTCCTGTGCCAAACAACCCACCACCGGAAGCTGTTGCAGTGGCCGGGGCACCGCCGGCAGCTGGCGCAGGTGTGCCGGGGGCCGGCGCTGCTCCGAACAAGCCACCTCCAGTGCTGGCGGGAGGAGTGGCAGATGATCCCGCTGCTGCACCCCCGCCTGCTCCCGCCTGCTGGTTATTGAACTGCGTCTGCAAGTCCTCCTTCGCGACTTTGTACGTATCGCACAGCTTGTTGTAAATCTGCATAGGATTGGCTTGGTACTTTTTCAGCAAGTCCGGAATTTTCGCAATTTTCTCCGGGTTGTGCTGCTGGTAAATCGCCTCCATCTTGAACTTGACCATGTCAAGCAGGGTGGAAAAGGTTGGCTGTGCAGCAGTTGAGGTTGTGGCAGAAGTTGCAGTTGTCCCAGCAACTGTAGTACTGCTCACAGCGCCCGAAGGCGGAGGCGTGTTGAACACTGGGGAGGGTTTGGAAGCGTCCGCTGCATTTGTTCCTGTGGTCGCACCTCCACCGGGTTTGTTACTTTCTTCACCGCTTTTCGTGGTCGTATCTTTGTCTTTCTGCGGGGTGCTGGTTGTAGTACCACCAAACAATCCACCTGTGCTTGCGCCGGAGGACGTAGAAGAGGCACCAAAAAGACCGGTGGCAGTAGCAGTTGCGTCCTTCTTCTCACCAGATCCAGCTGGTGCGGAACCTCCACCTCCAAACAAGCCACCACTAGTAGTTGCCGGCTTGGAGGTCGTGCTACTTTCCGTTGTCGCAGTCGCGCTAGTTGTGGTGCCGCTTGTTTGCCCAAATAAACCACTTGCACCAGCACTAGCGGCTTTCTCGTTCTTGTTCCCTTCAGCAACAGAAGTCGTCTTCTTCAACGCGGCTGACGGAGAGGAACTGCCGCCGAACGACGGCAATAAGGCTTGCTGCTGCGAACTGTCGGTTTTTGGCACGAGACCGCCAGTAGTTAGTGAAATTGCGCCCCCTATTTGAAGATGTTCCTTTTGCTCATCTGCTTTCGTTAACTCCGAGATCTTCTGTTCCAAATTGGAGACTTTCCCCGTGGCGGCGAAACTGACAATCCCGGTTTGACTCGTCCTTATTTCGGACTTGCGCTCGTCCTCTGTTTTCTCCCCCGCGTTCAATTGCTGGCTCTTCCGCGAGGTTGCGTTAAACACAATTTGCTGCTTGTTCGCGTTCAATCCAGCACTCGTCGTGGCAGAAGGACCCCCGCCGCCGCCGAACAAACTGTCCGGGGAATTCGTGTTCTTGATTTGCTGGTGCTGCTGGTCTACTCCCCCTGCGGACCCCTTTTGCCCGGGCGTGGGCGAGTTCACATTGATGTTGCCGGCAAAGGGGACGTGGGTCGATTGAGATGCTGATCGTGAAGATCCCCCCGCAGGAGCTCCTGCTCCTGCTGAACCAGTACTAGAGCTGCTCGCCGCTCCTCCTGCACCAGAATTGTTGTTCGACGGAAACAGGGCCGGCGGCTGCATTTTCGTCTTCACACCACCGCCTCCGCCAGTGTTCATGTTCAGGACCGCCGTGCCGATAGAGTCCTGACTTCTCGCCCGCGCCATTTGGTCCAGAAGCTGCAGCTGCTCCGAGTCGTGCGAATGCCGCCGCGAGCCGAACGTCGGCGTGCCGACGCCCCCTGGGACAAGCTGCTTGAGCAATTCGCTGTTGGAAGTCGGATCCTGGGCGCCGGACGTCGTGGAGCTACTCCCGGGGGCAGCTGCTCCGCTGCCGAATTGGTGGTGGCCACCCGCGGTCGTTCCTGTGGCCGCGCCGCTAGTGAAGTTGTTGCTGAACTGCTGATCGCCGCGGGGATTCGGGCTCTGGCTCTCGTTGCGCTGGTTCCGCTGGATCATGGTGACGTGCGTGTTGTAGCTGGAGACCGAGTCGGTTTCTGAGTTGTTGCCCGTGTAATTGCTTTGGTCAGAGCCGTGCAATAGAGACGAGGAGCCGTGTAGTCTGTTGCTGGCGCCGAAGTTCATCTTGCCATTCGTGGAGGTGGAGGCCATCGAAGAAGTGAAGTTGTTTTGCATCAATCCACCCGGAGGAGGCATTCCTATGGCCACCATCTTGGAAGTGCTCACATGATCTGCGGAGGAGGTGGAAGAAGAAGAGGCCCCGCCAGCGACATTCTTTTTCATGCCTGCCCCTGCAGCAGAGGAATCTTCTTGCGCAGCCGCGCAGCCATCCGCGGTGATCTTTTTCGGCTTTACGCCACCACCGCCCGACGTGCCATTCATACAAACGGATGCAGCGCCGGAAGTCGATGATCCGCATTGCAAATAGGCCTGCAGTTGCTTGTGGATGCGCGTGGGCATGTCGTCAACCTCTCCAATGGCATCCACGACCGATTGAAGCTCCTTCTCCAGGGCATGTAAGCTAGTGCTACTGCTTTCCTCCTGCTCCTCTTCGGCTCCACTTCCACTCATGCCCGTGTCTTTGTTACCGACCTTGTTTCTGCTAGAGGCTGCAAGTTTATTGTTTTTCCGTCTTGAAGTTTTTTCAGTCTCAGCGACCGCACGCAGGCTCCGCTGCAAGTGTTGCAAAACATCGTCTTCGGAGGTGATGTTATTGGTCACACCACCAGGAAGGCCGTCATGCTGGTAATTCATCGTCCCCGCCCCCCTTGCCTTACCACTTCCATTCATCAGCCCCGATGCGCCACGCGCGGACAGTGGTCTTGGGGAACCGAAGCCGCGCGGTTGCTCCGCTGTGGTGCTGTTGTGGTGCGTGTTGCCCGGTGTTCCTTTGGACAGGATGCTCGTGATGGTTCGCGCACCATTCCGCGTGGCAGCTGAGGTTTTAGTCGTACTAATTCCAGGGTTGTTCTTCCGCGCCGCGTGCTGCCCAGCATTTCCTGCTCCGTTCAGCAGAACACTCGGCGCGGTCGCCTGTGCCGCGGCGCCGAGCAAGTCCCGGCCCTTCAGATTCTTGTTTCGTCGCCGCAACGGGTTTTTGTGAAGCTCCGGGTCGTCCTCCTGCGTCTCGACCATCTCCGTGAGCATTTCTTCCACCTGCAGCGAGAAGTCAATGAAGAAGGACCCCGTGTTAGCGGCGTTGGAAGTGGTGCCACCTCCTCCCGGGGGGCCCGCCATCGCCGCGTTGCTGTATTTGTTGACACTGTTTCCCTGCGCTTTCGTCAGCAGTGGGTCGTGCAAAAACGGCATTCTGTTCCTCGTTGCAGAAGTTGTGTAATTGCCTCCACCATCGTTCTGATGCTGCGCAAAATCCTGTTCGCTTGGGGGCGTCCTTGTGCCCCGCGTGTCCTTCGAGCCCGCTGTGGTACCGTGCCCCGAAAGCACCAAGTCGTCCTCCGGAAGCAGGCGCCAGTGCGGCAACTCCTGATCCACGACCATGTCCGAGCCCTTGCTCTCCTGTTTCGAACTCTGATACAGTTGTGGGCGGCGCGCGGGCTTCTGGAAGTTGTCGAAGCCGCGAGGAGCAGCTCCATAAGTGGAGGATGCTCCTCCAGCAGTAGGACCACCACCACTAGCATTGTAACCATAGTTCCTCTCCTCGTCGAGTTTCCATTCCAAGCCCTGCACTGCGCTTTCCAGGGTCATCAACCGCTTATAAAGAATCGCCATGTGCTCCGCTTCCCGCACCGTCGTCGCTTTGCTGGAGGGTTTGATGACGTTCCTTGTGTTCTTTGGATGCTGATGTCGTAAAAGAGAAGTACTAGTCGACTGTTGCTCAGATGAACCGGCGCGGCCAGCAGTGGACGCCGCTTCTTCACTTCCATCTTCCTCCTCGCCGAACAGGAAATCATAGCCGTTTTTGGATGAAGGACGAGTTGTAGCAGAACAATTATCGTCCACCTCCAGTATCTTCGACATGTTCTTTTGCAGCTGCAATTCCGTGAGCAATACCGTCCGATTCCGTACCATCTCCAATTCCTGCATGATCTTCGCCCGATTCAAATCATCCAACTCCGTCCCAATCACATCTAGGGATAGCAGCTTCATCTTGCTCGCAACCGTGTTGGTCAAGGCTTCGACCTCGGTTAGTTCTTCCTTCTGGTTCTCGATCAGTTTCCGGTTATTCATGGTCGAGCTGAGGTAATTGCAGTCCACATTATTCAACGTTTGCTCCAGTTCCTGCATCTTCGCTTCCATGGTCTGGAAAACCTTCTTCAGGATCGGATTTTCCAAATCCTCGATCAGGCTGTTGGCCGCGGCGTTTTTGGAAGTTGAACAAGCACTGGAGGTAGGAGCAGCAGAAGTTACAGCGTTCGTATTTTTGTTGGTGTTCTTCATTAATACCGGCGGCGGCATCATCTTGCGTAAGTTGCTGCCTTCGGTGGAAGTCATTGCACTGGCGGGAACAGAAGATGCACCAGACGCTGTTCCTTGCGAAGAAGAAGGCTGCGAAGAAGTAGATGCTCCTCCTCCAAGCAGATTTCCAGCCAGGGCGTTGGCCAGATTTCTGTCCGATTGCTCCTCTTTTTCCTTTAATGCGGACCCGAACACCGGAGAATCAACTACCCCAGCAAAGGACGAAGATTTATTCTTCGCAGAGAGGTCTCCGCTTGCAGCTCCGTTGGTGAGCGCCAATGGGTTGCTACTGTTTGAGGATGCACCTCCTCCACCGAAGACGCTGTCGCCGGAAAATTTCCGGTTCCCACCTCCGCCGAAGAGAGACGAGGACTTCGCTTCCGGGGTGTTTTGGTTGAGGTTGAAACTCAGTTTGGTCGGGACAAGGGAGTTTTTGTCGTCTTCGGGGTCTTTCTTGATTTCTGCATTGTTATTGAACACATCACCGCCGGTACTCGTGCTATCCGGCAGCGGGAGCAAACCGGAGGTGAGCTGGTTTTTGTTCCCGAGCTGAGGCGGTTGGTTGCTGTCGTTTGGCTCTACTTTCTTCGCCGGGGCGGACAAAATTGGTGCTGCGCCGAACAAGCCGCCGGAGACTGCAGCCGGCGCAATAGTTCCAGCACCTCCTCCAAACAAACCGCCAGTCGCGGGTGCCGCGGTGGTGCCGCCAAAAAGACCTCCGCCGGATGAAGTAGAGGCTGTCCCAGATGCTGCAGAAGGAGCTCCACCGCCGAAAAGACCCCCGGCAGTCGTCGTGGAAGATGCAGCAGATCCTCCAAACAGCCCCCCTGTTGCGGGTGCGGCACCACCACCACCGCCGAAAAGACCCCCTGCACTAGTCGCTGCTGCCGGCTTGCCTGCTTCGTTATCCGTCTTGGGTGCGGCAGAAGTTGAGCCTCCAAAGAGCCCACCGGTAGTAGGTGCCGCAGGCTTGCTCGCGGTGTCTCCAAAGAGGCCACCGCCTGCTGCAGGCTTCGCATCTCCGAAAAGCCCATCACCACCTGCTGCAGGCTTAGAACCTCCGAAAAGCCCGCCACTCACCGGCTTCGTATCTGCAACTGCGCCCCCAAAAAGTGGTGTACCAGCGCCAGTTTCAGCAGGCTTGGACGTGGATGCACCTCCTGCTGGTGCTGTGCCGCCGAACAAACCACCGCCACTTGTGGTTGAGGGGGCCGTTGCTGCGCTATTATTTCCTGAGCTGGCGACGCTACCAAAAGACAACGGCGCAGCAGAAACATTGGCCGTTCCACTCGCCCCTCCTGCCAGCGTCAGCCCCGTTCCCCCGAAGAGCCCGCCCGTACTCGTTGTAGCTGCGGCGAAAGGCGAAGGATTTGCACCCTTTACGTCCGCTGCGCCCGGAGCGCCGCCGAACAGCGAACCAGTGGGCGCACTGCCAACTGCCGCTCCACCTCCAACGGCGAACGGCGAAACCCCGGAAGTCGTTTTATTCGATACGTCGCCAAACAAAGAGCCCCCGCCACTAGGAGCGGCGGTGCCACCAGTGGCTGCTACAGGACCACTTGCAACTCCTCCTCCCCCGGTAGTAGTTGTAGATGAAACCAGTTGAAAGCCGCTGTTTAACTTCTGCCAGTCGTCCAATTCTCGCCTCAGGTCCTCCACCGGGACTTTGTACGTGTCGCACAGCTTGGCGTAGATTTTCATCGGGTCCGCTTCGTACTTCTTCAGCAAGTCGGGAATCTTCGACAGCTTCTCCGGGTTGTGCTTCTCGTAGATCTCCGTCATTTTCCATTGCACCAGGTCTTTCAGGCTCGCATACGCCGCCTCGGGAATCTTCTTCGGCTCGGGCTTCGGGGTGTTGAAAATGGGGGAGGCGGGCGTTGCTGGCATTGAGGCCGGTGGTGCGGTCGTAGTTGCGGCAGGCGCAGCAGCTCCAGCTGCTGGGGCTGCACCAGTTCCTGCTGGTGCCACAAACTCCGCTGCCTGCTTCAAGTGGTCCAGGCTCTGGACGCTGGTGGCTCCGTGCGGGACTTGCTTGAAATGGTCGCCAAAGTGCAAGCTGAGATGCTCCGAGGAGTCTAACAGTAGAAACAGCGGCGGGTTCTCCATGGGTTCCTGGGCGGTGCCGCGGCTCTGGACGCTTTGGTACGAGGCAAGAACGGAGAATCCCTTGACGAAGGAGTCGGTGTCCGGGGAACCGAGGTTGCGGCCCTCGGGGGGACGAAGGCAAACCTGTGATAGTACTAAATGCGATTTGTGACATAACTACAGATGAGTACTGTTCGAAGTTGTGATCATCCTCCTGCTGGCCCAGCACACTTTGACCAGGGGGCGGGGCACGTGTGGAAGCTGCCAAAAACACAAGTTCAAGTTAGTTTCACTTGAAGCAATCAGAATCAGCATCAACATCAACATATACGAAATCACAATTTATTTTTCCACATACCACTTGTCCCTTTCCTTCGTCGAACGTGAACAATTGCGTTTCGTTTGCCGCACTGTGCCCCACCAGCAACGCATCCCATCCTGCAATCCTTTCGAAGTAGCACGTGCTTGGTTTCGCCCCGTCTGGTTGTAGAAACTCACTTCCTTCCACGTAAATTTCGTTGCATGTTCCACCCGAGAGCTTCAGCTTCGACTCATTTGCTAGCAACTGCCCCGCCATCTGCCAGCTCGTCTGGTCTGGCTCCGAGGGGTCTTGGTTGTCGGTAAGGAAGAAGCAGAAGAGGATCGGCGACAATGATCCACCAGCGGTGACGTTGGTACTACTGCTTGTCGGTAATTCCGCAACACCAACGAGGTTGACTGCCGCATCGAACTCTTCGCCAGACTCGTTCTCGACGGATAGGGGTTTCAGCTGCGAGGCCACAACGTCGTACAGGAAGAGATTGGTACCCTTCGCACCTAGAACAATCGCGGAGACTTTCGGTCCGCCGCCTTGAGTTTCGTGTTCCACGTAGCAGCCGCACGTGATTTGCTTTTCCGCGGACGCAATCTCCATGGGCTGTTTTTGCGTTGAGCTGAGACTAAAAACAAACTATCTCCTTAGCTGGTACTAGAAGTTTCGATTTATTTCCTCTTTCTCTGCGAATCAATCTATCTGAGTCTATTTTTGCAATCCGAATATACAACTCCCAGTCACCAGTGCACAGTGGAACATGAAATCCAGTTGGATATTAAAACAGCACAACATAAGACCATAGCTACCGTTCCCCCGCCGTGCACCGAGAACGCAAACGCACTCCCGGCCGTGGTAATTGCGCAACACGTAAATCCGGCCGGGTTCACAAAGACGCTGACGATTCCCCCGGCGGCAGAAAACATTTCTGTGCGAAAGGGCTTCGATAGCTGCAGCTCCTGATCGAAAATGTCCTCCTTCGTGCGGTAGATGGTCAACATCCCATTCGCCGTCCCGACAAAGACAAAATGGCTCGTCGCGGAGAGGAACGAAATTGCGCCGTTGGTGCGAAAGGTGGACCGGGCCGCGACGCTGTCACCCTTCTGAAGCCCATCCGCAAAATCCTGGCCTTTGGCTAGACGCAAAGTCGAGGTGTCGCCTAAGAAGGGGGTGATCGGTATGAAATGTTCAGCAGGTTCACATGATCGGATGCTTCTTCAACTAACGCAAGAATCCTAGAAACACAGACAAGAAATAGTTGTAGTCATCGAGGTCGATCTGGTACTAACTTTTTTTTTATCTTCTCATGCATGAAAAAGTCAAAGTCCTACCTGCCTGCACCCACAACACGAAGTCATACGCCGAGGAAGACTGGATTCCCGAAGAATACGGCAAGGATGCGAGCTTGAAGGTGTCGCCGGAGACCGCCCCGTGGAAAAACTGGGGCTGCTCCACATCCTCCTGTTCTATCGCGTGAGGTTGTAACATTTTTGCTAGGTCGCTGGTATTAATGGTAGATGGGATGCCTAGTATCGGGAGAGCGAGAAATGTTAAAAACTGAAACACATAGAGGCGTAAGCTCAACAGATTTTTCTTGAATCAACCAGGGGCATGAAGATGATCAAGAGCAGCTGCCGTGGCTCTCGAAGATGGTGATACAAAATAGGCAGAGCGTGAGCGAAATACTTCTAGTAGTGGTCATTATATTTCTGTCGCAAAGTCGCGTGGTCGCTGCTATTGCAAATAGAGAAAACCAGAAGTCGGGCGCAAAATCAGCAGCCTCGTTTGTGTACAAACCTCTATCATTCCGAGCAACATGTGGCTGATCCTTGTCTACTAGGAAGCTTTTCTTATTTTTGGACAGATCAAATCAAAATGTGGTCTGGAAGTCCAAGTTATTGGAATGAGATCAGATCTCATTGCAATATATAACTTGGACTTCCAGACCATCATTCTTGGACTTCCAGATCAGATCTCATTGCAATAACTTGGTGGTCATCTTTGACTTTGCCGACGTATAGATCTCAGACCTATACGTCGGCAAAGTCAAAGATGACCACCACATCGTCAGGACAAAGTGGCTTCCTCAGGCTCGCGAGTAGACGAGTAGACCCCGATAAATTTTATTTCGTAAACTTATTTCGTAAACTTGTTGTAGTGGTCGGTGCTACTGCTATCTATGTATACTTCCATGATCTTCAACACCGTCTTCATGGACCTCCTAGCTTCAAGAAGATGAGGATCAGGTCTACGTTCACAGCGGATCAATAATTTGACAACTACCTAGGGAAATGGATTCAAGTAAGTTCGTAGAACAGCTTCCACTTTTCGTCGTTCTTGTGATCATTACCTGCAACTTCTACTTTCTCCAGAAAACATTTTTCGTTGCGTACGCGCCGTAGCTGCTCGCCGCGAAACCACAAAGAACTCGAGAGTTCAAGCTCCCAGCCAAGCCAACTACGCAACGTGCGTTTTTTCATCGACATGATGTGGTTTGTAGCGAATGAAACCGTGTTTGCCTACTTACGCCTGACACGAGGACCTGGCCACGTAAAAGTTTCGACGTGGTGGTTACATTTTGTAGAATTTGGATTTTCACACGTTGGAGGGTTTGAAAAATTTTAGCACATATTACAAGGAATAGGACACTTGCCGAGCGTTTCACAATTTTGAGGCTCCAGCAGCAGTCAAGATTTTCCCTCCCGCCTCCGCGACCGCGTGATCCTCTTCCGGCTTCGCACCGGAAACCCCGATGCCTCCGATTCCCAGCCCGCTTTTCACAAACACACCGCCGCCCATCAACACAAATCCGGACGACAGCAGCGCCGTCCGCGCGGTGCCGTCACTGCAGTTACTCGCCTTCTCAAGTAACATGGTGTCGCGCTGGAATGCCACCGCGGTTTTGGCCTTTTCGATCGCGATGGCACTGGCCGCCGGCATCGCGGTCGGGAGGCGGGAGAAGGAGAGAAGACTGCCGGATTGGTCTACCACCGCAACGGCGACCTTCAGTTTTTTGCTCTTTGCGTGATCCAACGCTTTCGCGACCACTTGCTGCGCTAAGTGGAGCACGGCGTCGGGCTTCTGGTGTTCATCGGCGGCACTGGTGCTGCCCGATTGGACCACTGCTGCCGAGGTGGACATTATCGATGTATTGTCCCTGCTTCCGGCGCCTGTGCTGCTTTGGTCCGGACGAAGACGATACAAAATTCAAATACGAAGGTGGTGCACGAGGTATTGCTATTGGTATTGATGAAGTGGAAGCCGGCCACCGAATCTGTCGAGACATCCAGGTAGCCGCTATAGTGCAAGCAGGTGCGGCTGAGATGATCGACAGAAACAAAAGAGTCGATGCGACGGGTGATTGTACACAAACTAAACTACGTAGTACGACTACTAGTACACTGCTCTCAGCATCGACAGCATACTCACTTTCCGTATCACTGCCAAGCCCAAACCTGGAGTACTTCTTAGCCTTGCTCCTGCGGCGAACCACGTGCAACAAGGATGAAAGCAGTAGAAACACGATGAAACGCAGACGCCGGCCCGCAGAAAATAGAACAGGTCGTGTACTATCCACTCAGCTTTGAAGCACGACCAGCAGCTGCTGGTCGTCGTACTTGTACCAGGGAAGATGCTTCGTATTGTTCTCGTTTACTTCTATGCTGATGCTTATGCGTCGGGTTCTTGCGCTGGTGTCGAGGTCGACATAGCGGATAACTCCACTTCTACTTCGCGTAATCCTGCTGCTGCAGAGGAACAACCTGTGGATTCGTCTGGTTGCTCAAAGGTGTGATACAAATGATCTAGAAGACATGTACAATTCTAAACCTGAACTCATTGAGCCACTACTCATGGTCAACGTCGATACTGCTGCAGCTACTGCTGTGCGACGGCCTCCACAAGAACGGTCGAACTTTTGCAAATACACTTTGGTGATGTCGCTGCATTATTATTTCGTATTTCGCCTACTTCGCGGCAACTCCAGGTCGTTGTCATCTTTTCGCACCGGACGACGCCCTTTTGGTTCGTTTTGGCCCTTGGTCTGCTTTATTCTCCGTCTGCTTTTCGACTTGTTTATTTCTACTTTCCTTGTCCTTCGCAGAAGCTGCTGCACCACCGGCGTGAAGAACTACATCATGGTCCTCCGACATCGCTTTTTTCTTCTCCATCCCTAACGTCGTTCCAAACGTCCCCGCTCTTCTTTTCTCCGTGATTTTCTTGAAGAATTGGGTCGTTTTCCCGAGCAACGTCGGCCTCTTTTTCTCCCGCTTCACCGTAACCGGCTCGTACAGCAGGTCGAACATGCCCGTGCCGAAGTGAATCGGGGACCCAAGGATGATGCACTCGGAAACCCCGGCGACCGGGTCCGTTCTCCTGTAGGCGGCGGCGTCGAACAAATGGTCGTTTGTCTTTTCGAAGCTGGCAAGCATCATGGTGGAGGCCTTCAACTTCTGGATGCCGTGTCGGGTCATCCCGTACACTTCCCCCATTTGGGTCATGGTGTCGCCGAGCAGCTGTATGTGCCGGGAGTCCACTTCCAAACCGTGGCTGGACATCACTTTCGTGATTTCGGAAGTAATCGTCGCGCGCGCGGCCTCGATTCCGAGGACGCCACGGACTTCCAGGACGTTGTTGGACACGGTGCGGGCGCTGTTCACGCCAGGAGTGATCATGACCTGTGAAAAAGAAATGGAAATGCGAGCGTCAAAATAAAACTTTGGCTTTGCATCGTCAATTTACCAATGCTGTCCTGCTGGTCATGTTAAGTACTTAGCCAAATATTGTATTCGGCATGAAACTTCTTAGGCTTGCCATCAAAAAAACACGACCCGGACTTGTCTTCGTAGAGGTGTGGATCGGGTACCCACGGATTGGAAGATACCCACTTTGGATTGGGTGCCCACTCTGGTTTGGGTACCCATGTTGGGAACGGGTACCCAGTGGGAAATGGGTACCCAGAGGGGGTGGGGTACTCTGTATGATTTGGGTGCCCGGGCGTGCGAGTACCCAGTGGCGTGGGTACCCGGTGGCGTGGTGGAAGCGAAATTGCTCCTCGTACCCGGTGGCGCGCTGCCTCGTGCTGCGTTTTCGTCTATTGCACACTTCTTACAGCACAGAGCCCTGCTGTTTTCAAAATTTTATTTTTATACTGGTCACAAATCCGCGAAAATTCAAAATTTTATTTTTATTCGCGTCACATCATGGCAACAAAGTCCTAAGTCTCTATATACAAATCTCCATGATAAGTCTACTACGTGAAAGTCTTCAAGTCTTTACATGCAAACTCTGAGGCGGAGACGTTATTGCAAAAAAGTAAAATTTTGAATATCCGCGAAATTTTAAAATTTTATTTTTATCAGATACAAAAATGCAAGATGTGTCTGATTCCCTTCAGGCGCCAGGGCAGCGGTGTGTGTCCCGGCTGCGCGCGGCCGTCTGCTCCTGCGGGTACAACTTGGATAACTGGATACATTTTGCAAGAGTACCCCATTACCAATCCAAAGTGGGTACCTGATCCAGAGTGGGTACGTACCCAATCAATCGAACCTCGTGCCTTTAAAGTAAGACCAAGATGACTTACAAAAGTACTTGTACCTCCTGCAGCCCGACACCCTCCACCAGCAGCTCGTGTTCTTTGTCATTGGTCAGGTTGATAACCGCCCTCCCACAGGTGGGCAGCCCGTCGATGTGCACGTAAGGGAGGATTTGCTGCAGCTGCCCCAGGTCAAAGTACCCATTCGGCCCGTAGGGGTAGAGTCGGATCTTGTCCACGGCGAATTTGGAGCTGTCCTTCGAGCTGGGCACTTCGACCAAAGTGTACTTGAATTTCGACAACGGGATCTGCGCTCGTATACACCGCATCACGTGCTTCGCCGTGATGTGGTTCATTTGGAGCTTATGCAATACAAATTTCCCGTACATGTACAAGATGCATCACAAATGTCCCCAATTTGGACTGTGAAACTTGTCATGCTAAACTAGGATCGAAGCCTAGATTTGCCATGCAGAGACCGCATTGGTACGTGTACAGGAAATTTACTGTGGATAGAGCTTCGAGAGCGTTTCCCGGTTCAGTTTAATCACCAGATACATGCCGCCGCCGTGGAGCGTGTAGTTCACCGGCTTCTCGACCTTCGCGAGTAGAAAATCCGGATCGCCGTCGTCTATCTTGTTCTCGTTGTTCCGGGTGTTCTGCAGTTTCCAGCGCTGCTCGATCGTTTTCAAATGCCGTTGCCAGATCCCGTCTTCGTCGTAGGGTTGATAAACTTCCTTGAAGTGCTTGCACACGTCTTTCAAAAAAGTCTTCTCGACTCGCGTTTTCGTCAGTCGCGCGAAGGTCTCGCTGGTGGGATCTTCTAACCTAGCCGTGATCACTGGGGTGGAAATCGTCCGGACTGCGTCCATCAGTTCTTTGATCCGCGGCACACCGAGGGTCACGTTCATGCTCGCGACGCCCGCGAAGTGGAAGGTCTTCAGAGTCATCTGGGTCGCGGGCTCCCCGATGGACTGCGCGGCGACCACGCCCACCGCCTCGCCCGGGTGGTGCAACGCCCGGACGTATTTGGTCGCACAACGGTGGATGAATTCGTCCAGTTGGTGCCGGGTGATGCAGATGTTGTTGTTGTGCAGCTGCAGGGCGAGGGCGGTTCTTCTTGGATCATCCTCCGAGGATTGCAGGTCAACATCATCCGGTAGTGCAGCGATTGATGTAGTTCGTCCATGATCGTCAACGTCCATAGAAGAAGAGTTTTCCAGCTCCACTTCCGTTTTCCTCAACTTCTCGCACACCTCTGTCAGCAGAAAGCTCCGCAGTTCGTCCTGAAACGCTTTGGTGTCCAGATCGTGCGCACTCGGGTAGGCGTGCTTGATGTGCTTTTCTAAGCTCGTTAAAAGTGGTCGCGAGATGGCTTCGAGCTCCGTCGCGGTGAGTGGCTTGTGGAGGTACTCCTCGAGCTCGTGTTTCGTGAGATTAGAAGCAGCTTTATTTGAGTGGAAATTATCACCCTCCTGGTTTACTATTTCCGCCACTTTTGTCGGTAAGAACTCCACGCAGCTCTGTGCGGTTCTCTTCCGCGCGGATAAGGCGTTCCTTTCTTCCTTACTGTATCCCCCAAACGTCTTCTTCTGCTTCACCCCCTTCGGACCGCGGCAGACGCGGAGCACTTGGGACAAAGTATGTTTCAAATCCAAGCACTTACTACCGCTCCCCTCCATCGAACCGGGGTTCAACCCGTCCGCTCCATAGGCGAATTGCACAACGCGGCCGTTGGAACTGCGGACGGAGAGATCGTACTTGATGGAAAGGTCCTCCAGCGCTTTGATCAGGCGCCTTTGCATGTACCCCGTCTCCGCCGTCTTCACGGCCGTGTCGACGAGACCCTCGCGGCCACCCATCGTGTGAAAGAAGAATTCCGGGGGCTCTAGGCCGGAGTAGAAGGAATTGGACACGAAGCCGCGGGCTTTTGGTTCCTTGGCGTTGTACCTGCAGGAGTTTATTGTTTCAGTAATCGCATCTGTACGTACTTATAGGGTTGTCTTCGTCCACTACTATGACTAAAGATTTTTGCAGCGAGCCACGCAAGAGATGAGAAAATTAAAGATGAAGTGCCTGTGGTCGAAGAAAAATATAGTAGAAGAAAATCATATAGTGGTACTTGAACAACGGCAGGGTCCGGTTCACGAACCCGTCTTTGATCCGCGCCCCGGACACGTTCTGCTGCCCCAGACACGCCATCATCTGGCACAGGTTCATCGCCGATCCCTTGGAGCCGCAGGTGGTCATGACTTGCACCTTGTTGGTCAAGGACAGGTCGTCGTTGCAACTGTCCCCCGTCTCCTGCCGAATCGCCCCCAGGTCGTTGTTGATGAAGGCTTCGAGCTATCAAATGCAAAAATGTCTGGGTCTGGAAAAGTGGAACTTGTGATGCTGTCTGTGGATTCCAAAAAAATCTGTGTTGCATGAGTAGCAAAGGGAATGCAATTTTTGCAGTACACTGAGACGGCATTTGTCATGCGGAATAGGCATCAAGAGGCCCTCAAAAAATCTGTATTGCTCGGGTATGCATCACAGTCATCATGGCTCACGCAAAACGTGCATGACAACTGTCAGAATCTTCCAGACCCAGACATTTTTACAGTTGATACGAGCGTGGTTTCCGCGGTGCACCCGGGTTTCAGTTGAATCATGCCAAGGTTGTAGTCCTGGATGTGGCGTTTTATCGATTTCATCTTCTGGTCGGTGATATTTTTCTTCTTCTCCATCACGATCGGGTTCGGCATGACATCGTCAATCCCGATGGTAAAGCCGATGTTCTGCAAGTACCGCGACGCGAACCGCGCCACCCGCCCCATCATCTTCGCCGAGGTGTCGTTGGTGCTGTCCCTCACCAACTTCGCGAACAGGCCGGATTTCGCGCCGTCGCCGAGCGTTTTTTTCCCGAGGTTCCCGCTGATCAGTTCCGAGTTGTAGAAGGACACAAAACCGTCCTTCTGGCAGAAGTTTTTCCCCTTTTTACTGTAGTTCCGCTCGCAGATGTCCGTGTTGATGAGCAAGTTCCGGTCTTTCCGACCCGGGCGGAGCAAGAGGGAAAACACCTGTTTCCCCGTCCACAGCTCCACGGGTTTTATTATGGCCGGGGGACAGAGGTCCACGTGTTCCAACCCCTTGGTCGCGTGGGTGATCAACTGGCAGACCTTCGACCGATCAAAGAGCGCGTCCTTCTGGGTGAGCCAAAAGGACCCGGTGAGGAAGTCCTGGGTGCACGCAATGGCCGGCTCGCCGTTCCGGGGGGAAATGATGCCCGGCTTCACGCCCATCAAGTGATAAGCCTCCGCCCGGGCTTCGTAGGTCTGCGGCAGGTGGATGTTCATCTCGTCCCCGTCGAAATCCGCGTTGTACGGCCCGCACACGCACTCGTTGAACCGGAAGGTCCGGTAGGTTTGGATCCGCGCCTTGTGGGCCATGATGGACATACGGTGGAGAGAGGGCTGCCGGTTGAACAGCACAATGTCGCCGTTGCACATGTGCCGGTGGACAATGTCGCCGATCTGGAGGGCTTGGGACTTCTTCACGCGCAGATTCTTCGGGAGCTGGAACTGTTGAGTGCGTTGTTGAGGGAAAAGATCAACAAGGCCGGGAAAATATTGTAAAAAAACAATTGCTACCGTCGGCTCAATCAAAAACACGAGAAAACAATAGGCGGTGACAAATCTTCTATGTTTTTTTATGTGCTGCATCGTACTAGAACGCTGCATCGTACTGGAAGCCTCAGTTTATACCAGGTTGAACTTGATCCCATTTGGCAGTTCGATGAAGCCTGCTCCGGGATGCGTTTCGTTTCCGTTGATCACGCACCGCTGCAACTTCTCGAGATTCAGCTGCGTGACCCTCTCCGTAAAGGTGATTTTTTTTGCGACATGCTCCGGAATCACCACCTCGTCGATTTCCACGTTTGGGTCGGGCGAAATCACCGTGCGGCCGGAGTAGTCAACGCGTTTGCCCATCAGGTTCCCCCGAAACCGCCCCTCCTTTCCCTTCAGCCGGGTCGCTAACGACCGGATTTGCTTCTTCGACTCCCCTATCCGAAACCGCGTCTCCTGCGGCAAGCCCGCCATGCTGCTGTTGATCATCCGCGCGCACTCGGACGCCTGGTCCCGCCAAAGATCGATGATGTGCACCGCTGGGGAGTTCCCCTGGACCAGGTCCTGCCGAATACAGAGGTCTCCGTAGAAAATCTTCCCGATTTGGTGCGTCAAGTCATCGTCATTGGTCGTCGACCCCGCGTTTACCGTCGGTCTTATCGGCCCCGGGGGCGCAGGTTGACTGGTCAAAAACAAACTCGTCGGCCGCTGCACGTCCAGCAAAAAGCAGTCCAAGGGCGTTAGATTCTGTGCGAGGTTGTAGAGAATCAGCGGCGTCAAATCTTCCGTCGTGTTTGCGGCGAGCAGATGGAAATTTGACTCCGCGTACATGTTATCAAATGTAAAAATGTCTGGGTCTGGAAGATTGCCAGGTTTGTCATGCACATTTTTTTTTTTTTTTTTTTTGCCTGCGGGAGGGGCTCCGCTTTCTTTCTTTCTGGAATTGTGTTACGGCGAGAACGGTACCCGCCCGCTGCGCTTAGCGTGCTCCCGTCACGCGTCATGCGATATAAATTCTTTCGAAACCCTAAACCCATCAAAGCATGCCTTTCGGGAGATACAAACCGGGGGAACCCTAAACCCGCGCAACGCACTCGTTTTAGTTAACGTCTAATGCCGAAAGCCGCGGCAGACGTCCACGCTGGGACGCAGATGGAGACGTAGTAAAATATGTAGATTTTTTGGGGGGGCGGGGCTAAAGGTCGAGACTAAATTTATGTGCAGAAGCCGCTGCACGAAGAGGTTAAAACAAAATTTTCATTCTTCTATCTATTAGAACTAATTCGTCTTCCGTCACCCCGGTACTCGAGCACGCCAATGCAAATCAAAACCTTCGGCGGCCAAAAATACATTACAAGTGGGGAACGGGTCCCCCATGACAAACCTATGAAAGTGGCCCACCGAGCGCACCCGCTTCCTCAAAGGGGAGGTCCACGAATATTAAATGGTCGAGCTTCTTGTGGATCAGGCGATACTAGGGACCTAAGTGCGAAAAGACGAGCATATAGCAAACGCGGAGCCCTGTAACGATACTATGACCCAAATGCCGAGGGACTTCTGAAATCTACACCGGGCTCGAAGTGCGAATGCCGCCGATGCCGAAAAATCGCACGTAACTGTTGATCTACGAAAAAAGGATAGATAAATGAAAACCGGGAGGGATAGGGACGGTTGAACCCCGGGAGGGAGGGGCGGTTGAACCCAGAAAGCTCCTTTCCCCAGAATCAAACCCGCTGGCAAGGCGGAAAAAAAAACAGCTGCCCCTGCGAGGACGCGGGCTACGCGGGCTAGCGCTAAGAAGGCGAGTCAGGCAAGCTAACAACACTACACGACAGAGGAAGTAAAGGGGTAGGCGCCAAAATCTACATGGGAGTATGGGGAAGCCGGGAAGATCGGAAATTTTTAAAGCAGGAGGAGCGTACGAATTTGCGATCAAGCTCCTGAAGACAACGAACGAAGGGCGACACACGTTTACGAACCGACGCTGCGCAGTAAGCCGCTGCGTTACGAACCGACGCTGCGCAGTAAGCCGCTGCGCTACGAACCAGCCTCTATTCGGCTACCCGCATGCAAAAAAAAGAAAGAAAAGGAAAAGGGGCCGGGTGCCCTTACACGCAAAGAGGTAGACGCCCTGCCTCGAGTATGTCTCTCTGCTTCTCAGCGGAGGTTTGGATTGGTATAATTCTAGCCGCTAGAATGATGCCAGAAGTTATAGCAACAGGAATCTCTCATACAATTTTCATACAATTTGGCGTATGCTTCACCACGTGAAGGTTGCTACATACATAGAGATGCAAATCATACAAATAGCCAAGAATTTTCCTGAAGCTATAACTTATCCATTCCTCCCACTGATTTGCAGCGCGAGCCTGCTTTACCTTCGCATGCAAAACTTTTCCCTCGGAAAAAATGAAGGTAACTCAGGGTCGCTATCTCCATGCTTTTCATGCATATTCAGACATACTTCCCTCCTCTTTTGGAAATCTACTCCCCACACCCAGCAGAATATGTTGCCGTCGGTCTGGTCGACACTTACCACCCCGGGGCGGCCGTTGTCGATTTGGTGGCAGTGTCCTTGGCTCATTCTGCTGGACTCGATGAGAAGTAGATGCACAAAAGCGCGCCGTTCCTAGTTGCTTGTCTTTCCCTTTTCTTGTTAGATGATCTGACTATATTTCTCCCGGGTGTGCGATGCGACTGCATGTTGGTTTGTCATGCACATTTTGCATGACTCCTGATGTCTGTGATGCATGCCCTAGCGTCACAGATTTGGTGAGGGCTTCCTGATGCCTATACCCCATGACAAATGCTCTTTCCGTGTAGCAAAACTTGGACTCCCTTTGCTGCTCATGCAATACAGATCTTTTTAGAATCCAAAACAGCATGACAAGTTGGATTCTTCCAGACCCAGACATTTTTACAGTTGATACATGTTGTTCGCGTTTTTGTCAGCGGCACTATACCCCTTCATCCCCTGCATCACGTCGCCGAGCTTCTGCCCACCAAGGTTGTTCCGCGCTCTCCCGACATTTTGCTTCGCCGTGTTCTTCACTGCGACCTTCCTATGCACTGCAAAAGCATCGTACCAGTATAAATCGCATGACAAATTCCCTTAGCATGAAAAATGGAATTTGTAATGCGGATTTAGGTTAGGAGGGAGATTTGTAATGCATGATTGCGATTACTACGAGTACGATACTTTTGCACAGGATACTTCCGTGCGATCAGCAAATCCTGGATCGACGCGTTGTTGTTTTCCGCATATCAACTGTAAAAGTGTCTAGGTCGGGAAGAATTCATGTTTGTCATGCTGATCTGGCGTGACTCTTAAATCTGTCATGCACGTTACCCAAGAGCTCCGTTTTTCTGTGATGCAGAAGCGCAGTTTGTCATGCAGAATAGGCAACACCTGGGAGCTCAGAAACTTGTCATGCTGAGCCAGCATTTGTAGCCTCATCATGAGACGCTACCCAGCATCACAAGTTCCCAGACCCAGACATTTTTACTTTTGATACCGCAGCGTGGTTCGCGATTTGGTGCACGGACTCCGCCAAAATGAAATTGTCCTCCGGAACCCCGCCGGCGGCCGTCTGCGCCGCTTGGAGCGCGGACCCCCCGGAGTGCAGCGCTAACGCCGCTGAGTTTTCGTTTACTGCGGAGGATAGAAGTTTTCCTCCCGAAGCTGCAGCTGCGGCACTACCTCCACTGCTGGGTCCTGCACCCCCGGCGCCTATGACCAGGTTCTTCGCAGAGCCGAACCTTTCGTGTTTAAAAGCCAGCGGAATCCCGCCGGACCTCTTCACGCTTCCGTTGTATTCGTTGCAGTGGGGACAGTACTATCCTGTGCAAAAGCATCGTACTCGTACTAATCGCTGTCATGCATTACAAATCCCTTTCTTTGGGGGAATCCGCATTACAAATTCCATTTCTAATGCTGAGGGAATTTGTGATGCTATTTATACTAGTACGATGCTTTTGCAATGCATAAGTACCGCACCTTCTTGCACGCATCCACGACCCTTCGCACGACCGCCTGCTTGATCGCCGGGTCCTGCTTCTTCACTCCCGCCATCATCATCTGCATAAAAATCTTCCGTAAGGTTTTTTGCTTCTGCGGACCTCCAGGGGTCGACGCGGAAGCGGTAGCTGCTGCACCTGCTCCGTGAAACAAATGATCCCCGCCTGGGTCGTCATTGTCGGGCGGTCCTCCTGGTCCTGCTGAACCTCCGCCTCTTGCTGTGGTCACCGCTTTCCCAGCCTCATTTCTCTGTCGTTTCGTCGCGGTTTGGGTCGCAAGGTCGTCGTCGTCGTCGTTGCCCTGCTTCTTCAACAACGCGGCTTGCTTCTTTTTCGCAGCGGCTTTCGCGGTTCGCTTGTTCGTCGCCGTGGCCGCGGCTTTCGCGGCCCTCTGTGCGGCTCTCGCGCCGGTGGCTTGGGTAGACCCGATGTCGTCACCCTGTGCACCAGTCGCGTCCAAGCTGCTGTCTTGGAGCTGGAGGGTACTACCAGTCGACGCATTAGGTAAAAACATCGCGGAGGACGAGCTAGATCCTCCTGCAGTTCCACCTGACGTTGCAGATCCTGCTTCATGGTGCATTTTATCGTCCAGCAACAGCCTCCCGCAGCTCTTGCACATACACTGCGCCATGTGGTAAATGTGCTTGTAGAACCCCGGATGAAACACCGGCAACGCTAATGGGACGTACCCGAAATGCCCGGGACACCCCGGGCACGCCATGATGCTCTCCCCGCATTCCTTGCAGATCAGGTTCCGCTCTGAGGGCCCAAACCGGAGGTCGAGCGGGCCGTAGGGCTGGCGGTTGCGGTTTTCGTCATAGAGGATTTCCGTATTTACCTTCACCGTGGACACCCTCGCGATCTCCGATGCGGTCAGAGCGTCGTACTTCACCGAAACGGGACGGCAGTAGACCGGGCGGTCCGAACTGGCGATCTGTTTCTGCTCGAAAATGTTGTGCGGAAGCTGCACCAAGTGGGGCTGCTTGGTAGAGGTCGCTGTAGTATGACCGCCTCCGCCGCGGGAGGAGGAAGAGCCGCCGGCTGTCATCATATTCGCGAGTGTCCTCTGAGGTTCTTCAGCCGGGTTCACTTTGATGAAGAAGCATGTAGGCCTTGCGCAGGTATTTTAGTTTTGCACTGAGTAGCGATCTTCGTGCTCGCCGGGTCGCAAAGTCGCTTGTCGTCGCTTTTTTTCTTTAGGTCGTTTATTAGCCAGCTTGTTTCAAAAAAAAAACAAGCGCTCTCAAAGCTCGTGCTAGAGAATCTGCGACATGTCTGCTCTTCTTCCGGTTGTACCTAGCCGCGCACAACGCCTACGATTGCCGTTCTTGCGCTGCAGGACTTGTAGCACCTTCGGACCGGCGCGTAGAAGATATCATGGGCCCTGGTTTTGCGAATCAGGGTCCCGGCGGCCGGCGCTGCTACTCCAAGCCACGAATCATGTGCACGAATACATTATTGCGTTTGCAACAAACTAGCAGGTAGTCACTTGTGTTGTTGTAAGATGTAAGTATTGAAACTGAAAATCAAATGTTCGATTAATTGATGTCGCGAGAAAATGCTCAACACTTATTTGCAAATCATACACAAATGCCTACGACCGTGAAACCAAAAATGTCGTATACACCCTGTGTGCATGTCGAATGCGATGAATGAGCTTTGATTCAATTTGCTCAACATCTACCACCACTTGTTTAGCGTCAGAACTCCTTCATGGAAATGCATCGAACGATCTGGGCTGACAGCGGCCAAAACAAAAAGAACTCCACTACATCAACTACATCAGATTCATAGTCTTTTTTTACTATGAGAATGAGGTGGATCCTGCTGGCTTGACAGATCTTCTTCGTGGCTCAATCTGCCGCTAAATAAGTTGATCCTTCGCGTTGTGCACGACTTTCTTCGTACATGTCAAGACCTTGTAGTCTCCAATGCTCGTCGCATCGAACCTCGAAGATAAGATCGTTACTAGCAATGCGCAAGAAGATCGTAGAAAAATCCTTGTTTGGAGCGAAGATCTCAAAAGCCAGCAACTTGGAGCGAGAAGCGATTCGCTCGTCGCATATTAGATGTCATCACAGTTGCACAGAAAGCAACAGACGCCGCTACAACAGATGGATCTTTTGTTTTTAGTCGTGGTTTTTTGATGTGATTCTTTCACGTGTGTCCCGTGTTTAGACTTTGATGCTTCTCGTGCAGGTCATCTTCACAACATGCACACTGGTCGCCATCACAGAACGTTCGATCGCTGGGACTACATTTTGCAGCCATGCCCTTGATGCTCGTGTCGTTTGAGCATTTCCATTTGTTGTTCGCATTGTTACGCGGAAGCGGAACTTAAAACTACAAGTCATACATTTATCGTCTGTCATTTCGCTTCATTTGATTGCTGTTGTCCTGTTCATCAGTTACTTAGCATCGTACAAAAATTTGAACTGCCATGAGGCGAAAAGGCGCACCAATGCTGGCGCTCCAAACATTTTGAGTCTTTTTCTTTTCCTTCTGTTTTTGAGCTTGCAGTTTAAAGTTATTTTCATTGTCATCAGGGATACACTTGTTTCATCAATTTGATAAATCAAGGTCTAAGTACTTCGGGAAAGCGAAACTGGAGCTTCTGAAAATGGGAATCACAATTAGTAAACAGTTGTTGCACTTCTACGATGAAACTTCTTCTATGATGAAACTATTCTGAGAAGTTCCTGCTGAATAATTCAGCCTGAATGTTGTCAGTTCTGAAAACTGGTGCCTCTTCCAGTGAAGATAAAACATAAACAAAGTCGTACAGCGCTTTTGTTGAAAGAATCAATGCATTGAGGAACTGTTGCTGTTGTAGAGTTGCCTTACAATCAACCATGAATGATGAACAAGATCAAGATATAGTTCGTTTTGCTCTCTATACTATTCCCGCGGAATAAAGTCTGCTCATCATTCCGCTAGGTCGTTGACATAAAAAACTAAAACTGCGGTCACCTGATTTTCCTCGTAGACCTCTGCAACGCGGCCCCGGCCGGCATTTTGGAGCCGCTACTTCCCGGCGTGTTGCCCGTTGTTGGATACAGCTTTTTGATGCGCTGTGGCGTTGAAGACATCTGCTGCTTCGTTGCACCTGACGCGGTAATATTGTCACCACTTCCAGCCGGCCTGTCAGGCGAAGCAGCTCCAGCAAGAACCGCACCAGCAGGAGCAGATCCTGTGCTAGCAGTACCTGGACCTCCTCCAGGTCCTTTGAAAGAAGCCGCCGACTGCCCGACCTGTAGGTAATCCTCCCCCTCCACAACGGTTTCGCTGTCCACCTTCTTTTGCATGGTTTCCTGTCGAAGGTGTTCAATCAACGTCGCCACGCCGGAGCTCAGCCCCCGCGTAAACTTACTGGTGGGGATTGTACTGGCGTTTTTGTGGTTCGCGGGCATGGAGGTCAAAGTCGTGGTGCTCATAGCGCCCGCTCCGATGTTTGCGCCGACTGGAAGATCTGAGTTGTGTTCTGGTGCAGGATCTGCTCCTTCGTAGTTGTTGTCACTCGCACTGTTCACATTGGAGTTTGCCTGCATTAAACTACTACGATTCGCGGCCTGCTGCTGCTGGTTATACGCGATTTGCGCTTTCCGGATCATGCTGTCCTGTTTCAAACTGTACCCCACCCGGTCCTCTTGCGTGCACTTCCGGTTATCGATTTCCTTCAACCGGTATCCAGGAAAAAACACGCATCCACATCCAATTTGTCATGCTTAACAGACTGCGCATCCAATTTGTCATGCAAAACACGCATAAAGTAAAAGTGCTGTGCTTGTCATGCAAAAAACGGATGTGGATGGGTTCTTTTCTGTAGATAACCGGTTCCCCAACTTCTGACACAGCGTGAAGCGGTAAAAAGGCTTCCGCGCGATCGGGTTCCGGGCCAGGGATATTTTCTCGACTTTGGATCTCTTGTGGTTCGTAGTGGGGTTGTTTAGACTAGTATTACTCCTTGTCCCGATTATGTGGTCAGAGATGGAGACTGAATTATCAGCACTACTAGTACTGTTATTCATTTCGCCGTCGTCCTCTTTCTCCAACACCATGGTCCCGATCGTCTCCAGCGCCGTGACCCTGTTGAAATCCAAGCGCAAAACTGTCAAATTCGGCACCAAAGCAAAACAATCTAAACTCGTCACCCGATTGTGCGCCATGTGGATCTCCGTCAATTTCGATTGCTTTTTGTGCAGATTGGACGACCCAGCCACATTGCAATTCGAGCCGATGAAGAAACTCCAACGGTCCGTGAATCTGATTCGGTTTCGGTTCAGCACGAGCGCGCGCAGTTCCGTTAAATGCCGGAACGGGGCCCGGTTATTCGTCAGGATCTTGTTATTTTCAGAAGATGACAAGGCTCCTCCTCCCAACTTGCCGCTGGTGTTCCAGTTCGAACTTGTAACCGTTTTCTCCTCCCGCGGTGCCGCGTGGTTCCATCGGCTCGGAGCCAAAGCAGTCAGCAGATTGTTCGCGAGAACTAAGACTCGCAACTGCGGGAACGGGTGCTGCTTTGAAGTTGTACTGTTGGAAGTAGACGAAGAGAAACCACTACTTCTGCTCCTGTTTGTCAACTGCAGCAAGGGCGTCAGCGTCCGGAGTCCGTTGTAGCTCAGTTCTAAGTGCTGCAACTTCGGGAGTCGGTAAACTTGGATGTGTTTCAAGTTGGAGGCGGTGCCATTGCTGCTGAACGGAGTAGTGGTGGACTGCTGGTGATAGTTGTACGCGCCTCCTGTCTCGCTATGGATTTGATGTGCTACACCCGCTGAAGATGAAGCTTGTTGATGCCCCGAAATAGATGTTTCCACCACCATCTTCCACCTGGCTAAATCCAGTAAGCCAATCCGGTTCATTTTCAGGGTTTTCAACTTCGACAAGGGTCCAATCACCCCTGTCTGGATGTAGTTGTTATCCAGCTGCAGAATCTTCAGCTCCGGAAAAAATCCATCGGACAAAATCCCGTGATTCAAATTCCACAGTTTTGAACTGGTCAGATCCAGAGAGACTAGATTCTGGAACGCAAGGCTCACGCTGTTTTGCTCGGAGATGAAGCCGGTGAGAGGAGGAGGTGCAGCTGATGTGGTCGTTGCAGAAGAAGTGCCGACATTACCACTGTTGTGCGCGGAAGACGATGCTGTTGAAAACCCAAGAACAGAACTCGCTAGAAGATCGGGGGTGAGAGTGCCCTTGAAAAATTTCCACGCCTGGCGCACTTCGTCGTCGGAAATGGGGAGGCCGTCGAGGTACTGCAGATTTTGGTGCAGGAGAAAAATCGCGTAAAGCCGATAGTCGAAGTGGAAATGGGTGAACAAATTTTGCTGAGTTATTGCGTAATTTGATGCTTTGGAACTCGCTTCGTTGCTCTCCTCATCTGCGCACCATTGATCGTCTGGTGCACCACCATCCATCTCGCCTCCATCTACTGCACCTGAATCCTTCCCTGTGCTAGTCCCAGCACCCGAGTGCAGTTTCGGCCTCGTTCGTTTACTGGTGGCAAACATCAACCTACTGCTCCCATACTCGTACTCCCGGCCGATCTTCGAGACAATGTCGCACCTTCTGATCGGCTTCTCCGTTGCTTTGCGCGTCTTGATCTCCAAGATTTTCTCGTTTTTCTCTTTCTCGATCCGTTTCCGCCGTTCCTCTTTTCTTTGCTGCCTTGCGGCGGAGGAGTTTTTGTTTGTCACATCGCAGTCGTCCTCGATGAAACACGTCGCGGTGGAGTCGTCGTTGTCGGAATTCTCATCCTGATAATCGACGTAGTTATTTTCACCCTGTCGTCCTGCGTCTTGTTGTTCACCTGTCGTGCCTTCTTGCAGCTGGTCTGCTCTAGCAATCGGATTTCCGTCCTCGTCTACACGTAAAGCGGCTTCTTGGTCACCACCGGCATCTTGCTCATCATCCTGCGGTTCAGGAGCTTCGTCCTCGTAGAGAAGCCCGTCTTCCGACTCTTCTTCGTCCTCTGATCCGAGGTGTTCCAATGAATTCGGAACCAGATCTCTGTCCGCTTGACCTACTTCGGGAGAAGCCGCAGCAACCGCTTGGAGAAGTGCTGCCTCGTCACCTTTGTCTACGATCGACGCAGATTTCGCTTCTATTGGTGTCCACAGATGATGAGCAGGTTTGGTTGATTGTTCCTTTGTTTGCTCGAAGTCTTCCACCTCTTCGTCGTCGTTCTGCAGTGCAGACTTCGTCTTTCCCGGAGGAGACACCTTGCCACCTCTTCTAGCACGACCGCTTTCATCCCACTGCACCAACTCCTCGACTGTTCTGGCGCCCTGGAAAAGCTGATGCTGCATTATACCACCATTAGTGCTTCCTCTTCCAACAACACTACAGTTGCACAGCGGGTTCCCACGCAGCTCTACGATGGCGAGTCTCGGGAAATTCAAACTGAGCAGGTACAAGTCCCGGAAATCATGGAGCGCGTTGTCCCCGAGGTAGAGGCCAAGGAGCTTTTGCATAGGAAGCTGTAGTTGATAGGGTGTTGATGTTGTGACAGGTGGAACAGTAGATGCTGCTACATGACAACTGCTTGATGTTGACGAGCCGCACGTAGAGGAAGTTTTCATCCAATTTAAGTCGCTGATCCCGTTCCCACTGAGACACAGAATTTCTAGGTTTTCCGAACAGCATCTCGTGATCCAATGCAACTCGCCCGAGGAGCTCGTGAGCGAGTTCATACTCGCGTCGAGCCGTTTTAAGCCAGTGAAATGCTGGATTCCGGACAGAGACTGCAACTGATTTTTACTCACATTCAACGTCTCTAACCTTCTGCAACAGGAGAAAGTGCTGGTCGAACAACTCGAAGCGGGTAAACCGGAACCGCCAGGAGCAGAACAAGTGCCGCCGCCGGCTCTGCTAGTACAACTATCCGAAGCCGCTGCAAAGAGCGGCAGCAATTGGTGTTCGATGGAGGTGAGATTTAGCCCGGTCGCGATCAGGTGTGTCAAATTGTGGAAAACATACCGCGAATTCGTCGGATAGTGTTGTGGCGCTTGTGATGCTGCTGTTATATTACCTGTCTTCGCTATCCATTTCTTCAGCCAGTCTCGCAACCCCGCATCTTCGTCGGCGAGCATCGCGTCGTCTTCTTCGTCGTCTGATGATCTCAATGGTAGGATATCCTTCTGCAACCCCGCCTTCTGCAGAATGTCGACGCTGACGTTGCTTGTCATAATCTTGCTGGTCTTGTTGTAGTTCCTGCTATTTGATGATGTCCTGTTGCTCCTTGCAGGAGCTATTGATGCGCTCGAGCAGCCTACAGTCGAAGATGCCCCCTGTGCGGCCGCCCAGAGTGCCGGGCCGAGCACTCCGTCGTCCGCAGTTTTACCTGCAAGACCTGGCCCGGCACCAGTACTATTTCCTGCTGGCAATAGAAGGTCGGAAAGATTCAGAGTCTTCGTCAATGCGTCACGGTGAACAGGAGCATGATCTTCTTCCTCATCATCGTCTTCAGCCCAGGTCTGGACTTGTAGATATCCATTCGTACCGGTTGCACCACCAGCGGCTCCTGCGAGCGCTGTCGAAGAGGCAACTTTTTCCGGACTCATCATCCTTCTTCTTCTCGCCGGACTGCCACCGGTGGTGGAGAGGATTGATTTGACTGGTATATTACCGCTGGCACTGTCCTCCTTCAAGGGCGAAAGCTGCGGCCGCCTTGTTGGTGGGCTCAAGGGACTTGTGGAGGGATTGTTATTCCCTAGCATTCCATTTGTGCTTCTTGAGTCCTTTCCCTGTGCACCACGACCAGCTGCAACCGTGGTGGAAGGGTAATGCCTGGGGAGAAGACCGGAAGCCGCTAACTGCAGCCGGAAAAAACTGTCAGCGTCTACTACGGATGCGCACTGATGATCTCCGTCAGCATCGTCGTCTTGTTGACAGAGAAGTGCCTCGCCTCCATTAACGATCTGCAAATCCGGACACATTTTCGTCGCCCCTCGCAGTAGGTGCGCAAGAAAATGCGTTGTGGTAGCAGTTCCAGTTCCGCTCGAGCTGCTTGCTATGCTTGCTGCGATTTCCCCTCCGCCCGAAGAAGACAACAACTCTCTACCCTCTTCTCCTAGCGGTTCATCAATTTGGAGCGCTTTTAGTGACGATGGGAAAAGTTGCGCAGAAGTGCCAGCAGACGATGTCACCGAAGATGGTGAAGGTGCCCGAGCAAGCACATACCCGAGAACGTCTACAGTTGTGAGCAAAGGATTACCGCTCAAATCCAGCTCCGTGCATTGCGGAAAGAGGTGCGCAAATGTGCTGCTTTCTTGAGGACCTTCTTCGCCTCCTGAAGCAAGATGGCAAGGACTTTCGTCAAAAAGCCGTAGGTGATTGTACGACAGGTCGATGAACAAGGTTCGTTCTCTATGATGTGCGACACCGGGAAAGTTGGTGTTGGTCATTTTCCCCGTTACTAGTTCCTTTCCATCACCGCTGGCAATTGCGGCCGTATTCTGCTCTGTTTGGCCACTCGTTGGGACCACAATCCCCTTGTTTGAAGATGATGTCACCAGCGACGATGGGGAAGAAGCACCTCCGTTCACGCGAGATGAAATATGAACCGGCTGTGCTCCTGCATGATCAACGACCTGGCACAAGTCGTCCAATTTTTCGAACTTGTTCCAGGCGAGAATCAGACACTTCAAATTCTTGAAGTTCCGCAAACAGTCCGGCGCGAGCTTCCGCAGGTTGCAGCCCCAGAGGTTCAAATACTCGATGCTCGCAATGACCGGGGTCTTGATCTGTTGGTGTAGCAGTTGGATCCTCTGGTGCTCTCTGACCACCGCACGCTCGAGCAAATCTCTCTTGGTTCTGTTTTTATTTCTCGACGGAGAAGTAGAGGCCCTGTTCTTGCCTTTGTTTATTTCGTCCTCATTTTCCTCCTCATCTGTTCTATTTCGTTGAATCATGGAATCGAGGGAAAGCAGGTCGGCTGCACTGGAGATTACACTGCGCGTGGCCAGGAAGGACGCTGACGCGTAACTCCGGGGAACGAACATGTCGAGCTCAAGATGGCCGGGAACTCCACCTGAAAAGGAGAAGTCTGTAGTCCTTTTCCCCGCATTTTTAAGCCGAGAGGCAAGCAGGAGTTCTGGTGCGGTAGATTTTGCAGATAATTCATCATCCACACCATGGGTCATGAACGGGAAACCATCTTCGCGACTTTGTCCTCCACTTAGCGCCATCATCGCTCCAGAAGCCGTTCCGCCCACCTCGTCGGCGTAGGATGCAGCACCTGCGCTAGTGCTGCTGTTGTGCTCAGACATAAGTGGGCGGATCACAAGTTTTCGAAGCTGTTCCTGCAAGTCATGGATTGTTGTTTCCAGAATTTCTTTCTTCTGCGATTTGTATTCTGACGCGGTCGACGCCGTCCTGCTCGTTGATGTGTTGCGCCAGCACATCGTCGGCGACGTAGCCAAGTACGCAAACTCACGCAAACACGACCAAAACGGCCCGAAGTCGCGCAAAATCAGGGCACTGTCTGTTGTTTTGCTCGAGAGTAAAGTCGTGACCGCTTTATTGGTACTACTGCGGAGTTACTGAGTGGAAAATTTCACAAATACAAATATCTGCAAAAATTGGTCCTTAGAGGCTTCAGGGCTGCTGGGAGGGGGTCCAGGGTCTGCGAAACGCAACGCCGGTGAGTCGAACAGCAGCACAGCAACAGCGCGCGGCGTTCTTCTGTCCGGCAAGGTCCGGAGGGTTTGGCGTCGCTGGAAGCCATACCGGACGACCACGAGCATGCATATACTTCAACAACAAAATCAGAAGGCTGCTGCCTTTCCTTTTCGTCGAGTCCGCCGATGCGGTTTGTCGTTTAGCTCGTGATTGGAGCAAAAAAACGCTATTCCCACTCGGAAACTTTCCACAAATGAACAGACCCGACCCCTCCGGAGACCCCAAGATCTGGGGCCCTTCGGAACAGCCAAATTCCCAATTCCCGCTTGGAAACTTTCCACAAATGAAAAGGCAGGGGGGTCCGGCGACCCCTGCCGGAGAAGTCGCCCGCGAGCATTTTTCTGCGTCATTTTGATGCGATTTTCGCCTTTCGGCGATTCGCCGCGGCCTATTACTGCCTCCGCATGCGCCGCATGGCGCCGGAATTCCGGGCACCCTGGCGCGGCCCCAAGAGCCCTAGTGCCGCCCTGCTAGGCGGCCCGCGCTGGTGCGACTTTGGTCGGGTTAAATGGCGACCGCCTGAGATGAATGCTCTGGCGCCCCTCCCAAGGATGCCCGACAGGGCCTGAATTGCTGAAAAGCATAACACTGAGCGCCTGCTTCTCTGCAGTTTTGTCCTTTAAGCATCAATTTTTGCAGATATTTGTATTTGTGAAATTTTCCCCTTAGTAGGAGTTGCACACCTGCTGCGGAGGAGGTCGCCACTTTGCAGCTACCATCGCCATTCATCAGATTGCTCCTGTTGGCCGAACTATCCAGGAAAAAAACTGTGTGAGTGTAACTGTGTAGGAAGAGCAGCATCACAAATTCGCTTTGCATTACAGGGAAAACCTGTCATGCGCAGCTAGTACGTGGAAATACGTATGGAATTAGCCTATGACGCAGATCTAGCATGACAAGTGTAACAGTTTTGCACTTTCTGCATCACAGATTTACACTCACATAGTTTTTTTCTTGCATACGAACGTGGTCGCTTCTTCGCCGCGGATCTCGGCCGGTTCGCGGCCGACTGCGGACGACTTGACGAGGAGGTTTTCGTGGGCGACGAGGGTAAAGTGGTATCAGTGGAACCTCCAAACTCGTCGTAGTCTATGCCTCGCCACCGCTTCTCGATTTCCCGAATGACGAAATCAGACGAGGAAGAACCTACAGGTACAGAAACGAATGATGTTGAGCCAGGACGAAGCTGAGCTTTATTTTCCTCGTCGTACTCCACGTCGCTGGCCGCGTGAGGAATTTCTCTTCGCAGCCTGGTGGAGGATGTTGAGGTTCTTGACGCACCAGATGCATCAATATCGCTGCTCCTTTTACTGGTACAATTCAAATTATCAGCTTCGTTGACAAACTTCCCCAGGTTGCACTCTACCTTTTTCTCGATTTCATTGTACACAAACTCCACCTCGACGAGAAAAGCCGGCGTGCACCTGCTCGGGTCCCGAATTCGCCAGATTTTTTGCCTTCCGTCCGTGTCGAGGGACCGGTAACGGCCAGAAACGGAGTCATACCCTGGGGATTCGAGGAACTCGGCTAGGGGTTTGGAATCGCCAAAAGCGGAAAAAAGGTGCTTCCGTGCTGTCAACATGCTGGACCCGCTAGACGATGCAGCTCCTCGCCGATGTTGGTCCGCGTCCAACGTAAACGTATTCAACGTCTTTGCCGCCCATTCTACCGCCATGGCTTGCTTCCTGCGGTTCGCGGGACTGTTGGTCGGCGAGGCAGACAGGGAAAGGTTTTCTGTCTCGTCTTGTTTCTGGTTCTTTTCCGAAGTTGTCACTTTGTCCTTATTTTCCGCAACTACATCGCCAAAAGGCGACGTCATCGGCTGAAAAAACCCTGCTCCCGCACGGCGCCTAGCTGGGGATGAGGTTGGCGATCTGATAGAAGTTGAAGTAGAACCCGCTTTCCAGCTTGGGGACTTCTGATTTGCGCCGCCGTGTTTCATCTCCTCGTCGAAGAACATTCCACTACTACTGTCCTTATTCATCAGCACAAACGCGTTCTGCGCCTGCGTTGCGTGTCCGCTGTTTGCCCGCAAGAGGCTTTCCATGTGGAATTTCTCGTTTTGGCTCTCTTTCAAATTAACGTTGCTGTTCCGGGGTTTCTTCAGCAAGCCAAATTTGGACACAAACAGCTGCTCCTCATTCATCGCGGGAAACAGGTAGTGGTGCCGGCTGAAGAGGGCCGACGGGCGATGGGGGTTGTCTCTTCTTGGGCCAGGATTCGTTTGTGACGATGTTGCTCCGGTTGAAGACGAATTGCTAGTACTGTGGTTGTAGAACGGATCTGCGACATCCGGTAAATCCGACTCGTGCAGTGAAAACGTTTCACAAATGATCAATTCTGCACCGCCGAGGTAGCGCTTGCTGGCGTTTGTTGCTTTGGTCGAGCCAGGCCGGCCTGTTGTTCCACCTCTCGTCGATGAGAGAGAAGTAGAATCCGACCCTGCTGACGCTCTTGACGTTGACGCTGTAGTACTGCTATCTCCACAGAACTCTTCGATCTTCTGACAGAGTTCAGAATCGTAAAAATCGTCGAGAATCGGCTGCAGCGCCACCTTCACACTGTTTGTCAAAAAAACGCAGAAGTCCGAGGCGTAAGGCGACCACTCCGTGGAATTCAACAGTGCAGTTGTCGCTTTCAGTGCTTGCTGCGAATTCGCCTTGTGCTGCTGAAAATCCAAATCTCTCGGGATCTTTCCCGCTGCAGTAGCTGCTGCACCGTCGACGTATTCTTTGCTCATTTGGAAGTCAGTTCTACCGCCAGGATAGTGTCCGTTTTCATCGCCGTCCATTGACCCTGCTCCGTAGTTCAGTTGGTAGAACAGATCCTCTGCCTCATCTGGCGCGAACAACTCGCCATTCGCGTCTTTCACGGCTTCGTGCAGCTGTTTCGTCACGTTCTGCGTCCACTCGTTGATCAATTCATTGCGTTTTTTCAGTTCCAGTTTCTTCTTTTCCGCGTGAGACGGTGTCGGGGGCGGCTTGTACTGCTTCAGCTTCGACTTCAGGATGGAATTCGGATCGCTTTGCTTGCGATTCGTCGGCGACCGGGCGACGTACACCTTTTTGGCATCAATCTGGAAAATGGAAGGTTCCTCGGTGGAATTGTCGTCTTTTGTTCTCTTCTTACTCGCGCTGTTGCTCAGAAGCCGCTGCATTTGGGACTCCACTTTCGTCTTTTTCTGCTGTTCTGTCTGTCTACTAGGATCACTGGTTCCATTATGATTTTCCTCGCCGTCGTGGTCTTCGCACTCGGTGTCTTGGCCCCAATTTTCGGAAAAAGACCCGGTTGCAGAGGACGAACCGCTGAAATCATGGCTGGGATCGGGGAAGTGGTTTGTCACTCCGTCGGAGCCAGAATTTGGGTAGACACCAGTACTAGAAATTTGTCCATCAACATTTTCCACATGATCTCCCCCGTTTTTCATCCTATTTCCGTGCGAAGAGACCGAAAACCGGCTTCTGTTGTTCATTCCGTACATTTCGCTACCAAATGCCGCACTCAGTCTTTTCAACCTGATTTCCTCGTTTTGTAGCAACTGCCGCCTCTGTTTCAAAATCCCAGTGGTATCAGCCTCCTGCCAATTCGCCACAAGTTCGTGATTGGTGATTGCCGGGTCCAGGACAAAGTCCTTCTTGTCGTGCACGGCTGCACCTGATGTTGACAGTGACACGGCGCCAATTGTACTACTTCCCCCGCCACCTTCGCCATCCAAAAGAGGCCTCCTCACCTTCTCGTTTCGAACCAGAAACAGGTACCTCGGCGCGTACCTCCCACTGCTACTCGTATCAAATGTAAAAGTGTCTGGGTCTGGAAACTTGTGATGCTGGATGGCGTCTCATGATGAGGCCACAAGTGCTGGCTCAGCATGACAAGTTTCTGAGCTTCTAGGTGTTGTCTACTCTGCATGACAAACTGCCTTTCTGCATCACAGAAAAATGGAGCTCTTGGGTTTTGTGCATGACAGATTTAAGAGTCATGCCAGACAAGCATGACAAACATGCAGTCTTCCAGATCCAGACCCAGACACTTTTACATTTCATAACTCGTTTCCGCAGACGAATTCAGCATTTCCTGCTGGATTTGCGCCGCCAACTCCACGCCCCAGTTGCTGCCCTTGCGACTCATGGCAAAGCCGTCGAAGTTGAAGACTTTCGTCTGCATGCCGAAAGCCCCATTGGAAGTCATCGGCCGTGCGTCGAAAGAGCCGTTGGGAATGGTACTGGCTCCTGCGTGAAGTAGATTTGATGCGGCGGCTGCAGGCACCATCGAGGTGGACGAAGAACTCCCGCCGGCGGCATTGTTCGAAGTAGATCCGCCAAACAGCAAGTGGTCATTGGTGTGCACTTTTGTCACCCGGGACACCTTCACGTTGAAATCTGGCTCATGATGATGTTGGGGTGCTCCAACTGCTGCTGCTCCAACCGAGGTGATGTCGGTAACAGCAGCAGGTGCTGCTGCAGCAGCAGCTCCAGGCGCGCTTATTTTGAAGGGAGACTTGTAGTTTGCGCCTGCTGTAATTGATGCAGGTGTTGTGATCTTCCCGGCATGATCATCAGCACCGCCGGAAGTAGCAGATGTTGAAGCGAGCGACGCCGCATTGATCATGGGACCGCTCTGGAAGTTCTGCCAACTTATCTCAACCAAGTGCTCCACCATCTGCTCCCACGGATGCTGTTTCTTACTGCCAGGACCGCTGAAAGAGGAACTGGACGAGCTTCCTCCCGCGGAAGAGCTGCTCATCGCAGAGGCGGACGAGTTGCTCGTCGAGATGGCTACTAGGCCAGAGTTACAAGAACTCGCGTAAGATCCCCCATCCTGATCCTGTCCAGACTCATCCGCTCCAGAGTCGTAACTGATCTGATGCTGCTGCTGATCTCCGGCACTGTAGCTATCGCCTGAAGACGAACCGCTATAACTCCGATCCGAGAACGACGAACCCCCACCAGTGGCGCCACTGTGACCTCCGGTGCTAGAAGAGGAGCAGCTGCTAGTTGACGAGTTTTCCTCTTCCCTTAACGGCAATTGGAAATGGATGTTCCCACCCAGTGCTAGTTCCGTTTTCAAGGAATTTTCCAATTCCAGCCGGAGGCGCAGAAGCTTCTGCTTGAAGTTTTTCTCGAAGAAATCCCGCTTCCACGCGGGAAGAATTTGGAATTTCAGCTGCTGGTACAGAAAGAAGATCTTTTTCGAGAGAATCGTGATCGGTTTCTCCTTTTTCAGCGGCTTTATGTGGTCCTCATGTCCTCCTGCTCCGTCGAACGCTGCTGCTTCTGGATCTGATTCTGAGGCAGAAGAGCTGAGAAAATAATTTGCGTTTGCACCGTTGCCGCTGTCGTCTAGTTGTAGTGCATTACTAAAACCCGCTGTCGTCGGCGTCGTTCCGAGGACCCGGTTTAGAATCCCCTCGATCTTGTCTGCGCGATCGGCTTCGTCGATGACACCTGATCTTCCCGGTGCGCCGCCAGAGAGCATCAACTTCTCACCATCAGAAAAATTGGCCCCACTGGATGTCAGACTCATCAGCTCCTCCCCGATTTCTATTGGCGCTTCTTGCAAGCACAGCTGCAACATCTTGGACAGTTCGGGCAGGAGTTCGGTTCTCATTTTTTCCACTTTGAAATCTTGAAACAGCTGGTATCCAATTTCAAATATGGAAGTGTCAGAATCGAAATTTACAAAATCGAAAAATTTGTGATGCGCAAAATCGATGTCAGTTGGAGCCTCAGGTTCCAAGTGGCGCATGACAAATTTCGGGAGTACCCAAATCCAGTCTGTCATGCTGTTTGGGCAAAGAAGACTCCTCCTGCAATGCTACTCCGGCAGCACATTGCATACCCCTAAACAGGCTTACAATCGGTCTCATTTTCCTGCTCCCCAATACAGGCCTTCAGTGCCCTACATTTTATGCATCACAAATTTTTCGATTTTGTCGATTTCGATCCTGACACATCCATATCAAACGCCTGCTGCATCTGCCGGTTCAGAGACTCGATCCGCATATCGTAGTAGAGCGTCTTGGAGTGCCAAATTTTGTCACTGTTTTTCACAATCTCCTCCGATATGTACTGCTGATCCACGATGGAGACGTGCTTGAAGTACTGAACCTGTTGAAATTTTCATGCATAATATGCCAAAAGAAAGACCACTGTGCGTTGCGGTTCCGCTGCCGTGCATTGCAAAAAAAAATTCAATGCCATGCGCGCATGACAAGAACAAGAAGCAATCAAGAACACTGTTGCTGTTAAACCAAAACTACCAGCGCCACGGTGTAGTTGCAGAGCGAGCAGATCGGGTTGTCGCCAAAATCGGGGTCGGATAGGTGAAGTTCCTTCAAATTTCGAATCTTCGCCAAGTCCAGCACATCGGGGAAGTTCCGGATGGTATTTTTTGCCAAGTTGATCCGTTGCAATGACCTGATCGGCACTTCAAAGGACTTGATCCGGGAGATCCGATTGTTCGCCACGTTCAGCTCCTTCAAATTTCGCAAACAGTCCAGCCCTTTCAGTGTGGTGATCTGGTTTTCCGTCATCCACAACACCTCCAAATTCTTCATCGGCCGCAGCTCGGACCGGGAGAGCCGGCCCACAAACTCGTTGCAGCAGAGGAAAAGCTTCTTCAGGCTGGCACCGCCGGTAAGGGGTTGCTTTTTGATGGAGGTTTTGCTGCAATTGTGGTCCTTGGGGGATTTGGCACCACGGCCACCATTTGGGAAATTCTCAGCTGCATCCACCGAAGGGGTGATACTACTAGACGTAGCAGTTGCGCCGGCCGACGTTGCATTTTGAATCTGCTTTTCCGTCGTGCGAATTCTCCCCGGTGTGGTTGGCCTGGAGGAGGCTGCGAAGCTTCCGCTTTGCAGATGATTTTGTCCCCCGCCTGTTTCAACATTGTCCTCGATCCACAAGCCAAACAGGTTGGTCAAGCTCGTGAGCCGGTTTTCCTTCAAGTTGAGCGTTTCCAGATGCACCAACGTCCCCAACTTCGTCAACTTCCGCAGGCCGACGCGAATCAGCGTCAAGTGCTTCAGGTTGATGACGAAGTTCACCAGAAACTTCTCGATCGGCAGCGGGAGAAAATCCGCGACGACCTCGATTTTCGTGACGTTTTGCTTCAAGTACTCCTCCGCCTGATCGTTCAGGTTGGAGGGGTTGCTGCTGCTCGTGTTCAATTGGAGGTGCTGCAACCCGATCGCGTCGCAAAATTCACGCAGTTCCCAAGCGCGGACCACCTTGTCGGAGCGAAACTGGTGCTGAGGTTGGAGGCTCATTGTGTAAGGCCGAGGTGGTAGAATCTTTTTCTAGTTACTCTTCTTGAAGATCCAGATTGAGAATTAGACCACGGTGGTCTGCAGGGTATCCAAGTTGTTGAAGTATGTCGCAACCTGAACCACTGCTGGTTCCAGTTCGTGTTGCTGGTCGTTCGATTGTAGGCACTCGGTCGTGAAGGCAGTGGCCGAACGAAGTCCGTCGTAGGTTGTTTTACAGCGTCTGCAGCGCTGCGCTACAAAGCGCAAAGTCCGCGGCTGAGGCCGCAGAACCACGATGCGGCGCAGCGAGAATGCCTGGCACCATCGCTGTTACCAACATGATAGGATTTGGACCGGTGGACTATAATGTTCTTTGAAGACTCGAAGCACAGATAGAACTTCAACAAAGAAGGGATATCTCGAAACTAATAAACAAGACAGGATTTTTATATGATCTCCTCCGGTGCAGGTGCACTATATGTGCCCTTTCGACGGATCTGCATGACGCTGCAGACACTGAGATGAACAGAACTGCTAGTAGAGATCAGAGTCATACTAGTTCTACGCTCATGAATTGACAAGCGAGCTCCACTAGCACTAGTCATGGGAAGCCTTCGTGTTTCCTTATGCTATCCCTTCGCCACCTCGCCCTCGGGCTCGGGGTGAAAAAAAGACCAGCACGAATGAGATGCCGTTTCAAAAAACAGGAATGATAGTAGCTGCAAGAGCGACAACTTCTTCCTCGTCTACAAAACCTAATTGCCACACGACCAAAAAAACTTGAAACTATGAAGTTGAAGAGCTCAGGGTTGAAAATGTAGATGGAGTGAAGAGATCGATTCCATGGTCCGTCGCAACAATAGATCAAACGAAAAAAAAAGCGAACGATTACGAGAACGACGACGAATGAAGATACGATGAAGGTGCCATGCATGGACTACGAGTCGGTCGCTCGACGCATGCCCTTACATGTTCAAAGAAAGCTCAGGCGGCTCACGCGACACAATCACAAGTCTCTCTACTGAACGAAATCAGGACAGTCAACGAAACGAGGGTGCTGGGTCAAATGATGACGATGATATCGAACTGGGCGCGGCACTAATCCCTCCCCCGGCGCTCGGCAGGAATAATCTGCCCTGATGCCCTAGTGGTAGCGTCGTTATTGATTGAGGCCGGGGCGACCTTTCGACATTCAAGCGTGGTCGTGGAGACCCTCACGCCCGATCGTCGGACTCCCTTACTTCATTCGGGGGCTGGTCGTCTGCTTCGCACATTCTGAGGAAGGCGAGAGGGGCGCTACTGTCGGCACACGCGCCGGAGTTCACCGGGGCGCTGTCCTATTTTTTGGCCTAGGGGCCAAGGATAGACTTATGTATTAAACGATCACGCATTGATGTGTGATCGTTATAATACATAATGCCCAAAGATAGATGGAAAATAAAAAACTGCCACGCGCACCTGATTCGGGTTGTGTTAGTGGACTTGAGAACACTCGCACACACTTACACACGTTTGCTCCACTGAGCTCGTTATCAACAGCTTTTCAATGAGTTCTCTCAATTGCAAGTAAGCAAGCAAGTGACGCAAGTCTCTTGCTGCGTTACATCCTGTAGGTTCAGTTCAATCATAATCATCAAGATCCTCGCATCAGTCTCACCAGATTCAACACATTCCAGGGTCTAGATCCGCTTCGTAGATAGCTACTTCATTCAGGATCTCAGGCCTTGGTAAAGATTTTACTCAGGACCGTGGTCCCTGCTCAAGATTTTACCAGGGACGGCTGGTCCAGGTAAAATCCGAACGAAACAGCGTGCCACGGGGTCGATTTGAGTCGGAACCTTCAATCATTTTCATCATGGAACAGGCTTCATTTGGGGCGATCGTGTTACGTGTGTGCGGGATCGATTTCCATGACCAAC